GCTCCGAAATATGCACGGATATTTTTCTTTTCTTTGTTATTTAAAGCCCACAAAACAGTTTGTATTTAGGAACAGATAATGTCCGTCTTATTGTCTCTGTTTCAAATGCAAATTAGTTGATGGAAATACAGCCTGTCTTACTTTTGCACATCTCTGCGGGGAAGCAAGTTTGGCGTCGCTTTTCTGCATAAAAAACGCGAAAAAATTCAACGATGAAAAGGATAAAAATCTTCAAAGATTCGAAAATTGACATTTACTTTTCATCCGAATCTGAAAATTATCAGGCCCGTAAAATTTGTGATTGAGACTTGGGGTCAAAGAGCTGCAATCCAGCAGTTCAGAATCGCGAGACGAACAACTTAGGACCGAAGAGCTTTCTGCTGATAAATTGCAGAAATTCGAGAGAACAAACCTATTTTTAGAAAAACCTGAACAGAAATGTCCGATTCTTAAGGAGAAACCTTGTCTGGCTAGTTTTTCACCGGCTGAGCATGAAGTGTTTGCATATTTTCAATGATGGCAACCAAACAGAATCGCTATTCTAATTTTCATAATAATTTACCTTGGAGCTTTGCTCTCACCTGCTAGTGGAAACATATGCATATATATATATATATATACCTTAGTATAGCGTGGAAATTCCGGCAGTGAATTGCAAGCCTTTCCAGTTCCTCCTTCCTTTTGATCTTTTTCGTTTGCATTGCCTTTCTTTCTCTTCTGAAAATTTGTGAAATTCACATAAGAAAAATATATCGAATGGATAATGTTTCAAATACATAATGGCAAATTTGGAATAAATAAGTACGATTAAATTGTTTTGAAAATTGAAAGCGATGCATAGGGAATTTAAGACATTCTTTATCGTAAAACAAATAGAGAATCCTTGATCGTGTTCTGTTCTGTTCTGTTCTTGACAAAAATTCGAAGGTAGCAATTTACCGTTAATCCGAATCTGAAAATCATGGGACCCGTAAAATTAGCATTTCCACTTTGCAAGTCTCTTCACGTCCTCTTACCTCTTGATCTTTCTCGTTTTCGTTGCCTCTCTTTCTCTTCTGCAAATTGGTGAAATTCACATGAGTAGAATATAATACTCAAGAATCATCCCCAAACGAGGGTTAAATTGCAATTGGTAAACGAAAAAACTTACCGAACCAAGTTTCTTCTTGTACGATTAATAATACATCACTAAACATCTTCAATCATCATATAACATAACTCCAGGTTTTGCATCCAAAGTACAAATTGAAAACTGCACAAAGTTGTTGCAAAAAGCATACATATCAGTTACTCTAATATGTACTACACACAACGTAGTATTTTAAACTACTTTTAGAATACTCGATTGTTAACTCATTCACAGCTTTTTGTAATAAAGCCGCACAGAAACCAAACCGACATACCTTTCCTTTGCGCAAATTCCAAGGATTACTGACTATTCCAGATTTGGCTGGCTTCTTGTCCTTGCTGGACATTTTTCGAAGAGTTTGACTGACAGCAACTTAAAAGATTTTCTTTTTTTCGCATGGATAGTAATTTTCAATTTGTCGCATGGATACGTTCAGTTTGTTTATTACACCCTTCTTGGTTTCCAAGGCCTTAAAAGGATATATTTTCCTTACATTCACCAAAACATTATTTTTCATTGGTTTAATCAAACAATGCTTTGAGTGAAACTTAAGAATAAAAAGGGTTTTTGTGGCGTCCAACGAAGTTTGGACTCCGGTGCTGATCAAAAACCTCAAATTTCTGTCTCCAACTTATATCACTTTCCGTAAGTTTAGCCGTTCTTAGTCGTTTCTAAGTTTCAGCAGCCCGTGATAACTCCGACTGTGACAGGTACCGTTCAGATATTCAAACTGCAACTGCAGTGTTGGATTTTTTACTGTTGGTAAACTGAAGAAAAATATTAATGTGTACATAGTATTTTTAATTTGCTGCGATACACAACGGTTCAAAGTTTTCTAAAAAAATGTTTGGTATTGGAAAATCGTGGAAAAGCATTCAGGCTAAGTACATGACGGAGTTAGCCCAAAGAATGGAGACGTTGCATGACGGAATAGAGGATGATGTTAAGGAAATGTGTCTGGAGGTCTTAAAACCGTTTAGAGAAGAATACAAGAGAGAAATAAAGCGAGAAAAATCAATAGAAGAGCTAGACAGGAATTTACGAAATATCATACGTAGCTTGAAAATTCACGTGCTCTTTCACTGCGGAGAAGCAGAGCCGTCGATGGCAGGGACGGAGATGGACACTGACGTAGAGATGGAGGAGAAACCACCAAAAGAAGACGAATACCGTTGGACAAACCTCGCTAAATTTGAATCTGATCTGGGTCTAACATCGAACCAGGAGGAGGGAGACGTTCTAAAATTTGTTATCGACCCAGGAAGCTTACTCTTGGATATGGTGAGTTGAGAAGCGGCTAGAAAGTTACGTAACTGATACTGAAATGTCGCAAAACGTGAATGCTACAACCGCCGCACAAGGGAAGAAAATGAAGGTTAGACTGAGTAATCAAAACCTCTTGAAACGGTGTATTGTAGACGAATACAAAGTTCTTAGTATTGTAAGAGTGTTAATATCTTGGAAGAATCAGTCAGAGTGTAAATTAAAATGAAAATCAGGAATCAATTGATCAAACGCTAGTTTTTGTCGGCATAAGCAACACGAGATTCATGGAAATTAAGAAGGCGACCAGATTGAATAATTCCTGAAGTGGTTTTCAAATTTAAAAAAATGCACTTCTGTACCAGGAAATCGCAACAGTAATCACAACAGCCAATCATGACGAAGGTTTGCGTGATCGTTAGCCTATGAGAACTTACAATAATAACAGGCAAACGACCAAAAAGCGTGGGAAAACACAAGCGACCAAGTCCAATTAGTTTGGCGTCTGATTGGTTAAGAGGATGCCGCGAGTTTTCTGGATCAATCACAGATCAAAGTAAATCAAAACTTAAGCAATGCTGGATTGCTTTCGACAATCAAATAAAAATTACGCTAGAACTACGAGTGCTGCGAAGTAAGATGCAATTAGCGTGCGTGCTTCTCAAAAAATGTTTTCTTCTCATTCGTTAGTTAACGTTATGGACATCCAAAAATTTATGTAAGGCGAAGGAATTCCCATTGTCAAGGAGCTATAAAAGTAAAACAGTTTTCTTGTACGTTTTCATCGTAAGTCAACAGGCAGGAAGCAAAACACAATACGCCCTGTGAGGCCGTTGGTCACGTGACCTGTAATTGTTAAAATTGCCCTGCAAATAAAGAAAAAACTCTTTTATTATGTTGGGCAAGATTTCTATTCATGCAAGTCAGCCATCTAATTCATACGAGTAGAAAAGAATATTTATGACGCCCGCCTTTCACAAAAGCAGTTTATGAATTCGATTATGTTTCATTCGGTTAGTATACAAATTTTCAGGTGAATCGGTCGAGAGTTTTTATCTATTTTTTGCCTAATTGAACTAACTAATCAGTTCAAAGAAAGCAATTATGTCTTAGGGCTGCTTTTCAAGGATGCTGCGTCTCGTTCGAAGCTGTAATGACTTAGTTTGCGTTTGGGATGAGCTGTCCCACACCTCAGCACTTTTGTAGAGAGAAACTTCGAACTCGAGTTTAAGTAATTGATGCAGGGCTGTGGAAGAGTCAATTTGTTTTCGGAATTGCTCAATCCGTAGGAAGTTACGTCATTTCAAAATACAAATCGATAGTCGGGAGCCATTCTTTGTAGAGTCTTGTAAATCAAAATGGATGTACCTATCAGCTTTTGGTATTGACTCTACGCCGACCTAGAACCCAAACAACAATATTTTGTGGTTCCAGGCTTTTAAAAAAACAAGGAACTATTACGCTATCGGTATGTAACTGAGTGAGTATTCTATTCGTCACTCTAATTTACGCAAATTTACGCAACTTTATCATATTTTTGGCGAAGTGGCACGTACCAGCGTGAGAAGCAATCGAGGAAAACAAAAAAGAGTGACATCACATGACTCGATTCTTGTCAGGTTTTTGTAGACGTTCCCTCCCATCCGTTTCTCCTTGGGGGAAGGGTACGGCTACACGTAGGCAACCGATTAACTCGCTCAAACGGTCATCGTTCGTTTCGAATTGTTGCAATTTTGCCTTGGTTGATCAACGGTTAGATCAAGCGAAAACGGAAAAATTCAACCGGAGAACACATTTACTTAATAAGGACACCCCTAGGGTCTACCGTATCCTTAAATGATTGACAATTGCCCACCGAAGTGGAGGTGAATAGTAAACACTTAGGGCCCGTTATTTAACACAGGTCTAACCCGACCACGCTTTGGCGAAATCATTGGGCCGTAGGCTTTCCCTACAAGAAGGTTCGTTTTTATAAAAGTTCCATTAACAGGTCCAGCTAAATTAAGAGTTCTTTAAGACGCGGTTTTGTTTAACAGTCGCAGTTTTGTTAAGCAACGGCTACACTTTGTTAGCAAATAATCATACCTTAAGGCCGTTATTAAAACAAAGTTCAACCCTTAATAATCCAAACTGAGTCCTAAACTATCTTAAATCAAACTTAAATCAAACAGGAAATATTATCAAGTGTTTCTCGTGGAACCAGAATTAAGTGGTTTGTTTATCATCCAGACGAAGATAGTAAACAAACAAAAAAAATCAACATTTATAACAGTACAACTTTATTTCCCGCAAACACTGCAATTGAACTGCAAATTTCTCTCCAGCAATTAGCTTCACCAAAAAGAAGCTAATTACAACAAAGAAAGCTAACTACAACAAAGCTTTTGAGAAGGTAACTCCCCAGGAAGTTTTGTTAAATCTCACCGTAGCCAATTTTACTAACTAAGCTTTAGAATTATAACATTTCTTTTCATATAGAAGGTATGTGATTGATATCAATAACTCGTAGGTAGTTGGCCTGGTTCTCAGATGTCCAAGTGAGAGAAAGTGGCCTTAACCAGGTTTGTAGATAGACATCTTCACACAGAGTTTCTCAATTGAAAAATGTATGTATTTTGTTCTCCTTCAGTTCAGTATTTACACACTCGCGGAAAAGCCAGATGATGTCAAAGGAAGTGAAGCTCATGCCAAACGTGTTTTTGAACTCGCAAACAGATTTTTTAAGAAACTTGGGGGAGGAAACACCTTCAAGCCTAAAGTGTTAGTAAATATTACACACAAGCCTTCTAACAAGCATTCTGTTGGGTCTTCAATGGCAGTTAGTCATTTCTTAAGGCCCATCTGTTTGTATAACAGAATCACTCGTCTGAAACGACCACTTGCCAAAACAATTTTACATTTTAATTCTCTGAAACTAGTCAAAAATGAATGGGTTTTTGAAGCATTTCAACACGAAAAGGTAAACGACGGATATCGTTCCCCAAAAGATGCCTGTAAAAACTGTAAAATGATCTTCTTTGATGATCATTGGGGAGAGGGACATAATACATATCTTGGAGCATGTGCAGAGTATTGTGCTGTCAACGAGCTTCTTCCACCTGAGAAAACTTTAGAAGAGTACGCTGATGATAACGATCACCCGTTTCTGCAAAGAAACCTAAATCGATGTACCCTTCTTTTCGAAGGCTTTAAGGACATATCAAAAAAATGCATTAATGCATGTCGTTCAAAAGAAATAAACGAGGAATTGCTACAGAAAGTGTATTGGGAAGTTATATATAAATTGCACATTTTTGGTCTTAAACCAGAATGTAATCCTTGCTTTTAATTTTCTTCCACTAAACTCTGCGCAAGGGGTTGGCAGGTCTGGGCAGATCTGGCCTTGTCATTGTTTAACGCGGGATTCACTGTAATTGGCTAAAGCTGTAATGGTCTTCCCGCCTGAGATAATTAAGCGAAGCTAAATAAATAAATAAATGGACTGATCCTCACAGTCCGTACTTTACACTTTATAACTTAATCGTTTAGTTGAAATGGCTATGTATACATGACGTTTTGAAGTAACGTTTTGGCTATATGGACTTTGCGCTGCAAATCTGAGATATGTGTCACTTCAAACTTAGTCGTTATACTTAATTAGATTTAATTAAGAGTAATAAGTCTTGTATTCAGACGTGAATTCTAGGTAGCAGACATTATTTACAGTCTTACCTGGGAAAGCAATTTAGTTCCTGATAAAGAACAAGATGGAGACGATGAATGTTCTGAACTTCTTCCTGTGCTTCTCTGTTGAATTTTGTGTCCACCGGAAGGTTTAACGAGTTATCCTAAAATAGGTGTTAAACGTTACAGGAGGCATAACTGCACGATTAAAAGCATTGTCCCTTTAAGTCTATTGTTCATTGCGGTGTATCATTTCACTGGGCAAAAAACGGCTCCACCGTGGTAGGTGGATTTACAGCATTTGGGAATCGCGCTTTTAGGCGGGCACTTGAAAAGGAAATCACATCAATCTAGACACTTTCTAATAGGCTTTATAGTTACAAAAAGCAACAAAGTATTTGACATTTTCTTTAAAGTCGATGTAAACAGAAGAAGCCGTAATCACTGGTATGCTTTAAGATGGTTTACTTCCACGCTTCAATTATCGGAGCGATGCATGCAAGTAACTTCGGAAAGTCATCTCCCGTAATGCCCTCTAAAACGGTGACAGAGATTATCCACTTATGACTATTTTATTTTTCTTTCTTGTCCTTTTTTTGTTTGCCCTCTTTCAAGTATTCTGAAACCGCTTTTCGAGAAATGAATCCTGAAACATTCCTGTTGATTTCGCTTTCTGATTTATTTACAGTGTTAACGTCTGTCTCGTAAGTGTCCTCTACTAATTTTATTTGGGCTAGCATACTTTCAGCTGACCGGCAGATTTCATAAGTTTTTGTAAGTGTTAAACTTTACTCCCGTGGAGGCCTTTCTCTGGCCTTTGTGTCTCGGATTCCAAGGATCAATCGATCTCTCAGTATTTCATCGGGAATAATTTTGTCGAAAACACATCCCACCGCTGCCACCATGTAAGAGGAAGACAATACGATTTCGGGCTTCACGAGACGTTATTTAGTGAGGCTCTATTAGGGGTTATCGGGATACGGGATATTCGGGTAAAAAATTATGGGGATACGGGATATTTGGGCGGAAAGTTAAAAGGATACGGGATATTTTAAAAAAGATTCTTGGATATCGAAGATCGAAGTGTTCATTTTTTAAAATAATAATATAAGTTTATAAGTCAATATAGATAAAGCAAATAGTGAAAAAAAATACTTTCAAATGCGATTCTTTACATTTTGCCATAAAATATTGCCAAATTGACAATAGGTGCCAAATATTGGCTCTTTTCCGAGAACAATTATCCCCCTCCCCCACGGCTTTTTCCATTTCATGCTACTTTCGCGCGTTGCGACCTCACGCCTCTACTGTTGAAGACGACCTTATCGTATTTAAGGAAGAAGAATGCCACTTTTATATGGTTCAGTGCTAAGACTATGGAGATCCCCTGACTGCTGGGGAAATTGGGGAAGTACCTGCTCCAGTTTTTCCTGAAGAACGAAATTCGATCTCTCTTTTTCTTTTTTCAACCAAAGAAGGGTAGTCGTTATCTTTATTTTGAATACATTTAGCCCTTCTGAGATGGGCAATTCTAAAATTTGTGTGACTTCTGCAATTCCTTGAAAACAAAATGCCTGTGTGGCCGATGTAAAAATGGGAGGGGTAAGCGAGGATTCAGCCCAATGTCCCACAATTAGTTACAGGTACTTATTTAAGCTAGTCATTATACACGTGCAGTTAGTTGTTATCGACCAAACCTTGTTCGCGTGGCATTCGTGTACTTCCTTGTCACAGACTCATAGTTTCTCTGAGAGAACTTATTTTGCCCAAATGATTGACTCAAAGATAACAAATGCACAACATTACATGGTCAATATAAAGAGGGGATGGATCGACCTTGAAATTATATCAAGATGTTATCAATGTTAAACATGTTTTCACTAATTTATGTTTCAAAAACTTTCCCGAATAGTTTTTTTAAGTAATGTAACTGCCGTCGGATTAAGTATCATATTTCTGAACCTCGTGCTTTGTGGCAGTATTGCGTTGTTGTGTTGCAAATCCGAAACGTTTTCTAAAGTCGTCACTATTCTGCAAATTTCGCTGCGTTTAGTTTCAACTACTCTTTGGCGTACAGAGAGGCTTTGTATTCCTTAATTGGTTTCATTTAGTTTGAGTTGTACCTTGATTATTATTAGTTTTATCTTGTGTTCGTGTATTTTTTGTAATGCGACATTGTTCACAGCCTTATAAATCTCCCATCGCTTAAATTAGCCTTTTGTTTGTATTTTAGTTTGACGTTTTCGAACACTAGTGGAGTAAATCATATTGGATTATACGTCCGTTGATTAATGTGTTGATATCAGCTCAACTACCCTCCAACCTTTGCGACGCCTATAGTTTCTAACTTTTTTTCCACGAATGGGGAACAAGCGCTCTCGGAAAAATTGACAACGGCTCTAAAAGATTTTCATTGCTATTTACGAAGTTTTAAAAGCTTCCCAGTTTCTCCAGAAATACATAATTTAAATAATGAAGCCCCTCTCTGAGATTAGTATCTCTCCATGCTAAACTGATTCACAGTATGCGATGCACGTTTTATACAAATTACACCCCATTGATACATAATACATGCAGCAAATAAGTAGGTAAAAATCGAAGACCAGAGTGCATATGCAAACGTTTTACAGACAAGAAAATGGTCTTTTAATATCCAAATGTAATAATTAACAGGCTTTCGACAAATAAACAATCGTTTGTTTGTTTGTTTGTTTGTTTGTTTGTTTAATAAAGGGGTCAGATCTTTAGAGAAACTGTGGTGCTGTGTCGATGGAAGTATAACAGAGTAATTTAGTATTATCAACTGAGTTGATAACGTAAATTGACCACCGTAAAGAATGTAAAAGCTGACTTTTCGAGCGCTAGCCCTTCGTCAAAGCGATTGGAGGAATTATGGGTTGTGTGTGTGCTTATATACAAAAAATGGAGCTATGCTATTGGTGGATATATGATGACGAGAAAACAAGAATTAACTAGTTGAATGAAAAGCGCTCGTTGATACCGTGGGGATTAAGAGGGCCGATTTGAAAGATAAATTTTTGTTCTAGAGTTTTGCGGCTTTTCGAACCGCCTAGATGTAGGGAAAGGCCACAAACTGAGTCCGAAGGACGAAGGTCATGAACAACCAGACTCACTGGAAGTCAGTTCGTGAGAAACTTAGAAAATATACAGCAAAGTAGAGAGTTGTGGACTGAGTGGAAATAGATGTCGGCGAACGGCTGGACTCCATCAGATCCGAAGGAGACGGGTTGCTGTGGCAAGAGTAAATCGGACTCGTCGTGTGTTAGCGCGAGAGACTTAGACAACATACAGCAAAGTGGAGTAGTGAAAGGGGTGAAAATGTCGGCAAACGGACTCCGATGGAGACGGATTGCCGTGGCAAGAGGCCATCGAACTCGCCGCATGTCAGTTCGCGAGAGACTTAGAAAATAGCTAGGAGATATGTCATTTCTTTCTACGTCGCAAAGGCATTCTGGGAATCGATCACCTAGTCGCCTTCCTGGATTACCAATGTATAACTTTTTGCAATAAGTGCAAGTTATGCAGTAGATGACATTGGCGGAGGTGCGCGTGAAGTGATTAGTGATCTTAATGGATCTCATGGGTCCTGACATTTTCTCCATGTTGTGAATGAAATGACAAGTTTTCCATCTAAGCGAGCGCATTCGAAAGTTCCAGGTTGTTCTTTAGTTTGAAATAAACTTCTTACCAAAAAGTTGCCGATGTTTTCGTCGCATTTGAATGAAATTAGAGGAGGTTGCAAAAAGATAGTGCTAGTCTCTGAATCGTTTTGAAGTAATTTAAATTTTTTGAGAATGATAGATTTATCTGCGTGGTTGTGAGGGTTAAATTTGAGATCGAATGGAATGCGATCAGTATTTTCCCTTCTGAGCCGTTTGTAGTGCTGACTGTCGATCAATTTGTGGGGCGCGGTGGTGGCCTGCTTGAATGAACAGGATAGCCACGTTTATCCAAAAATTGGTACATTGCTTCTGAGAAACTGTGGAAAAGGTATGGAATTCTTAACGTGTGATGGATGCGAACTATGTGAACTACAACTATGTGAATCTGAAGGTTTGTCGTAAACACTAGTGCATAGACCGTTGCTTTCAATTGTAACTTTGATGTTTAGAAAAGCCAAGGAATAGTCTAAAATTTCCCAGGTATATTTCAGAGCTGGATGAAAGGAATCGACGGCGGTTATAGATTGAGTGAGCTCCTCTCTGGTAGAGGAGGTAGCGCCGATGCAGTCGTCAATGTGGCGACTGTAGAGTTCAGGCTTGAGGCCGTTGTATTGACTGAAAAATTGGTGTTCGACATAACCTACGTAAAGAGTTGACGTGGCTGGGTCCCGTGGCTACGCCATTAGTTTGTTTGTAGTGATTGCCTCTAAATGGAAAGCAATTGATTGTAAGTACTGGTTCGGTTTGACAGAGTAGTGTTTCAGAGCTAGGTTCCTTACCAGTGCGTTGATCGAAAAAATTTTTGAGGGCCTGGAGACCTTCGTTATTGAGAATGACTGTAAAAAGAGATGTCATATCCATAGTGAAAAGAAGTTTGTTTTCACCAAGGAAATTAAAGGCGCGAAAAATTTCAAGTGCGTGTTGGCTGTCCTTAATGTATGATGCCGAAGTTTTGACGATAGGTACCATAATTTTGTAATGTTTTTTAAGTGCTTGTTGGCTGTCCTTAGTGTATGATAGTAAAGTTTTGGTGCCATAATTTTGGTACGCACAATCCACAACTCCTCCAATCGCTCTGACGAAGGGCTAACGCTCGAAACGTCAGCTTTTAAACTCTTTATGGTGGCCAATTTACGCTATCAACTCAGTTGATAATACCTAATTACCCTGATAATCGTTAGTTTAACTTCGTTGCACGAGCGAATGCAATCCTCAGTCTTCTTCACTTGACTCTGAATCTTGAGGAAAGAAAGATATAAATATGCGTCACGAGCGTGGATGGAAACAAATTTTGGATACAAATTCTCAGTTTAAAAAATAGAATAAAGATTAAGTGTTTCTTTTTTATTTATTTATTTTTTTTTTATAATGATTTGTCGAGGCGTACCTTGATCTCGTAACATTTCTGGCTCTTCAGAAGTAATAGGTCAGATCAAGTCGCTATACAAACCAGTTTATAATCTCTTGGTCGGATGGCAAATAATTAATTTTGCTGACATGACATGGAGTGAGGAATTGAAGCTAACTTCGTGAGGCAGAGCATATCAAATTTAAGAAATAAATTTGAATTTTGTAGGCTAATTAAAAAGCAGTCCAATACAAACAGACAACAGATTTAAAAAACCAAAACAACCAAGTCAAAATGGCAGTTCATCTGCAGTTCACTGGAATCACAGAACCAAAAATCAAATTCTGCTGGAAAATTACGAAAATATAACCTCTCAAAGTATCCATCGGCAAAATTAGATGGCTCTTTCCTCCACAGCGACCGGCTGTCTTAGCAAATGAACACATGGTACAGAGGCAGTTTAACTTTCAACACCCACCTCAAGATCATACTTTTTATCGATTTTTCTCTCTTCTCTTGTCCCATAAATCTTCTTCAGTTGATCCTAGTATCATTGGAGTAAATTACGAGGGTTAATGCCGAGGGAGTGGATTTTAAAAAAGTTCCTACAACCATATACGTTAATTAACAATCATTCAACAACATTTACAAAGCCTCCATGGGGCGGCCGATTATTATAATTTGATTTTAGAGCTAACACAACAGAGAGAGCGATAATCAACGGTCATCAAAGCGTTTTATATCCAGTGTAAATTTTTGTTTGGTGAAATAAGCGCAGTTAACGATAACGCCGCCCTTGTATTCCCCCATTTATTTTGCTCGCGCGCGATTGGTCTATACGTATCAAGTCGCGCGTTGCAAAAATACTTGAAAGACGGACGTAATTTTGGTCAAAGACCAAAATTTTTCAAAGACTGCAAATTGCACTCGCCCTACAACTCGTGCAATTTTGTTGTCTGGAAATTTTTCTAGTGCTAATTAGCACCAAATTACACTCGAAATTATGATGTTACCTATGCAGCAGTGGAACTTCAATTTAACGAACCTCTCTATAACAAAGTCCTCAGTATAACGAACGATACTCTCTAGCCCGGTCAAAGTTACAATAAATTGAATGGGAAAGAACCTCGATATAACGAAATCCTCGTTATAACGAACACAATCAAGAAGCCTAAACGTATAATATACCTCGAAATAACGAACTAATGTCAACCGGTGACAAAAGACAAATGCGATCAGACCGACAAGAATCTTAATCCATCAATTCTTTAACAATAGCTAATTATTTTCTTTCATATCGAATGGATAATGTTTCAAATGCAACTAGTTGATGGAACTGGAGCCGGTCTTATTATTGCACATCTCTGCGAGGAAGACAATTTGGCGTCGCTTATCTGCATTAGAAAATCATAAGGCCCGTAAAATTTGTGACTGAGACTTGGTTTCAAAGAGCTGCAATCTAGCAATTCGGGAATCGCGAAGCAAACAACTTAGGACGGAAGAGCTTTCTTGCAGAAATATGAAAGAACAAACCTATTTTTCAAATGTTCTTGCGCTTTTTTTTTCTTACGCGCTCCCTAATTGACAGGTGTCAGATTGTGACAGATACTTGTAAAAATAATGTTCCAAAGTTTGTTTGGAAGCCTTTTAAATCACCTTTATCGTTACAGAAATGAAAATGTTTCGGTGAGGCATCTCTCTTTAATTTGCATCACCTCTATTTTAACTACCATTTACTCGCTCAAAAATTGTTCAGTTTATGGAAGATCTTGCCGTATTTACAGCCCTATATCATTCAGGTTCTTTCGGAAAGAATTTCGTCGAGTTTGAAAAAAGTAAATATGTTATTTATCGGCTGAGGGTCGGTCCGTAAAGTGAAAAACTGTGAGCGAGGTCTTGAAGATACTGCCCGAGGCCGTAGGCCATAGGCGGACCTCCCAGCCGGCAAATTATATATATATATATATATATATATATATATATATATATATATATATATATATATATATATATAATATAAGCACCTGTGAACAATAGAGAGAATCATATATATATATATATATGTATCAATAGCAGTGATCATTTGTAAAAGGTGACTGCAAAAAACATTTAGGAGCCACTGAAAATAAATTTCAGGTTATTTAGTACATTAAATCCTTTCTGGCTTGCCGGTGTGTCTAATGATGTCAGCGTCTGAGTGTGTCCAAAAAATGAATATTTGGCTGAGAATTAGTAACGCTTCCAAAGAAAATGTGAAATTCTAAGGACAATCTCTCAGCCAAGGACATTAACGGCCCACATGTTAGCAAGCCAGAAAGGGGTTGGTTCTTATTAAACACTCCCATAAATTTTCATCTTGCACAATCATAAACAATACTCCAACGGTTTCACTCAGTTCAATTACCATTATAAACCATCAAATAAGGTGTACATGTATATATTAGACCATGTGTAATATAATTATTCCTTTTCAATAATATAAGATAGGTTTCCATCACCCCATGCATGTTGGAAAGTAGTAATTAAAAATACAAAGTTCTGACTGCATAAAAGTGTCTTGTGCAATTAAAGGGGGGTAGGAGAGGAAAGAGTGAAAATGTGTTAACATCTTTCACCATCTTAGAAATATTTCCATCAGCATTGTGGGAGGCGGGTGAAAGGCAGCGTATTATACATTATTGCAATTCGCCTTAATCAATATTCTGCAATGGCATATTAGCACAATATCAAATACACAATACCAGTGAAGTAATAATTAGTATAAAAATAAAGAACACAACACCAAGCTGAGTGAAAATCTAGCTAAACTAAGATAAAGTATTATTAATTGAGGAAGTTTTGCAAAAAGTTGTGTTCAAATGCCCCACCCAATTTTTTTGTCAGCCACCCTGACTTTCTACATATTGACCAAGCTTTAAAACAAAGACCTTTCCTCCGAGCCATTTGCTTGCAAAACTGTTTAGTTTAGCTGGGTAGTAACATGATTGCGATTGCATTTTGGTGTCAATAAGCATGAGTAGATTTTTCAAAGACACCAAAATTCCCCATGCCTGTACAGCGAGTGCAATTTGTGGTCTTTGAAATAAATACAGGTGTTTATTTACACCAAATTGCATTTGTAATTATGTTACAGAGTAAATTTTTTCAAGACAACAAAATGGGTGAATGCAATTTGTAGTCTTTGAAAAATTTACAAGTGCCTATTCACACCAAATTTCGCTTGAAATCAAGTCATCATTTATATGACAAAGGATCACAGAAAGTCAAGACAGCACACATGTTAAAAATGTCAACCAAAAAATGTTTGACAGATGTGGTCCCTTATTGACAGACCCTGTTGAGGTCCATGGTAAGGATCCACATCTGCCAGCTCTTCTACCTCTTCATCCTCCATAGGCTCATGTCACTGCAAAGCAATGTTGTGCAACACTGCACAAGCACCCAAAATCATGTAAACCTTTTCAGGTGCCATTCTAATTTCTGCATGCAACACATGAAATCGCCCTTTCCATCGGCCGAACGTTTGCTCGATCACCACTCTCGTTTTTGTGTGAGCACTATTGTAGGCTTCTTGGGATGGAGTTCTTGTTGTTGCGAACGGTGTCATTAGGAATGGACGGCAGGCGTACCACTGTCCTCGAGAAGAACGCCATCATGGAGGGAGAGATGGTTACCGGTCGGAAGACGTGGCTATCGTGAGTACTTCCTGGCCAGCGGGCGACAACATTGGTAAACATGCCTTCAAATCATAATATTTTTGTTAAGGTTAAAGCTCGGTCCTCCTCAAATGTTTTGGTTCGTGTATGAATTTTATCTTAGATGTCTACATTTTTATTTTCTGTAGGAAGTTTTGCTATAGCGAAAAGTCTACTCACCTTCATGGTTGCAGACACCTTTTACATTGATTGAATGAACACCTTTTCTGTTGACAAAGTTGTTTTTCTTTCTGTTAAGGTGCTTGTAATCTCATGTGAGTTCTGTCCACACCTCCAACAACGCCAGGAAATCCTCCGCGAATACAAAATTCGTTTTTAATTTTTGCCCATTCGTCGTGTGACAAAGGCCACTTGATAAAGCGGGGTTATTTTGCCGCAAGAGTTCGAGACACATCGTTAATGGCAAAGGAAACGGCGGACTTATCCACACACCGAAAGTGTCGCCTATAACTTGAAGGAAACCTCCACTTGCATAGAGCCGGAGGGCAATTAAAACTTGGTGCAGCGGTGACAAGGCGTGATTTCGTCGAGTGTTGTGAGTTATATCACCGGCAACAAGATTTGTAATAAATAAAATGAACTCTCTTTTAGAGCGATAACGTGCACGCAGCTCTTTGTCTGTGTCTTTCCCTTCGCCGCCGGCGTAAATCACAAAACAACAAGTGCACCATTTTTATTCTTTATTTAACTGGAGGTTAGCTATTTAACCTTGCTTGCGCGGTGGGTTAAATTTAACCCACTATTTAACCTGAGGTTAGTGTTAACCTTCTCTAGAACAACGCGACTAAAATTTTACCCCAAGGTTAGACTGACTTAACCCTGGGTTAAGACTTCACCTTCTTTTGAACGACTGGGCTCTGGATTTTAAAAGTTTTCCTACAAAACATACCTTGAGTGAATGATATCTTAACTGCTTTGCGCTGTCTGCTATTCAAAACATTATTCTTCCAAGCTCTTGCTAACTTCATCTAAGTGAGTAAGTTTCTAAAGAAACTGTGCTGCTGCTTCGGTGGGGGAAATTTAAAGATAAATTGTTTTTTATCAACTGAGTTGATAATGTAAATTGGCCAGTATAAAGAGTATCTAAAGCTGACTTAGCCGGCGTGAGGCCTACTTCAGAGTGAATGACAAACTTTGTCGAAGAAAAACAAATAGGTTTTTTTTTCAATCGTTACAGAAGCACAGTGATCATGCCACAAAAGAAAAAAACATTGGCACTGCTGGAGATAAGGAATTTTTCTGGAATATGAGAAAAGCCAGTTAAGTTCGTAGCTTCATTTCTATACGCGTGGTTCGCGGGTGGTTCGGGAAAATCTTTATGGAAAGTTTCAGTAAACGTTTTCTCCATGGTCACATGTAGGATATGAGTTGGACATAATCAACTCCATGTCCAACAAGTGCGAAAGGAATAACATTTATTCTACAATATGTTTTCGATACAGTCTACGAGTCCTCAGCCTCTACGTTCGCTATGAATGATCAACTAAAAAAGTTCGAAGTAAAAACGAAGAAATGGTAAAGTTCTACTAATATAAAATTATATATATATATATATATAGATATATAATTTAATATTTGCAGAACTTGCGGTCAATGTAATCGTTAGGTTGGTAAATATTTTGTAATAACTTTTACCTTGGTGTAGCGTGGAAATTCCGGCAGTCAACTTGAAGGACGCTGTTTAATTTCGCAAGTCTTTTCAGTTCCTCCTTCCTCTTGATCTTTTTCGCTTGCGTTGCCTTTCTCTCTCTTCTGCATATTGGTGAAATTCGCATGAGAAGAATATATCCAATGGATTATGTTTCAAATGCAAATTATAACAAAGTTCGGATGTAACGCGCACTGTCATTGGTTGAAACAGCGTGCTCGATCAGAGTATAGAACATGGAGCAAGATCGCTAAAGCTGTCTTGCCAATTGTCAAATTGTACTGTATCCGACCTTTTCCCGGACTTCTCTCTAGCTTTCTTTATTTGTGTTCACTGAAAGTGAAATTTCGGAACAAGCGAGTCGGCAAACAGCAACAAAAGAACTAAACAAAGGTTTGTAAACATGTCAAGCGCCGAAATTGACGTTACTGCAGCCGGTCTTACTGATGCACATCTCTACGGAGAGGACAATTTGGCGTCTCAAGTAATTAAATATTTGCATCTGCAAGTATTTAAAAGCTAATGTCGGCATGCATCAGACAAACAGCGGCAAGTTACCCAAATTTTTTTTCCCTCCTACTTTTATATTTTGTAGCCCAATATGTTCTAATAATTGTGGTGTAGTTTTTTGTAAAAACATATTTTAGTTTTCGAGAAATAATTTTTTTCGTTCGATCGCTCAAATATACAAATTTTCACCGTGACTATTACCCGAGTTGTGACCTCATGTATCGAATGTACTGGACTTACGGTATTTCTGTGAACATAATCCTTTGTTTTATCATCTAAACTTAATCCCCTGTCGTTATTGAAGCTGCCAACGAAATATTTATTTTTTGGTGAATATTTTTGTCCGACATACTTTTCCTATGTCGAAAAGTAGCATCAAAACAAAGACAGTTTTAACAATGACCGATATGACACAATCTACTGAGCTTCAAGCTTTTAAAAGACCAAAGGATGGTTAGAAAGTTACTGTAAAAATTTCCTTGTGTATTTGCGTTGTTCTATCGTGAGACGAACTCAAAGTCCGGCAAAATTTACTTGATAGCGACTATGAAATGTACATGGTGCGCCTACTTGTCGCCACCGTTAACTGGCATAAATCGCTACAACTTGTAAAAAAATCTAACACAACACTCTTATCTTGTTTATTTATGATTTTATTAGATGTTTCGATGATCACGTTAATCATGCTCTACCACATTCTAGCCAGATTTGAGTTCCAGTTTATATATCTTCTCTAACGTATTATATCAGTTGCGTGACAAGCGTGACACAGAAATTCAAAGATGAATCAACCTCCGAAATACATAGAGATGGGTTTTTTTTCCTCTTTGCATGACATCTAGAAAACCCTTTCAGGAATTACTACATTCAGAAAACTAAAATGTCCAGATCCATCAATGATTCCTTTGCCGGCTGAAGTCAAAGTATGGTTACAGTGGTCAGTGGTCAATTTGATTGACAAGCTACATACTGTTTTAGCTAACTGATCTGTTTTATAAGCGTCTCATCTTACATGCTAACATGGAGATTTGCTATTTAGTTAAATCGTTCGCTGGTGGAACTTGTGGGTTTAGTTATCGAGAAGACCAAGTCGTTCCCTTGCGTGATTGTTAAAAAGACATTTCATGTCACTTGCGGAGTTGCAAGTTTTCAGATGCAGAAAATGAAGTTGATCTTGTTTTGTCGAGTGCCGGCATCTTCGAGACCCCAAAAGATAGCGATGATTTTACAAATTGCCTCATTCACAGATCAAATCTCGGTGTTGGGTGGAATCGTAGTTCCAATAGCAGACGTAGGGTGCCAAAAGAAGTGTGCGGTCACGGTAAAGGTAGGGTTAAGTCGATTCCAAAAGCTGATAGGGGAATTAGCAAGCGTGTATCACAGATAGCACTCAAGATGTCTGGAAAATCTGGCTTCGGTAAGTAGGCTACTTACCACCGTGAGCAAAATTACGCGTGACGTCAGAGTTAAGTCTCGATTGGGAATTGGTCAATAGGCTACCAAAAATTCAGACAGAGGCGGAGTTTTCTGAAGTAATGTCTGAACACTTTGTTGGCTTTCCGCCGTATGAGGGACGCGTAATTATGCACACGGTGGTAAAGGGCCCTTCCGCACTAGCGACTAGACGCTGACAAGACATGTTTCTCTTCGCCAAAATCACATCAGAATTTGTCCTTGCTAAATGTCAAGTGTGCTGCACGTATTAGCACCCCCAGGGGGACCCCTTTACATGACAGGGCGGGGGTGCGCGCCTGGAATTTCGAAAACGATCGCTATAAAATTATAAAAGGTGCTTAAGTCTTATCCGTGTGGGAGTGAAAATTTTGGAAAATTTTGAAAACTCAAGTGCAATTAATCCTTAATAGTACGAGGTCTCATGGGATTACTTGTTTATCAATAAAGGGCAAAATTTATACGAAGGAAAATCACGCGCGCAGTCTATTTTTATCTGGGAAGGCTGTTTAGCGCTACGGCAAATCATCAATCAAATTGAACTGACCAATCGATTCAATGAAATTTTATTCTCCAAAACTGTGTCGTGATACACCGCCAAAAGTCTAGAAAACAAAGCTCATTTCAACAGAGCGTTTCTGCCAACAGAAAAACAACAAAGTGCTTTTAACTGAACAAGGTAATCATGCCCTCTCTTGATTACTAAAAATGCCCTCGATTAAGAAAAAAATGCCCTCTCTCTCAACCAATCAGCGCTCAGTAATTTTGCCCTTTATTGATAAATGCCAGTTAACGGTGGCGACAAGTAGGCGCACCATGTACATTTTATAGTCGCTATCAAGTAAATTTTGCCGGACTTTGAGTTCGTCTCACGATAGAACAACGCAAATACACAAGGAAATTTTTACAGTAACTTTCTAACTATCCTTTGGTCTTTTAAAAGCTTGAAGCTCAGTAGATTGTGTCATATCGGTCATTGTTAAAACTGTCTTTGTTTTGATGCTACTTTTCGACATAGGAAAAGTATGTCGGACAAAAATATTCACCAAAAAATAAATATTTCGTTGGTAGCTTCAATAACGAAAGGGGATTAAGTTTAGATGATAAAACAAAGAATTATGTTCACAGAAATACCGTAGGTCCAGTACATTCGATACATGAGGTCACACAACTCGGGTAATATTCACGGTGAAAATTTGCATATTTGAGCGGTCGAACGAAAAAAGTCATTTCTCGAAAACTAAATTTTTCGCAAAAAACTACTCCACAATTATTAGAACATATTGGGCAACAAAGTATGAAAGTAGGAGAGAAAACAAATTTTGGGCGACTTGCCACAATATTTCAAATTTGTTCGATGGATGCTGACATCCTCTCTTAATACTTGCAGAACTTGTAGTACAATGTCGTTCAGAAGATATATATTTTGTCCTAACTTTTACCTTGGTATAACGTGGAAATTCCGGCAGTGAACATGAAGGATACTGTTTAATTTTGCAAGCCTTTTCAGTTCCTCCTTTCTCTCCTTTTTTTTAGTTTGTGTTGCAAATTGGTGAAATTCAAACGAGAAGAATATAATACATGGGAAACTTCCCCAAACGAGGGTTAAATGGCAATTGATCAACGAAAAAACTTACCGAACTAAGATTTTCCTCGTACGATCAGTGATACATCACTAAAAAGTTTGAATCATGATATAAAATAATTCTAGGTTTTGCATCCAAAGTATACATAAAAATAGAACATTTTTAAAGTTTTTACAAAAAGCATACATATTCTACTATGTACTATACTACACACACCTTAGTACTCTAAACTACTTTTAGAATACTCGATAGGTAACTAATTGACAGCTAAATGTTCTTTAACTCGAGTTTAATTAAACCGTACAGAAACCAAACTGACATACCTGTCCTTTGCGCGGATTGTAAGGATCACTGGCTATTCCAGATATGGTTGGCTTCTTATCAAAACTTTTATTCGAATACCATAGGTTACGTTTTTCGCTTCCTTTGACAGACATTTTTCGAAAAATTTGACAGGAAACAAGTTCAAAGATTTTCAGTTTGTCGCAAGGATAGGTAGTTTCATATTAGGTCAGTTTGATCATGACTGAAAAGGATATTTTTGCCTACACTCATCGAAACCATTATTTTTCATTTTCGGACATTTTTCGTAAAGTTTGACTCACAACAAGTTCAGAGATTTTAAATTTGTCGCAAGGATAGGTGATTTTATATTAGGTCAGATTGTTTCCTAGAAGTCTCTTGGTTTTTTATGGCCTTAAAAGAATGTTTGCCTACACTCATCAAAACCATATAATGTTTCATTTTCGGACATTTTTCGAAAAATTTTTTTAATGTGTACACAGCAGTTTTAATTTGCTGCGTCACACAACAGTTCAAAGTTTTCTAAAAAAAATGTCTAGCCGAAGACCATCTATAACAAGTATTCCAGCTCAGTGCGTGATAGATTTAGCTAAAGGAATCACGAGTTTAAATAACAGAATAGAGGATGATTTAAAACATAGAAATACATTTCTATCACAAGAGCCAATCATGACGAAGGTTTGTGTCATCGTGAGCCTATGAGGATTTTAAATAAAACAGTCAAACGACCAAAAGCGTAGGAAAACACAGGCACGGTTAGTTTAACGTCTGATTAGTTGAGAGGATGGCGCGAGTTTTCTGGAACAATCACAGATCGAAGTAAAGCAAAACTGAAGACAATCTAAGTGCTGCGAAGTAAAGTGCAATTAGTGTGCATCCCGAAATATTTTCTTCTCATCCGTTAGTAAATGTCATGGACATCTGACAATTTTATATGAGGCGAAGGTTTTCTCACTGTCAGGGAGCTATAGTGCAAATGTAGAAAACTTTTTCATTATATTGAGCAATATAACTACTCATGTAAGTCAGCCTAATTGGCTTTTCCTTTAAGTGAGAATTCCGAGGTCGGAAAGGCTAAAGAATATTAATGACGCCCGCCATTTACAAAAGCAGTGTATGAATTCGATTATTTTTCATTAGGTTAAAATACAAATTTTCAGGTGAACCAGTCGAAAGTTTTTTATCTTTTTTTCTGCCCAGCTAAACTAACTAATCAAATAAAAAAAGAGCCATCATTTCTTAAGGCTGCTTTTAAAGGATACTGTGTCTCATTCGAAGCCTTTATGACGTAGTTTGCGTTTGAACACAGATCTTGGGAGAGGCTGTCCCACACCCCAGCACTAGTAATTTTGTAGACAGTAACTTTGAATTCGAGTTAAAATAATTGGTGCGGGACTGTGGAGGAGTCAATTTGTTTTCGGAATTGTTTAGTCCGTCGAAAGTACGTAGGAAGTTGTTTCGAAATACAAATCGATATTCGGGAGCCATTCTGTGAGGCTTGTACATCCTAATGGATGTACCTATTAGCCTTTGACGATTGACTCTACGCCGACCTAGAACCCGTATAACAAAATTTTGTGGTTCCCGGCATTTAAAAAACAAGGAACTCAGTTACATACCGATAGCTTTAACGCTATAAGTATGTAATTGAGTAAGTATATCATTTGTTTCGAGGCAGAAGAGATACAATTTTTGTCCTTCAAGAGTTGCAAGCAGGAAAAAAGCTTGCAAACAGGTATCATCGCGTTACAGTGGAATATAGTGACAGTATAACGCACGGAATTACGAATGGCAAAAACTGGAATGTGGCTCGTGCAAGCGATAAAAGATTTGAACCACGGCGTCAAAATACCACAACTCCAGCATACCGATATTTTGTACTGTTTTTGTTAACAGTCTGTGGAAGGCGTTTATTATTGTGCGGTGGCGGATGACATTTGTCATTCTGGATCTCTCCTTGACTTTCCGGAAGCTTTCGGGGAATTTCAAATGCGACTGCGCACGTCTAGAGATCTATTAGGTCTTTCAATAGACTGTACCGCTCCAATTTTAACAAAATCGATTGAAGCTTTTAAAAAAAAATACCACTTTTCAAGAGAAAAAGATTTCGATCTGAGCTCGAGCATACCCGCGAAGGTCTTCTTTATCCTTAAATATCCAAGTCGAGGCAGATTGAAAGTGCGCATCCAGACATTTTAAATGGAAGCGCGATTTGCATAAAACGCAAATTACAAAAGCCTGATTTCTTCTGACCGTCTTGAGACACCGAGGACAGGATATTTTGGTGAATCCTGGACCTTCTTTTTACTATCATGGTGCAATGACAATAGTCTTCCAATGAACATTAAGACTTTACCACCTAAGGAACGTTTCCCGGCTATCTCCGCTTTTTATTCTTAGGCTATTTTCAGAACATTCCGAAATCGAACATTGTTACTTTTTATATCAGTTGGTCCTTATTGATATGTGTATATATATAATTTATTTTACTCTCTTTTATTTTATGCCATACAGGGCCCCCGTTGATACCAGTCTTGTGAATGAAGGGGTCACCCTGTTTAAATATCAACTATTATCATTATTATTATTATTATTATTATTATCAATAACTAACAATTGCACACCGAGGTAGAGGTGAATAGTAAACACTTAGGGCCGACTTTTTAACAAGAGGTCTAACCCGACTACAGTTTTGTGCAATCATTGGGCCTCAGGCTTACTCTGTAAGAGGGTTGGTTTATATTAAATAAATGTTCTTCCATTGCTATCTTTCGGCTCTCTTCACATTGTCACAAAAATGAATGTTAAGGTAAGAGGTTCAACTAAATAGAGGATTGTTTAGGACACGGTTTTGTTAAGCAACAGCTAAACTTTGTCAGGAAATAATCATACGTAATTAGAGCCGTTTAACCCTTAATCATCCAAACCGCGCTCTAAACAATCTTAAATCAAGCAGAAAATATCATCTAAATGTTAGGTCTTTTCCGAAACTGTCAAGAGGGCTTGTATTCAACGCTAAAAGAAAAATCTAATCGCATCAAAAACTTCACCTATCAGGAACTTTCGTAGTTCATGAATCGTCAAAACCGCAGCTCAAATTAGACCTCGTTGCAATTACCGACTGCGGCAATAATGTCTGCATTAGAGAATCTCAATGTTTCCCAAACATTGAGAGTCGAAGGGAAAAAATAACCAAATGTTTCCAGTGGAACCAGAATTAAGTGGTTTGTTTCACATCCAGATGAACATAGTAAACAAGCGAAAAAATGAGCGTTCATGGCAGCACAACTTTATTTCCTGCAAACACTGCACTCGAACTACAAATTTCCCTCTAGAAAGCTCCACCAAAAAGAAGCCCTTATCAAAGCCTTTGAGAATATAACTCCTCGGGAAGTTCTGTTGAATCTCACTGTAGCCAAATTTACGAACTTAACTTTAGAATTATAACATTTCTTATCATATCGAACTATTTGATTGATATCAATGACTCGTAGGCAGTTGGCCTGGTTCTCAGATAGTCCAAGTGACAGAAAGTGGCCTTAAACAGACTTGTACATAGACATCTTGACAAAGAGTTTCTTAATCAAAAAGTGTTTGTATTTTGTTCTCTTTCAGTTCAGTATTTACGCACTCGCGGAAAAGCCAGATGATGTCAAAGGAAGTGAAGCTCATGCCAAACGTGTTTTTGAACTTGCAAACGTCTGGTTAAAGAAACTTGACTTAAGAAACACCTTCAAGCCCAAAGTGTTAGCTAAGATTTCACACTCCGGCAATAACAAGCATTCTACTGGGTCTTCAATAGCAGTTAGTCATTACTTAAGGCCTATCTGTTTGTATAACAGAATCATCCGTCTGAAACGGACTCTTGCCAAAAAAATTTTACATTTTGTTCCTCTGAAACTAGAGAAAAAGGAATGGGTTTTTGAAGCATTTCAACACAAAAGGGGAGACGACGGATATCGTTCCAAAAAAGATGCCTGTAAAAACTGTAAAATGATCTTCTTTGGTGATCATTGGGGAGAGGGACATTCCACATTTATTGGAGCATGTGCAGAGTATTGCGCTGTCAACGAGCTTCGTCCACCTGAAGAAACTTCACAAGATTCCGTTGATGAAGAGGACTTTCCCCTTCTGAAAAGAAACTTATCTCGATGTTCACTTCTTTTCGAAAACTTTAAGGACATATCAGAAAAATGCAGCGATGCATACGATCCAGATGATTATGGCGAGGAATTGCTAAAGGAAGTGTATTGGAAAGTACTATATAAAGTAAACATTTTTGGTCTTAAACCAGAGTGTAATCCTTGCTTTTAATTTTCTTACCGTGTACTCTGGGTAAGGGGTTGGCAGGTGGTGGCAAGGTATTACACTAATCTTTTCTAGTGTTCAAAACATATTGAATGAGATCTGGTTGAAAAAATTACTGATGTGCTTTGTCTTAATGTCGAATAAACTATGACCACAAATCTTCAGATTACGCGAAAACTTCGGGTAGACTGATCCTCAGAATCCGTACTTTACACTTTATGACTAAGTTGTTTAGTTGAAATGGCTATATATACATCATTAATGTTTTGAAGCAGCGTTTTGAAGAAATAAATTTTGCTCTGCAGATCTGAGATATGTATCGATTCAAACTTAGTCGTTATACTTAATTAGATTTCATTAAGAGTAATAAGTCTTGTATGATGGATATTAAACAGCTTTGGAGCCTTTTACACGATAACTTCGCTTATGATTAGAAATTTTCAAGTTGCTTGGAAGTCGGATAGAGCAGTATGTTGACTATGATTTATTACGCTCACCCGAAAATTACTAATAAAGCTAAGCCAAAATTACGAGAACGTGAACTACTTTGTTAAACCCTAGTTACACTATCCAGTGATAAACCTTGACTTGTTTTCAGGTTACTACTCCAAAACAACGGGACTTTCAAGGTGTCAAATCTACTTTGCAACTCAGTATATCAGTATTTGTTCTGCATAGTAACTTCAAATGAACTATTCTGTTCTAAGCTGTATTGGAAAAAAGAGAAAGATGAGTTTTTGCATAATACTCGTTTCAGACAATGGCTGTTTGACATCATTTTCTATTATTTAAAAGCACCTGAAAAGTTCACCGTCTTTATTTGAAAATGAAAGTTTTTCTGTTCCATAGAGTAGCAAGTCAGTGCAAGTAGGATATAATTAAAAGGATAGCAAACCAGGAATTGTAAGTCCAGATAGAAATCCAAAGTACTGCCACTTAACTGTAGTGAAGCAGAGAAAGTAGTCAGTTATAATATATGAGTCAGAATAAGGCAAGTTTTCACTTTAAGGAGTATTTACAAATAAACCTCCCTTCAGAGCGCGAGTTACGAAGGCAAATCTAGTTAATTTATCTCAAAGTTTTTCCTCGAGATATTTACCAGTGTGGATAACGATGTAATAAGGCTTCTGTTTTAAGTGTCAACTTTTAGATTTATGTCATTGCCATGGCAACATCATCTCCAATGACAGGCAGATATATTCCAATTTTTGGCCTAGATACCTTAATATATTTACTTTCCCACGGTAAAATGTCTACCATAAATAGAAGGGAAGTATGGGAAACATAAGGACTTATAAACCTCATCCTCCTTTAATATTTGTAACATTGAAATGCCCTTTGAAATGAAGTCTTGAAAATGGGCAACCATTCGAAGCAATTTTCCCCCTGGGTTTCCAAATTTGAAAACCTACTGGCTTTCAGCGAGCAGAAATTTTACACGTCTTTTGCTATATCAGTGAATACAACTTTATAGAAACCAGCCAGTCTTCTGGCGGAATTTTTTGCAGTGCCCTTAGAGTTGATTGGGGCATTTTTCAGTTTTATTTATCGGATTTTCCTCAATTGTTTTCCTCGATGTGAATGAGCTCAATTTCTACTTTTGCAATTCAAAAATCTCATTCCTTTCGCTTCGTCATTAAAATAATTGAAGGTCGTTCATAGCTCACGCGAGTGTGTGTGTGTTCTTACTTTGGCGACATTCGGATCTTAATCCAATAATTAGCGAGAGCTATCATTCTAAATTTTTTCCATTTACCCAACGGAAACATATGAAGTGAAAACTGGAAATAGGAACAGAAATAGGAAACAGAGGTCAGAAAACAGATTTAAAGAAGGGTCTTTAGCTCCATTACCGTAATGGAGGCTCCGACGTTATACAACATAGAGACCGTAGTCTTCCCTAGGGTTGATTGGAATTCATGTGAGGTGGCATCCAACCACCCTTTCAGAGGTAATGGAGCCAAAAACAGGGATTGAAAATCCTGTGAACATTCTAAGAAACAAACTGGCTGCTGACACACAACGAGTGTGCCACCGTAATCGACAGCAAACAAAAAATAAATAAATAAAATACTGGCCTCTTTAAAATGACATAATTTCTCATTGATTGTCAGAGTTTTTTCGCTCGAAATGTTTATCCAAGTTCTCCATTAACAACTTCCATCCAGTTGTTTCCTGTAACTCTTCTATGCTGATTCCGTCATCTCCTTCACTGAAGTCTGATTCCTTCCGATAAAAGAAAGAATGCTAATGAACTTATTAATGAACTTATTAATTAGAGCATGCACAGTGTTTAAATAAATCTATTTTTCCTCACAGAAGCCTATAAACATCTATACAAAGCCGGAAGTCATAATATTTTAAAATCGCGTAAACTTTTTCAATAGCGCTCAAAAGACCTTAAAACTCTATGATGAATACCTTTACATTTACGATCGGACATAACATTTTTGTTTTACTTTACACGAGTGCATAAACAATTTTAATTTGAGATGCACAGCTGGAAACAAACAGAAATATTAAAGTTAATGAAGATCTGACGCGTGAACAGTTGAAGTCTTGGCCTTTCACATGCACAGCAATGGTACAAAAAATAACCTTGCGAAAATAGGTTTGATACAAGATTTCAAGATTACATTTGCAACTCAATCGAATTGGAAAATTCGATGATCTCTATATATTAAATCGCTAATAGTTAGCTGAATTTTGGCTAGAACTTTAACAAAAAATAAGCCAAAGTTGTATTAAATCTTACAAGAGAAAGGCGCAAATTACATTCTCCGAGACTATTTTGAAAGTAAAACTCTTGTATCAAACGTTTTAAAGACTTTTTCCTGAAACACACCTCATCATGATGGTCAACGGTAACAAATGCTTCATCTCGTTTCTTTCTTTTCCCATAATTTTCTGGCTGTTCACCCTCAGAATAGAATGAAAATTAAATACTAAACATGGCGAATCAGCTAAACAACTGTAATCAAAATAATCATGTAACAGCTGCTTTCAGAGGATCCTGTGCACTCCATTTTGCGTACTCTTATTCACTACATTACTCGATACTGAACAGCAAATATGAAGTGATCCAGCCTACCACTCTGGACAATCAATGGAAGACAGAAAAGTTCCAAGATTCCACTCGGGAGAAATTGATTATCGCTCGCAAACTCATCGACTCCATCAGGAGTTTGAGTCACAAAATATTCAAAGAGTCAAACATCCGATCTATACAGGAATTTTTTCTCAGTATCTAGAGGGATTATGAACAAAAAAAAATCTTCTGGAAGGAGTGGAGTGGCAAGATAATGTGAACAGGCTTCATTTCAAATTATCCCCACCAAAAGTGGAAAAAAAAACGATGAGGTGAGACAAAAGATAGAATGGGAATTGAAATTCATCTTAAGCTGAGGCTGCAGCTGGGTATCACGCACATTATCCAATTTAACGCTGTTTAAAGCCTCGCCCTTGTGCACATGCAACATGCATCAGTATTTTAATAGAAAAATATTATAAAAGATATTAATACATTTCATTATTTACTTATTATTATTATTCATTTATCTTTATTATTTATCATTTATTTATTTAATTATTTATCATTTTTTTATCATTCATTCATTTACTTATTTATTTAGAGATATTTAACACTGAGTTTATGATCTGAGCCTGAATTCAGACCTGAATTCGAGGTAACAAACATTGTCGACAGTCTTACCTGGGAAAGCAATTCATTTCCTGGTAAGGAAAAAGATGGGGACGATGAATGGTTTGAATTTAAGCTGCAACCAGCTTCTTCCTGCGCTTCTTCGTTACATTTCGTATCCACTGGAAGGTTTAAAGATTTATCCTGAAATAAGGGTTAAACGTTACGGTAGGCCTAACTGCACGATCAAAAGCTTTGTCGCTCTAAGTTCATTGCTCATTGCGGTGTATTGTTTCACTGGGCGAAAAGGTTGTGCGGCTGTACCGTGGTAGGTGGATTTAAACCTTCATGGAATCGTCCTTTTACGCGGGTACTTGAAAAAGGAAATCACATCAATCTAGACACTTTTTGATAAGCTTTATAGTAACACAAAACAAAAAAGTATTTGACATTTTCTTAAAAATTGGTGTGGCAGTAATATTATGTAAAAAGAAGAAGCCGTAATCACTGGTCTGCTTTAAGATGGTTCACTTCCATGCTTCAATTATCGGGGCGATACATGCACGCATCTTCGGAAAGTCATCTCACGCAATAGCCTTCAAAACGGTGACAAAGATTATCCAATTATGGTTGTTTTATTTTTCTTTCTTGTCTTCTTTTTGTTAGCCCTCTTTCAAGTATTCCAACACCGCTTTTCGGGGAGGAATCCTGGAACATTCATGTTGATTCCCAGCCAATTTCGTCGAAAGGCAGCCTTAAACAAACTTAAAACTTTCGCTTTTATTGTTTTTTTATGTTTTTGCATATTGAAGTATGAAGGGTTAAACGAAAATCTCACCCACAACTCGCGAGGGACTGAAGTTAATTCCCTCATGCACAAATGGACCAGGGTTCTGTTTAAATGGTGCAATCTATACCTCGTTACATAATGGGTAGGATGAGCAGTTGTCGACGAAATTAATTGATAAAAACATTGGCCTGTGTTGTACATAATAAAATAACTCACAATGACTATTAGTTTTGTCGTTGAACGATAAGGATATTCGCTCTCAAATCATATTAAGAGAGGATGTCAGCATCCATCGAACAAATTTGAAATATTGTGGCAAGTCGCCCAAAATTCGTTTTCTCCCCTACATTCATATTTTGTAGCCCAATATGTCCTAATAATTGTGGTGTAGATTTTTGGTGAAAATATATTTTAATTTTTTGGAGAAATGATTTTTTTCGTTCGACCGCTCAAATATGCAAATTTTCACCGTGAATATTACCCGAGTTGTGTGACCTCGTGTAACGAATTTACTTGACCTCCGATATTTCTGTCAACATGATCCTTTGTTTTATCATCTAAACTTGATCCCTTGTCATTATTGAAACTGGCAAAGAAATATTTATTTTTTGGTGAATATTTTTGTCCGACATACTTTTTCTATGTCGAAAAGTAGCATCAAAACAAAGACAGTTTTAACAATGACCGATATGACAGAATCTATTGAGCTTCTAGCTTTTAAAATACAAAAGGATGGTCATAAAGTTACTATAAAAATTTCCTTGTGTACTTGCGTCGTTCTATTGTGAGACGAACTCAAAGTCCGGCAAAATTTACTTGCTAGCGACTATGTAATATACATCTTGTGCCTATTTGTCGCCACCGTTTACTGGCATAAATCACTACAATTTGTAAAAAAATCTAGCATAATGCTCTTACCTCATTTATTTACGATTTTATGAGCTGTTTCGATGATCAAGTTATGCTCTACCACATTTTAGCCATATTTAATTCGCAATTTATAAAAGTTCTCCACATTATTAAATCAGTTGTATGACAAGCGTGACACATAAATTCAAAGATGAATCAACCTCCGAATTGCCAAGATATGGGTTTTTTTTCCCTCTTTGCATATCTTTAAAAACCTTCGAAGAATTACTGTATTCAGAAAACTAAAATGTCCAGATCCATCAATGATTCCGACCGGGATGAACTCGTTTTTGAACAAAACTCATTCCAATATTATGTAAAAGGCCCCTAAGAGTTTTTATTCCCAGAGCATCACGCTTTGCTCTCCCGCCAGAACACTATAAATTTCAATATGCGCTGCTACTGAAACAACGATTACCGTATTTCTTCACCTATAAGCCGAGCGATTTTTCAGTATTTGACACAAAAGTTTGGGAGATTTTTTTCACAGGAAACGGGCTTCGGCTTATAGCCGAGGGTTTGGAATTCAAAACCAAGTACAAATTTAGTGTCAATGCGAAATGACCGTAAATTCCGTGACTGCAATGCTCTTTACGTGACATGCTTTAAAATTGACATGACCACAACGTATTTCTGACCAGCAATCAGATTCTTTGCTTCCCACGCAATGAAAGACGATCTCACTCAACCCGGCAAAAACTCTTCTCATTTCACATTACAAGTGAAATATTTGGTCTCTCTGCCGTAATAACCACTCCATCGCTTACAATCAAAAACGTTAATTTCCTGCTCCGGAAGCATAATAAAAGTTAAAAAATTTTTCCAAACTCGGAGCTAAAAATTAAAACTTATGAAATATTTCGTCCGTATTTCGACCGGACTTCATCAGTCAATGATATGAATGTTAAAAAGATGAATTTTAAAAAAGGGTTTTTTTAACGCCTCTTGGGAGTTAGAATTGTGTCATAGATAGCTGCTAATTCGTAACCATTGTCTCTGTTTAACGCCGGTTTCGTAAGTTTAATTTGGATAGCTTCTTTTATCCTGCGTTTGAAGGTGTTAACTTCGGTTGATAGTACTTTTGTCTTATTTGGGTCCACCGAGTGGCCCTCTAGGCGACAATGCTCGTGAACAGCTGGTGAACTTCTTGATTGGTGTTCTTTCACTCTGATTTCCAGAGCGCGGGCCGTTTCGCCAACGTACTCCTTGTTACACTTCTCACAATGGATCTGGTACACCGTACCGCATTTCTTGAGATTGACAGTTGTGTCCTTGACACGTACCAATTGTGATCTTAAAGAATTGACGGGTTTATGAATAAGTGTAACATTGTGTGACTTGAACGCTCTTTGCAGGCGTTCCGAGATACCTTTGATGTATGGCGTTGATGCATAGATTTTCTTCTCGTTTTGAGGCTCTTCGGTATCTTCTTTTGTAGATTTTGGATGTGGTATTGCTAGCATCCATTCTGGATAGTTATTCATTTTTAGAGCTTGCTTGACATGCTGTGTTTCTCTAGTTCTGTCCTCGTTTTCCGTAACCAAGGTCTGAGCTCTCAACATCAGGGTGTTAACCACAGCTCTTTTGTGTTGTAGATGATGGTTTGACTGGAAGTTTAGGTACTGGTCCGTGTGCGTAGGTTTGCGGTACACTGAGATCTTGGTAGAACCATCTTGGTTAATACTCACACAGGTATCAAGGAAAGGAATCCTGCCTTCCTTTTCTTGTTCCGAAGTGAACTGGATGTGTTGGTCAATGGAGTTTAGATGTTCTGAGAAGGAATCGACGGCGTTTTCGTGAATCTTGGCCATCGTGTCATCAACATATCGATACCACATAGTTGGAGGGGGGGGCGGTGTCCAGAGCTCTGCTCTCGAACTGTTCCATGTAGAGATTGGCCACTACAGGGGAAATTGGAGACCCCATTGCGGCTCCTTTCTTTTGTTTATAGAATTCACCCTGGAACGTAAAGTATGTGCTCGAGAGGCACATCTCTAGTAGAACAGATAATTGGGCGATATCTAACGGGCATCTGTCCGGTAAGCTCTGGTCACTTCCCAGTTTGGCTCTGACAACTGGAATGGCTTCATTGATCGGAATGCTGGTAAACAGTGAGGAAACATCGTATGAAACGAGTTTCTGTCCAGGGGGTACTTCAAGTTCTGCAATCTTGTTGACAAAGTCTTCACTGTTAACGATGTGATGACTGTTGAGGCCAACAAGAGGTTTCATAATCTTAGCAAGGAACTTGGCAGTGTCGTACATCACGCTCGAAACTATTGGCCGTAGCGGTACGTCTTTCTTGTGAATCTTGGGTAGCCCGTAGAACTTTGGGACATTCTCTGCTGTGGGGTACAGTTGATTGTAAAGATAATTAGGGATTCTCTCTTCTTTGCGCCACTCCTTCAAGGTTTGAATGAGTTTGTTTTTGATGGCTCTGGTTGGGTCGGATGTTAATTTTTCATACGTATTGGTATCGTCTAGGAGAGCCTTCACCTTGTTGTGATAATCTTGTTTGTTTAGGATTACCGTAGTGCGCCCTTTGTCCGCTAGTAAGATTACAATTGAATCGTCTTTCGCCAGCGCCTTAATGGCTTCCCTTTCAGCTCTGCTGATGTTTGGTCTTGGGGGTTTGCTCTTGCTTACGATTTTAACTACTTCATTTCTCAGGCTCTCTGCTTGGCTTTTCTCTTTTAGTTGAATACAGGCCAGTTCTGCGTTCACTGTCGGAAAGAGGGCGGTCAGAGAGATTCATAACCCACTTTGTCCGATCAATGTTGGTATCTCCAATGTTTGTCGTCGGTGACCGAATTTCTGCTTTACTGATCAGTAGGCGGTCAAACTTTTGCCTCTGGCGGCTCTTTGCCATCTCAAAGTGCGACGAATGTGTTTTCTCGAAGAGAGTTAAGATTTGATTATTTATCTCTGTTGACACCTCGTCTAGTTCGGGACACTTGGGAGTGAAACGGCTCGTTTTTGCACGTCTTGCAGACATTTAAGAAATAATAGTCGCCTAGTCTCGTCTCCGGCGTCGCACCATGGACTCGCTAAGTCCATAATCTCAAGCGATTTCCAAGCAGTTTTCGACAGCTTCAGCCTCCGCGACAACTTTTATCCTGAAAGCCATAGTATACGAAGAGCAGCGTGCTTTTGGCATGATGAGAAAAATAACAGTGTCGAAAGAGATACTCGATTGAAACGTTAGTCAGGTTACAGTAACTGAGAATATTATTGTGTTTCTACAGTTGCGTAGTAGTACTTACATCTTCACTGATTCGCTTTTTTTTCTTTTGTAGAAAGTTACATATTGTAATATTGTCAATTCAACATAGATAAAAATCTTCATACAGGGTAAATATTCATTTGTGTTGGTATCAATCATTGAGTGACTAGCTTATGATATACATGGGGTAGGGAGAAACACAACGTAAAACCTGGGCTCCTGGCAAAAAGTAATACCCAAGCGTAATCTAATAACCGAATCAGCTTACTGGTCTTATAAAATCATAAATAAACAAGGTAAGAATGTTAGTTTTTTTGCAAATTGTAGTGATTTATGCCAATAAACGGTGGCGACAAGTAGGCACACCATGTACATTTCATAGTCGCTAGCAAGTAAATTTTGCCGGACTTTGAGTTCGTCTCACGATAGAACAACACAAATACACAAGGAAATTTTTAACAGTAACTTTATAACCATCCTTTTGTCTTTTAAAAGCTAGAAGTTCAGTAGATTCTGTCATATCGGTCATTGTTAAAACTGTCTTTGTTTTGATGCTACTTTTCGACATAGAAAATGTCGGACAAAAATATTCACCAAAAAATAAATATTTCTTTGCAGTTTCAGTTATGACATAGGATTAAGTTAAGATGATAAAACAAAGGATTATTTTGACAGAAATATCGGAGGTCAAGTAAATTCGTTACATGAGGTCACACAGCTCGGGTAATATTCACGATGAAAATTTGCATATTTGAGCAGTCGAACGAAAAAAATCATTTCTCGAAATTTAAAATTTATTTTCACCAAAAACTACACCACAATTATTAGGACATATTGGGCTACAAAATATGAAAGTAGGGGAGGAAACGAATTTTGGGGACTTGCCGCTGTTTGTCTGATATATGTTGACATTAGCTCTTAATTTGTCATATCAATTTGGATTGGTGCTTCGCCCTCATCAACTATCAAGAGATAGAAATCTCAGGCTCGTTATTCAACTGTTAAGTTTGCAAGGATCTTTTGAGTGAATTATCGATAAGGAACTTGTATCTACACCCTGTGATTGGTTGACGATGTTCGAAAATAGTCTTAGCTTGTTCGTCTCCATGATCATGGTGGACAAGGCTCTAACTCCATTCGTTTTTATAAGATGTCCATCTCAATCTTCTTAGTTTAAAAAGCGACGAAAAGAAATTTCCATTATCCTACAAAATCCGCCAGTCATGATACCTTATAAAATAATAATTTGTCACAGCATGATCACAGAGCGAACAAACCCTTATCTCTTCCAGACTGCGAACAAATATTTTCCCGTTATCAACCCAAAATTACATGATGACAACGGGAAAAACACTTCTACTCCTGTTACGCTTTGTGATCGTTACAAGGTCGATCGAACTATTTATTTATACATTCACATCAATGAATTGGCTTTACATCTATCTCTACATCATTTTACTAGTTATCCGGATCCATTTTGAATGAACACAGAGTAAAGAAACTCACTGATATAAAGCCAGCTTTTACCTGGTTACTGAATGCAGAGGACTTAAACCTTTTCCTCGACTTGTATGGTGCGTTTTCCTGAACACCCTCTTTAGTCAGTGTAAGTTCCCTCCGGGAAGAAGAGAGATAGTCGAACTTGTAAGTAGACGTCATATTTTGTCATTGAAAGGTGTTCTTCGTTTTCATCTAGAGAGTAACTCGGAATTCCTCTATTATTGCTGTACTTCGACCTGTGATAGGTCAAGAAACCTGTCCCCTTTTCTCAACTTATTAGTTTCACACAAACATCAATTTCAAAGTTTTCCTGTTTTTATCTTCAGTTCTCAATAGCTCCCAATGATATTTTTTTCTCCTTCTGATTGCGTGGCTTTAATTTCTGAAACTCAATGGAAATTTTATATGCTTTGACTGGGCAACTATCCTTGAATGACAAAAAGAAATTTATTTAAGTTCGCCGGCTGTGTGTAAATAATTAATGTACAAGTGGGATGCAAAGTAATGAGTTTCAACGGGAAGCGATTGAAATAACAGTTTTCCTCTAGTTTAGCATGACGCATATTTGGCATTTGTTTCTTTACTATTGTTTTACGAGATTTTGGAATGAAGAAATTTAGTATTTAAAACGTAGTTCAAATATTTTGGAAGACCGCATGAGTTGTTAAACAATGAAAAATACTGTACTCCTCGCGATGTTATTACGTATGTGTATTGTTGTGAAGTTTGCAAAACAAATAACAGAAAGCTTTTCCTGTTCCTTCAAATTGTTTATATTTTGGAAGACCGCATGAGTTGTTGAACAATGAAAAATACTGTACTCCTCGCGATGCTATCACGTACATGTATTGTTGTGAAGTTTGCAAAACAAATGACAGAAAGCTTTTTCTGTTCCTTCAAATTGTTTATATATTTTTTACATAGTTACATCAGAAAAGGTTCTGAATAAAGTTAGCTGTCGATTCCCATGTCTCATACGAAGGCATTCCGGTAAAATCAGAATCGCTTTCGTTAAAACTGCGATTGCGATACCTAACGATACACAACCATCAAATCCACAGTACTGATACAGTTAAGGTACGGTTAATGACTTTTTTCTTCATTCAGTCGTTATGTCTGGGCGGTCGCCGGAGGAAAAGTATATTCAGGCAATTTCAAAAAGAACTAAAAAATTAAAGAAGGGAATGTGCAGATACGTGTCTAAAGTATGCGAAGTTCTAGAGTTACTGCAAGAGAAATGCAAAGAAAGAGAAAGTGGTTCGTTGTCGGACGCTTTGAAAAATTCGTTGACAGAGCATTTTAGAGACATTTTTCAGAGCTTAAAACTTCACTTGTTGTTTCATGGTGCGTCGGACGCTGATTTGAAGAGGATGGGCGTTTGGGAATTAGTCTCTTTGTCAGCCGATGAAATGGAAGCAAAACCAGACGAAAAAAGTGTCATTGACCCAGGAAGTAAAATCTTGGAAATCGTAAGTTGGCATTTCTGTATGTTTTCCAACATATATACTGAGCAAGTATATCTCAGGGAAGAGGCCCTTTTACCTTCATAGTTGGACCGAACGCCACCTTATTTAAACACAGCATCACCGCGCGAAAAGTTTTACGAAGCATCGTCATCAAAAAATGTTTCGTACGGATGCAAGATATATTTAGAGCGATAGGGCTGACGCCATCGCTCTGACGAAGGGCTAACACTCGAAACGTCAGCCTTTCAACTCTTTACGGTGGCCAATTTCAGTTTTCAAATCAGTTGATAACACTAAATTACCCTGTTATACTCTTCCACCGACGCAGCACCACATTTTCTTTAGAAACTTACCTCCTTTATTCCTCTGTCTTCAAATGTCTGCTTTTGATGATATTGGCAACTTTAGAGTCGAGAAAAACGGATCTAACCGAGTTCTTTCCGCCGTTCCATGAACCAGCAGTCAAAGCATTCATTCAGCATTCCAAAGGAACCGCGTCCTGATAATGAGATTGGCTTTAATTTTATAGCGAAAAGGTTACACCAAGGAACTTATCTACGCTGAATAAATTAGTGAATTTTGTTTTGGTTTTCTTTGTTTAACAAATAGAGAAGCCTTGACTGTGCTCTGTTCTGTTATAAAGCACGCAGGAAGTGGCTAGAGCACGAAAGAAGTGTAGGGAGAAACACGAGACGCAGTCGAGTGTTTCTTCCCACTTCTTAAGTGCTCTAGCCGCTTCCTAAGTGCTTTATAACAGAACAGAGCACAGTCAAGGCTTCTCTATTTGTTTTATAGTAACGAATCCGTTAAATTACCCAAGCATTACATTCAATTTTCAAAACAAACTTTATTTCCAAAGCGAACAACAATGTCGTCAGCATGCTCTATACTCTCATAAAGCACGCTACAATAAGCCAATCAGAATACTTGTTAGAATGGTTCAAATAATCTGATTGGCTGTACAAGACTAAAGCTGTCAAAAGTGTCAAACCATCAAAGTTCAAAAACCAACAAAGTTCACATTCTACGATAGTTTACAAACAGTTCGGCAAGTCGAATTTAACACTTTTGCCTGAAGTTTTTAAGTCTCTAATACAGAATCTCGAAGTGAAATGTTCTGTGAAATTCAGCCGAATTATGGCTCATAAAAACACGCGAGTTTTTTCCACATGACAAGGTAGAAAACAAGCTGTTCAAGGCGAGTGTTTTTTGAATGAAAGACAGCCGAATTCACCGGAACATGAAGATCGCTCGTGATGACAGCGCCGCAAAACTCGGCTGCAGTGACTGATGTGAATTGCCACTCAACGTATCGGAAAGGATATCAGAGCAAGCTCTTATTTTTTCACTCGAAGGGCGGCCGATGTAGTTTCTGAGGCTTGCTTTACTATGATGACCGGAGATCGCCATGATGAGCGAGCCGCGATGAACTTCAGCATGATCATATTCGCTCAGACACCGTCATGATTAGTATGAATTTCAATAATTATGCCAGTTTGGATATATTTTTCATCATTTCTGTTTTGTTCTGTTTTGTTTTTGAACACTGAACTTTATATACTATACGAGTGTTAGCCGTGTTTGATTTTTATTACCGTACGTAAGCTTGCAATCTAACTGGCCATGAAAATCTTTAAAACTCGGAATGTTTATTTCGTTTTTCCTTTGAGGATTTTCGTATCTGCTCACGTTTTAATAACGTAAATTACGGCGCCTGGTATGTTTACAAACCTTTGTTTGATTCTTCTGTTGCTACTTGCCGGCTCGCTTCAGTTCCGAAATTTCACTTTCAATTATGGGGAAAAAGCTAAAAAGAAGTCCCGGAAAAGGTCGAACATAGTACGATTGGCAGATGGCGTGACAGCTTTAGCTCAGTTCTATGCTCTATACTCTCATAGAGCACGCTCTTTCAACCAATGACAGCGCGCGTTATATCCGAACTTTATTATAATTCAATATATTCAAGACATCAAGCTCCTGTGTTTTGAGCTTCCGTTGCCAGATATTCTGTTTAGAAGGTTAAAGTTGAGTAAATGAACTACTGAGAGGTTCTAGTGAGCGACGTTTCGAGTTGTCGAAAATCAACGCTACACTTTTTAACAGCCATGACCGAGGCTTTTAAGTAAAGGCAACATTTTGGGATGTTAAGTACAAAGTATAGAGCAGTCACGGTTAACGTTACCTTATTCAGAATCACTAAGTTTTAAAAGCTCTCGCAGTGGTAAGGAAATTTTTCAATAAATATAGCTCTTACCTTTTCTTAGCCGGTTGAGATCCCCAAAATTATTACACGCAGTTTAATTTTAGCTTAAGCTGATTTGTGTTTATCTTTTAGGTAAGCGACATAACTCAGAGAGGGGATGTCCCAAAAGGCAGTTCAGAGCATGTCCAAAAAGTAATGGAAGAAGCAACAGATCTTTTCCGCTCTATCCCTCAATTATTTAGACCGAAGGTTTTAGCAGTAGTTTCACATAATGGTGAGAGCTTCGTTGGCGCGTCGATTTCAGTAAGTAATTTCTTACGCCCTCTCTATTTGCACAAAAGAATTGCTGATTTCAAAAATCCAAGTCTCAGAAAAGCAATCATATCTTACCAGCCATTAGAAACAGCAGATACGCAGGGCTGGAGATCGGAAGCAACAAAGATCAGTGATATCCCCACAGCTCGTGACATCCCCACAGCCCGTGACACCTGCAAACCTGCATGTGTAAATTGCCGACGCACTTTCAGAAACTTAAAAGGCTTCGTACCAGAGAATGAGCAAGGAGACGATAAGAATACAACAATCCTCGGCGCATGTGCAGAGTACTGTCCTGTTGACAAACTTCTTCACGACGAAACAAATGATGGCTCAGAAATAGGTTATTGTCTTCAGAAGAATTTGGAGCAATGTTTAGAACTCTTTATGAAATTTGATGCAATCAGTGAACAGTGCCAAGAAGCTGATAGTTCTAAAGATATCCAAAATATTAAACAGGTGTACGAACAAGTATATCCTATACTTGACATTTTTGGCCGATCACCAGAATTCAATGACAAGTTCTAGGAATTGGCTCTAATACTGATGATCAGTTGATACGCCACCTATACAGTGAATATGTTCATAAAAAGCAATTGCTATCTCTAAAAAGGCACAGGAGAATACAAACAGTAGACTAGGCTTTAGTTTTCGATGGTTCTAGGAAAATTTGTAATTGGCTGTGGAAGGTATACTCGCTCTGCATGACTTTGCGAATTCTTTAAACGTCATACCTGAAACTTAATCTGTCGCCCCTTCACTTAAGACATATTCCAGGCTAGTAAAGGGTGGAGATGGACTGAAAAATATTTTAAAACGTTTCAATTTTTGTCAGCCAGTGGAATTTCCAAATCGATATCACTTGATTCACGCACCATTCTTAGAAAGACGTTTCACTGCCTTTAAATGGACTTTCAGGAAATATGGTAAATTTGCCTTTTTAAAAATAGAATCGAACAAGGCCAGGAATAAAATTAATCAAGGCTAGCATCGAAAACCTACAGGGCCGGTTATTTACTCAAGATCCAACCCATACCACGGTTTTGCGCGATCAGTGAGCCCCAGGCTCTCTCTATAAGAGAGTTGCTTTAGTTAAATAATCGTCCTTCCACTGTTAGCTTTCAGCCCTTCTGACACTGTTTGCAAAAATAAATGTTCAGATAAAAGGTTCAGCTAAATTTAGGATTTTTTAGGACATGACTCTGTCACTTTAGCCAATATCTAAAATATAGGACGTTACAGCTGGTTGAGAATAGTAAGAAAACCCCATAAAACTATACATCAAAATATCATTGTCATTCAAATCATATGTTAATCTGAAGTAATACATCTCTTATTCTTCAAAATAAAAGCTGTCTTAAAACTCCCTTCAAATAATCCATTCTGAAGTATTCCGTCCTTGGTAAAAGAGTAAGAAAACTGAAAGTATGTAATATCAATAAACTAACCCAGCTACATGTATCCTTTTGAAGTTTATGAACAAACAAACCTGTGGAAGGTCAACATTTGCACGTATTTTTCGCACTTTTATTTTGAGCTTAGTATGTGGTTTGTGACCGCTTACAGCTTTGGACATGACTCTGTACACTCCTTATGCACTTGATGTGGGTATCGCAGTTAAACCAATCTCTACGACAATAGCAATGTTTCAAAACCTTCACCCCTATCTCTGGCTGAAAAGCTTCCTAAGAAAGCCTGGACAGATGAGTAATTCTTGTCATCAGGAGGAGCGGTAAAGCAATTGGGGGCAGACCCCCAATCAAAAAAACTTGTCTTAAACACCGTTTGACCGGGGAAGGAAAAACACCACACCCTCTTGCACGTCTGTGGGACGACCTTAATCAAAAGAGCCTCTTTCAATTAATGCGTATGTGAAGCTGTGCATAAATGGGCAATAACAGAAAAAATTTTCTGGAAAATCATGTTCGTACCATTGTTAAGCCATTTAAGTTGTTTACTGCCTTTCCCCCGTCCTTAGCAGAATGGATAAATGAAAAACAGGCATCTTTTTCAACACCATAATCCAAAAATTTCAGCTTGTTTCCATTTAGTTTTAAATGGTTTTGCTTGCAGTTAGTTATACATCAATTCGCTTTTGGTTAATGCACTATAGCATTTTGGCGGCTAGCTTTTCTTTCTAATTACGTACATATGAGACCCGGTCTCACCTTAGTAAACAAATCTTGGGAGTATTCCTTCTCGTAGTCACAAACCAGTCCCCCGGCATCCTTTAACTCTCTTATCAACAGTAGATCATCCACAACTCTTCCTACTTTCCCTTTCCTCCGTAAGCTTAAATAACCAACGATGGTCAAATGTTGGCAAACAGCCAAAAAGGTGAAATAATGTTGGTACAGCAGGGAAATTTAGACTGTCTCACCTGGATATGTTAAACAACCGTAAACGCACACCGAAACTCGTCATACCACGTTACAAGCCGTGCTCAACACCCATTTCAAATCCATTACTGCTTAAGCGTTCCTTTGATTTCTTTAACTAAGGTGGTATCTAACGAGACCTATAACTTCACTTTTCCTAGAAATTCACAAAGAACTGTAGCCGATACACCATTGTAATTTACTTTTTCCCATTGAATTTCGTTCTTCGCTTTCACATCTTCTTTCATGTGACCTAAAGAAATCTTTTCCCTCACTTTTCTGAATTTTGCCTGCCCACTCCTGCATAGTAGTAATTGCCTGACCAAATAATTACGAAGTGCACCATACGATTCAGGTCATTAGCCTCTTTCCATCCATTAAATAATTCAGTGAAATGCGACTGACACAACGAAGACCTGTAAAGTGGAAAAACTTCGTCTTTTGACTCATGAAAGTTGATAATAATTCCGCATCATCGTAGCAGAACACGCATAGAATAATCAACGCTCACAAGAATGTTTCACTCGTTATTCCCACAATGCTTTCTTCCTTCAAGATCGTGTTTCTGGTAAAATTCCATAACAGTTTTGCAGAATTTTCGACTTCGTGATGCACATGTTAGGTCCTGCTGGCGACAAACTTAAGTTTATGGCCCGATGGGAAGAAGAGTTTTATTTCTGGTATGCCTGTCGGTTTTCACTACTGATCGCGTTCATCCTATATGCTATTTGATTATCACCTCATCATATATGTTGGGAAATGTGTTGCTAGGTATTTACGTTCAGTGGGAAACTGGTCAGCTTTACTTCTCATAACTAGGAATTTGGTTCCGGTAAGTTTAACGAAATATTTAGTCATTTTCAAAACAAGAACTTCACAATCATGGAGAACGCTTGTGCATGTGTAATGTACAAAGGAATGTGATACAATTATGCGAAAACGGTCCTTTAATGAGAGTGTGTTTTCTGGTATTTTTTTTCTTTTTCTTTCCTTTCTGGTATTTTTTTTTCTTTTTCTTTCCTTTTTTTTAATTACCGACATTTTTACATAGCTAATGCCTAAAAAAAAAAAAAAAAATTAATTACCATCATTTAAACAGTTCCTTCCTAAAACATTCATAAAAATACTTAAATATTTCTTACAGCATTCACAAAAATACTAAAATATTTCTTACAGCATTCATAAAAATACTTTTGACATAGGCAACGAATGCCTTTAAATATCTAACTCTCGTCCTGTATTCTACAAGCTTCGCTGCAACAAATAAATAGTTCAAAGAAGGGCGCCCAGTGTCTTTCGGCAATAAATTACTCTTTAGTCGAGTTAGCCTTTACGTGTGCATCCAAAGCTTCAACAAATAACCTATATCCATCCGTTTGCTTCAATTCATCCACACTGATCCCTTCTCCTTCATCACTGGAGTCTGAATCCTGACAAACATAACGCAATTTATTATAGAAAAATATAATTCAAAGCAGCAATGTTGGATCAATGGCATTTCTCGCGACTGAGAACGAAAATCGACTCCCGGAAGCTTTACCATAGGCCGATTTTCGCCGTGTACCTGAAGGATTTCTATCGGTAAGGAACAATTCAATAACTGAAAATTTTGTATATTGAAAATTATGCCCATTGTCTTTTTAGTGATTCAACGCATGTTTTCATTTTGAGTGCGCTAACGCACTTTACGATTTTTATTGGGGGATTGTCGATCCTTTTATTTCCATTTATTAATAAATTCGACTTTTCTTGTCAGTAAAGGGCTATTGTGCTTATATGGTAAACAAAATAATACATGGTTACTTGTAGATATGAAATTTTTCTTCTTGTGTTCAACTCGACATCTCACTCGTGAGCTATGGAGTTAAACACTCGAAGAGAATTTCCATATCTAGGCGCGCCCATGTATTATTCTCTATATATCCTTCTCCTGCTTCAGTTCCTTCAAACCGGAGCCTTCTTTTTCATCACTGAAGTCTGAATACTGACGAACACGATATAACATCTTGGGAGTATCTACAGTGCTTAGCTAAAGAGAGCACTTTTTTCCTGGGAAATTCCATTCATACACTCTGGAAGCTCAACGTGCTCAGACTCTTCCCGAGCCAAGGTGGCAGCCGGAAGCTGCTCTCCCCGCTTAATCTAGTACGTCATCGCATAAAGTTTCCGCTCTGTTACCCTAAATCCAGATAATGCATAGCTTAATGTCATGCCTAATTTTAGTATCTATGACGTTTTTGTAATGCGGCGAATTTCTCTTGGAATCCTTAGGAAACCTCGTTGAAACTGTTTTAAACTTTTTAAAACAAGTCCCTTGTGGCATTTTATAAAAGCAAAGTAGTTTAAAAATGATTTGTTTTCTACGGAAGCATTTAATAAGAAGCTAAACGAAAGTCTTCATAACAGACCAGACAAGTCATCACAAGGATTCCTTTCTTTGGAACGATTTCCTCCGATATCGAAACAGTACAGTCATCGGTAAGCTCCTTGAGTTCTGAATTCGAATTTTCAGGATACTAGTGTGAGCTGAGTAATGCGGACATTCTAGGCATAATTTACATGTATATGCAGCACAGCTGGGAATAACTAACGGTTCCCTGCAACAGGTACTTTAAAAAAATTCGTAGACCATGACTTGAGAAGTGAAAAAAAAAGTCATCAAGCTTTAGTTCTGATGGACATTTCAGAAACTGTTCGAGTATCTTGATAAATATTTCACAATGTTATTTGACATTCGACCTCTTTGGATAGTTTAGCTTGGTTTTATGGTCGCTAAATCACTCCATCAAATGGTTGGATCTTTTCAGTTGTCGCCAATTAAGAGAGCATGTGGAAACGTCCAACCTGATGCTAGTGGACTAAAAATTTACTACATGTATATGTTCACCAATGTTTGAAAACCGTTTCATGACATCTCAGTTTACAAACACTCAACCTGCGGAATTCACTCAATACACCAAATTTCAGCACTTCACCCGTTGTGTTCATCAAAAGTTTTGCTGTGCATTCACGAGTATGTTAGCAGTAAAACGAGGAAAAATCGACTGAATCGATCATGAAACATTTCCCACTCGGTATTAATTAATTAAGCGGTATCGCCTCCTTTACTTCGGCATAACTATAACATTGACTTCGATCGATCAACCATGACCATAAATCATGAAATACAAGAGCAATTCATTTTTTTTTTATTGATGTACTTTCAGCAAAGTTTGTTTGGAAAATGCTCGGTTGTCTCCCAATTCTCTGAATAGGTAATTCTATACGCTACTTGTTACCGACAAACTTGGGCTTACGTTTTCCTAGTATTTAAGAATTTACCAGATTGTTTTTTTTGGAAGCTTAGATTTCGAGGGAAGAAAAAACGGAAATCCCATGTTCCACTCTACATTCTATTCAAACATTCATCATTGACCACTTGGGAACGACATAATGTTTTTTATCACGTATATGTAATGCACTTTCCCGCAAGCTTTTCAACACTAACACTAAGAATATAAACTTCGTACAATACTACGATCCAGTTTACTTCTTCTTACCTCTGCTAGATCTTCTTCTTGCATAGAACACAAATCTTCATTTGTTGATGGCTGAGGTGACGAATGAACTATAAGATAGTTAAAAAGTAACCACAAAGCAGTTAAATATTGTAAAAATTGTGAATTGAATAGAACAAAATTTACTTGACATGTTAGAATTTAGTAATTTAGTATAGAATGTAAAACATAATAATTTGGTTCATTTACTATTTTTTCTTAATCAGCAAAGCAAAGGTGAAGGGATAAAATTGTTTCTTTTTTTTTCTTAATTTGGTCACCAGGCTGGAAAAAAAGAAAGGAACCTACCATTCAATCGATAGAAAACAGTTATCATCTAACATTCCTTTTTTATGTTCAGGCGTCTGACTGTGTGCCAGAGAAAAGATTGAAAATGCAAAGGGTAAAACATAGATTGGGTGATAATTAGTAAAACCTCACAATAATTCTAAAAAGATAAAGCCTTAGAGTTAATTGTAATAGCAGTTATAGTACCTAGTTTTCATAGTAGATATTGGAATTTGTTTTTATCTTAGTCAATTGTTTGAACCTTTGTGGGCTTTTTCAATGTACAAGTAAGTTGTTTACTAAAAGTAAGTAAAGTTTACTTGAGTAAAATTTCCATTAAAAGCATCACTAAACATCATGAGAGTCTTCTATACCTTGGTGATGATTTCCATTCAAACATGAGTGCTCCTCTCTTCCTTGACATTCTCCTTCGGTAGGAGTACCAGTAGTAAGAGGAGACTGAACATCCCTAAGGCTGACAAAGAGAAAACAACACAGTTCACTATATATTGTTTGAGAAAACTTGTTTGTTTGAATTGAAGTTTTGATTGCTTTTCATGACTGTGGGTTTGTAAAGGATAGAAAAGACTCATCCTGTGATGTACATGTACATGAACACACTAAAGAAACATTACTTCTATATCAGAAGATAACACACTTCTCAAAGTAACCATTTACCTGCAACACTTTTAAATTCATCAACTAGAGTCAGACTCAGTGTTAAGGTTTGGCATTAAGATCAATAATAAAATAATAACTTATGATGATTAAGATGCTATAAATAAGGCTCTATAGTTTCCCTGAAATATCTTAAGGATCAAAAGCATTTTAGTGCATTATTTTTTAAAAACAGTACATTCACTTTCAATTAATTTCACATGAATATTTGGAAGTTAAACAGTATCAAGAGTTATTTCTTTTAAAAAAATACACTGAATTGATGAAAAAACATCCACAAACTCCATTATAAGTTTTCATGGCCATTAATGGTCCAAGCAATAAAGCAAACAACCATCACATGCTAATAAAATAGGACTCAATAGGTTAGAATTGTGAAAACTAGACAGCACAGTATAATGAACTTTAAAAGGAACTACAGGGTTTTTGTTGCTCATTTTTCAAGTTCAGTTATTTTTCAAAATTGTGGTTGCCCACATTAATAAATGCAAAACATTTTGTGTGGTAGGCAAGAACTTTGGTACCAATCAGCATTTCTGGAAGCATCTCTTTTCCTGCTATTTTTACAACCCTTTGATATATTTTTATTGGGGAAAAATTTCTAGGTGTGGCATTTAACAGAATTTCTCCTTACACTATCAGTATGATATCAAGCAGGCAAGTAATAGGATAAACTAAAAATATCAATTAGGGGATTATTGGTTAATCCAATGCCAAATTCTCCAAACTAACATCATATAAATTGTATGGCAGACAGTAAGGAGAATTATTTATGAAATCTTGGTAGTTAAAGGGTCAATCAAGTTTTAAAAAAGAAAAAAGTAACTCAGGTTCCTTTTCTTGTTCCATTTCCTTATAGTAAAATGTCAATCCAGAACAGTTATGTCCAGTACGCTAGGGTGCCACAAAACTAAGCTACTTAAACTTCTGTGATGAACAGATCTTTAGAGGAAAAAATCAATGAATGTGATGATAGATGGTATTGGTACAGTAAATGTTTTGAATAATTGGGGGTAACATTTGATAACATGGGGGTAGCTCAGTGATAAGAACAGTTGAAGGTAGTGGCAAAATATCAGTGAGCACTACTAACAACAGTCCTTCTTAGGATTACACTCACTGTGACAAACAGTCCATGGGATTGCATAGAAAAAAATAACTTCAGTATGCTTCAAAAAGGTAAAGTTTACAAGTTTCAGACAAAACAACTTACCTATTTGAAACTTGATCAGTAACACTATCATTTAATCCTCTATAGACAAGGGGAACCTTTAAAAAACAAACAATTAAAAATCAAATAGTTGAGAAAAAGGTTAAGTGCTCACATGAAGCACCTCTTCCTTGCAAAGTTTAAATGTACTTCATATTACACAACTTGAGTTGTATTCATTTTACAAGCAGTGTGAATTCCCCCTTTCCACATTTCCATTTAATTTAATAGCTTTGTTTTGCTGGCACCCTCAAAAGACAACTAACGATCCTCATAGGCATATTCTGGCATCAAAAGAAGTTTACTTCAACCTAAAAAATTCAATAATGCTCATCTTTTATAATATATATCATGAGTAAAGCCGGGGCCCTAAGGGCGGGGAGAGGGAGAAGCACACTCTTCAATAATTGGCCCAAAAGGGTATGTAATAAAGCAGTAAGTCCCAGAGATTCCAACCCCATGTGATGGAAAATAGGGAGTAATTATTAGTGCCAAAGGCGCAAGCTTCTAGGGGGGTCAGGGGGCATGCCCCCGGGAAATTTTGCAAATTTAGGTTCTCTCAAGTGCCATTTCCTGAATTTTGACATCATTCCGGCCTGAGTTATAACATACCATAATGCTCTTCGCGAAGAAAGTAAGTATAATATGAGTGTTTCACAGTGACAGATCGCCAAAAATTCTAAACATTAGCAATTTTCCCCTACTTTTCAGAATTTTATGATAAATCGGGAGAATTTGGTAAAAATCGGGAGAGCGGGAGGCAAGACATCAAATCGGGAGGGTTGGAATCTCTGAAGTCCAATGACGGTATTAATTCCTGTAGTCTTCGAATAGTTTCTCTCACCTCAGAGTACTCGATGTGAACAGTTTCCTCTGGTGCAGATAGTGAAGAAATTGCCGTGAAGTTGGATGCTGTTGCTCGATCTTCCTTTGCATTTTCCATCTGAAAGTGGCAAAGTATGAATGGTATTGTTGCCAAAGTACCGTCATGAAATTCCATTTCTATCCCTTTAATATGTTCTAAATAACGATAAACCATGCAAGAATTTTTAACTCCTCATCATCTGACCCTGGTCTGCGATCGTGTTACTGCTTTCTTTCAGAGTCTTCAGAAACAACGCTCACGTCTCGAGAAAAAGCCAACGATTAATTCATGAACGCGTCACGTTGTGTGACTCGGTGTTAAGCTACGAGAGGAACCGTTGAAAATTTGAACACATTATAACGAATAGTATGGGGAACGAAATATGGTCGATTTACAACGATAAATATTTCGAAATATGAATAATTTACACGTAAAATCATTAACACTTACTCACATCCTGTGTGTCCGTTGTAGCTTCTGGCGATTTCTTCCGTTTTAGGCTTGCTTTACCATCACTGTTATTCCTGTCAAAAGTCTTTTGACAGGACTATTTTTTGACATACTATTCGTTATAACGTGTTCAAATTTTCAACGGTCCTCTAGTAGCTTACAGTGCAACGGCCTCAACCGGGGCCACCCGAGGTTTTTTAACCAATCAGAAACCGATTCGTTAACAAAGAATTTCGACTGTGGGAACAGCCGCGGCAGATTCAAAATTTCGATGAATATTTTGAAGCGGCCGCGTTTGATTTTCCGACTGTATGTACAGTTTTAGTCAATAAATAAATGTTGATCACCAAAGCGGCCCTTTGTCGAACAAATTTCAATCGAAAGATACCTGAGCGGTTGAAATTTCAAAACAAAAATCGGCCCTAATAATTTTTTTTACGCCTTTGTGGTTTGCGTAAGCCAATCATTACAAAGCAACCGTTGTTCCTTTTTGAGAAGCAGTTAGTGTTGGATAAGTGCGAGATTATGTCCGTGCAACTTAGAATCAATCAGGCTGGTGGGCTTTTCGATAACGGTAGACGTTTACCAAATTTTGTTCGCGAAAGGGTCTTGGATCTTCACCACGATGGAGTATCTCAGCGCACAAGTGCACAACAACTTTGGGTAAGTCGTCGTTTTGTTCAAAATGTCTTGCGTGACTATGATTTGACAAACTCCTGTTTTCAACCAACAAAAAGCCACAAAGGTCACACTGTTCTGACTCCAGATGCTGCTGAATGCATTGAAATTGAAAAAATTTGTAAACCTAGTATCTATACCTCCGAATTACAGAATAGACTTGTCATCGGCAGAAATTTTGGACAAGATGGCGGTCGCGCTTGCGCATTTCGTCCATAATGGCGTCCAAATAATATAAGAAACTGTAAGGAAATTTGTAAAATTTCTAAAATATTACAATCAGGAGCTCATGGTCCCGTCTGCTCTCGATCGAGACATATTCAGTACTGATTCTGCTATTCATCAAACCTCACAGGGACTCGATAAATAAAAACCACTTACTTCCCGAGTCAGTTCTTTTGTCATTGATTATTGACTTAGGTCGCCATACAGTTCTTCAAAATCCGTCGTTCTCCATCCCAAACACTCGCCTATTACAGGAAAGTGCATCAATAAAGTCAACTACTCTCGATCGAGTTGACTGCTACAGAGTTCGAAGCGTCCAAATATCCTGTTAAATTGCCATTTCCTCCCATCAAAAAAGTTCCCAACGCGCCAGAATATCCCTTATTTTCCATGTTGAGTAAGTGACGAGACGCCATGTTGAAAACTATGACTGAAATAGTTAAACACGAGCAACGCTGATCTTCGAATCGTCGGCCATATTTGTTTATGTTCTTGCAGGAAATAAATTAGTTCTCGGTCCTTTTCGGAATAAAAATATGCCAGGCATTGAATGCAAATTTAGTAGTCTTAGCGCGAAAATTAAATTAAAGCAAATCAAAATTCTGACATCATGTCATCGCTCTGCCTCGAAAAATCCCAAAGATTTACTTGCAGGTCTTCTTTTCTTTTTCTTTTCATCAAATAGAAGATCTGCGGTGCTCAAATTGTATAAGTCATGGTACGAAACACTCTTCTTTGCAGATCGAGCCGTGATCGCCGGCATATTGAATTCTCTTGATATTCTATTGTTCCGGAGTGTAATACGATATACCGCTGATAATTGTTAGCGGGCTCGAAATGTCCTTGATTTCTGGCGATGATTGGATGGCGTTCTTCACCCAGCGGACTTGCCTCATCCAAGTACAATTACCAAATTCGTTAGAAACGAACTACAGATGACAAAAAAGAAAATTCACGCGGTTCCGTCTGAATCTAGAACAGCAGAGATCGAAGCCCGTACGAACTTCTTTCTTGATCAGGTCAGTGATTTGGTTGTCAGTACAATCCACTTTTTCGACGAGGCAAGTGTTACAAAAACTACAATGAACAGACGATACGGAAATTCAATAATCGGGACTCCTGCCTTTGAAATCCAGAGATCTGCATCCAATGCAACTTTTACAATAAATCTTTTACACTCCTGTCTGAGAGTCGATTTTGTAAATATACTCGAAGGCGCTTCCAACGGTAACGAACTCTTGTTTTTCTTTGAGGAAGCTGTGGAAATAACGAGGTGGGATGGTTCTGTTCTCCTTGAAAGGGGTGATACTTTTATAATGGATAACTGTCCATTTCATCACGGGAGATTCACAGAAAGAGCCTCGAGGGACCTTCTTGGTGAATATGGAGTAAATCTTCTTTTTCAGCCTTCGTACTCTCCGCACTTGAACACTTGCGAACTCTGTTTTCACCAGATAAAGGCTTTTCTCAACAGGAATCAGTTGTTGGCTGCGAGTGAAACAGAAATTGCCATTCACGAAGCATGCGACAGAATCACACAACAGAACATTCGATTTCATATTTTAGGCACTGTGGGCATTTGATATAGAAAGAAACTCATAAGGAGTTTTTGATCTTATTGTTTTATGTGAATATCTGTACCTGGCAATCATACGCGTGATAAACTAGCTGGAATTGCCTTGGTGCTCGAGAAAAATTACATCTGATAAACAAAGAACTTAGTGGTTTACCTTTTTCAGAAAATAAAAAATAAATTTTGTAAGTGTGCATTGTTACTTATTATTTTTTTTCGTATAAATATTTTGTAGAAACATCAAATATAAGTACAAAAACCTTTGTGGCTTCGTTGTTACAATGTAAGAAAATTGAATTTAAGCGTGGTTTTTTTTATCTTTTTTCCGAGAAATGAAATTTTCAAGCCTGACAAGTTTTAATAGCTGTCACGCTGGTATGAGGGTCTGAATGGGGGGGTCAAAATGTCGGTTGTCGGTTAAAATTTCATTACTTTGTCGGTTGTCGGTTAAGATTTTTGACCTTTGTCGGTTGTCGGTAAATCTCAGTTAATAATTAAAAATACACGTTAATTATTCACATTTATTATGCAATTTGCCCAGTTTTAAGACTTTAAACTCTAGACGAAGTGTAATACTTGTAATAATTCATTATTTGTTTTCACTTAAACCTCGTTAACGCTGTTTTTTAATTTAGCAACGTGCTCATCTACCCCACTTTTGTTTGCAAATCTAGTATACCGATAAAATTCACCAAAGCTTTTATTATAGATGTCGACTACGGGGCATCGAAGTAAATCAAGAGAGGTAAATTCTACAAAGAATGAAACACCCACTCTAGCCCCTGGGATACCTAATTTTAATTTGTAAGCTACGGAAGTCTTTTTTCCGAGACGTCCACAAAAACTCACTACACTTATTATTCAACGGCTCTTGTGGCTTTTCGGCGAGGTTTCTTTTTTTTCTCTTTTTTTTTTGCCAAAAATTTGGTTGTCATACGTATCAATCTGCACCGTTAAATGGATTTTTTAACTGTTAGTACCTCTTACGTACATGTCGAGACGCACAAATGCACGAACAGCCCTGCCGGATCGGGTAACGCACGCTCTGTTGACAACCTCTGGATGTTCTTCAAAATCTGATTCCTCGTCATCCGAATCTGTCTCATACTCATCGATTTGTACTTCTCTGTGATCCTCAAACACCTCAGTAACATCCTTGTTGCCTTTCGTTTCTCTCGATGTCACCTCCTTCAGTCATGATCCTCTTTGCCAGATTTTCATCTTCTTTTGCTTCTTCTCGTGATTTCCGTTTCCTTCTCACTTTTGACTCGTCACCTTTCTTCTCAGTGTCGTTCATTGACTTCTGCTTGCTTTTATCAGATGTAGCCGGCGCCTTCAGCAACACTACTGGCTTTCCGGTCCAGTTTGTGACCTCTTGGATAATGTGTACTAAAATATTAAATGCCGTGTGTTTTAAGTTTTCTCTTTAGTAGGCTTTTGAGAAAAACTTACACAGTTCTTATCAGCAAATGCTCGTCAAGATGTATAAAACGTGCACATCGAGCGAAATCTCTCGTGCGTAGCTTCCCTCGAGGAGAGAATTGAATATTATTTGAACGTCTGGTTTTCAGAAACGAATAAATTTAAGGGCGTGTATAAATAAACGGGGTCTTAATATGTTAAGCTACACTGTTGTTCATTCACCAATTAATCAGAAAGAAGCTTATAAACTGATTTACTCGCTACTTCTTTGTAGAGATTTTTCTTCTCAATTTTCGCATTCAAATGGACGGTGAAAAAGAAAAAAAAACATTCCGCTCCACAAAACAACAAACAAAAAACGGTGGAACCAGAGTTTAACCACGTTAATATTTGAGCTTAATATTTAACTACAGAACTAAAGTGATTCATCAAACTCCGCTGCACGCGTTCCACACTTACCGTTGAGCTCACTGCTACTTTCATCCGATATTAAATTTGGAAGTTCAAGCTGCCATTGCCCATCCGTCACAATTGCAAAATTTTCGCATTTGCCCGCAGGCGATTTCGCCAGGCGAAATAACTCTAACGAAAATCCGCCAATTCCATATTGATGTGCCTGCTCCTTTTGTCCTAAAAACTCCGTAAGATGTTTTTTTGGTTCAGATACTCCTCTATGAGCTTCTTTGTCTACTGGGACCCTGCTTCGATGACGTTCGATGGCGATTTCTTCACCTTTTCGAAAAAAACTCACGATGACTTAAGCAATCCCAGTCATGACCCAACCGCATGAACAAACAACGAGCAATAAAAAGACAACAGCAGGGCGTCTCGTCGGCTCGATTGTGATCCGCTGTTCTTGAAATGAGACAGCAGGGCGTCTTGTCAGCCCGATTACGAGCCGCTGTTCTAGAAATGAGCCCACGCTGCTCACCGAAAAGAAGGATCCCGTGGATTTAAAGTAATTTGAAGACAAGAAATTCTATAATTCGGCTAAATTTGGAATTAATGTGGTTACGTCGGGTGAAGAAGGATTTTCTGAGCTAGAAATCATCAAAATGCTGTTCTTTCTGAATACAAACATCCCTATCACGTCTGACCATGTCGGTTGTCGGTTAGAATTTATTTGTCGCTAGTCGGTAATTTTTTCCCCGTTTCGTCGGTAGTCAGTAATTTTTTACGCCCTTTGTCGCTAGTCGGTTAACCCCATTCACACCCTCTGGTATGTAATCTGCGATGTGCATTGAAATATAAAATTTTGCGTTCATCTTTGAGTCATTTCCCGCTTTTTCTCGCGATAATGGCAACGCCGAAAAGTGAAGTGTACCAATGGCTTTGTCCAATTTCTAATGGACTCGAACTCGAGCGTCTAGCTGGGGAATCAAAAGATCCAGACGTTAAAATAATTCTGTTTTCCGTTCGAAGTGTTTTTTTCATATTTATTTTAACAAATGAACTCGGGATGAAAACTTAACTTTCGAACCGAACGTATATCCACCTTAAAGAGTAAAAAAAGCTGACGTTTCTAGCGTTAGCCCTTTAGAGCGATTGGAGGAACTGTGGGTTGTGCGTGGGTTTATATGCAGAAAGTGGAGCTACGCCATTGATGGGAATATGGAGACAATAAAACAGGAATAAATTAGTTGAATGAAAAGCGTTCGTTGATTCGTTCGATTTGGAAGATAAATTTTTGTTCTAGTGTTTTGCGGCTTTCCGAACTGCCTAGATGTAAGGAAAGGCCGCAGACTGCCATATGCTGTTTAGAATGAAGGGAGATGAAAGTGTCTAGCAACTGGTTTGAATGCGTCCTTGTCATTTCTTTCCACGTCGCGAAGGTGTTCTCGGAATCGGTCACCTAGTCGTCTTCCTGTTTCGCCGATGTATAACTTATTGCAATAAGTGCAAGTTATGCAGTAAATAACATTGGCGGAGGTACACGTAAACTGTGATCAGTGATCTTAATGGATCTCTTGGGTCTCGATATTTTCTCCACGTTATGAATGAAAGAACAAGTTTTGCAACGTGAGCAAGCGCATTTGAAAGTTCCAGATTGGTCATTGGTTTGAAATGAACTCCTGACTAAAAAGTTGCCTATGTTTTTGTCACGTTTGAATGAAATAAGTGGGGGTTGCGAAAAGATAGTGCCAGTCTCTGAATCGTTGAATCTGAATGGAGTAATTTAAAATCCTTTCATTAATTGTTTCAGCGAAGTCTGCTTGTTGCCAAATGCTTCCCATAAGGCAAAGAGTCGGCTCTGCAGTTGACTACCAGTTGATCTCTGTATCCCCTTATCAACTTGCTTGGTTAATACATAAGTAATGGCTCTTGGTTAATACTATGTTGTTAATTTTACTTTGTTAGAATATGCGAATTACTTACCGTTATCAACAGTGGGAGAGAAATATTAAACTTACACGAACTGATATTGTTAAAAAGTCACAAGAGACTATTCTTGAGGACTAATGGTAACTTGGGTACGAATCGACTGTACCTAGGCACGAAACAACTAGGCAGGAGACGAACGTGGGTACGAAACGACCGGATATCTAGAAGACAAGGATGAGAGTTCGGTGGCGGTCGTACCCCCCTCTTCATCCACCCCTGTGAAAGGCAACCATTAATAGAGGGTGTTTTGCCCCAAAAGAGCATTGACACGTGTTTCAGGCCCTATGTTGGTGAGCATGTGCAAGAGGAGCGGGTGGGCGAAAAGGATTGCTAACGAGGAAAGTACTTCGGAAAGAGGGCCCTGTTTTTCTTTGCCTGACGCTGGTTTTCACTCTTTTACGTGGTTCAGGGTGGAGTAACGCAGACTCGTCCTCATTAGATTAGACGGTAACTGGTGAATTCGTCCCCTTGCAAGTTTGCCCCAATCACCTTTGCGAGTTCGCTCCCAAACGTAAAAGGAGTTCGCCCCCCACCTTAACCAGTTCGCCCCCAAATCATTCAACTTGATTTCTATTTCTTTAGTCGCCATGAAGCGTCAGGGCCATTACGGCACGAGTGCGAGTATTCAATTACGAAACAATTTTTTCATCAATATGGCTAAAAATAGAACTTGTAGCTAAATACAGTCAAGTGACTTGCCTGCTGAATGTCTAAATTGATAGAAACCTACAACAAAAGTGTCTGCAAGAATGTGTTCTTACAATGCTGTTGACTATTCAGATGGGTGAGATCTCCGCCCAGCCCAATACTTGATTATGCATACAGTTCTTTTAAAACATCTTGGATAAAGAACACAATGGCGAAAACGATAGATCGCCTTCGGGACTAATGTTCACAATATGATACTTCGTTCCCAATAGTATCGGGTTGTGCGGAAATCTTGCCCTCTGTTTTGAAATTATGACTTAATTTACACCAGAGTGCCTTCATTTCCTCAGTTTTCTAAGGTCTGAGGGCATGACCGGCAGGAAACGCCCATATTACACCCTTCAATAAAAAGGATGGCACATACAATTTCTTTACTTAATGGTCAAATTTGGCTAGTAATAATAAATCACCTATGAGAATTGTGGGAGAATTGTGGGAGAATTGTATTGAATAGTTTTCTTTTTCATTATCATTATTTATATTTTTTGCTATACCTGCATCGTTTATTCACCAAAACTGCACGATTTCATTGATGTAATCATTACATTTCTAAGGAGCACATTTTAAAAAATATATGTGTGTGATTCGAATTTAATATCAAGGTGTACAGAACTTCGACGGGAATAAAAACTGAGGCATCATGAAAATCACGTACCAATGAACTCTTAAAACTTTTTTCATTGACTGGTGTTAAGAAGGAGATTTATATCGGGGTGGATCCAAAGAGAAGGTGTTCCGTTTGATTATTGGCGGGAAAATCTGATTCTGGCATAATGTGAAGTGAAGGGAAATAATTTTGTGTCAATCTTAAGATACTTTTAATATTCCAAACGGAGAAAAATTGATTGAAACTTGACATTTCTTTGGTTTAAATACTTCAAGACCTGTAAGAGTTTTGTTTTTCTATCACAGAACTAAAAAAAACATTACCATGTACACTCGTTATCTGATGATTTTGAGGTTGAGTTTTAAGAATTCCTTAAGTAAGGGTGACAATTCAGAGGCTGATTGGTGGAAAGGCAAGTAGAGCTGATTCAAGATTAAATGTTCAAATCACTTTGATTCTCTTCGCATAAAGTACTTGTTAGAGCCAACATCTTGTTATATTTATATTTTTGTTAGGTTTTATTTCAGCAATCTGGATGAAAGCAAATATAAACTGCAAAAAGCATGCAAACAAACTAGCAATTCAACATTTGACCACCAAAATTTCCCCAAACCTTAAAGGTGTTAATGGGAGGCAACAACTTTCTGTTCTGGTTTACACTACATGACAGGTGATTTGGATCAATTTTTCTCATAGAGCAATCAGCATTCATTAATGTGATGTGTGATGTGTTTGCCAATAGCGATTGAGTTCAGTTGTGAAACCCCACCCAAATTAACTCATTATAATTACACTCGACGGGATCTTGGGATCTTATCTCCAAAAAATATTATTTCAATAGCTATAAGTATGTGCTACAAAAAAAGCAGACACCTATATACCGTGTAAAAAACTGAGCACATTGGAAAATAAAAAAATTGTTCAATGGTTCAAATATACATCAATTGCAAAATATAAAAAATGGGCTCTTTAAATAAAAATATTTGATGATGTTTTGTCAAATTTTTCCTTGGATCTTTGTATAGAAGTATAATTTTGAGAAACACTTCTATTCAAAATCAAAAACTGTACCAAACACAATGGTTCAAAGATACATTAATTGACAAAATAGAAAAATGGGTTGTCTGGCTAAAAATATGTACAAACTACATAATAAAGTATTTAATTGGGATCTTATCTCCAAAAGATATATATTTTTTCAATAGCTATAAGTATGTGATAAAAAAGCAGACACCTATATACTTTATAAAAAAACTGAACTCATTGGAAAATGGTTCAATGGTTCAAATATACATCAGTTGTAAAATATAAAAAAAACCTAAATTAGCCACCGTAAAGAGTAAAAAAGCTGACGTTTCGAGCGTTAGCCCTTCGTCAGAGCACTAAATAACCTGCTATACTCTCCCACCGACGCAGCACCAGAGTTTCTTTAGAAACTTACCCCTTTATAAAAAAAAGGTTCGTCATATAAAAATATTTGATGTTTCGTCAAATGTGTCCTTGGATCTTTGTATAGAAATATAATTTTCAGAAACACTTCTATTCAATACTAAAAACTGCATCGAGCAAAATGGTTGGTGCAGATTACAAATTACATCATAAAGTATTTAATTGAGATCTTATCGCAAAAATAAACTATTTCAATAGCTATAAGTATGTGCTAAAAAAAAGCAGTAATTAAAAAATAGTTTTGATGTAGAAAATTTTCTAATGAACAATTTATGCCATTGATCTAAAAAGTCTAAAATTCTAGCCTCATGATAGCCCAGCCTCAAGCAAATCATTGTCAACTAGTGAAAACAGAACCCTGCTCAGACGGACTTGGCTGAGTTCAGTTTGCGTGCGCTTGTAAGGCTTCCTTAAACAGTTGGTATCCTTTTGTTAGCTTCAATTCCTCCAAACTAATTCCTTCCCCTTCATCACTGGACCATGAATCCTAAATGCCAAAGTAGAAAATGTTAAGCCCAAACACCTAAATCAGCTCAAATGATTTGCCAAGGAATGATAGTTGCAGAAGGGAGCTAAATTGCTTCCTCTTTTATATAGAATTTATCTGCCAGATGGTAGTTTTACTTTCCTATACATAAAGAACATTCGCTTGACTGATGGTGACTGGTCATGAACGACAAAAGGCACTCGCATTTAATTCGCAGTCCTCACACATTGTTTAACATATTTTGACCTTTGAAAGTTCTCTACCTCAGGTTTATCCAGAGATAAAGCATGTAAAAAACACCAAAAAGCATCACTTTGACTTCTTCAAAAGGTATCCGCGGGTTTCGCCCATAACGAGTTTCGCCCAAGAAGCGTTTCGCCCATAACGAGAATGGTTTCGCCCAGGCATAAATTCGATTCGTGCGGCGTGCGGATCTTAACTTCCGTGTACAAAAGATTTGCAACGATGATATGTTCCACGCGCAAGTGTTTTCAAAAGCGTTTAATTTAATTCTCGAGAAGAAAAGTGATGCAAAAAAATCATAGCAATGCTTTTACGACAAACGGACGTCTCTGCAGTATTTCGTGCGCGAATTACCTTAACAATCCCCGCTCCACAGTGAAAGCTATAATTGACTTGTTCGTTTCAACAGTAACTTGTTCGTTTCAAAATTTCATGATCTCAGGTCAAGTCACTTTTCTTCATTCTGTGCATACAAACGTTTATAAGGTTGACGTTTTCCGAGTGAGAGTGTAGAAGTTTTACTTATGGGCGAAACCATTCTCGTTCTGGGCGAAACCATTCTCGTTCTGGGCGAAACCATTCTCGTTCTGGGCGAAACCATTCTCGTTCTGGGCGAAACGATATGTGCGAAACTCGTTATGGGCGAAACCCGCTATAACCCTTCAAAATAATGATGCTCCATATTCAATTCCCAATACCCACCTTATAATCAGAATTGTCTTCAATTTTGCTATCAGCTTCTTTTCTATGAATTTCCTGATAGTTCTTCTGATCCTAAGAATCACGGAAGTCACATAAACGAGTTAATACTACATAGTGGCATTGAAGTTGAATCCATGCTGTCATGTCCTCAAGTACCATGATGTCTTATTTTTCCTCAACTTGGTCGCCTACTAGTCTGATCTCTTATGTGCCACACTATAGTATGTATATTATGTCAAAGAAATTTCTTAAAATCTACTTTTAATCAGTCAATCGTTGGTTGCTGATGACTCACACATACCAACAGAATCAACAGAACTAGCACTGGAATAGTAATGCAACTCATTGTTGCCATTATCCGAGTAACCATGTCCACAGTTGATTGGTTCAGTTCCTTTTCATTGTAACCAGGTTACAAGTAATTGATTGGGTAATGTGGCCTCCGGGATGTAAACCTGGTAAGTTGCCATGTATACTCTCTAGAATTTCTCTGTGGAAAAGATCTTTCAATGCCTCTAATTGAGAGAAACGGGGTGCCATTTTCTATATCTTTATTGACACAAGCCTAACTTATAATAAATCAAGACATCCTTATTCATGGTTTGGCTGAATCTAAAGCACTGTGCCAAAAACTGCTCTTTAAAGACTCAGGAAAGGGTAATGGAACTGAATTGAAGTGTACTAAAGGGTTCAAGATTCATCCGAATCTTGTTCATTGAACAAGTCAGCGTGTTCATAACACGCTGAGAACAGAAATTTGATAAAACTGTCGCCGTAGAACTTGAGATTTGAATTGTTGTACAACTAAAAGCAGATTTTGAAAAGGGGATCTTAGTTGCCTAAACAGAGTGTAATCAGTTGGGTTAAGCCTCGTTCAAATTGTCATGATAGCCCATAATAGTCTATGATAGATTCAACGATCATTCACTATCATTGGCTATCATGTTTGAGTTCAAATGGTTCATGATAGCAGATGATAGTTGGCAAAATCACGCAATGAGATCGCGTAAATGCAAACAAATATGGCGCGCGCCGAGGTTAACAATTTCGGTGGCATTTGAAATTTTAGTCAGTCGCACGCTGAAGATACTTAAGCCTATGAGAACTGAACTACGAGACATTCTACAAAATTTTGACAGCTACCTTAGTCATTTTATCCTTTGCCAATTCAGTTCGAGCTCGTTTTTGACAAAACTAGTTAAAACTGCTTACCGAAAAACTATCACTCACTTTCATCCGCTCGTTCAAACGGTGAAACTATCATGTCGAATTTTAAAATGTCCAAACTACACGATAGTTGATGACAGTCGATGACAGTGCATGATAATTCGCGTTCAAACGCGTGTGATCATTGAAACAATCATCAACTATCATGACCGTGTGAATGGGGCTTAAGTATTTTTCAAAAACATTTATTTTCATTCTATGGTTGTAAATTGTGCATATGGAGTAGTATCAATATTTTGAAGGCATGGTTAGTATGACTTGCAGGCTTAGAAATAGGAAGGAATTCGAACTGACGTCTTACTCAGGTAAATGATTTAGAACTGTGTAAAGAACCCAAAAACTTCATTTGTAGAGCACAACCCCCATTGTTTGAGCTGATGAAGACTAGAATAAATGTTTATTCCAGTTTCATCACGTCCGACTGGCAATGGGAAGCCTTAAAGAATTTCTTTCAACTAGTAAACAGAAGAACACACCAGACCTTACATTACTGTCTTAATTTTACCTGGAAAGATGATGGAAATGGCATCCCAGCCTTGCCACCCCCTTCCGCTTCGTCATGTTTTGCTTTTTTAGCCAGCATGTTCGCCAAATTCGCAGAATACTAGAAAAATAAGACAAGACTCCCTGTTAAGCTATAAAAGTGTACCGTCACTTTGCTCCATATTTAAGAAAAATGCGACATAAAATATATAAAAGATAGACATCTAGGTCTATGCCTTTACATAACACCATAAAAATTTTTTTTCGCCATTCATAAAATTAAATAAATATTTGATAAAAACCATATTTTCATGAATGGCAAGGAGGGGGGCTCCAGAAACTACGGGGCCTACACGAGGGAAGCCTCCTTACTAGAAAAAAAAGAAAACCGTATATAAATGTGGGAGATACGCGTTCATCGGGAACATTTCTTTCGCCAAACCACCAATCTCAATAGTCATTTTATCTATCGATTTGGTAATAAACTTCGAAGACGTCTTTTAAAAGAAGCAAAAGCTTCAGAATGCCTAACATCATCCGGTAAGGAATTCCACATTTTCGGTCTATGAAAAAATACAGAAAAATATTTAAGACTGGTTCGACATTGATGATCGGTAATTAGTGCCTCTTCTGATGTTATACGGGTGCATGAGGTTATTGGTGACAAAAAGATAAGAAATGACGGCGTTAGTAATGGGTAATGCCATTACCCCTTACTTGCGCCATCATAGGAAAACATACATGAAGTGGTGTAAAAAGAATTAATAGTAAAGATAACCAAGACGTTTGATTTACAAAATAAGGGAGCACGAGTGTGAGCGCGAAAGTACACGTTAGATCTAATTCGCACCGCACGATTTTGAAGCAGGAGCATTCGGTTCAGAATTGTTACATAAGTAGAAGACCAACCTATATTGAAATAAGGTAGAGGTAGACTAAGGTCTTATACAAAGATAATTTAGTTTTCGTAAGTAAGTAATGAGATATGCATTCAAAGACACAAAGCTTTTGACGCCAGTCAAGTCGACCAAAATTGGTGCGAAAAATGGTTTTCTCAAAAGAGACGTGGTCATCCAGAAAAATTTCGAACAAAAATAAAGGAGTAGTTTGTCATCCACGAAATGCTTAATTGCACTGTTCAAGTGAGCAAATTTCGATTTTATTTCAGCAAAAGGGTACAGTAAGCAGTGTTTCTCCCGATGCGTGAAAATGAATTGGAAAAATTGTTGACAATACAAGTGGTCTGCGTGTGGTTACGCTCTCATCGATGGCTACCAGAATTTGTCAAAGGCGAAAGCGGGCCTGTAATTTCAGAGTTGCGGTTGGACGCTAATAAGTGGATGTTGATTGTGTCATGCAGAATAAATTGCTCATTGAGCACACTTTTTAATTAAGAGTCCAATCATTCAAGAGTCCAATCATTCAACTGGTATTATGTTTGTGTTTTTTTAGTCGTTCGATGCCTAATATTTGTTCGACATATACGAGTTAAGCTCGCACGCTAATCAGTGGCTTTTGATCACGTCATGCTTTGTAAACAAAATGAATTGCTTATTGATCACACTTTTTAATTAACTGTGCTAAGAGTCCAGTCAGTCAACTGACATTGTTTTTGTGTTTTCTTTAGTCGCTTGATCCCTAATATTTGTCTCCACATATGAGAGTTAAGCTATGTAAACAAAATAAATCGCACATTGTTCATTATTTTTAATTAACTATGCCAAGTGTCCAATCAATTTCCGTTTCCGTAAAAACTTCATGCTGAACAGTTTTGAAATGTGATTGCTAAAATAGATGATTGCGAGGAAGTATGGTCTTTAAGAAACTGGGTAGATTATAAAGGGGGTAAGCTTCTAAAAATATGGTGCTGCTTGGGTTGGGGCTTGGGTTGGGGTACAGCAAGGTAATTTGATTTTATCATCCAACTGCGCAAAACTAGAGTACAAATGACGCGCGAATAGAGTACAAATATCCTGCGATATTTTACAGTTGGTTATTTTGTACCGTAGAAAAACCTGTTTAACCTGACGGTCGGCTGCGCGCGCCCTATAGGAAATGAGGAGAAAATTAAGAAATTGGATAATAAATATCAGACGTTTTGGTGTAGTGTTGCTTAGTATTTTTACTCGTTGTTTGTATTTTTGAGATGACGGTTAATCGAGGATATGAAAGACTACCGCACAGAAGATTGGCAAATGAACTTTTTGAAAAATCGATCGAGTCAAATTATATCGACACAGACTAGAAGCATCAGAAAACCTTGCAAACTGTTTAAAGCAGATCAGCTTAGGCTGCTACTCATAATTTGACTTCATGTAAGTTCTTGAACTTACATGAAGTCAAAAAGGAATGTTAAGAATTGCACGATCTAAAAGGTTAAGAGCCTTACACCTACCGTTGTGGGTCTGTAAGGAGGAATAACTGGAGGCGTCTTATCTATCGCTGCCATCGATACTCCTTTGAAGTAGTTTTGGATCGTTCTTCCTAGTAATGAAACAGCAAGTTAAGCAATTCAGTGAGGAACTGAAAAAAGAACTGACATTTGCATTCCATTGCCGCCCACTCGTTAAACATCGGATTATCATAAGATCAGAGTCATGCGAATTATTATCCCGCAACGTAACGCTTATTTTTTCCATCATTTCCATAATTAATTTATACATTCCACAATGTATCTAAAAGATCACTCTCCCTGTATAAGACTTCCTTTTTTTGTTGTCATCTGTTTTTGTTTCGTTTTGGGTTTTTTGGTTTTTTTTTCTGTGTTTTCTTTGTCAGAAAACTCAGACTTCTGCAAGGCAAACTTCAAAGATTCTAAATGAAATAAAGCTTAACCAAAGGCTGACCTTAACCTTGCAAATGACACATTGCAAGGTTATGTCTATTTCCTTTTTAGCTATTGTTCCTACCTCACGTAGTGGGAAAGTCGAATATGTCGGTTAAACCAGCTGGAAAAGCAGCCAATGTAACTGAAACAATCACACTTCCTTCTCACCATGCCAATAGAAACAGTCGGGGGATCGAGACGCAAAGGAAGGTTTCGAAAGTTATATGCGGAAGAACGTGCACGGGCAAGCCGTAAGCGGGCTAATTCCGCCTGCTGATGGAACCAATCAGATTTCAGATTGCAGGATTTGTTCAATCGTGCATGCTCATGAACCGTGAATAGTATAATCATGAGTGCATATAAAGTATAAATGTACAATTTGTCGCGCGACACAATTTGGCCTGAATTTGCTCTCGTCGATCCCTCTAACATGGACACTAGGAGGTTCATCGAAAACACTTTACGCTCAATCGGCAATGAAAGTAAAAGATTGAAGAAAAGTGTCCAGGAATTTTATGATAAACTTCTGGTACCTGTTAACGACCAGATCGTTCAAAACAAAGTTTTGCCCGAGACAAAGGAAAGACTGCAATGTTGTTTCAAAGACATTTACTTGAGTTTAAAAGTTCATGTGATGTTCTACCGCGGAATCGATAAAAAGCCATTCGAGGTGAGAAACATAAAACAATCGATCATATACAAGTGTCCCAAATTTCGAGTGTCCTTGCTTTGCCATTTGCAGGAAAACGACAAAAAGATCGATGAGACCCTCAAAAAGATTCGTCACCTCCTTGACCTAAAAAATGAAGATATGGATCCAATAGATGCACAGATAGAGGGCTCAACATACCACGATTTGTTTGATAAACTTATCGACCCTGGAAGCAAAGTCCTGGAAATGGTGAGTAAAGAGATAGTTAAAAGTCCCAGTTTCCAAGTTCCACTGCATCACCATTTGCAATAGGTTGAGATGTAGTATACTCCGTGATTAGGAATGAAAAGGCTGTCCCAGGAAACAGAATAAGCAGCTTGCGCTCAGAATATCTCAAGCAATAGATAGATATTGTGTTCTAAGAAGTAAACATAGAATGCAAATTTCATGTAACAAGGCTATTTACGGACGCTCTCCAGGGTCGTCACGCGTTCCTGCTTCCCCCCCCCCACGAACGTCTGCTCAATGTGGAAAGAAGTTACCATTATGTGCGGGCTGTAATACCTGCTATGTCGTCGAAACCTCTCGGTATTTATCCACACGTGTGCGTGAGCACTAGGTCAGAGATAGGACCTCACATTTTAAGACATTTACAAACCTCTCAACATCGTCGCACTGTATGTTCTGACGGGTGTTTTAGCATCTTAGATCACGCTTCCACAACTCTCCAACTTAAAATCAAAGAAGCTATTCACATTCAATGGGAGCAACCTACACTTAACCATCAACTTTATCATGTTAATTCAAAACTTTCCTCGTAATTGCATACATTGTTTTGTTTCAATTGTTTGTTTTGTCCAATGAGCATTTTGTTATACACTTCAAATAAGACTTTGTATAAATCAGAACCGAAGACAACAGAAGAACTGTCGAAACATTTTTGAAAAAAATGTCTTATATTTTCTTATCTGCTACCATTAAGCCACCACTATCGATTGCCACTGGTTTGCTTAAATGAGCAGCAATTTAGCAGTTGCAGAGAAAAGGCCTGAAATTTGTAAGCGCGCCAAATTGGAACCACAACAATAGGGCGGCTCGTGAGGTTATTTCCCTGCTTCATCTACTCAATGGAAAACAGAGCAAAGAAAATCAAGGATGTACTGGGAAGGGAAGTGAAGAAGAACTGATGCCATCCCAACATAAATACCCGGAAGCAGGGCACGGTCTTTAATGGATGAAAGACCAGGCATTTGACAACAGCGTTTAATGATATTAGTAACACCGACCGATCGATTATTACACCTAAGCTTGCTTTTTCTTGAGTTAATCAATCCTTGTACGTTGTTACATTTCAGTTCCGCGTCGTTGCAGCGTCCCCAAAAGGTACTCCCCAGGAAAAGAGCATCCAAACAGGAAGTAAGGATCATGCCAATCGAGTATTACAAATGGCTCGAAGCTTTCTACGAACACTTCATGACAAAAACACCTTCCTGCCGAAAGTTTTAGCAAAGGTGTCGCGTGAAGAAAATTCTTTTATCGGTGCTTCAATAGCAGTAAGCCATTTCTTAAGGCCGATCTATTTGTACAGTAGAGTCATTAATCGCAAAAAGAGTCTCGCGGAAGCAATTATAAAATTCCGAGCCTTAGATATTTCCCCTGAGCAAAACTGGGAATTTGAGGCATTTGAAAGGCAAACTGTAGAAATTCAAAAAAATGAGGGAGAAAAAGAAATTACCAAACAACATGTAGGCCCCAAAGACCTTTGTCAAAACTGTAAAATGATGTTTCTTGGGGATAAGTCAGGAAAAGGAGGTCGTTCTTTTCTCGGTGCATGTGCAGAGTATTGTCCTGTTGACGAGCTTCTCCCTGATGAATCGAAGTTAAAGGACTCACTTGATGACTCAGTAATTGGCTATCTTCTGACGAGAAACCTTTCTCGATGCTCACTTCTGTTTAAAGAGTTTGAAAATATCTACCAAAGATGCAAATATGCTGTAAACTCGAGAGATGATATAGAGAAGTGGAGGCGGTTTACTGGGAAGTGATACATAAATTGAACATTTTTGGTTTAAAGCCAGAATATAATCCTTACTTTTAATTTTCTTTTGGTCCCTTTTTTATCAGCGCTTTACTGGAACAAAATTGTTCAAATCTAACAGTTGAAAGAGTTTTGAGTTTTTTGTTATTTCAAAACCGAAATTTCTTCTTTTGAACAATGCAAAAATGTGTGGTAAACAATCCGTTATGCTTTATATCTTATTCACTTAGTTCAACCGAGACTGTAGAGGACAAAAGTTTTTAAAGGTTAGACTCAGTAGCGATACTTTATGCATCTTCCACAGAGCTGAGAGATCAGTGTTCCACAGAAAAATCAATCATTTCCCTTTAAAAAAAAAGGTCAATTTTCTTGTATAGATGAGAGAGCTGTAAATTTTTTCATTGTTAAATCGGTGAATGTTCGCTTTTTTCTTTTTTGGCTATTTTTTTGTTTCACATATCACGTGTCCGTGAGTGATGGGGACTGAGCATTGCATGACAAAAGTCTTAGAATAATTATAATTGTTACTGCTGCGTTTAACTAGTGACTAGAGTTGTAGTTACAAGAAAAAATCTCACACAAGATTTGTTTTCAGTTGGAAGTTCTCTTTTCAAACAATTATTAGATTGAAAAGACTATTTTAACTCTAAAAAATATTAGAATTAAAGGCACTAGCTCTAGGTTGAATTCAATTTATGAGGCTTTCTTTCTAAAAAGAAGCCTTTTTCATCAACGTATATAGGAAAACTGAGGAGATGTAAAGGCGTAACAAAAAGTTAGTCCGTTAGTCCGTTGAGAAATCCATAGAATTGCCTATAGAGTGTGGTGATAGATGCAGCATTCAACTCATTTATCAAATTGTCATCATTTTCATTCACTTTGTCACCTCTGTAAATCTTCCTAAATTCATTCCGATTTCCCTGAAATCTAAACAGTGACAAATCAGTACATGACAAGAAACAAGTGGTTCTCTAGTCAGCGGTTGTCTGAATATCAGGGTGGTATTGGTATTGTTTAAGAAATTTTGGGTAATGTCAACTATATCCATAATCATCCCATACAACTTTATCACTCTTTTACCATAAACCGATAATACCCCAAAAACTAAATTATCCGAAAACAAGTTTTCATACATCAACATCTTTTAAATATAAAAAAAAATCTTAAAACTTAACATGTACAGCTTGGGAACATTCGTCTGCTCTATACATCAGTGAAAAGAGCAATGATTGTGGAAAAATTGAAGAGATGATAACACCATTACGTCCACTGACTTAATAAAGAGTAGCTCCTAACCATTTCCTCGATGTCACCCATGATAGGAAATATCTACGAGCCAAGAACACTGAAACTGTTCTTAAAGCATTTTTGTTATCTAAGATGGACCATCATGTGGCAAATGTCATTCTTCCACGTTTCAAACCATTGGAAGTTCTCTTATGCTAGAAACACTGCTGCTCGTGTTATAAATGAATGCGCCCAAAAAAAATCTTAATTGAGCACCACCATCTATCTATTGCTAAAATGCATCAAGTTGAAGTTTGTATTGTTGTCCTTCAAGGCCTTACGAAACCAGTCTACAAGTCTTGGTTACGACTTTTTTTCCTACCACATCCAAAGTAGATCCTCACCATCATCAGCTGGTCCATGTTTAGACCGTGATTAGAATGTGCAAAGGTTCACAGTGCAAGAAACGTTTCACACCTTTTGATGGCCAAATGTTAAATTATGTTAAAAATCTAAGTGCCAGAAATGCCAACCACGAAGGAAATACAAAGGTGTCCTGAGGAGTCTTAGGACACTCCTAACTTGAGGTTAATAGATTTACGCAAGGCCACAAGTTTATCAGCCCGTGGCTGAACTAAATCTGAAATAATAGCAGTATATACAAAAAACGGACTGATTAAAGCCATATATCCATTCCAATTTTCTCACACAGAAAAAGGATTATTACAAATGTACAAAAAATATTATAAATTGTTTTTGGTTGTCCCAAGTATTAAAGATAACTGTTTTTCTGCACTAATTTCTAGTTTAAGTTTTGGTGCAGGAGTGATTACAGATTTATGAATAGCTGGTAGTCTGTTAAGGGGGTTAACTACTCCTAGCAGAGGTTTTCTTAATCGCATGTGCACCCAAGGCTTCCTTTAACAGCCTGTCTCTTTCGGATTTCTTGTATTCTTCCAGGCTGATTCCTTCCTTTATTTCACTTGACTGTGATTGCCATTGAACCTTACGAAAGGCGGACAAGTGGCTTCGTCTCTTGCTCACATATTCTTCGTTGATGACTCAACAGAAATCTTACTCAGAACTCATGATCAGATGCATTACGATTACAAACATAAGAATAAACAAAATCTAGGCCATCTTGAGGCCCCTTTGTTCTTAGGAATTTCCCAAACTACTAGAATATTAAGAAAAAGTTTTCCGTCATGACTGTCATCCGCAATTCGTTGTTGTCATAGGCTTTGACGAAATTCGAAAGTAATTGACGACGATTCCAAATCTAATCAAGTGCATAAAGTCGAGAACTACATGACACAAGAACTACGTGATACCCAGCCTGGCATACAAGAGTAGGCTGGAACGGTTGGTTCGTCTAAGCACGGGAGCTGTTGGTTCATCTGTGCACAAAGTAGTTAAAATGAGGATGTATCTTTTCGTCAGGAACATATGATGTACTTTAGCTTTTAAGGTGGATTCGGTTTTCCTTTTGCTCCATTCCCCATACATTTTCTCCAGTTCTTCCTTGAATCGTTCAAGTTATAAACAAGAGTTAACTACTTGAGATATATAGATTCTACGACGAGTACGATTTCGAGTTCGAGATTTTCTAACACTGAAATAGTTGGCGCGCGCGAGCTTGCGCTTCTTCGGCCGGGAAAACCAAATAAATCAAAACTTTTTAACAGGATTTTTTTGCGAATATGGCGTACAAGAAACCGACAAACAATCCGTTATTTAGTATTTCAAACCAGAAGAGGGTTCAATTACGCCTCATACGGAACCTATGGCGCGAAACCTTGCGCGGTCAAGTTTAAAGAACTCTCAGTGTCAACAAAACATAATAATCACCAAAACAATTGCTTAACTTTAGAATCAACAAAAACCCCGAATTTCTCTTCGCGGCGAATAGTGTAACAAACTTCCATATACTTCTTTCTCCTTTATTTTAGTTAGAAATGAGTAGAGAGATCCCAGCCTGCTAATGTGCTTCAGAAAAAATATAGGGAGATGCGATGCATCGTCTAGCAGTTTCATGGGATAAAATTTTGCCAAAAGCACACAACCTTTAGGATTGTATGCTTGCAATTTTACAATTTATTGAAGCTTGCAGGCGAAAATATTTTTCGACTGCAAGGCTGTTCAATTAACCACTTCCACAGATGTCAAATAAGGGAGTTTCACACAAATAGTGCACTAAAGCCCATGTTAGAGACGAAAAAATTGTCCCAGGATAAAGTCACGGCTCAGGCAGTAAATTAAATATGCATAAACCTGAACTGTTATCTCAACTTTCAACTCATGGCAGGATATCTATTGATGGTAAAATATTTCAAAACGTTGACAACTAAGATCCCAAATATATTTTGGAACTGCCTGAATAAGAATGTTTAATTAACAAAAAACACTCTGGTTGGCAAGCCTTTCGCAATTAAAAATCAGACCTAGTGCCGGCTGGAGTCGATTAAATTTTTGCACAACATTGTCTCCCGTCACCTACTTTTTTAATCGGAACCTTTGTAATAGCATCTACATCTATAAAGTTCTGAACTTTGAAATAATGAAAATTTTGTCAATTCAGCTTTCCTTCATTTCAATCGACAGGTGTACCTTTGGTGAACGTGGTGTGTTTCCAAAATTAAAGTGAAGACTAATCATGATAGCAAAAATATACTGTTTTTCCTATTATCGTCATCATTAAGAGGAGATCTTGAAGCTTTTGTCTCATTTACCCAGGGAAACAGGGCAACAGGTAAAATATTAATACACACGAAACTTTAGTATGAATGTGTCGGCCAGACCCATGTCAATTTTATAAAACCCATGTCAATTTTTAACTTCTACCTAAGTATGGAATCGAAATGGATGCAGTGAACGGGAAGAACAATGTTGTATGTCACAAACCTTTTCACTTCTTCCTTCGCCTTCGTCTTTTTCCCTTTCCTTTTTAACTCATACAATAAGAAATATTCATTTTTCGTAAAACTGAATCAAACAATCACTTGGCAAGGCGACAACTCGCATATCGTGCATGGCTTTGATGCTTTAATGGGGGTATTGTGTTAACGATCATATGAAAAACATCTATATGATTAGGTTTCTGTGGTTTGTTGATGAGATGATGCGACGATCCTAGCAGAAAGTGAAAAAAATTAAATAACAGGGATTTTTCTGTTGCCCTGGGTTTCTGATGCAAATTAATTGCTCCAATATACTGTGTCCAACTTAATATACATTCCTAAAATTAGGGGTTCTTTATAGATGAAAGGTGTAAATTTCTTAAAGTGTCTGGAACAGATGGGGGTCAAGACATGCCACTTTAAAGAGTCTCTAACGCTATGCCGAGGTACAGAATATATTAAAGTTTTGGGATAACTTGACCACTATCGATCCCTTCAGCATGGAGGTTGAGTACTTTAAGACATATATTACCAGCAGAATGAAAATCTTCCAAGAAACGATGAAGTGTGATGTCGATGAATTTTTACAACTCCTTCTTCTACCGCGCTTGATAGTATCGACAGGGAATCTGGCTGTATATTGCCTCCGGAATTACAGACGACACGAAGAGAATGTTGTTAATACTTTTACTGGAGTTTAAAATCCCACTTGTACTTGCATCTTGAACAACTTGTCATGCCGCCTGATACTGGCGCTCGCCTAGCCGAGGTGGGCAGATGGGGTGGCCTGAGCGACCGTGAGATGCTGATGGATGTAGACCCAAACCATTTAGTAGACCCTGCAACCAAACTCTTGGAAATAGTGAGTAGGAAAGCAGCCAGGAAAGTACATTAGAATATCTGCCATGAATCGGATTTTATAATTGCATTCACATTTTTAGTGGATTGAGATATCCCATGCCTTGCTTTTTCATATTATCTCATCCTACTGATAATTGCTGAGGGGCATGGATGGAACTGGATTACAAACTGAAATGAGATCAATTTGAATTCAGTACAGCTATTGTTTGTCCCTGTAAGCACTATTTTAGTACTGTGAATTGGTGTCCAGCTTGGAAAGGGTACTGTTTTCTCGCTTCTGAAGGCTCTTCCCAGTTATCGGGGCATTTTAGTGAAATTAACTTCCCAAATCAGTGAAGGAATTTCAGACCAAACATTTGAGATTTATATTGGCCAGTAGGCAGACTGCGAGGTTGGTTCCGGGACAGTCAAATCAAAAGGGTGAGCTGCGACCATGCACTGTCTTGAGAATAAGATCATGTGATCCTGACGTTGATGACACAAATTTCACAAATTTTTGCGTATTGCTACATTTTAGTTCAGCCACATCAAGGGAAGTCGTGCCCAAAGAGGGAGCGAAGAGCATACCAACGGTGTATTTGAAATAGCAAAATTCTGGCTAGGCCGTCCAAGACCCGAAAACATCTTCTTACCAGAATTTTTGGCGATAGTTGAACATGTACCCTCGAAGAGATTTTTAGTAGGTGCTCTAATAGCAGTGAGTGACTTCTTAAGGCCTATCTGTTTGCACAATCGAATCATTAATCTCAAAGAAAAACTCGGAGGTGCAGTAATACATTCTGTCCTCTAGATGATCCACTCCGACATGATTTGCTATTTTCATATGCCTTTAACACTCAAAGATATGATTCCTTGACTCATGGGCTTCCTTGCCAAAATTGTAAAACGTTGTTACAAGGAGATAAATCGGGAAGGGGAGGACCCAAATTTCTTGGTGCATGTGCAGAGTATTGTGCTGTTAATGAGCTTCTACCAGATGAGCAAACTTTGAAGCACAGTCAGGATCAGTCCGTAAATTTAAAACTGGTGAGAAACTATAACCAATGTATGGCTCTCCCCGAAAACTATAGAGATATGTCGGAAAAGTGCATTACTGCCTTTGAAAACGGAAACCTATATGAAATAGAGACATTGTACTGGGAAGTGATATACTTTTTCACACTTTTGACCCAAGGCCAGAGTGTAATCGCTACTTTTGACAGGATATTAAGCCCGCCAAAACTAGGAGATTAGAAAAAATTCGGCCTCTACTTTCTGCTAATGTGGGGAATTTCTAGTAGAATAAACCCAAGTTCCGTTCTTTGAGTTTTGAATCATATTTGCTTGGTAAAAATGGCTCTTTTTTTAGTTGAAGTTTTGAATTTTTAATATAGTATTGTAGTATTACAGAACATTTATCATTCCGCTTAGCTAGGTTTGTTGTTTTCTGTAAAACTGAGATTGCTGCACAGTTTTCCACTTTCCATCTGCTGTAACTTCGCTTTGTTATATTTACTTCAAAGTATTAAGATATGTTGCTTGTGTGATTCCGCCTCACGGATGTCATGCAGCGCTCCTCAAAAGGTAAGACGGAATTTTGCGTGACGTCTGAAAGAATGATGGTGAAAGGGAGTACCTCTTGTAGGGAATTACGGTTAGATCGCGTCATGGTTAGATCGCTCCAGCAAAAAGTTAGAACGCTCCACTCGAAAGTTAGATCGCTCCATCAAATAAGTAACTTCGTTCCCAACATAAGCCACTTCGCTCCCAAAAAAATTCACTTCCCTCCCAACATAAGTCACTTCACTCCCAACATAAGTCACTTCGCTCCATGTGGAAAACTAAGGTAAAGGTATCTAAATTGATGGTCCATTAAATGACGTGGATATTTTACCTAACAATCGATTAACATCGCTCGCGCGCGCTTGAAGTAAATCCGTGCTACGCAGAAAGAACAATTAAAGCCTCATGTAAGGGACTCACGATATGTAATTTATATTAATAATTGAAGATGGCGGATATCAGTTTCCTCACATCACACAGCAAAAAAAAGTCTTGTTAGGAACTTGTAAAATTCATGTAATTGCCTCTAAATTGTATCAATAAGACGTAATTGTAAACTAAAAAACTTGCTTAAATGATCAATACAAGCGATACCACTTGTTAATCTGCTTAAATTGAATCTCGTCCGAATAATGTACGCAAATCTGTGGCAAATCAATAAAAACGCACCACAAAAGATTCTTAATAATAATTTGTCGAGTATTAAGATCATGCTTTTGAACAAGAAAATCAGGGTAGGGCCAGCTTTTCACAAATATTATAATCTAGGCAATTTTGCAACTCTGTGTGCATGTGAAACTCACCATGCCCCCAAAATATTCAGACCCCAAATACACGTTTTTGTTTTCAGACTTGTTTTCAAAATCCTAAATGCTAAAAAGGATTGTTAGAGATTGTTCCACTCTTCTCCAGTTAGATAAAAAGAATGATGAATTTTCTCCAGTTTTTCCTTAAATCGTACAAGTCTTAGCAAGAGTTGAGTATTTGAGACGTATAGATTCTACGACGAGTACGATTCCGAGATTTTCCTAGGGTTAGTTGGCGTGCGCAAGCCTGTGCTACTTTGGCCGGAAAGACCAAATAAATGAAAACTTTTTAAGACGAGTCTTTGCGAACATGGCGTACAAGAAATCGAAAAACAATCCGTTATTTAGTATTTCATATCAGAAAAGGATTCCATTACGCCTCTTATTGAACCTATGGCGCGAGACCTTGCGCGGTCAAGTTTAAAGAATTCTCAGCGTCAACAAAAATTGCTAAACTTTAGAATCAACAAAAAACACGAATTACTCTTCGCTGAAAAAGGTGTTATAAACTTTCTATACCTCTTTCTCCCTTCTTTTAGTTAGAAAGGAGTATAGAGATCTCGGCCTGCTAACATGCTTCAGAAAAAATATAGGGAGATGCGAGGCATCGTCTAGCAGTTCTAGATGTTGTAGAAACATTTTGCTAGAAGTACACAAACTTTAAGATTGCATGCTACCGATTTTGCAATTTATTGAAGTTTGCACGTGAAGAAATACTCTCGACTGCAAGGCTGTTCAATTAACCACTTTCAAATTTGTCAAATAAGGAGGTTTCGCACAAATAGTGCACTAAAGCCCATGTTAGTGACGAAATATGTGTTCTAGGGTAAAGTCACGGCTCAGGCAGTAAATTAAATATGCATAAACCAGGACCGTTATCTCAACTTGCAACTCATGGCAGGATATCTATTGATGGTAAAATAATTCAAAATATTGACATCCAAGATCACAAGTATATTTCACAACAGCCTGAATAGGAATGTTTAATTAACAAAAAACCACTCTGTCTGGAAAGCTTTTGGCAATTGAAAAATTAGTGATGGGGTCGACGTCCGCCAAATATTGCATAACTTGGTCTCCTGTCACACACTTTCTTTGCAATATACAACTTTGCAATATGCATTTATATACATACAGTCATAAACTTTGAGTTTCTGATCACTTCGCTAAATTCAGGTTTCCTTTGTTTCGGTCGACAGGTGTACCTTTAATGGACGTGACTAATAATGATAGCGAAATGAATTGTTTCTCTTATTTTCATCATAATTAAGAAGGAATTTTGAATCTTTTGCTTCATCTACACAGAAAAACAAGGCAACAGATGAGATATTGATGCACGCGAAACTATGATATGAATGTGTTGGCTGGGCCTGTATTAAATTTTAACTTCTACCTGAGAATAGAATCGAAATTGACGCAGTGAACGGGAAGGATGTTGTTGTATGTCACAAGCCTCTTCCTTCGCCTTCGGTTTTCTCCTTTTCGCGGAGTCTTTTTTCTTCCGCAATTTCGTTAAAAGTATATGAGAAGTTATAACTGAGAGACCTCAGAGAGGGAGATGAATCGCACTTGGTAAGCAAGAAAACTAAACCAGTCCTTGTGCTATACCTGTATAGTCGGTCTCGTCACTATTGAAAAAGTTCAGATGTAGCACGATTGCGCGGTCTTTCTTCAAATCACCTCAATGCTGGAAGCATTTGATAAAAGAGACATCTAAGATAGTTCTATTTATTTCATCAATATCATCAACTCTAAAAATTAGAACTGAAAAAAGAGGCTAGTGAGACTAATAATCCAAACCCAACCAAGTCTCCACCATTACTGGTCCCATCCACGGCATAATTTCCAGACCAGCAGTCATCCCATGCGCAGACACCGCCCGCCTTTGTATTCAAAAGATTACGAATACTGACTTATGAAACAGACTTTGCTATATATTTATATTCATTGTACCAGTCGGCGTTTTGTGATGGTTTTCCTAGATAACGTATAACTACACATGAACTTTTATGTGAATTGACAATTTAATTGCTTTCTTGAACCATTTCGAGTTATGTTTCATCGTTTCCTTTTAAACAACGGAGAGGATTTGTAACAAGTAGTCACATGAAGTAACAGTGCGCTGTTCCCGCCTTCGCAGGTCACATGAGAGACACAGATCAGCCATGTTGCAACAGTGCCATTGAAGAAGATTACCTTATAAGCTTTTTGTCTCTCAATAGTTTTCCCTGCATGTTACAGATAGCATAAAACTCTTTTAAAGTAGTAGAATATATAACATATACTGGAAAAAAGTTAAATATTCATTTTACATCTCTCACACAGAAAATGGACAATTAAAAAGTGCAAGTAATTTTATTAAATTTTCGTTCTGGTTCCCTTAGAGTTAAAGAAAACTGTTTGGATCAATATCAGTATCTGGGCAACTGCCCACCTACCCCTCCCCTAACTCAACAACAGTCAATTGATAACATGTTAGGGCTAATGCTGGATTAGGGGAGGGGCAGGTGGGTAGTTGCCCAGATACTGATATTGATCCAACTGTTTTTCGGTACTAATCTTCAGTTTAAGGCTTGGTGCAGGACTGAGTACAGATTTATGACTATCAGGCAGTCTATTTAGCAGGCAGTCTGGGGCAGCTTTTCTTGATCGCATGTGCTGCCAATGCTTCCATAAACAGCCTGTTACCTTCGGTTTTCTCGAGTTCTTCCTGGCTGATTCTTTCCTTTACTTTACTTGACTGTGATTTCTAATAAGCGTAATGAAAAGTAAAGACAGACAAATAATTTTGTTAAGAACATAAATATACAGAACTTACTTTGCCTCTTGGTAAAATTTCACCATAGACGGCAGTTCAGAAATGTTATTGTGAGTGATCAGATGAAATACGATGGCAAAGATTAGAATGACTAAAAAACAAACCCAAATAATTTAAGACATCTCGAGGCTTTTCAAAGAAGGAGAGATCCCTGCCGCACCCTGTTGTTAATAATCTCCCGAACTATAGCAATAATAAGAAGGCACTCTTGAGACATGACGACCATTCGCGATTCGTTGTTATCACAGACCATCATAGGCTCGAAAAAAACAGAAAGTGACTGGCGAAGATTATTGAGATATACAAGGGCCTAAAATATGACTTATCAATGAGAATGGTTAGTTCTAAAACGAGAACTTCATGGCACCCAGCCTGGCACACCTGATAATCGGTGTCGCCTGGAGCGGCTGGTTCACCTATGCACAAACTAATGAAAATGAGGATGAGTCATTTCGTCTGGAACATGTGATGTATAGTAGCTTCAACACTCACCTTAGAAACCGAATTTAAGGTGGATTTGATTTTCCTCTTCTTTCGTTTCCCGTAAATTTTCTCCGGTTCTTCCTAGAAACGTAGAAGTAATGAAAAAGAGTTTATTATTTGAATCTGTAAATTCTAATGCGAACACGATTCCGAGTTCGGGATCTTCCAACAATCCGACAGTGAAATAGTGGGCGCCCGCGAATCTGCGCTATCTTGATAAGAAAGACGCAATAACCTAGAAATTTATATAGGACGAGCAATTATGACAATTATGGCGTACAAGACACTGACAAACAAGCAGATATTGGGAAAGGGTTCCATAACGACCCTTTCGAAATAGGGGAGATGTGACTTATCTTCGAGCAATTTTATGGGGCATGAAGTTTTACGAAAAGCATATGACCTTTGAGATTGTATGCCTCTGATTTTACAAATTACTGAAACTCAGTTGCTGGCGAAAATGTTTTTTGACGGCAAGGCTGTTGCATCAACCACTTTCGAAGTTGTCAAAATAGGGGTTCCCACAGCTAGCTCTTGGAGGCCTTAAAGCCCATGCTAGAGACAAGAAATTTTCGTATGTTAAAGTCAAGTCATATTTAGTATTTTAAAGCATGAAAGGGATCCATTACGCCTCTTATCAAACCTATGGCAAGACCTTGCGTGGTTTAGTTCAATGCCAAACAGAACAATGATCAAAACAATTGCAAAACTGTGGAATCAACAAAATTTTCAGAATTACTCTTCACAAAATAAGGTGCGACAAACTCTACATACTTCTTCCTCCTTTTTTTCAAGACAGTAAGTTAAAAAGGAGCTTGAAGATACCAGCCCGCTAAGATGCTTCAGGAAAAAAATAAGGAAGATGTGACGTATCGTCTAGTCATTTTATGGGGCGTAACATTTTACCAAAAGCAAACAACCTTCCAGATTTTTATGCTTATGATTTTACAGATTATCGAAACTTGCTAACCAAATATTTTTTTACGGCTTCTTCAGTAAATTAAATACGTTCAAACCAAACTGTTATCTCAAATTTCAGCTCATAGGACGATATCTATTGATGGTAAAGTATTTCAAAACATTGACATTTAAGATCCTAAATATGTTTCGGAACAACCTGAAAAGGAATGTCTATTTAAAAAACTTATCTTTCTGGCAAGCTTTTCGCAATTAAAAACCAGACCTAATTATGCCGATTGGAATCGATGAAATTTTTGTCCAATAATGTCTGCTGTCACATACTTTTTTTCAGAAACTTTGTAGTATGCATCTGCATAACTAAAATTCTAAATTTTGAGATCGTGAAATTTTTTTCAATTCAGCTTCCCTTATTTTAGTCGACAGGTATGTTTCCAAAATTGAAGCGATGATTAATAATGATACCAAAAATAAATTGTCTCCTATTATCATAATAATTAAGAGGAGATCTTGAAGCTTTTGTCTCATCTACCCAGGGAAACAAGGTAACAGGTAAAATATTAAAACGAAACTGATATGGATGTGATTGCTAGGCCTTTGTCAATTATTAACTTCTACCTGAGTGTGGAATCGAAATTGTAGCAGTGAACGTGAAGGATGATCTTGTATGTCACAAACCTTTACACTTCTCCCTTCGCCTTCGTCTTTTTCCCTTTCCCTTTTAACTCATACATTATGAAATATTCATTTCTCGTAGCAACGAATCAACCAATCACTTGACAAGGTGACAAGTTGCATATCTTGCATGGCTTTGATGGTTTTAATGGGGGGTACTGTTTTAATAATCATATGGAAAACATTTATATGATTAGGTTTCTGTGGTTTGTTGATGAGATGATCCGACGATCATAGCAGGAAGTGAAAAAATTAAAATAACAGAGATTTTCTGTTTCTAAGTAACAGGCAAAATATTAATAAACGCGAAACTGATATGAATGTGTTGGCTAGGCTTATGTAAATTTTTTAACTTCTACCTGAGTATCGAATCGAAATGGAAGCAGTGGACAGGAAGGATGTCGTATGTCACATGCATTATCACTTTCTCCTTCGCCTTTGCCTCTTTCCTTTTCGAGATGTCTTTTTTTCTTCTGCAATTTTTTAAAATGTATATGAGAAGATATCACTGAGAGACAACAGAGAATGAGATGAACCACACTTGGAAAACAAGTTACACTTGTATTGTCGGTTTCATCACAACTAAAAAACTTAAGATGTAAAATGATTGCATGTTCTTTCCTCAAAACATTTCAATGCTGGCAGCATTTGATAAAAGTAAGATTTAAGCTATTTCCATTTATTTCATCTATATCAAAAAAATTAGAATTGAAAAAACTTAGCCTACCAGTGATTCTCTTGTAAAGACATCGTTCGCGGCATCAGCATAAAGCAACTGGGACAGTTTGACTGACTTGATTCTAACTTGTTCGGGATTGTCATTTAGAGTCGTTGAAAACGGATCACTGCAATTCACGTCCATGACAGCACCTCTGTTTTGAAAGTTTCGAAAACAAGTTTTCAATCAGTTTGCCAAAGTTTTTTGCAATCGTTTCCAATTAACTCATACATTATGAAATATTCACACTGAGTCAACCAATCACTTGACAAGGCGAAAAATTACAGGCGTCTTTAACCTGTCAATGAATAGCTAAAAGAGTTTGACGGAAGGGCTGTTACATCAAGCACTTTCGAAGTTGTCAAAATAGGGTTTCCCTTGGCTGGCTCTTGGAGGCGTTAAGGCCCATGATAGAGACAAAAAATTTCCTAGGATGAAGTCACGGCTTATTTTGTATTTTAAATCATGAATGAGTTCCATTACGCCTCGTATCGAAGCTATAGCAAGACCTTGCGTAGTCTAGTTTAGTGAATTCTCAGGGTCAACCAAACAGAACAATGATCAAAACAATTGCAAAACTGTAGAATCAACAAAATTTTCAGAATTACTCTTCACAACAAAAGCTGTGACAAACTCTACATACTTCTTTCTCCTTTTTTTAAATACAGTAAGATAGAAAGGAGCTTAAAGATACCAGCCCGCAAGGATGCTCCAGAAAAAATAAGGAAGACGTGACGTATCGTATGGGACGTAGAAGTTTACCAAAAGCATGCAACCTTTCAGATTTGTATGCTTCTGATTTTACAAATTATCGAAACTTGCTGGCCGAATATTTTTTTACGGCTTCGTTAGTAAATGGAATTGCATAAACCAAACCTGTTACCTCAACTTTAAACTCATAGAAGAACATCTATTGATGGTAATATATTTCAAAACATTGACAACTAAGATCCCAAATATATATCGGAACAGCCTGAATAGGAACGTCTACTTGAAAAACCAATATTCTTGCAAGCTTTTCACAACTTTATGGTCGGACCTAGAGACAGTTGGAGTCGATGAAATGTTTACCCAACATGGTCTCTTGGCATATACTTTATTAAAAAAAATCTGAACTTTGAGATCTTGAAAATTTTGTTTAATTCAGCTTTCGTTCATTCGGTCGCCAGGTGTATCTTTGGTGAACGTGGTGTGTTTCCAAAATTGAAGTGAAGACTAATCATGACAGCAAAAATTAAATTCTTTCTCCTATTATCATCATCATTAAAAGAGATCTTGAAGCTTTTATCTCATCTACCCAGGGAAATAAGACAACAGCTAAAATATTAATACACGAAACTCTGGTATGAATGTGTTGGCTAGGCCTATGTCAATTTTATAAACCCCATATCAACACTTAACTTCTACCTGGGCATGGAATCGAAATGGAAGTAGTGAACGGGAAGGATGATGTTGTATATCACAAGCCTTATCACTTCCTCCTTCGCCCTTGTCTTTTTTCCTTTGCACGTTCTCTAAGGCCTCTAAAAAGTTTCGAAAACAAGTTTTCAAACAGTTTGCCAGGGTTTGCAATGATTCCCTATTAACTCAAACATTATGAAATATTCATTTCTCGTAACACTGAGTCAACCAATTACTTGGCAAGGCGACAACTTGCACATCTTACATGGCTTTGACGGTTTAATGGGGGTATTGTTTTAACGATCATATGAAAAACAGTTATATGATTGGGTTTCTGTGGTTTGTTAATGAGATGATGCGACGACCTTAGCAGAAAGAGAAAACATAAAATAACAGGGATTTTTCTGTTGCCTTGGGTTTTTTATGTCAATCAATTACTCCAATTTACGGTGTCTTAAGGTGTAGAACAGATGAGGGTCAACACCTGCCATTCTCTAACCCACGACTCCTTATGCCGAGATTTCCAGATTAAAGTTTAGGATAACTTGACCACTGTCGATCCCTCCAGCATGGAGGTTGGGTACTTCAGAACATATATTGCCGACAGAATGAAACTCTTTCGAGAAACGATAACGCAGGATATCAATGAATTTTTAGAAGCCATTCTTGAACCGCTGGGAATGAAATACTTCATGGAAGAAGAATATTCTTTAAATGACGAACTAGTGACGAAACTAAGAGGATGTTTTAAAGACTTGTACTGGAGTTTAAGAGTTCACTTGTACTTGCACCTTAAAGAACTTGCCATGCCGCCTGATACTGGGAGACTCCTTGAAATGGTGGGCAGATGGGGCAACCTGAGCGACGATGAGATGAAGATGTATATGGACTCAAACCATATGATAGACCCTGCAAGCAAACTCTTGGAAATGGTGAGTAGGAAAGCGGTCAGGAAAATACATTAGAATATCGGCCATGGATCGCATGCATTGCAATCACATCTTTAGTGGATTGAGATATCTGATCCCTTGCTTTTTTTTCCTATCTTATCTTACTAATAATTGCTAAGGAGCATGAATGGAACTGGATTACAAACTGAAAGGAGATCAATTTGAATTCAGGGCAGCTTTTTTTTGTCCCTGTCAGAACTATATTAGTGCTGTGAAACGGTATCTAGCTTAATCAAAAAGGGTACCTCATCTAGCTGCTGATAGCTCTTCCAAGTTATTGGGTCATTTTACTGAAATTAACTTCCCGAATAGGTGAATGAATTTCAGACTAAACATTTGCGATTTATGATGGCCAGTATGCAGAGAGCGAGTTTGGTTCCGGGACGGTCAAATCAAAAGGTGAGCGAGCACCCACGGACAGTCTTGAGAAAACATTTGGTCCGTAAAGTTTACATCCTGATATTGATTTTCTAATTTCACAAATTTTGCATATTGCTACATTTCAGTTCAGCTTCGTCAGGGAAACTCGTCTTACCAAAAGAGGGAGCGAAGAGCACGCCAACGGTGTATTTGAAATAGCAAAGTCCTGGCTAGGCCGTCTAAATCCCGAAAACATCTTCTTACCAGACGTTTTGGCGATAGTTGAACATATGCCTTCGAAGAGGTTTTTCGTGGGTGCATCAATAGCAGTAAGTGACTTCTTAAGGCCTATCTGTTTGCGCAATCGAATCATTAATCTTAAAGAAAAACTCGGAGGTGCAGTAATACATTTCTGTACTCTGAATGATCCAATTCGACATGATTTGCGATTTTCATATGCCTTTAAAACTCAAAGATATGACTCCTTGACTCCTGGGCCTCCTTGCCAAAATTGTAAACTGTTGTTCCAAGGAGATAGATCGGGAAGGGGAGAACCCACAATTCTTGGTTCATGTGCCGAATATTGCGCTGTTAATGAGCTTCTACCAGAAGAGACAACTTTAAAGCACAGTCGGAATAAGCGTGTAAATTCAAAAGTGAAGGGAAACTTTAAACAATGTATCACTCTCCTCAAAAACTACAGAGATATGTCGGAAAGGTGCATTACTACCTTTGAAAACGGAAACCAAAATGAAATGGAGACATTGTACTTGCAAGTGAAATACCTTTTCCCCACTTTTGGCCTAAGGCCAGAGTTTAATCGTTGCTTTTCACAGGATACCGAGCCCGTCAACAATCAGTGATCAGAAAAAAATTCGGCCTCTAATGAGGGGAATTTCTGGTAGAATAAAACCCAAGTTACGCTCTTTGAGTTTTGAATTATATTTGCTCGGTAAAGATGGCACTCTTTTAGGTTGAAGTTGGAAATTATGTTATATGTTATTACAGAACATTTATTTTTCCAATTAGCTAGGTTTATTGTCTTCTGTGGAACTGGGATTGCTACACAGTTTTCCACTTTCGATCTGTTGTAACGTCACTTCGTTATAGCTACTTCAAAGTATTAAAATATGTTGCATGTGTGATTCCGCCCCACGGATGTCAAGCAGGGCTCCCCAAAAAGTAAGACGGAATTTTGCGCAACATACGAAAGAATGATGGTGAAAGGGACTACCTCTTATAGGCACCGAAGCACAAGCTGAGAGGAGAAGGATGAGCCAGTGACAAGTATGGCTCACTTATCACTGCTCTTCCTGACATAAGTCTTGTTAGGAACTCATAAAATTCATATATTTGCCTCTAAATTGTATCAATAAGATGTAATTGTCAACTAAAAAACTTACTTAGAATGATCAACACAAGTTATATCACTTGTTAATCCGCTTATATTGAATCTCGTCCGAAGAATGTATGCAAATCTGTGGCAAATCAATAAAAAAAACCACAAAAGATTCTTAATAATAAGTTGTTTGAGTATTAAGATCATGCTTTTGAACAAAAAATTCAGGGTAAGGCCAGCTTTTCACAAGCATTATAACCTGGGAAATTTTGCAACCCTGTGTGCCTGGGAAACCCACAGATGCCCTCAAAATATTCAAACCCCAAACACAAGTTTCTGTTTTCAGTCTTATTTTCAACATCATAAATGCTAAACAAGAGGCTTGAATGTTGGAGATTGTTCCACTCTTCTCCATTTAAATGAAAAAAGAATGATGAATTTTCTCCAGCTTTTCCTTGAATCGTACAGGTTTTAACAAGAGCTAAGTATTTGAGATGTACAGATTCTACGACGAGTACGATTCCGAGATTTTCTTAGGGTTAGTTGGCAGGCGCAAGCCTCTGATACTTCGGCCGGAAAGACAAAATAGATAAAAACTTCTTTAGACGAGTTTTTGCAAATATGGCGTACAAGAAATCAAAAAACAGTTCGTTATTTAGTATTTCATATCAGAAAATGGTTTCATTACGCCTCCTACCGAACCTATGGCGCGAGTCTTTGCGCGGTCAAGTTTAAAGAATTCTCAGGGTCAACAAAACATACAATCATCAAAACAATTACCAAACTTTAGAATGGACAAAAAACCCGAATTACTCTTCGCTGAAAAAGGAATACCTCTTTCGCCTTTCTTTTAGTTAGAAATGAGTATAGAGATCCCGGCCTGCTAAAATGCTTCAGAAAAAATATAGGGAGATGCAATGCATCGTCTAGTAGTCTTATGGGACGTAAAAAAATTTTAAAAAAGCACACAACCTTTAAGATTGTATGCTTCCAATTTTACAGTTTATTAAAGCTTGCTGGCGAAAAAGTTTCTTGACAGCAAGGCTGTTAAATCACCACCTTTAAATTTGTCAAATAAGGGGGGTTTCGCACGAATAATGCGCTAAAGCCCATGTTAGAGACGAAATATGTGTTCTAGGATAAAGTCACGGCTCAGGTAGTAAATTAGATATGCATAAACCAGAACTGTTATCTCAACTTGCAACTCAGTAGCAGGATATCTAGTCATGGTAAAATAATTCATAATACTGACATCCAAGATCACAAGTGCATTTCACAACAGCCTGAATAGGAATGTTTAATTGACAAAAAACCACTCTGTCTGAGAAGCCTTTGGCAATTGAAAAATCAATGATGGGGTCGACGTCCTCCAAATATTGCATAACTTTGTCTCCGCCTATATTAAATTTTAAATTCTAACTGAGAATAGAATCGAAATTGACGCAGTGAACGGGAAGGATGTTGTTGTATGTCACAAGCCTCTTCCTTCGCCTTCGGTTTTCTCCTTTTCGAGGAGTCTTTTTTCTTCCGCAATTTCGTAAAACGTATATGAGAAGCCATAACTGAGAGACTTCAGAGAGGGAGATGAATTGCACTAGGTAAACAAGAAAACTAAACCAGCCCTTGTGCTATACCTGTATAGTCGGTCTCGTCACTACTGAAAAAGTTCAGATGTAGCACGATTGCGCGGTCTTTCTTCAAATCACCTCAATGCTGGAAGCATTTAATAAAAGAGACATCTAAGATAGTTCTATTTATTTCATCAATATCATCTACTCTTAAAGTTAAGAACTGAAAAAAGAGGCTAGTGAGACTAATAATCCAAACCCAACCGAGTCTCCACCATTACTGGTCCCATCCATGGCATTAATTACAAGACCAGTAGTCATTCCATGCGCAAACACCGCCCGCCTTTGTATTCAAAAGATTACGAATACTGACTTATGAAACAGACTTTGCTATATATTTATATTCATTGTACCAGTCTGCGTTTTGGGATGGTTTTCCTAGATAACGTATAACTACACATGAACTTTTAGGTGAATTGACAATTTAATTGCTTTCTTGAACCATTTCGATTTATGTTTCATCGTTTCCTTTTAAACAACGGAGAGGATTTGTAACAAGTAGTCACATGAAGTAACAGTGCGCTGTTCCCGCCTTCGCAGGTCACATGAGAGACACAGATCAGCCATGTTGCAACAGTGCCATTGAAGAAGATTACCTTATAAGCTTTTTGTCTCTCAATAGTTTTCCCTGCATGTTACAGATATCATAAAACTCTTTAGAAGTAGTAGAATATATAACATATACTGAAAAAAAAGTCAAATATTCATTTTACATCTCTCACACAGAAAGTGGACAATTAAAAAGTGCAAATAATTTTATTAAATTTTCGTTCTGGTTCCCTTAGAGTTAAAGAAAACTGTTTTTCTGCACTAATCTTAAGTTTAAGGGTTGGTGCAGGACTGAGTACAGATTTATTACTATCAGGTAGTCCATTTAGCAGGCAGTCTGGGAGGGGGGGCTTTTCTTGATCGCATGTGCCGCCAAGGCTTCCATAAACAGCCTGTATCCTTCGGATTTCTCGAGTTCTTCCTGGCTGATTCTTTCCTTTACTTTACTTGACTGTGAATTCTAATAAGCGTAACGACTTATCACTGAGAATGGTAATTTCTAAAACGAGAACTTCATGGCACCCGGCCTGGCACACCTGATAATCGGTGTCGCCTGGAGCGGCTGGTTCACCTATGCACAAACTAGTGAAAATGAGGATGAATCATTTCGTCTGGAACATGTGATGTATCGTAGCTTCAACACTCACCTTAGAAACCGAATTTAAGGTGGATTTGATTTTCCTCTTCTTTCGTTTCCCGGAAATTTCCTCCGGTTCTTCCTAGAATCGTAGAAGTAATGAAAAAGAGTTTACTATTTAAATCTGCAAATTCTAATGCGAACACGATTCCGAGTTCGGGATCTTCCAACAATCCAACAGTGAAATAGAGGGCGCCCGCGAATCTGCGCTATCTTAGTAAGAAAAACGCAATAACCTAGCACTTTATAGAGGACGAGCAATTACCACAATTATGGCGTACAAGACACTAACAAACAAGCAGATATTGGGAAAGGGTTCCATAACGACCCTTTCGAAATAGGGGAGATGTACTAATCTTCCAGCAATTTTATGGGGCATGAAGTTTTACGAAAAGCATATGACCTTTGAGATTGTACGCCTCTGATTTTAAAAATTACTGAAACTCAGTTGCTGGCGAAAATGTTTTTTGACGGCAAGGCTGTTACATCAACCAGTTTCGAAGTTGTCAAAATAGGGGTTCCCACAGCTAGCTCTTGGAGGCCTCAAAGCCCATGTTGGAGACTAAAAATTTTCGTATGTTAAAGTCAAGTCATATTTAGTATTTTAAAGCATGAAAGGGTTCCATTACGCCTCTTTCGAATCTATGGCAAGACCTTGCGTGGTCTAGTTAATGAATTCTCCGGGTTAACCAAACAGAAAAATGATCAAAACAATTACAAAACTGTAGAATCAACAAAATTTGAACTGCTCTTCACAAAATAAGGTGCAACAAACTCTATATACTTCTTTCTCATTTTTTTCAAGACAGTACGTTAAAAAGGAGCTTAAAGATACCAGCCCGCTAAGATGCTTCAGAAAAAACATACGGGAGCTGTGACGTATCGTCTAGTAATTTTATGGGGCGTAAAATTTTACCGAAAGCAGAAAGAAACCTTTCAGATTTTTATACCTATGATTTTATAAATTATCGAAACTTGCTGACCAAATATTATTTTACGGCTTCGTCAGTAAATTAAATACGCATAAACCAAAACTGTTATCTCAAATTTCAGCTCATAGTACGATATCTATTGATGGTAAAATATTTCAAAACATTGACAATTAAGATTCCAAATATGTTTCGGAACAACCTGAATAGGAATGTCTATTTAAAAACCAATCTTTCTGGCAAGCTTTTCGCAATTAAAAAATCAGACCAAATGCCGATTGGAGTCGATGAAATTTTTGCCCAATAATGTCTACTGTCACATACTTTTTTTCAGAAACTTTGCAGTATGCATCTGTATAGATAAAATTCTAAATTTTGAGATTGTGAAAATTTTGTTCAATTCAGCTTTCCTTCATTTCAGTCGACAGGTATGTTTCCAAAATTGAAGCGATGATTAATAATGTTAAAAATTAATTGTCTCCTATTATCATAATTAAGAATAGAGACGAAAAGGATAGTGCGTTACTATTTCGTAACATTGCGTGACTTCCGGTTGAGTTAATAATATCAAATGTAATATAAGATGATTTTGTAACATAATAAAAAAGCACATTGAAAAATCAAGTTTGGGTACATGTGAAATCGAACATCGATCCCGAAATATTTACAGGACATCGCGAGTTATCGAACATCGGAATTATCGGAAACAACAGAGATCTTGAAGCTTTTGTCTCATCTACCCAGGGAAACAAGGTAATAGGTAAAGTATTAAAACGAAACTGATATGGATGTGATTGCTAGGCCTTTGTCAATTATTAACTTCTACCTGAGTATGGAATCGAAATGGAGGTAGTGAACGGGAAGGATGTTGTATGCCTTTTCACTTCTTCCTTCGCCTTCGTCTTTTTCCCTTTCCTTTTTAGCTCGTTACGAAATATTCATTTCTCGTAACACTAAGTCAACCAGTCATTTGGCAAGGCGACAACTTGCATATCTTGCATGGCTCTGATGGTTTAATGGGAGTATTGTTTTAACGATCATATGATAAACATTGATGTCATTAGGTTTCTGTGGTTTGTTCATGAGATGATACGACGATCATGGCAGAAAGTGAAAAAATTTCAGAGAGATTTTCTGTTACTAAGTAACAGGTAAAATATTAATAAAGGCGAAACTGATATGAATGTGTGGGCTAGGCCTATGGAAATTTTTAACTTCTACCTGAGTTTGGAATCGAAATGGAAGCAGTGAACGGGAAGGATGTTGTATGTCACACACATTATCCCTTTCTCCTTCGCCTTCGCCTCTTTCCTTTTCAAGACGTCTTTTTTTCTTCTCCAATTTGTAAAATGTATGTGAGAAAATACAACTAAGAGACAACAGAGAGCAAGATGAATCGCACTTGGGATACAAGTTATACTTGTATTGTCAGTCTCATCATTACTAAAAAACTTAAGATGTAGTATGATTGCATGTTCTCTTTTCAAAACATTTCAATGCTGGCAGCATTTGATGAGAGAAAATTTTAAGTTATTTCCATTTATTTCATCAATACCAAAAAAGTTAAAATTGAAAAAAACTTACCTACCAATGATTCTCTTGTAAAGACATCGTTCGCGGCATCAGCATAAGCAACTGGGACAGTTTGACTGACCTGACTCTACCTTGTTCGGGACTGTCATTTAGAGTCGTTAAAAACGGATCATTGCAATTCACGTCCATGACAGCACCTCTGTTTTGAAAGTTTCAAAAACAAGTTTTCAAACAGTTTGCCAAAGTTTTTTGCGATCGTTCCCTATCAACTCATACATTATGAAATACTCATTGCCCTTAACACTGAATCAACCAATCACTTGGCAAGGCCAAAAAATTACAGGCGTCTTTAACCTATCAATGAATTGTTAGAAGAGGTTCTTAGATTAACCGCTGCGCATGATATACCGTATAGAAGGTGATCACAATTTTTTTGAGGAATAATACACGACACTAAGGGGACGTTTTGAAGACATGTACTGAAGTTTAAGAGTTCACTCGTACTTGCACCTTTAAAATCTTGTCACAATAATAATAATAATAATAATAATAATAATAATGTATTTAAACAGGATGAATCCGTCAGTTGAAGCCGTTATAAACGGGTGCCCTTGGCAATGAAAAAATTAACAATTAAAGAAAAATAACTTTAACAGATGAACTATCAGAAAAATTTTAAAAAAATACAAACAATGTCAATGGATAACAACTAAGAATTATATAACTGAGTAAATTAAGCAAATCCAAAAGATTTTCTAGATCCATGGAAAACAATATCATTAAGCTGTGTTTCAAAAATCCCTATAGAGTCAACTTCCTTTAGATGCGGTGGCAAGTTCTAGAGAGCCTTGGCTCCAAAATAAAATGTTCCTTTCTTGGCAGATTCTGTACAGACTTTAGAAATTAAAATATCTAAACAATTACGCCTAGGGAATAAACATGTGAGGACTTGATAAAATAACTCTTAAAAAGATCTGGAACAATGTGATGGAGACACTTACAAACAAAAGTTAAATTGTGCATAATAGAACGCGCTTTAAGGGACTTCCAACTTAATTGGCATATCAGTTGATGGTTAACTAAACCGGTATCGCAGAGGTCATGGGTTCAAATCCCGTAAGGGCCTGAGGTTTTTTTCAGGCCTTACTTCAACTACTCAGTAGTTTTGTAGCGTTCATAACTGCGAGGATCGATTCTATATTCGTTTCTTCAACCGCAGTGCACAAATATGATTTTCATATATTTACAGCCATTATTCAGTTGATGGTAACTTAGATTACTATCCTTCAGAATAATTCGAAGTCACTCCAAAGATTAATAACTAGAAGGAGCTAAGTTGTTCAAAACAAAATGGCAATAACCTAATTTGGGAAGTATCATTGTTGTAAAGACTCTTTCAGCTGCATAGACCGGTAAGTTATTACGTGCCCCACGTAACAAACCAAGGTGACTAGGTATCTTGCTATTCAGCCGAGTAACATGCTCCTTAAAAAACAGGGACTGGTCTAGGTAGATCTCTATATACTTATAAAAAGGTACACGATTTACAACTTGACCTACGAAGTTAACTTCACTTAGATTAACAGTCAAACTGATTGAGTTTCACAGATGTTCCAAAGATCGCATATTCAGTTTTCTTAGGATGAACATGATAAATAGATTGCTCTTGTTAGACCAATCCAAAAGGATCTTGACCTAGTCATTCAACACTTGCAATAAGTGGTTAGCATTTGAGGCAGCATAATAGATGACGGTATCATCTGCGTACATTAACACATTAGAAGCTTACTAACAGCTCGGTAGGTCAGTGACATAATGAAAATAGCAACGGGCCCAGCATAGAACCTCGCGGAACTCCGCAAACTACTTGTTGGGGACTGGACAGAACACCTCCCACGAAAACAGATTGGGTGTGATCAATGAGGTAATCAGACATCCAAAGATGTTCACTACCCCAAATCCCAAACAACTGCAGCTTATCAAGTAAGATCTTGTGGTCAATAGTGTCAAATGCCTTACGGAAGTCTACAAAAATGGCATCTGTTCGGAGTCCAGCATCCACGCTCCTTCTAATGTAGTCAGTAAGGAAAGTAATTCCTGTCTGTGCAGAGTACTTACGACGGAATCCCCATTGGTATCTTGAAAACAGGTCACATGACTCCAGCTAATCTACTAGTCGCTGTTGAACAGCCCTTTCGAGAATTTTTGACACCACAGACAAAATTGAAATCGGGCGATAGTTATCAATATCATCCCTTGCGCTATCCTTGTAAAGTGGAATTACCTTAGTGTGTTTCCAATCATGGGGTACACATTGGGTAGTTATTAACAGATTGGCGATATGCGTGAAAAGTACGCTGATAGTTACAGCACTAACCTTTAGCAACATGAACGGGAGGCCACCAAGACCTGTTGCTTTTGATACCTTTGACTCAGCCAGCTGTTTGTGAATGAAGCCATTAAATACTAGTGCCAAGTGACATTTATCATCAGTAAATTTGGAACAAAACGAAGTAGCAACGGCGCTTCTCTGGAATTGACTTGAGAGTCGCAATTAAATCTCTGAAAAGTATTTACAAAAGCAACCGGCGATACTATCTTTATCCGTGATCAACTCTCCATCGAATTTCAGTTGGTTTATTGATCTAGAATTTGACTTGATTTATTTGGGAAGAGTTTCTTCATAGTCTTCCAAAAGCTGCACGGATCGTCGAGATTTTCTTGAATCAAGTTTCGATTATAATCAGACTTGGCATTCCTTGTAGAAGCTCTGACTTGATTTCTATGTAATCGATAAGAAGCCCAATCCTCGTCTCACCCAGATTTCTTTACTTTTCTTAAGTAGAAATCTCTAGATTTCATCAAGTTTGAAATCGCAGAGGTCATCCACGGATTTTGGTAACTTTTTTAGTAAGCAATGGTGCATGCCGATCACAGATATCAAGAAAAATGCTTTTGAAGCCGTTCCATGCAGACTTTACATCAGAACTTTTTTAAAACCGAATCCACGAGGCCATCTTGAGGTCATTATTAAAAGCTTCTTTGTTGTACTTGGTGTAACTGCGGCATTTCAGGGTTCGTGCTTGGAACCTTAATGGGTTCGTTTTCCGAACGCATTCAACCATAAAGTGATCACTTATACCCAGTTAGATAACTTTCTTTTGTGAAATATTGTGTGGGTGTGTTGAAAGAATGGTGTCCAACAATGAATCTCCAACCAAATCCCCTCGTCTGGATACCGACAAACAATCGCGAACATAGACAGCAACATCGCACCCTTCGTTTGAGCTTATCGACCCAAACGGTAGCCAATTTCATTATCAGATACTTGTGCCGATAGATGAGTTTCGGTGACAGAAAAACAATCAATGTTCTTATACCGTTGTAACACGCCGCCCGATACTGACAGACTTCTGAGTGGGCAGATGAGCAGATGGGCCGGCCTTACCAAAGGAGAGATAGAGGAGCTGAAGGAGAACCGGTCAAACCATTTTATGGACCGCTTAAGCAAACTCTTAGAAATGGTGAGTAGGAAAGCGGTCAGGAAAATACATCAGAATATCGGCCATAATTCGGATTTTTAATTGCATTCACATTTTAAGTGGATTGAGATTTCACATGCCTTGCTCGTGCTAATTATCGCACCTTATTAATCACTGCAACAAATTGAACTAAGATTAATTTAAGTTCAGGAAAACCAGTCAGAACAGTTTTAGTGCTGTGGAACGGTGCTTGAAAGCTGGTGCAGAAAAGCTCTTCTACGTTATCGGGGCATTTTGGTGAAATTTCCTTTCATTATCAGTGTAGGAATTTCAGACAAAACATTTGGGTTTATAATGACCCGTTTGCAGACTGCAAGGTTGGTTCCGGCACGGTCAAATCAAAAGGGTGAGCAAGCGACCATGTACTTTCTTGAGAATGAGATTGGGCCCTGTTGTTAACATTCTGATATTGGGATTTTAGTTTGACGAATTTTTGCATAATGTCATATTTCAGTTCAGCCACCTCATGGAATGTCTTGCCCAAAGAGGGAGCGAAGAGCACGTCAACGGTGTATTTGAAATAGCAAAATTCTGGCTAGCCCATCATAGACCCAAAAACATCTCACCAGACGTTTTAGCGATAGTTGAACATAAGCCCTCCAAGAAGTTTTTTGTAGGTGCATCAATAGCAGTAAGTGACTTTGTAAGGCCTATCTGTTTGTACAATCGAATCACCAATCTTAAAGAAAGCCTTGGAGCTTCAGGTATACATTTCTGTCCTCTGAATAATCCAGATCGACATGATTGGAAATTTTCATATGCCTTTAAAACTCAAAGATATGATTCTTTGAATACTCGGCTTCCTTGTCAAAATTGTAGGACGTTGTTCCAAGGAGTTCTTTCGGGAAGGGGAGGACCCACATTTCTTGGTGCATGTGCAGAGTATCATACTGTTAATGAGCCTCTACCAAATAAGCAAACTTTGAAGCATAGTCAAGATCGGCCCGGAAAGTTAAAACTGGTGAGAAGCTATAACAAATGCACGAGTCTCCCCACAAACTACAGAGATATGTTGGAAATGTGCATTACTGCCTTGGACAATGGAGACCAAATTGGAATGGAGAGAGAATTCTTGGGAAGTGATATACTTTTTTCACACTTTTTGGCCTAAGGCCAGAGTGTAATCATTGCTTTTGATTTTCTTCCATTTTCCTTTTTGACAGGAATTGTTCCATTCTTCTCCATTTAGATGAAAAGAATGATGATGATGATGATAGAAAGAATTTAAAATATTATTGATGGTGTAAAAAATTCAAATGTTAACTTCACTAAATGAGACATAATTAACTCCTAATGCCATTTTATTTTTAATTACTCAACATCACCTGTGTTAGGAAATACCTTCCAGATAGGAATAATGAAATTTTTAATTCCCAAATTTATCCCATCAAAGTTTGACAAATGTAACCCTCATTGATCCTATGTCACAAGGTATGTTACTAGGAAGTTCTATGTTGAAAACACAGCAGTTTTTGTAATAACTGTCAATACTCTTGCAAACTTTAGCAACCAAAGTAAATTTCGACAAAACTCCACTCTTGACCTAATTCTGAATGCATTGCTGACCTTTAAGGCCTTCCACTACTAATCTCCAGGTTAAAATAAACATTAGAAAATGCAGCACAGGTACCTGTACCTGTAAATGTTCACATCAGGGCATTTTATTGAATCTTCAAAAAAGCCGGCCAAAAAAAAAAGGAGGTGAAGCTCACATTGCCCCTATGCAATGAGCATAATGTCTTCTTGCATCATGTGTAAAACCATCAAAAAGGGATTTTAATTTCCTTTTTCAATTATCTAGAATTTTGGTCTTAATTATTTGAAAAAACATCCAACACCATTATCTGAGAATCATGTCACTAAAGCATGCACCAAAGACAAAAGTGAAAAAAACCATTAAAGTTTCCTTCAAAACAAACTGAAAAAATTTGTGTTACATACATGTAAAAGTTGGTCACTTAACCATTATTAAGGTTGTAAACAAATCAAACTTTGGTGCATAGAATGCAGCCATTTGTCTACTTTAACCTCTGCATGTAATTTTGCCTTGTTGCACAATATACCAATCCTGTTACATACTTTGGGTGCTCTGTTTTCCAAATATGGTAAAATGCTGCAAAAGTAGAATGGTATTTCAAAATGTATACTGCATTTCTTCCTACTCAGTTCTGGTCACAGGTTTATCACCTGGTTATTGACTATTAAATATCTGTTCCTATCTAACAGAAAAATAGACATCCATGTGAACATCAATCCACGTGCAACAGTTACAAATTCCATGGCTTGAGAAAAATTTACAATAATCATATTTAATGTGGCTCTCCTCTAAGCTTGTTGATGGCATCAGCAAGCATTCTGTTACACATGGCAGCATATGGATTCAACTGTACAACCATTGATTTTGCAAATGCACTGCCAAGTTCTGCTGCCTTTGTAAAGTCCTCAAGTGCTTTGTCTTCATTTCCATTCAGCCTATGAATTAACGCTCGCTGGGTGTATGCCTGGGCAGTAGCAGCACCTCTGTCTTCACCCAGTTGAATGGCTTTGTTTAAATCTTCCAGAGCACTGGGTATGTCTCCTAAAGTCATAAGTCATACCAGTAAATCAATATCAGTATAGGATTCAGTCTTGCTGAAGGAAAGATCAAGACCCACCCTAAACTGATCTCCCTGTCTTCTACAGAAAAGATCTGACAAAAATGCACCAATACAGGGACATAGCTTGAGCTTAAAGCCCTATTAGATAGTGCTAAGATAACTTTTAGCAAAATTTGGAACAAGAAGCATAATTATAGCTCTTTTTATAAATGTATCAGTGCTGGCATAATCAGCATATTTTTTTAGGTTTCTTGAGGCAAACATCACCAGAGTCCTGACTTTTTTGGTGGCTACAATTTATTATGTTCAAGTTCTATCCATAGTTCAGTGTACTCGCAATTTTGCAATGTCTAAGGGGACTGTTCACACCTGAGTGAAGATGAGTCAATCCCAGTTCCTGCTTCCACAGGCAACAAAATAGCATTGAATAGAAACATGATGCTAACTGTGATAGACTGTACATTTTGACAGGTTGAGTCATTGCTTTAAGTCTAGTCTGGAAGTAGTAAATTGTGTTTTACAACAGCAAGTATGTAACTCAAAGCAAAGAAGATATCATGCTTTATTAACAATATCTAAACAATTTGGACCTGTTTAGTGTTCCCCTTTTTGAAAAGCACACTTAAAGAAAATGTACCATAGTTTTCAAAAACGGGCAAAATTCCTCTGTTATATAACATTTTTTATGTCAACAACATACCTGTACAAATCTTACACTTCAGGTGTAAAAAGAAAATGGAAATCCAAAAAATGTACAAATGGCATTAAACTGTCCCAGTGCTTGATACTTCAATTGTCAGTCCTTCTCATTACACAAATACAAGCCTACTTAAACACACAACAGAGCAGCCATATCAGCCAATCCACATGGGGTGAATGGAAATTCTTCACTATGAGTCCCACCCCTCCCCCATCCCTTTAAAATACCTTGCTACCCCCTGGCATCTCATGCACGAAAAAGAACTTAAAGAAAAAATTTGAAAAAAATAAAAAGCATCCCGGCTGTTTCAATTTTAGAGTAAAAGTGACTGAAGACAGAGATTGCAAAAAAGTGACTAGGGTCCAGTTCTTGAAGAGAGAGTGCCACAGGGGAAGGGGAAGGTATACTTCCATTTCCAAGCCTATTTCTTGACTTAGTCTTACTCTCATTCTCAGTTTCATCTTCTTCTTGAAACCAAGTCCCAGAGACCCAAATCACAATGTCCTTCCTCTAAAGTACACCTATTTTATCAATGTACATTCATGAAAGCAGCTTTAAGAAATAAAATAATTTCAAGATGATACCTTAGAGACTTTGAACAAAGTGAACGCCATAATTACCTTTTAACCTCCACAGCTGAGCTCTATTGTTGAAACACGAAGAACGTAAAGGGCATATTTCGCAAGCTTGATTAAAACACTCCAATGCCTCATCTAGATCGCCCTGTTCTGCTTTCTCAACACCAGATGCCTCCAGTTGTTTAGCTAGCATGGCATCCTCGGTATTTTCTTCATTAACGTCGTTTTCATTTTGAAGCTTCGGAGCAGCATCGCCTAAGGGTAACAGAGGATTAAAAATGCTCTCCAACACCGCTTGATCATTGTTGTTAGTCGCCATTTTGTTTTGAAACTCGGATCTAAAGCACCTTGGTACTACTATTGCCTCATTTCGCGTCTCGCGTTGTCGCTGCGTGTTCTTCCGCGCGTTCTCCCGCGTGGTAGATTCGCGAGGTGAGTTCTGTTCGTGTCACTTATTCAAAATTCATTTTTATTTTTAGAAAATAGCGATATTTTCAGATCGATAGTGACAGTTACTCATATTTCCTTCTTCGGATTTCCAAACACTCTTTCATATTCCTATATTTTTAGTTATCATCGTTACTTGTCTTATTCTAGTTGTCGTCAAATTGAGACGGAAGAGGAGTCTGGGTACTACAGTATCTATTCTCGTGACTTTGGTTTTGCCTATTCCACTAGAGTTCAGATTTAGCAGCATAATCTAGCGGAGATTTTGGACGATTCGACATGGAGGGAAGCATTAGAGTCAGCATACCGTCTGTTTCACTGAAGGTCAGTACGTTTACATTTAGCAGATTCGCCTTCAAGTTTCCTTTCGACTTTGATTGGACACCCTCGGAAGATCGACTGGTAGAACTGAGTGTGCATATGTCAGTAGTTTTGAAATGATTGAAGGATTTCTTTTAACATTTCTAGATCGTGATGTCAGTTCATTTCATTCTAACGATATGGTAAGTATATAAAACCAGATGTTCGAAAGACGTGATAGAATGACGTGAAGTAGCAACAAAGCGGGAATTAATTCAATTTGTTAACTTCTGAAAGTGAAATTAATTAGCTAGGGGAACTTTATTTGAGGAACACTGGAGAAATGACCAGCGTTGTGATAAACTGAAAAGGATGGACTCTTGATTTCTCTCGTGAATAAATTTTGCGTGGATTTTAAGGGTTGCAGAGCCAAAAAAACTATTGGTCATGATAAGTCCTGTGGGGTAGTGGGAGGGGAGTGGTCAAAAAGCTGGGGTGGAGTGATTTGGAGCAGCTGCACTCAGAATTAATAAGCTCTCTTGTCATCCATTCCTGGCTTCTCCTTCTGATTATAAGTAAGCTATATATTGGGTGTAGAATAGCTTACCTGAGTATTTTTCAACATAAAGAACCCACAGTAAAAGATGGCAAAGGGTATATACATGACCCATGATTAATTCCAAAATTAATGTGTTGCATGAATTTTACAGAAATGCCAGGTAAGGTGAGATTTGAAGTCTACCCTGTTTAAAGTCCATGTGATACTTTAATTTTTCCAAAATTTGTGTGTGAAATGGTATCAGAACCTCCTAACCCCCCTCCCTGCCTCCAATTTTCTACCCTCACAATGATCAGAAAAGTTTTACTCTCCCTATCTTCCCTGAAAGAAGAAGTCAACTGTCAGGACGGTGAAATTTGCTATTTGGAAATACCAACTTTCTTCTTCATTTTAGTTTTGGTTTCTTGGTTCCCTTTAATATTTATTATTGCTGTAAATTATTTCCAACTCATAACTACAAGTAACATATTCACAAACATTATTATAGCCATCATTAGTGACACTTATTGATTTCCTTTTTTCCCCCTTTTTTAAAGGGGGGATCAATGCTCATGGTTACCGACCTCATATTTGTTCTGTAACTTAGCTGTTCTGGCTATAGGAGTGTGGGCAATAGCATCACCAAGCAATGAAGATGCCTCTCAGTTGGTTTGTATAAATGAGATTTATTATTAATTTCATTTATAATAGAGTTTGGGTATAATGCTCTCTGTCATTGGTTGAAAGAATGTGCTCGATCAGAGTAAAAAGCATAGAGCTGAGCTAAAGCTGTGATGCCATCTGCCAAATTGTACTATGTCGACCTTTTCCTGGTCTTCTCTCTAGCTTTTTTTTTTTGTTAATTGAAAATGAAATTTTGGAACAAGCGAGCTAGAAAATAGCAACAGAAGAACCAAAGAAGGGTTTTTAAACATGCCATTGGCATCCTAATTTACATTATCATAATGCGAGCAGAGACGAAAATCCTCAAAGAGAAAACAAAATGGACAGTACAAGTTTTGAAGGTTTTCATGCTCAGTTAGATTACAAGCTTATGTATGAAAAGTAACAAAAATCAATCACAGCTAACACTCATGCAGTATATATAGTTTTATGTTCAAAAACAAAACAGAACCAAACAGGAGTGATGAAAAATAAAGCCAAACTGGCATAACAGTCAAAATTTATACCAATCATGACAGTGTCTTAGCCACTGTGGCTAGTTCATCATGACCATCTTCAGTCATTGCAGTGAAGAAAGCCTCAGAAATTACATCGTCCACCCTTTAAGTGAACAACTAAGAGCTTGATCTTGCTAGCTCTTGCTTGTTGCTTGCAATCTTCATGGTTTTCAAGAATTTGGCTGTTGTACATTCATAAAACACACGCCTTGAACAGTTTCTATTCTAATTGCTATGCAAAAATACCTTGTGTGTTTTTATAAGCCACAATTTGGCTGGATTTCATGGAACATTTCGCTTTCAGATTATGTATTAGAGACTTAAAAATAACTTCAGGTAAAAGTGTTGAATTCTACCTGTCAAACTATTTCTTGTTCAACCAATCAGACTATTTGAACCATTTTAACAAAGATTCTGATTAGCTTATTGCATGGGGAATTTAAAGGATTCTTTAGTATGAAATAAATAGAGAAGCCTTGACTGTGCTCTGTTCTGTTGTAAAGCACATTATAGGAAGCAGCTAGCACTCAAGAAGTGAAGTGAGGATGTGAAAACTGTCTTTCCAAGCCATTCACTCTTAACCTATTCCAGACCCTTTACCTTTAAACTCCTCCATTCAAACAAGTGTAGTATGCTGGAAAGACTTGACCCTTCTGCTTCAAATGCCTGACCCAAACCTAGGTAAGGTTGGGGGGGAAGAAAGATGCTGAAGCTTGAAATTGATCGGCACACAACTCATTAAAGTGATTCCTTAAAAATATTGTCTCTTAGCTTATCACGAAACACAAATAGACAAAATTTTGTTATCTCTTGTAGTTTCTGTTGGGAATGCTGTTTACTATCATTCATGACATCATAGTCATAGCCATCTTTTATAACTCCAATATACCAGGTAAGTTTAAACAGTAATGAGAATGTGTTTAATCGTAATATTTCATGAAACTTCTTTTATTCAATGTGATTATACATGTATTTATATCCATTTATAGTACTGAGGCAAGTATGAAATTTCTTTCCAGTTCCACTCCAGTAAAAATATTTACAGCTTCAATATCAATAAATTATCTCCCAACAATCAACATATACAATGCATGTTGCAGGATTGACATCTCAAAAAAAACAATTTAATGTATACTATAGATTTTTATTGTTAGTGATTGTTTTTTAATCAGCACCTCACTAGTTGCAAATAGCTTACATGCACTACTAGTCCAGCTGATGCATTTTTTTGGTTAGCTGGTTTATCATTGGTTTGTAAAGGTAAGCTATTAGTACTGGCAATTACCATCTTCTAGATTCAACCATGTTTTGTAGCACGTTGACCCTAAAATTAACTTGGGAACTTGTAGAAGACAATGAGCTAGTGCCATGAGTTGAATATATAAAAACAGTTCAATACAACTAAGAAATCTTAATCACAGACAATGTGCAGAGAAATCCAGAAGGCTTGTCAAATAAAAATGCTTGCACACCAAAAACACTTTGATATTTGATCAAGTGATAATTACAGGGTGGCAATAGTATACAGACAAATTCATTGATTATCAGTAAGGACTTTGTCAAATAATTTTCTGAGTTAACTCTAGTTTTTTGTCCCTGTAACTGTCTGAATTACATACATAAACCTCTTTTAAATGTAAATGTGTGTTGAGTCCTATATGGCAAACCTGTACTATATTGTATTAATATATTTTTGTTCTTTCAGAGTCTCACTACAGGTTTTGTGTGGGGTATCCTTTATATTACTTTTAGGCCAACACTTTGAAAAGGGTTTTTTTAGGACACTTGAGTAGACAAATAGCTAGAATGAGGAAGTAATGATCAGTAAATCAAGCAAAGTCAAGCAAAAATTGTAAGTGAAGTAATTTAGTTCATGTTGTTACTAGTACATTATTTGCAAAATGCAAAACACTTTGTACACTATCTCTCACAGCTTCTCTTAAATCTAGAGTCTACTATACACAGAAAAGGTCTCATGGCCCTGTTTACCTGATTGCTACATATATATCCAATATATAAAAAATTAATTAACATTAAGGAATTTTTTTCCATAAACAAAGGATCAAGTGAGTTTTCTCACTTTAAGAAGATAACGCAGTCAAAGTGATCCCTAATGAAGTTTCATATTTATATTGCGTGGCATCTCTGAACATTCTAGCAGCAGTGAAAGTCAAAGTCAGCATTGTACAGTTAAGTTAACAATAAGTTGTTTACATGAATGGTGCTATAGCTTTTATTTTTTAGAAATGATTCATTGACAATCTTGTACACTTGTACACTTATAAATAACTCCAAAAGAGAATGAAATGTTTTCAGTTTAGGAATACTGCAAGGATGTATGAATGCAAGTTTGTTTCTGTACAACGTTTATGAACATATTATTTCCTTGACATCTATTCCATAACAGAATGGCTATTTTAAGTTTGATTTTAAAGGTGAGTTGTTGACTTAAATTCATCCTTTACAAAAGGCCTAAGTTAAAAAAAAAGAGTATTTCTCCTTCCTTTGGAGGAGTGTTTGACAAATTGAAGCCCTCCAGGAAAAAATAATAATGTAACATTGGCTATATGTTGACCTGGTCTAACAGACCTCTGAAAGGAGTGGTACAATTTTAAAATATTATGTTCTCATTCTTGTTCAAATATGTTCTGTTACTTGAATGGAAAAGTGGCAAGAATAATTCATTAGTTCTCAGTTAACCGTTTAACCCCCAAGATCTCTTTTAATTAGTAATTCTCCCCACTGTCTGTCATACAGTTCTTGTGGTGTCAATTTTGAGAATTTGGTATTTGATCAACTTATAATCCTCTAATTGATATTTTTTCACATCACCTGTCTGCCTGATATTGTATTGATATTGTAAGGAGAAATTCTGTCTTGGTCACTCATGGGAGTTAAAGGGTTAAAACTTCAAGCAGGCAAATTTGTTTCTGCTAACCTCGATATCTCCAATCTGATAAATGAATAATTTTCACAAAATTTGCAAGTTTCTGGGTGACATTCATTTGTTTCATAATTTGTACTGTTTGAATGTATTATTTTTTGTTGTGTCTTTCCTTTTTTCTTAGCCTCTGTCATGCTTGCTTATTTTTCAAAATCACCGCAACAGGGGAGGAGGAGAAGGTTACAGCTGGGCAGGTATATATATGTTGTTTTTTATTACTATTATAATTATTATTGTTAGTTTTAATCACCCTTTAAGTTAGCAATTTGTGCAGGTGCAGTCACCTTATTTATGACTTTCAGTCAGTATTTATTGACACTTAATGAGTGGGACTTCCTGGTGCAGGTGGCTATTTTTGATACATCCTGAACTCTTGCTATAATTTCTCACTTTGAAAAGCTGTTGGAAGATAGATGACCTTAATTGTGGTGTTATGATTTGGGAGTCAGGATGGGAGTGAAGGCAGAATATTCCAGGGAAGGAGGAGGACACACTAGAATCTCACTAGTTGGTGTTGAAGAAGAAGTGTGCTCCAGATACCAAAATGAAATTTCAGTCTGTCTTTGCCGTTAAGTATGAGGGGAATTCAAGCATGTGATCCATATCCTTTCAAAAATTGTCTTCAAGTGGTTTAAAGTTCTGTCAGAACCCCTTCCCCCTCCACAAGCCCCTCCACAAGCCAGCTTCCACCCATGTTAAGTTGTATAGGCCAAAACAACATTTCAAATTAAAGACCTCTAGTTCCAGAGAGAGTGTAACTTTTACTCAAGTTTTAACCGCTTGTTAGAATCTATTGTCCAGGTAGAGACAAAAGAGGATCAAAGACTTACACTCTGGGAGCTGCACATTGCAGCTTGACCTAGGCTATTAATCCAATCAAGTTTCATGCATGTATGTGCACATCTGTTTTCCTGTTTAGTAATGAAGTGAGAAATTTTATTTTACACGATGAGTAACCATGTGAATGAAATTTTCACTTTAGGTTCAAATTATGTGACCATAGAAGGCCAATCAAGCTCACAGCCAGCTCCTGGACACTCTTCTCATCCATAAGACAAAACAAGATTCCCTCTTTTGAGGGATTAAAGATAAGCATAATTGATGCTTTTAATAACAAACAAACTCTGAAGTTATCAAAATTTCAATCAAGTAGCTCTTCCAATTAGTATCCTAGGTTTGCAAACTTTTCACATAAAAAAATTCAATGTTTTCGAAGGATTCAAAGATGATATTTTCTTCTTAAATGTAATTAAATTAATGTACTAAATATGGTATATAGAGCTCTCAAGTTGATTTGCTGTTACTCGAGGGCAAGATCTTAGATTTGGCAGCATTACCTTTCTGGATGGGAACATGTTCTACCTAGAAAATTTAGTGAACTCTCTGACCTGGATATAGGTGGCTCTGCACCAGAATTTCTACTGTTGGAAAGTGATCAGAGCAAATACAAAGGGAAAAAGGATTAACTAATGTCTAGAAAGATAAATAATGTAATATGCACTTATTAAAGCAGTAGATTATTATCTCAAAATCAACAATTTAAATTAAAAAACCATAAATGGGTGAGAAATAGTAGTTTCATTGTGAGAGTGTAAGATTGGAATTCTTTTCATGAATCTCACACTCAATGTGGGAGACTTGAGAGCTCTGGTTAGTTATCATAGAAATTGAGATTGTTTCAACTTCAGAGCTTATATGTTATCAAAAGGCATGGTTATCAGCTTGATTATATTTAGGTTTAAGCACAAGTTGAATGTTAGTTAGTTAGAGTAAGTTCTAGACCTTCACATGGAGCGGCATGTACCAATCTGATGACCTGAATAACACAGTACATTTGTTAGAAAGTGCCACTCTTAGTAACATATAATTAACTTAACATGAAAAAATTCCCAGTCAAAAATGTCTGATAGTTCAAATTGGATCTCAATAGCTGCCACCATCATTAATTCTTGACTGAAACAAAATGTAATATTGCAAGTCATTTTGTAATGTAAACCATTTTCTAGAAGAATGGGGGAAAAATTTAAAGCTGCAGTAATGAATGCACCTCTGGGGAAAGGGTAGTAGAAAAAGAGAATCAATTTTGGCCTTGTGATGCATTTTATTTGCATTTTTTCCTTCTTGTTTTTGGCTTTTCGAGATTTTTAGAAATTAATATATTTTGCAAATTAGAACAATCCATTCTATGATACATGTGAACGTTCACAAAGTAACCAGGTGGTCAATCAGACATGGTTTGATGCTACTCTGGTTTAAAAATTTAATGAATGTAACCAAGAAGTTACACGGTTTATGTTACAGGGTCTATGGATTGTAACTTCTCGGCTATATTCATTCAATCTTTAAACCAGAATAGCATCATACCATGCCTAATCCATTCTGTGTTTTTAATGATGTAGTGGGTGAATTCAATCAATGTTTGAACTAAATACACACTCACCAGTCATCTCATATGAGCATAATTTCAATCCATTTCGTAGGATTGTGTGTAGATGCTTTTATAATTATCTGTAATAAATAGGTCTTGGTATTTTCATTATCTTGATGTGCTTTTTGCTAAAATGGGGGAAGCTTTTACTGGTAGTCCTTGTTGTGTTGTGTGAAAAAAAGAAATTGTCCCAGAAGCATGTGGATAACTTTCAAGGTTGAAATATTCTCTTAAAATCGACAGTTTGCAGAAAAGCAAAGCCTTTAACTTGGGGCAACTTAGAAATTTAAAGGGCCATTTTTCAACTGAGGACTTCAGCCCCCCAGCCAGACGTTTCTTTGTTTCACAAGGATTCAAGGGCCTGCAAATAGCAACAATAAAAATGTATGTGCCAGGCTGATTTGCACTGCATATATGGGTTAACATTGTTGTCACGTTGGTTATTACTATTTTTCTTTTTTTGGGTTTGACCTGTGTGCCCCCTTGTTGATTATATAATCGTTGTAAGTGATGCTTAAATCAAGAGACCCATTCAATTATCAATTTCAATTTTTTTTTCCATGGAAAAAAGACTGACTAACTTTGTGTTGTCTAAGTTAATAATTTCTATCCATTTGATGGCAATGCTGTACATTTGTATACAGCAATCCTTCAACTTGAAGAACTGACTTCTTGCTGGGTTAATGCAAGGAATAGGTTTGAAAAAAACAGTTACATTGTCACACTGAGTTTGTGACAACTTCCTTCAAAGGTTCATTACAGCATTAGTTGTTTGCCTAGGATGGAGAAAAAGGTTCAGTTTTTGGAAAATATCATAATGGCTCTCTTACAGCACAAATCAGAGTCAAAGCTGTGATGGAATTTTACATCCAAGGCTCACTTAAAAGTCCACACCCTGTCAGGAATCTTAATCAATGTTCCACAATATTAATGCTGCATATACTATGAATTTTTAAAAGTAATGAAATTTCAAATTGTGAAAGATTTTCTCTCGTAGATATCATTATTTTTCAGCAACAATATGTGGCAATGCACCTGAACTTCCAATCAACAAAACTTTATCACAGCTGTATTTAGGTCAGTGTTGTCTATAAACAGGCTCACTTGTACAGACAATTTTTTTCTTCTTAAACTTTTATTGCACAGATACCAATCAAAATCAGAGCAAACAGAAATACAAATTCATAAGAAAAGAAAAATCAGATTCCATCCTCTGGAGTTTGAAACAACAAACATTTTCTAAATAACCAGTGCAAGAAATTGTTTCAAAGAAAATAATTTTGAGCTTGAGTGCTTAATTTAAATGATGTCTTCATTCTTGTTGAGTTCCTGGGCCTCCAGCTCAGCCTTCTGCTCTTCTTCCTTCCTTTTTTCTTTCCTTTTTTCCCTAAAAACTTTTATGTGCCTACGTTTGAATAAGTCTCGCTTCCTTCTTTTTCTGTACTTGTGCTTATTCATCTTCTTACGACGTATCTTACGAATGCCCTTAAATCTCTTGCACTGTAAGGTTTTGGTATTTTGTGTGTCATCACCAATTGTCAGTTCATGTGTGTCATGATCCCTGATGATTGTTCTGATGATCCTTGAATGATGTGGAAAAATCAATTCTCCAATTCTTTTCTTTGGAATCTCAGGCAATATTGCATCACATCCAGGGTTTCCATCTGGGAAAACTCTCCCATCACTGGTTATGTTTAGAATATATGAATTTGGTCTCTGAAGTAAAAAGGGAACAGTACCAAATAGAGGAAAACTTTTGGTGAAATATGCCTCACTGTTGGTCACTAATGTTGCTGATGTTCCAGTTCCCAAATCTGAAAACACATAGCAAAACAAGAATGATAATGAAGTTACATAATGAACACAGTATTGTTTGTATGCTGACAAAGCTTAAGGAATGTCAGATTCATGGAAATTTTGGAAGAAAGCCCAAACTTTAGTTATTGGTTTTCAACTTCAATTAAAGTTCTTGAAATTTTGGTTATAAATTGTTGTGCAAAGCTGGCTCCAGGTTGTAGATACATAATTAGACTCATTGAGTGTTTCTTTTGTTATTCACTGAATCAGCTGAATGCTTTACTTATCAGCTTAATGATGGTTTAATTTTAATCAACTACTGAAGTATTACTATTCATAAGACTTACAAAAAATCTGATTGGTCAATCATGAGAGCATTCAGGCAATGCACAATAGCATGTGAAGTTGCTTCCTCAGACTTCAGCTTTGATAAATCATGATATCATCGTCAACTTAATTCAATAATTGCACAATATCACTGCCAATTGAGACCAAACCATATGAAATGGCCAAAACAGAAAAAGGCTTCAAAGACCTTGCGATGTAAAAATCTAGAGTACACACTGCAATGAACATGAAAGCTGTAAAGAGATCAAGGCAGAATCAGAACCAATCAAACGGTCAACCAAGATTCATCTGCTGATACAGAGGGTCATAGGCAACATAAATTATCGCCAGCTTTAAAATACAGCAATGAACTCAACTCAAACATTGTTTTCATACTACTCGACAGCTTTCCATAAGCCCAGCTAAAGAAATTATCGTCTTAAGTCTAATTTATTTCAGGCAATTTTTTAAATGTAAAAAGATTTGATAGGGGAGGAAAAGGTAGAAAGGATCAGTAACCGCCTTGTGATGAAATCATAAGTTATAATTTACATACCGATGACAAGTGTACGCAGAAAGCTATACAATGACAGTAAGTCTGCCTTTAAATCGATTATGTAAGTTCATATTGTACATCATCAAGATTACTTTTTAGAAAACATTGAACAAGTAACCCTCCCTAATCCAGAAAAGAAAGCGATTTCTGTAAGTTTATGAGCTCACTACCCGAATAAATGGCCGCCAATACCTAAGAGGGTATATGCGTCAAAAGGGTAAAGATATAGTCTCGAACAACGTCACATGTTGAGATGTTCAGTCGATCATACAAAGTATATCACATGGCGTACAAACTTCATCATGACGAGCTATGCGCATCGATGTAAAGGCACAATACCTTCTGTCAAATTGCGAGACGCCACTTTTGCACTCTGACTGTGTAGAGCTCGAAAATGCCGAGTAACTAATCGACAGATAAACTGCCTTTGAAATAACTGCTTCATCGTCGAATAACTCAAGCCGCCATCGCCGCCATGGTGGAAGGTAGTAGTACCCAGATTATCACGTCCAAATCTCAGGCGTGGCAGCTCAATGTACTTGTGCTGGGGTAAAATGAGGAGTATCTGGAGTGTTCCACCGTGGGGTAGTAAAAAATAAGTAAGCTAGAGTTAGATCACTTTCACAGGAAGCGATGCTGTTTTGTTTAGAAGACCGCTTGTTATCTACATTAACTGTGGATGCTAACAGGGTAACCCACTTATTCCTGTTAAACCAGCTATCCAGTTTTGTTAAACTGACTAAACTTTTGTAATGCAATGTATCTGTCCTGTACAGTCCTACCGCCCAATTTTACCCCAGTTTACAGATGAATTCCTGTATCGCCCAACTTCTACAGCATTCAAATAATTTAGTTCATGAGGATTACGGGTGGTATTTATATAAACGCAACGCTGTCTTCACGGACACTTAAGTTGATAAGAAAGGCATATTATATAACACGAACAGAAACCTTCATAAGACCGGTTCATCCACGGGGCGAACACCAATTTTAGAGTGACACCACTGCAAACTAAGGGATAGTCCTTGTCGTTTTTCAGTACTTTTTCTGTTACCTAACTTTCACTCCCAAAAGTGACCAAGACAGAATTTCTAGTCATGGTAATGACGTCACAGCCTATCGTGCCCTAAGATATCAATACAACATCAAGCAGGTAGGTGATGAGAATAAAGAAAAATATTAATTATGAGATTATTAGTTGATCCAATACCAAATTCTCTGAACTACCATCATGAGAATTGTATGGCAGACAGTAAGGAACATTACCAATGAGATCTTTGGGGTGAAAGGGTTAACTCTCTATGAACGGAATGGTTCGCCGGTGCTATTCTAGGAAGGACAAAGGAATGAACTTCAAGCCCTAAACGCACTAAAGAAGTGCTTTTATGAATACAAATTCAACGACAGACGTCAAAAAGAAACGGTGAATGTTGAATTTGAAAATTACTGTGATAATTAATAACATGAGTTATTCCTTGTTTCAATAAAATCATGTTTTGGGGGGACAATACGTTTCTTTTTATGAAAAAATGCATGGTTCCACTTTGCTAAAACAATCTTAACACAAGCGTGTATTTATTATAAGTTGTGTAAGCTCTGTTATCTCAAAATTGTTGCCGTTTTGGTTGAATGGACCCTCTATTAGCCGCTCATCTTTACTGCCAGGAAACCAAAGTGAGAATGATTGGTCCTCGCGGGACCCGTTTCAGTAAGAAAGAATTTAGTGTTTTTTTACCGTTAAGTCTGACTGTAGGTTTTAATTGGACTCTGGTGAAATAGGACCTAATCTCGTCACCGTGGTCTTAAACTTATCTTAACAAGTAACAGCTGATACCTGATTACGACTCACTCTCAGACAATATTAGACTCTTAGCTATGTGCCTTTCTTTTTTTTGATCAAAGCGATGCGTTTCATTTTGGTCGGCACCCTCGCCCATAAAGAAACGGTTAGGTCTACCAAAAGGTGTCACAATGATAACAGCAGCATTCAGTGCTGCTGTTCCTAGTAAGTTCAAATGGACACGTTAATTTCGGGGATAATTTTTTCCTCTTTGTTCAGAAGGCTTCGTCTTCAGCCTTTTATTGTGAACATAACCTCGAGCAAAGATAAAAGTGTCACGATTGCATCAGATTCCCGTATACCAAACAGAAGTGAATGGAACGATGCAAACAAGCTTTCAGTTACTTTTTATTAGTTTTAAGTATTACTGATATTCAAGTCTGGGAATAAGAACACCTTTAAATATACAAGGCTAGTTATTGAAGCAAATTTTGTTTGTTTGCCATTGTTTAACAAAACCGCGTTCTGAGCCATCTTCAGTCTCGCCGAACCTGAACATTTATTTTTGTGAGCAGTGTCAAGAGGGCCGAAAACTTATATTGGAAAGGTATTTATTCAATTAAATCAACCCTCTTAAAGAGAATCCCTAAGGCACACTGCTTGCGTCGAATAGAACAAATCGAATTATTTAATTTTCATACTTTTAAATTTTCTCACTTTTTACGATATAACAAATATGGATTGAAAAATGCTGATGATTTGTTGAGAAGAAAATTATATGGAACTCATGATTCATTCATTACTTAAAATGAGTCAACAGCAATAATTAAGCTGTGAAAAATATCCACAAGTAGGTGGTTTAGTGGGGATTGAAATGGAGGCGACTCAAAGGACACTTCTTTGACTTAATTTATTAGAGTCCCGATGTAGAGCACTACTACTATTTACGATTGCTGCAGCTATAACAATAGGAACCTGCACTTTCATTCTGGAGGCTGCATATTACGTTTTGCCCAACGTACATTTGCCTAACGTATCAACCAAAACAAAGTTTTTCTTTAATTCGATGGTAATTTGCAGATATATCATAGAGCTTACCACTATGGTTGAACTACCTCAGAACTAACCGTCCACGGCCCAAAAACATGGCCGCAGGTCATAACTCTTTACAAGGCACAAAGATCATTCTGACTGAAGAGTATTGGACCATTCCGTAAATAATACATTTCCTGGTGAATTGAGTAATTCGTAATTTCACACCTCAATGGCTTTAACGTCCGTTTCTTGGACACAGCCGCACTCAATTATTTGTCTAAAATGCAAAGGAAGAGAAATGCCGACAGCAAAACACATAACATACAGGTAAATGACCCTCTCAACAAACCTTAAACTTTGGAACGTTTCTTCGGACTCTTGAAATCGGTATGCAGCAGAGCAAACGACATCCAAAGCTATAATTGTGGTAATACCTAAAGAAACTAAAATCGTATAAAATACAGACATCTTATTTTTGCTTAAAAAGTTTAGCAAAGTGGTTGTGTCTGCCAATTTCTCTGTGTCGTCCTCAGTATGGGTGCAAATTCTCCACGACACCACCAAAACAAGGCCCATGATCAACAAGCAGGCCACAGTTATGGCAAGATGAGATGAACACAAATATGCAGCGGAGGAAACAACCAACAATAATCCAATCCCAGTGCTGATAACTACAAGAAAAATCAATGCCACCTTGGGGGATATTGCTTTCGTGAGGCCGACTATGGTGTGATGTTCGATTGCCAGCATTGCCAAAATGTTGTAAATCATAAGGAATCCAACAGAAGTCATAAGAATGCTGTTTGTTCCGCACCACTCCTCCTGCTGTTTGTTTGTGAATGCCATTGTGACTTCGTTGGCATTCAAACTGAGAAGGATAAGCTGTAAAATACTCTGGCAAATCATTAGTGGCCTGCTTTTCTGAAGAACCGCGTATTTCGTTTTGTCCTTGAAGCAGCTTCTTAATAGTCGTACGTTGTAGAAGAGACCAAACAGATGAAACATCATTAGCAGCCAGTAGCACGGCTCCATGATATGCACCATCCTGCTGAAAAAAAAGTTATGCATCGGCCCCACAGTTCTCACTTTGGTATTATGCACGGACAACACTCCCTTTATGTCCAACTGAAGAATAAATACATAATGTAAGTCCTAGGCAACATTCGTGACACTTTAACACAAGTTCCCAATATCCCCTAGTTTCACCGTGAAACTTTCACGGTTACGTATGTAGTATGCTTCTCATCAGCAAAATTTTATTTGGCTCAGTTTAATATGAATTAAAACAAGTTGTCAAATTTTCAGAAAATTTATTTAGCGGAACAAATTAAAGTTTTCGCGGTTTTTTTGTTGTTTTTTTTTTTGTAGTGGTTGCGGTAACTTGCCTTGAAGAGGCCTCACCACGACTAATATTGGACAATACAGAAAAAGCTTTGGAACTGCATTGAAGGCTTATTAGTCACGAAATATGACCCCAGCTGTATCATGCCAAATTCTCTGCAAAGATAAATGGGAGGAATTTCAATTTCTTAAAACTGTTTCCGAGGCTTGGCATTGCATCAGAATTGAGGAGAGGAAAAGCTGAGGTTAAACTCACCCGGGAGACTCAATTAAAGATGATAAATATGCAAACCAAACATAAACAATGTGTTAGCGATCTTTTACAACTCTATTTTTAATTGTTTCTGTTTCTTAAGCCGTGAGTCGACCAATACATATACAGTCAGTCTTGAGAGCAAATATAGTTTGAAAGTTTATCTATTGTCACCTCTTCTATTTACGACGAGTCGACTTCGGGTGAGAACACGGAATCAAAGTATAGCATAAATCTACTTTCTTTCAATGTCATAGCCTGGGCGGTCTGAGCCCTCTAACGCGTTTACTACCTGTAATTGGGTAAAAACGATGCATAAATAACAAAAAGTAGACATGCTTCGAGCTGGGATCTAATCTAGAGCCACAGAGGCACTAAGCTCAATATAACCAGTTAACCACCCACTATTGTAGCCCGGTGGTCTTGTCTGAAGACACAAAAACTGAGGAAAAATTTCCACATTTAGCTGAGTAATGATTATGTTGCAAGTGCTTCATCGCTTTCACATCAACAAGTGACAGTGCATTAGATTAAGACGTGTGGCGTAGCGATTTATCAATTAGAAATTTCAATCTAAGCTGTATGCATCTTAGAACTTCTGTCGTAACTGATTAACTATATTGCGAATTATTTCACCAAGTTAAACAAGTATCTGTAACACGTGACAGAAGTGACTACAATTTAACCGATGGAGAAGCCTTGACTGTGTTCTGTTCTTTTGTAAAGCACGCAAGCAGCCAGAGCACGAAAGAAGTGTAGGGAGAAACACGAGACGTACTCGAGTGTTTCTCCTCACTTCTTGAACAGAACAGAGCACAGTCAAGGATTTTTATTTATTTCATTATAAAAAATCCGTTAAATTTCCCGAGCATTACTTTCAAAGTTCAAAACAAACCATATTTTCAAAGCGAACAACAGTGTCGTCAACATGATTTACACTCTCGTAAAGCACATTACAATAAGCCAATCGGAATCCTTGTTAGAATGGTTCAAATGATCTGATTGGTCGAGCAAGGCTAAAGCCGAGCTTAAAACCTATCACCTCTCTTATTCTATTTGCAAAGTTAACATTTCGACGCTATCGACATAGCTGATCCTAGAAGTAGATGCAGGACGCGTGTCTCATGAACTTCGTAATAAAGAGCATCGAGGCAAAGAATCCGAAGGTCTGAGATTCGATTCCTCGTGGGGGCTCAGAATATTTTCTTTTTCCCACGCTCGTGACAAGACGAAAAACATCTTTCTCTAAGACTAAGGTTGTCAAAAATGTCAAACCATCAAAGTTCACAAACCCGCATTGAAGTTCAAAATCTTCAATAGTTTACAAAATGAAATATGTCGCCGGGTCGAATTTAACATGTTTACCTGAAGTTTTTTTAGTCTCTAATACAGAATTTGAAAGTGAAATGTTCAGTGAAATCGAGCTGAATTGTGGCGCATAAAAACATGACAATTAGAAAACAAACTGCTCAAGGCGTGTGTTTTATGAATGAACGACAGCCGAATTCACAGGAGCATGAAGATTGCGTGGGATGACAGCGCCGTAAAACTCGCCTGCTGTGACTGATGTAGCCTTCCACTCAACGCATCGGAAAGGATATCAAAGCAAGCTCTTAGTTGTTCACTCTTAAGCCGGCCGTTCAAATTTCTGAGGTTTTCTTCACTTCCGCGATGGACCTCAGCATGATCGCAGTCGCTCTAGATCTGGCATCGTCATGATTGATCATGAATTTTAACAGTTATGCTAAGTTGGCTGTATTTTTCATCATTCCTGTATTGATCTGTTTTTTTTATGAATACGAACCTACATATACGTATATATATATATATATATATACATACATATACATATATATATACTATACGAGTGTTCGCTGTGTTTAATTTTTATTACCGTACATAGGCTTGCAATCTAACTGAGTGTGAAAACCTTTAAAACTCGAACTGTCCATTTCGTCTTCTCTCTGAGGATTTTCGTCTACGCTGAAGTTATAATAACGTAAATTACGGCGCTTGGCGTGTTTACAAACCTTTGTTTGGTTCTCAGTCTGTTGCTACTTGCCAGCTCGCTTGTACCGAAATTTCACTTTCAATTAACACAAAAAAGCTAGATAGAAGTCCCGTAAAAGGTCGTACATAGTACAATTTGGCAGATGGCTTTAACTGAGCTCTATGCTTTGTACTCTGATAGAGCACGCTCTTCAACCAATGAAGGTGCACGTTGTTTCCGAACTTTATTAGAAGTAGTTAATCAGATAACCGAAGTTCTAAGATGCATGGCTTGAATTGAAATTTTTATTGATAAATCGTTAAGCCATATGTCTTAATCTAATGCACTGTGACTTATTGATGTGAAAACGATAAAGCGTTGGCATCACGATCATTGTTCAGCTGATAATGGCGAAGCGAAAAAACGAGGGAGGCTTGGGTCGGGTGGTGTAACTGACATGACCTCAGTCTCTCTCGTTTTTTCTTTACCTTTACTATTACTCTGCTTATTTTACTTACTTTACTATTACTCTTGCTTTATTTCTGATTGTAGATCACATATAATGTGCATGAAATAATCGATGGGTAGTTTTCTTAACTATCAACTATAAAGTTTTCAGTCAGGCTCTAATCTGCTTTCGATAGCTTAGTCGGGACTTAACTGTAACGAAAAAATTATGATAATTACGTGAAAAAGATATTCAGAAGTTTCCATCGAGGGCTTTTTACTTTTGGATGATAACAGAATTTCAGACGTAAAAGAATGTCCCCGAGGAGTGATCCGAAATGTTTGCTAATTGCTTTGTTTGAGCATTCTGGAAAAAAACGTTTTTCTTTTTTCGCACGGTCATTAATCGCGAAATTGAAAAGTCCAGATCTTTCTTTTGATTGAGTGGATAACTTGAGTCGCCGATTCAATCTTTTGTTTTATGTTCTCTCGCCACTCACTTCTATACAAGGTTATCTAGATCACTTCGTTCAAGGAGGATAACATCTGATTATCGCTTTACATGAGCAATCGGCATATCAACCATGAATCTATTCTTCCAGGGCTTACATTGGCTCACAATGGCTGTTCATCTCATTGAAGTTTCGTTTAACTTAAGATTGTTATTGAGCTGCTTCAAAGACAAGCAGAGGAACATTTTTCTAGAGAAATGCAGACCAATCATGGTCTTTCAATGCGTTCTACAACTGACTGTCCTTGCTTTGAACGCCAACAGAACAGGGAAAATGTTTAACTACTTTGATGGTAAATAAAACAAGTAGAACGGAACCAGTGATGAGCTAATCTATTTACTTTGGCCTTTCTTGCTTTACAACATGTTGGGGATTATAACAATGACGGATCATGCCATAATCGGCCATAATCGTGAGCCATCTTCCGAAGAAGCAATTCCAGTGCTGTTAATTGCTGGAGTTGTTACCTGTGGAATAATTTACTGGATCGAATTCATTCCTATACACAGTTAATTTGTTTGTGTATTGTTGTTGGCGTGGATAAATTTTTTAAGCGATGACGATGGAGCGATGAATCTAAGAGAAGTACAGTCGGAGCTCAATTTAAAACGTGAGGAGTCGACTGTGATAAACAAATGGAAGGCGATCACTTCATTTTTCTGGTTTCGGTTTCCACATTCTACATTAGTACTATATGGATTCAAGAAAGAGAGTTGTATGATGAAGAAACCCTTCTATGGTTTCTGGTATTCATTTTATACAACGTAACTTTATTTGCAGTGGAAATTAGTTTATATCCAACTTTGGAACAATTGATTCTTCATGGAGGTAATTTGAGCTCTAGTAATATCCAGACAAACTCCCTGCTCAAACAGGCCTTGCTCAACAAATACAGCTAACATTTAGAGGACAGGCACTGACTAGTATAACGCAGATAGAATCTGATCGCAGGAAATACGGTCCACGATGATAGTTCATGAGCTCTCAAAACCTATGCCAAAAGTTTTGGATAATTCCAGAACTTAACAATCAATCATGTAGAAATATTCTGTAAGGCAGTGTAACATTCAGGCTTAAATTGCGATCACGAATAAAGATCAATAAACTGAACCTTATGCGGCTAGAAAAAAGCCCATCAGAACCATAGTCTATAATTCACTGTCTTCATCTTTATCTCTTCTTCTAAGGTGTTTGTTCATGCACCATCTGCATAAAACATTTGCTCTGACGAAGGGCTTGCACTCGAAAATTCAGCTTAGAAACTCTTTATGGTGGCTGATTTATAATGGTAATTGAACTGAGTGGAGCACAATTTGGGCTGGAATCATACGCGTGATTTCAAATCGAACAGGTGCGCAGCGCGGCGAGTTCGATTTCTAATCACAAGTATGATTTCAGACCAAAATTGCACGACACGAGGTTTAATTACCACTTTATCACATCCATTTTGAAATCGCCCAAATACAGGACTTAGTCAGTTCAAATATTTTATTGATGCAGCACTGAGCCAGTTTAAAATTAAATTCATCCATTTTGGGGGGGGGGGAATAAGAGTTTTGGAAACAAAAGTTGCAAAATTTGCCACATGATACTCTTTGTCTTTCATTTTCCTGCAATTTGATTGGTTACTTTAAACAAGCCTTGAAATCTGATTGTTTGTTTTGTTTTTAGTGCAGCCTCCTAATTGGCTGGGAAAAAGATGCGATTTAAAGCAAAAAATGGTGCGATTCGTGAATAAATAGCACCAATTAGAGCCAATCAGATTACAGGGACCACCAGTGATTTCAAAATGGGTGTAATAAAAATCAGAAACTCAGTTGATAACATCAGATTACCTGAAACATTGGCATGTCCTGTGAATGGGAATTGTTGCCTTCATCTGTTCAATTTGGCGATCAAAATAGCAACCACACTTGAGATTGCTTTTGATATAGTGTGAGTTCACAACTAGATTACTCAACAGTAATGTCGGCCTTCTCAGGGCTGTCATTAGCCATGTCACCCATAATGGTGACATGGCTAAAACTACAAAGGCGACGCCGGGCAACTTCCCTCTATTGGGAAATTGTCTCTTATGGTAAAATAACATATAAGCACAACTATTGACTGTTTCATTGAATTAGATCGTGTCTGAACGAAAAACAAAGCTAAAAATATAAGAACAGTAAAAATGTAATACATTTATCCCATTGCTTCAATTTTTTTTCCCACGGCTCCCCTCCCCCCCCCCACCCACCTCTCTTAGTACCTGTCAATTAGGGCTGACCCCCTTTGCCCCCTGTGTTTTCTTGAAAAACATGTGATCTCCCCAAACTTCTCCGCCCCTCCCTGCTGAGTAACAAATTATGACTGGTTCCTTCAGGGGTGTTGAATGTAGGTAAGGTGATGACCTCTCGCTGCTGACGAGCATCCCAGTTTATGTAAGTGTTACAAAGACAAAATGAGTCACTTGTTAAGTCGACTGATCATTAAGTATCAACGTTATTACTGTGATCAGTTGGTAGCTTTATACTCGTATACAAAATGTTTCTACGCTCCCTACGATATTTAGAGTTGTGTAGTAGTTTTGTATAGTAGTATTTCAATTATTAATATACGTAACCTTCCTGCCCACCCGATTTAGGACTGTTAGTAAACGGGGTGCTCATTCCTGACTCTTGAATGCGTAAGCTTATGTTTAGTATGGAAATGGTTTGTTCTCGTCTCCCTGCAGAGTGATTAGAGATCAATTTAGCCACTCGCGTGTAATCGCCAAAATGCAAGACACTTGTAATGTGCATTTTGCGGGCACATGAAAGGAAAGCAACTTACAAGTACAAACTCATCTGCCAACTTCCATGAGAACCAATTTTCCTGAAAGATCATCAGCACTTATACTTATATTTCCAGGGAGAGCACTGACACCTACATTTACATGCAATTTCAACAGTAATGGTCATCAAAGTACCGACATACAGGTGTATAATGAAAGGCAAAGTAAAAAAATGTAATAGTTGATAATTCAAAACTACTGTGGCTTTTCTATATTTTTTAGAATACTAGAGCAAAAGATCTTGAATAAATCGAAAATGTTTAAACATGAAAATTTTATGTGTAAATATGATCCAAACAAACACACGGAAAAATCACTCAATTTTCCCGTAACAGGAGAAAGTAGGTACTCTGGAATAGGCAATTGTAAGAGCTTGCCATTTGAAAAATATAGCCTTCCTTCTGATTCTGACATATCTGGACGTATTTAAGATCTAATCTGAAGGGCTTATAGAACTTTCTACCCACGTGAATATAGGCCATTATTTTGAAAATTTTTAGGCTCGTTTTGCTTATATTCCAGCCTTGTTTATGTTCAGCTTGAATTCCACTTGTAATTCCGCTGTACCGCCGGAACGGACTTCCCATGGTGACCTAAGCTATGATACAATAGGAACAAAACTTGAGATTTGAGTCTTTTAAATTGGCTTTTTAACTAAGCATATGTTTTTAACACAACATTTCCGTCATATTATTGTATCATATACAGGTTTTCACTAATATTATCAAAGGGAAGAAGAATTGCGTGAGCTTAAAGGTCGAGTATTTGTTCGCTTCGTCCGCCATATGCATGACTGCGTCCATCTTGCGTGAGATTACAAAAACAGAAAGGGTGGAAGAGCATTTCTTGCGACTCTTGTTGTCTCTCAGATCAACTCGTGGGTCTTGACAGATAGCTAATTTTTACTGTGGTCATGGGTCCCACATTTGTCCTTTTAATAACGTGTCATCTCATCGGAGCTTTGCTCAACGTGCGATTGTTGGCAAGCTGCTTCAAGGACAAAATGAAGTATGTTTTTCTTCAGAAATGCAGACCAACCATTATATTTCAGTGTTTTCTTCAACTGATTCTTCTGGCTTTTAATGCATATCAAGTAAAGTACGATTTTAGCGACCACCAAGGAAAGAAAAGGTGCGACTTTATAGGTGTGTTTATGACATCCTTGACGTTTTTCTTGATTTACAACCTGCTGGCAATACAAGCAATAGAAGACCTTTCCATTCTTGGTTTAAAGCGTGTATTAACGCCCAGACAAGCCATCTCAGCAGTATTAATTGCTGGTATTTTAACTTGTGGTAGTTTACTCTGGGCAGGATGTTTCTTCGCGGCAGGTCTTTGCACGTCTCATCTCGCTTCAGCCGCAGCCTGTTGGCTAATTAGTATCATTCTGTTAATGTCAGCCTGGAAGATTTATTCACGTGGCGCTCCAGATACAACAACAATTATGCCACAGGATTTTGAAGTCAAAGACAGAGGGACTGTGTTTTGGTTGACGGGTTTAGTTTTCCTCTGCGCTCTTTTGACTCTCTCAAAGTTTGCGGAAGCAGTGCAGATAATCGATATACAACAATGGGTGGATTTAAAAAAAATGGTTCGTCTCTTCTCTATCAACGTAATTTGGCTTGCAGTAGGAATTGTTCTCCCTGTCTGCTTTCAGTTTTTAATCGAAAGTAGTGCTGATGACTTCGAATGGATGAAAATCGATCCGGCATGAAACTGAAGTAGTTGACTTATAGCACTTTAGAGAGAAACAGACTTATTGAACCTTCATAAACTAACTCATTTTGGAAAGGTTTATATTCACTTCGGTACATTCTTTTTAACGGTTTGCTTTGCAGAACGATGAAGTGTTCAGGTTGATCAATTTGGTTTTTCTTCACCATCATGTTGTTATGATGTGTATATTAGTCAAGGAGAGTTTTCTTCAGGAGCTTGTCATTTTTGACTTGTTAGTATGATCGTATAAATTTCAGGTCCAAGGTTATTTGCCTTTCAGCCATCATACGAAATTCCTAGTTTTGACTGTTTTGCGTGTTAGCATTAATGTCAGGATTTAAAGATTAGTCAGAATCGCTGTGTACCCCCAACCTTTGATTTTTCATAAAGCTTATCTAGAAGTCATAGTAATAATCCGTGAGAACTGACGGATTAAGTCATTGAACAGAGACTTCATAATTACGCAAGCATAATTCTTAGACACGCAAGTGAACTTTAAATAGCGAGCATAATGAAAAATGAAATTATTCGCTCTTGATTGTTATCGCGTGATAATGAGGACGAAGCCTAAATCAGCTATCACGAATAGAAATCGAGAGCGTACAATTTAATTGTTTAAGTTTAATTCTAATATTCGTTCGAAACTAAACATAAAGACAAGTTCCTGTTTAAACTATGTGTCCTTTCGTTTACAACTGCACACCGCTAGGATACTCACTATTTAATCACGGAACAGATTGTGTTTAATGTTTCCAGTCAGATGGCAGTATTTATGACAAAACAAGAGTAGATTTGATTAAGAATACTCACTATTTAATCACGGAACAGATAGTGTTTTATGTTTCCAGTCAGATGGCAGTATTTATGGCAAAACAAGAGTAGATTTGATTAAGAATACTCACTATTTAATCACGGAACAGATAGTGTTTTATGTTTCCAGTCAGATGGCAGTATTTATGACAAAACAAGAGTAGATTTGATTAAGAATACTCACTATTTAATCACGGAACAGATAGTGTTTTATGTTTCCAGTCAGATGGCAGTATTTATGGCAAAACAAGAGTAGATTTGATTAAGAATACTCACTATTTAATCACGGAACAGATAGTGTTTTATGTTTCCAGTCAGATGGCAGTATTTATGACAAAACAAGAGTAGATTTGATTAAGAATAGGCAATGTATGAAACTTGACCAAACTGAACAAGTCTCACTTTGGATACCTAAACAGAAAAAAAGACAAAATAAAACACAAAACTCGCACTCTCGTCTCTTCATGAAGGAGATCAAGAAACAATTTCAGCTGCTCAGTAAATGTGTCATCCGCTTTCCCGAAAAGACTGGGTTTACATTCGTCAATCAGCGGCGACGAATGATTTTTTTTACCTCTCAATGTAAAGTCGGGAAAGGACCTAATTACTTCTGTGGTTGCAAATGTCGCAAAAAGAAAGTCTTTCTATTGAAAGTTCTTAGCTCACGAGACTCACAGTGAAACCAATTGAGCTACTGGAGATTTAAATGTTGTGAGATTTTAACTTCAAAGTATTAAAGGAACAGCTATGCTTTGGAAACATCACGGCAACGCGAAAAACAAAAATTATTTCCGAACACAAACTATGTGTTCAAATTGAGATATTAGTGAGTTTCAGCCTCGTGTTTATGGCAACGACAAACCGCAAAAAATTGTTCTTATTCACTTTTCCATGATCCTTCAATCAACCCTGTAGAAAAATTATAAGAAAAACCTTCTTGTTTATAATTATTAAACTCTTTTGTCTCTGGCGTTAAAAGATCGATAGCGGACAGCAAGAAGTTCCCTTTTACCATTCGTCTGTTGCTGTAAATGTCTCAACCTCACAGACCTTAAAGAACGTCACACTGCAATTTTTGTAAGACCTCTTTTTTTATCAATCTTAGCAAGTAGCGTAGGGTAGTAATTTCCAAATAACTTCATCCTCTTCGGATGTAAAATGGAGCGCCCCTACTTGATACTTTTTCTTCGAAACACGTATCGGGGTAATGTTGATTTTATGTCCGTCAGTCGTGTCATATCCTCTACTCGGAGAAAAAAAAGCATTCAGAATCAGGGGGGGGGGGGGGGGGGTACTGCTATGTTTTGCGCAGTCGCCCACTCAAGTTTACGTTGTATTTGATTTACCGCTGATAACTTGATAACATGACCATTTTATTCCTCTAAACATTTACGTCAAGATTTTATCTTTTATTTCTAATCAAATGCTTCAGAGCAGAAGATATCGCTAAGCATTTCACAGCAGAACCGTGAGGGTGGATATAGATTTGACCTCACACAAAGTTACGAAATCGAAAACCATAACTCATTTTACACTATTTCTACGAACGATTGCAATTGCAATTTGCTACATCAATCTAAGGAAAACTGGTATCCTTCAAGGCCGAGACTAAAGCAGCGATAAATGTTTTTAAAAATTAAATCGTATACATGAAAATCTGAAAAAAAATCCGTTTAATGTGTATTGTCTTTTTTCAGTTGCTCGCGGTTTTGCTTCCTACCCATATGCTTCGCTCTCTTTATGAGTTTGCCCAAGTTCTTGATGTTCAAGTTTTCCTCATTGATCTTTGGGTGGCCACGCTTCCGGTGGCCACGATGCCTTTTGTGGAAGCCGCGTTTGTGCTTGTGAAAACCTTCGTCCTTCTTGCGGAAAGCAAACCGTTCGCGTCCCTTACGGCCTCTGCGGTGTTTTGTTTGGACGGGAAGTTCTTCTGCTTCTACTTGGACGTCAGAAGCTGTTATGGCTGTATCTTGTTTAATCAGAGGCAGCACCTGCAAAATATGCATGTTTACGTTTTAGTGATAGGATCTAGTCCGCGAGAATTCTTGACCTCAGTGCTTATCTGTAAAAGAAGGTGACTACACATGAAATATTCACAGACCACCTTGTTGACTACTATCATCGCAATCCACTTTGCATGATTCCTGTAAATGCATAGTTGCCCTATTAATGGACAAAAACAATTTCTAGAATTTTTTTTTGTGCAAAATCTCCTTATGAATTTGTTTACTGCATTCCTTCGATCACAAACAACAACAGACTGTCATTTTCACAGCAAAAGAAACCGGTTGCCGCAAATTATTGCGTTTTACATAAAATGTGCACGAAATAATCAAGGGGTAGTTTTCTTAATTATTAACTATAAAGTTTTCAGTCGCTCAGTAGATTAGAATTGGCAACAGCACATGCTTCTTATCGATTTTCAAACAGGTTAGATGATGTTTCGACAAGCCCCTTGAAATAGACAAAGAGAAATTGTGTGCGTGCGTAAGATGGTGGGGAGCCAAACATTATTAGCATATGCGGACACTCTTTGCCGATCTATTCGGCTCTATTCTGCTTTCTACGGTATAGTAGGAATCTTGAATTTTACGAAAAAATTATGACAATTGCGTGGAAAGAATTTTTTCAGCAGTTTCCATCAAGGGCTTTACTTTTGGATGATAACAGGTTTTCAGACGCAAAAGAATGTCCCTAAGGAGTGATCTGAATTATTTGCTAATTGCTTTGTTTCTCGAAAGTTTCACAAATCCGCCCTTGTTTTTCCCGAAACTGATTTCTGACCGAGTTTATTGAAAAAACAGGAAAAGGCAACCTAAAGAGTACTGAGAAAGAGCAAATAATAACAAAGAACTAATATAACGAGATTAAAACATTAAAAAAATGGCCAATTACGCCACTGCATACGAAAACAGACAAAAACAGTCAACAACAACATCTGTTCATATTTATGCAAAAATTTCACGTTCATTAAATTCTCTTAAAAGAGCTGAAATTACACAACTCTTATTCTGAAAAAAAACCTTCATAGACGTTGTGATAAAAAGTTCAACGTAAAACGCAGTTAGTTTCGGTAAAAACAAATTGAGAGATATTGCTTTCCTTAAAAGTGACTATCCAATATCGCCTAGGCATTGTATGACGAAATATGTCTTTATTCAAGGAAAAGTCAGTTTGCTGTTTCAGATATAGAAGACTCGTACTAAGTCGCGCATTAGCTTGTCGAGTCAAATCAGAAAGTTGTATTGAGTATGTTGTCGGTCATTGATGTAAAAAAACTTGAGGAATTTATCATTCAAATGATGGCGTTAATCCACATTATTGTTTCGAGACAATCTCGTACATTTAAGTATACAGGCCACTCTATGGCAATCAAGCTTACAAGCTTGTTTCTGTTATTTCATAAATATCTGCGGTTTACTTTTGTTTACCGAAGTGGTGTTATTTGTTTGAGAAAAAAAACTTTGCGGCAAAAACGAATACTTTTTGCGAATTCTGGAGGAAATTTATGCCAGCATCTAATCTCCCTTGCGTAGCAAAACAGTGCAATATGTCGTTCGTCAAAATTACACAATCTGATATTACTAATCGCTTTTTGCAATTGTTCCGATTCGAGCAAGGATTCTACCGTTCAATTTGTAACTAAACCTTGTTTTTAAAATGTCATAATATCTGTTCATTATTCAGCAGCCTCATGTTTGGCGGGAGCTGTCCTGTTCGAAGGAATTTTTTATGTGTAAATTGTGAGCTTTTCAACTTCGCATCATCGCAGCATGAAGTTTTTAAACTACAAAGCGATACTCAGCGTTCGCTGTTCACAAATTCTTTTCGTTATAACTGCTATTTGCAGTGCATCACAACACATCTCAGGTTTAAAATTATACTAGTTCAATAAACTTTTCTTAAAACAGTTTTGGGCCTCGAAGTTATCAAGCGGCATATTGAACTTTTGTCGTGAAATGAGACTCTACATCTTTGGCTTTTGCAATGAGTTCAGTAAGCAATTGGCTCAAAGGAAGGAAATTTTTAATTTCTAAGTTTTAACCTCGGAAATTAACTTTTTCATCTGATCATGCAACAATTCACTTGAAAACTTGTACATAGGCTTCTGATATTTAAATAATTTAAACAAAGACAATTCTTCCGATGCTCAACCTGTGTTTTCAAAGTCGAAGTCCTACAATTTTCGAAGACAGTTCCCCGAAGAATTTGGACTAAGCGTTCTCTAATATCTACACATGATGCAATTTTACTGTTCCTACACTGTTTCCAGGAATTTTGCCTAGTTACCGCACCTTGTTCTCAGCAGTAGCCTTGTTATCATTTTTGACTACGTCAAGGACAGCATCTGTAGCTTTGTTGGTGTTTCGCACTAACTTAGGCACGATCTCTCTCGCACCCTCCTCTGGCCTCATTCGCTCCTTCCCTCGTTTCATGTGACGGTGGTGTTTTCTGCCATCGACAGCATGAACCATCAAAACGCAGAGAAGAAACAGCGAAACAAAATGTGCGAACTTCATCATCGACGCTTGTCGCTCGTTTGACAAAGAACCGTCTATTCTAATTTATTCCTTTCAAAAATATGCAGGTGCGTGTTCAAAGGGACTTTGTGATTACGTCAAGACCCAAAATCTATTCTCCGCGACCAATTAGGCGGACAGAAATGAGCAAAGGGTTATAAATAGTTGGCCATTTCCTTTTTTTTAATGGCATCAGACATTCACTGGATTCGCCAGCAAGGAAAATAAGGGGAAAGATAATAAAAAATTAAGCAAAATTCAAAAACTTGTCAATTAAGCTGATTATTTTCTAAAGAAACTGTAGTGCTACACCAGTAGGGGGATCACAAGATGATTTGGTTTTATCACCTGAGTTGATAATGTAAATTGGCCACCGCAGAGAGTTTCTGAAGCTGACGTTTCGAGCGTTAGTCCTTCGTCAGAGCGAATGACATCTTCTGGGCCCTTTTAGACTGAGTTGAAATTAAGTTATCAGATAATTTGTAATTGCTAACGATTTATTCGGCAAAACGTTGATATCATATTCTTGTCTCGTATCGGAGCATTTGTATTCAGAGCAGTAACCAATTTTTATCTTCCCTTCTCACTGATTAGAAGGTTTCTGAATAAAAGAAAAAGCAAAGGTTGACTTTAAAATAACTTTGTCGATAGGGGTGTCACAATATCATTTGGTTTTCTCGACTGAGTTGATGATGCATATTGGGAGGTTTCGAGCATAAGCACTTCGTCAGAACGACTTTAGAGTGGAAGAAATGACCTGAAAGTAGCAGAGCATAACGGCTCCTCCATTTTTCCGTAGTGGCTCCATGCTGAAATCTTCAAAATGTGCATGAAATCACCTTCATAACAGGTTTGAAATGAGCCAGCCATTAGCTTAATTTAACACACCATTAAAGTGGCTCAGTTTATTTTACAGCATGGCCTAAACTCTGACTCGAGGTCTCTCACCCAGTGTAAATGAAGCTGTGAGAGCATTAAGATGGAGAAAACTCGGTGCCCTGGTCTCCAAATGCAACTTTCTTCAAGGGCTTGCAAAACAGCCAGAAACGAGGCATATGCTTTCCTTTTTAAGCTCTGATTGTTGCTACTCTACAAATTTTAGTAGCTGCAGTAGTCTGTTGTGCAGAGGAGGAGATTTAAACCATCCTGGTAAAGAGAATGCACCAGTACCAAGTATGGTAGGTGGGGGGGGGGACCTACCATTGTAGGTTCAAGCCTAGAAGGGGAAGGGGAGAGTTTAGGGACTTGAAATAGTCATGGATCAAGTGTCAAAGGAATGTTCCATAATGAGTTGAATAAACAATATTATTTATTTAACCACTCACCTAAGCAGTCGTTGTCATTTGATCAAATTGTCATCCCTCTCCCTGAGTGACTATTAAAGAATACTTGCCACCTTGAGTACCACAAACTTTGATATCTTAACACCCCAACCTTACTCCCTTCCTTTCCCTTAAGTAACAAAATACCAATGAAATGAGGTTGTTATCACAGTTATCAACTCCTGTTTGCAACCCTATCCCTTACCCCTAACAGCCCACCTCTCTGGTGGCCTTTTTTACTCAGAGTTTTTTCGGATACTCTCAAATTTATTGATATACATGGTTACTCACAAATACAGTCAGCTACTTGTGACACCTGATTGTTGACCATCAATTATTTAAGGATGTAAACTTCTCCTGCCAGCCAAAAATAAATTCTAACCACCTTCGCAATCTCACCCTATACACACACACGCTCACACACTAGGAAATTATAGTTTTAGATTCACTTTTTCTACAACCATGTATTTTCTTCCAGATCACCAATACCAGAATTTCTTTTTATTTCTCTTATCTCATTAGAAACACTGTATCCCCTACAGCCGTCTTTCCTCTCCATGCCAACAAAACTGTCTCAACAAGTTTCAGTCAGCTTAAAATCAATGTAAATGGTACAAGAAAAAATTAATTTAGTAGTGCAAAGTAATCTTTGAAAAAAATATATTCTGTCGCAATAAGTTTGACATAACAATGGGAGGAAAAATTAAATTTGAACCTCATCATTCACACAAAATCTCCTCAAGACTGATTGCAAGAAATAACTCATAGAATGGAAATAAAGTCTGAGTGAAACAATCACAAAACTGAAGAACACTTTGTTTATTAATATTCATTTGTTTCTCACAAAAAGCTTACCAGATAATCCAAACTTACACACTTGTGACAGTTTTACAAACTAAAACTATATTCAGAAGCAGATGATCCGTTTCACAATTAAGATATTTTTACCTAATCAACAGACACCTTTAAAAAAGGGAAAAAAACATAATTAAATACATTTCATACATGATAATATTGTAATGTCAACAACCTTGTAAGAACAGTTAAACAATGACACGTATTTTATTAGAAATATAACAAAATTGTGACTAGCATATGGTGTCAGTTTACTATTAGTGAAATATTGTACTACAAATAATGCCAAAATCAAGTAACTACGTATTGAAACATATTTTATACCCTCCTCTTCAAGAGAATAATAATCTTAAATTGTGATATAATGAACAAAAATTATAAATCAATTGACCTGCAAAGCTTGACCTTGAAAAATAAATAAGACATTAATTTTAAGGTCATTGTCTCAAAATGAGTAACTAGCTTAAAAATTAATGTCAAATTGCAAAATAAGGAATTCTGAATGAAAAAATAAATAATGAATTATTTTTACTGTTCTAGGATTGTTCCCAGTCACATCAACACACTTTTCAGCAATCATGTAAGAGAACTGAAATTTTCAACATGTGCACCATAGTCAGAGCTCATTATTAATACTCCTAGACTTAGCTGGAGATCAATTAAATTCAATATATGGATAATCTAGAACACTGATGTCTTGAAAGTCCCAGATAATTTGGGAAAACAAATTTGAGGAAGAACAGTGAAATCTCTCATCATGTGAGAAATTCAAACATATGTAAATCATCATTAACTCTACCATAAGAGTGACCAGAGTCTAATTTCTCCTTGCCATAACACTGCTAAAAAATTTATTACAATCATGAGAATAAAGGAAATGATCACCAACTTAAGAAGCTTTGATTGATAAACAAAATCTCCTTTTCAGTACTAATGGAAATGTAAAGAGAAGAGAGAAGAGAATATAGATACTGATGATAGGGTGTAAAGGGTTAACAATGGAGTGGGAATTGAAAGAACAAACACAATTTGCTTCTATTTGGCCTATTCTGTTTCAAGTTCTATTTCCCTTTTAACTGAAGGATTCACTTTCTCATGCTTCCTGATTAGTCACTAGAAAAATAATTGATTCTTGGCAAATAAGTATTTACTTAATGAGAAATCACAAAAAAATAGTTTATATCTAAAATAAAGTACCAGTTAAGTATATGCAATGTCAAAACAACAATAATCATGGACTTACTGTTGAGTTTGCCTTCTAATAGATGATACTGACCCTTTTACTCCCTGATGTGATTAACAAGTAACTTCTCTATACATTATCCACAAATTATCCAACAAACAGATGATGGGATACGAAAACTTACCAGATAGAAGTTGCTATCTTGATCTAACACTAAATTCTTGTCACTAATTTACAAGGAAATGTGTGGCAGCTAGAGGGGCAAATTAACAATCAGATCTTGGGAGTTAAAGGGTTACTTGATATTTAGTCATCTTTATCTGAAGAACTGGTGTTGTTTGCACTCTCAACCGACTTCATTGACTTTGTAAACCAGATAACCACCGCAACATTACATGCGAGTACAAGCAATATCACACAAAGGCTGTTTGTAAAGGTGGGTAGGTTTGATAAATTTTCCAAAGCCTGCCTCCTTCCTAACATGTCCAAATAAAGGGCTGAATATTCATCCACTGCTCCGATCGCACAAAGTATGTGTAAAAAGTGATGACTTTGGCCACAGAAATCGAACACGCCCGGTAGAAGTCTCTCTGGCAACCTGCTACCGTTAGCCAAAGCAGCTACCGCAAAGAACATAAACTGTCGCTTAAAATACGGGATAGACACAACATTACAATCTACTTCTGATGAACAGTCGTACATCCGCAGCCAATATGGCAGCGTGTTTATAAAAAAAGATGCCGCGAAAGTTCCGGTTCGAATGAGGAACTTGAAATCGATCCAACGGTGTCTGGATGCACAACAGGAAAAAGTCGAAAAAATGGAGACCATGACACAAACAACCATGAAAAGTGAATGGGATCGAAACATCAGCCTGTCACTATTTAAAGGTCTTGAGTAAAAGTACATGGCCTGTCCCACAGAAAACGCGTACACTCCAATAGCAGCATAGTCGAAGAAGAAGCAAACATGGCGAATCTTGCTCGACATCGAGTTGAAAAGGTGCGCTCCTGAGCTCATGAAGAACATAGCTGATGTCCCAATAGCAAAGGAAAGTAACGGATAAACAAAAGCATCCTCAAATGGATTGTGCTGCCTGAAGACGATGATCGAGCGAATAACGAAGACAGCAAAGGCAGCAACATGTGACCAAACATTAATGGTTTCGTTCGTTCTCTTGAACAAACTCAGTAAACATTCCCAAGCAGACAATTGTGGACGGCGATAGCCGGTTAAAATGTATGGTTCACGAAATTCAAATGGAACCTTGAAGTCAGAAAGATAGCAGTTGTCTTTGGCGCGATTAAAATTAAGATCTGAGTTTTCTTGGTGACGCCGAGACTTCATCGCGAAAATTTCACTTTTGAAAGCCGGTGCTGCGACCTTGCTGTCCTTTTGTGGAGCTCCTCTAAGCTGATGATGGCCTGGGATCAGAAAATTACGCATATTTAACGATGGGTCAGGGGATGACAATGGGTAATACCACAGGTTACCCAAGAACTGTGATGTAGCATGGTACTTGGAACTTTTCACAAAGACGCACGAGACGTGGCATAGCCCCTTTAAAATTGACCGAATTTTTTTTCCACTATATACAATATGACGTAGTGTTGTCCATAAAGAACTGAATGTTTTATGGTATCTTTAAACCGAAGGTGTGACAGGACATGCTACATTATAACAAAAATATTAATAGAGTACTAAAACATTGGATAGGGTTAAAGGCGCGCTATGATTGGCTGCTCAAACTCCGAATATCCTCTGCTATTCACAGTCCAAGCAACTGGGCAAAGCAAAAGCAAAAGGGCTCACCATTGGTTCGTATTAGTTTTTCAACATTTTTTTTAATTATCTAATGCCTTTCTTTACCTGCTATTAAAAACAAACCAACAGGTAAACAAAAGGAGACTGGTCAAAGGGGAGGGTATAAATTTTCTCTCTTCGCATCTATCATTTAATGTCTTCAGTTAAAACCCAAATCTACCAATTTTTGGGACGGCAACGGAGTAAAAAGGTTAACAACTATTCACAGAGAGGAGATAAATGCTGTTGCTTTTCACCGACAAGGAGAAAATAACTGCTTTTGTCTATAAAAAAACAGTGATTAGCAGCGTTTGTTGAAAAAATCTAGTTGTTTAAAACGAAATTACGTATTACAGCCATCTTTTCTGTTTGAAAGTGAGTAGTACTTGCTAATCACCACCGAATTATCTCAACAGCACAAACAAAAAGTGCTACTTAATGGTTTGGTATATCATACCTGTCAAATCATCATTCTCCTTTTCCTCCACAAGTCTCAAGCCTAAAATTATTTGCTTTCCGTCTGGTCAGATATTACAAATTTCGATATTACATGTATTGATCTACTTACTTAAATAACTTATGAGATTTCACAAGTATTTTAAAATGGGACTTTAGAGATTTCCCTGACGTATAGCTTCCAATTGCTGAAACACTTTGAAAATGAAAAACTATCAAATTTTTCGATTCTTTATGCCTGCATCCCTATGATGAAATAGGAGAACCATGAGAAAATGCATTGATCACATCAAAGTGAAGTTGGTTAATTGAATCAGTCTTTATAGATAGTTCTTCATTCAGAAAAAGATCGCCTGTCTTATAAAGAGAGGGAAACAAAATCATAAGCCTTCCTTTTCAAGCTCATTGGCCTCCGAAATAAGAATGAAAGTTCCTCGCTATTATTTGGGGCTGAAGAATGATACATCGTGAAAGAAATGAGAAAGAGAGCAAGTTATTCATGTACAGAACGCCCTTAGAGGCTATTTTTGATAAGCGACTAATATTGCCCGCGCAAACCGCTTCATTTAATGTATGTAAATAAGAATGCACTGGAAACTTTAACACGGTCCAGTAGAGATCTAAAAGAGGTTAAAAACCCTTTGTTTTGATTGTCCCGCCGGGACGCATTTTCATGCAAAATGAGCATAGGAATTTGCATGTGTATTCTTTGTGATCGAAGTAGCCGCGAGCCTTGAATGGCATCTTACTCTTATGAAATCGGCAAGAATCTTGTGAACTGCTGCACTCAAACCGAAATCAAAACCTGGCTGAGTGTGAGTTTTTAAGATGACATGGGCCAGCTAAGGATAAATTGTTAACTTTCGCGCTCTTTTTTAATTCAGTGAAGGAGTTTGAAACACTTTCAGTCAAGCAATGGCCGATGAGGTAAGTTTGACACGAAACCATTCACAAGATAAACAACAAACAACTTCGGGACTCAAAGATTTTTTAAAGTTGTCTTAACTTCAGCTTCTATCAAGCAAAGAGATATTTTTGGTGGTAAAATTTACCATGGAAGTTCAAACCAAAAAGGCGCTTAATTCTTAACCGTCTGGCACTTTATCGGATTACTGTAGACGATCGAATCATCTCAGGGGGTCAGTAACCTACAAGGTTCTAAATCGAAAAAATTTTCCGCGTTGGGCGGATCGATTTCGCTTTGTTTACAACTCGATTTGGACGAAATATCATGTTTTTCCGTAATTCAAGATATAAATCAATGAACAATTTTCGCTTAATTTGACATTGAACTTATGCAAACGGCCCAACATTGTGAACGGAAGTTACCGCTCTAAATTGAACAAATTTATATATTCCTATGCATAATTGGAGAAAAATAAATTCTTTGAGAAGAGGACAGCTTAATTTTATTTAAACTAAGCAGAAATAAGCCAGTCGCTGATTAATTTCCACACACATTCCTTCATAGCCGGCAAGTAGGAACACTCTGTTGTCAGAATAATACGCGGCACCTTGTGACGAGACCGTCATAATGACCCTCTCCTACTTTTCCGTAACAACGACACTTGCGAAACCCGGAAAAAAGTGAGCGTAATAGGTTTATTTCGGTGTACACAGTGCGTCATCTTTTTTCTAGTGTATCTGAGTGAAATGATGCGTAGAATATGGATGGTTAGGAGTTTCGACTTGCCTACGTGATGTCAGGCGTGCCCTGGCTGCCAAACGAACGTATAGAATTTCGTTTCCCCCCTTCTACCCTTCTACGTGTATTCAACCATTCCTGAAAGGACAATTGATTTCTTTAACTTTGGAAATAGATGATTTGTACAAAATGTGTTTTTAAAAGACCTTTCCATTCGGTTTAACAGGAATCAATCCGTGTTCGAGGCGGCTTGAATATTTATGAAGGTCTTTTATGCTGTTTTCTATTCTTGGTGGAATTAGGTGAATTTTCAGACGCTACTGGCTCCAACTTGATCGGTTTTCGAAATTATTCGCAGGAAAGTTCATTAACCATAATTTTTCAGTATGATTCCAAGTAGGATCTTTTTTGAGAAATGTTGAGTGCATTTTTCGGCTTCTAGATCGGTTAATGACCTCGAGGATCTAGAAGGATTTCTTCTTTTAGAAGGGATTTGCATTGTAAGTAACTACTGGAAGGAATGTCAATTGACCAATGACTGAGTCACTCTTGCACTTTGTTTGATAACGGTGCCTTCTAGCGGCAATGGCGATGTTTACCTTCGATGTGCGGTTAATCAAAAACACGTGTTCTTCGAATGCAATTGAAAACATACTTTATTTCACTTTCGTGGCTTATCTAAAGAGAGGATTTAATGAATATACATAACTTCAATCATAAGCCTTAGCCTAAACAAATAAAACCGTTGCTATTTTTGCCATTTGATTAATAGCTTCAGCAGGGCCGTTTACGTAATACAAACCTATATCTCCAAACCTACTAAACTAATATATTTTGATCACGACTATGATGTTTGATCTGCAGATGTGCCTGCTGTTTTACTGTTACTGAGCCATATCATTAGGGGAGTCACAATCAGTTTCCAGATTCTCCCACATCAGGGCTAAAATATCAGTCGCATTTTTTAAACACTAAACACGACATTCAAAAATTGATTTCCCTAACTGCCAGGAGATCACGTACACCTCATGTATTTGGGAAACAGTTTGTATTAGACATGAGAAACATCAATTATTGTGTCTATAGAAGAATTCGATATTTTATTTTCTTCTTTATTATAAGGAGAAAGTTTATAAATCCATTTGGAAAGTTCATCATCCCAACACATGGCCTTCACAGCAATCTATGAATTTAATCGTTCTTTTTTATCTAAAACTATTTGGTGGTGGTTAGATTAGACATTTTTAATTAAAACGGTGGTAAAATCGATGTTATGCTTACTTGTCCTATATATTAGCCACAAATAAGCCTCATTACTATTTCTAAAAACTAAACTTAGGATGTCCTCCAGGGTTCAGGTTTTTTTCATCCTGATTCACTTCGAAATTTTCCAAGCGGGCTGTGCCAGTAATGGCTTTAAATTATCATCCGATAAATCGCCCACAGTCTGGGAAGTTTGGTAATATTATCTACTACTTGCGTTATTTTTGCACATCTGGCCAATTTCACCACTTCACTTTCAACAATAACCGATAGGTATTTTTTTCTCGGGTGAAACGTGGTCATTCAGGTGTATCAGGAGTTAAGTCCTTGGCATTTTGACATTCTGAAAATTTATTCTGAGATTGATCAGAATAAGTCTTGCGATCTTTTCCAGGAGTTGGTTCCGTTGGCTGAGGGGCCTGGTTCGCCGGCTGCCGAAGAATCTGCAGCTGAGCCTGAGTTGACAAATCCTGACGAACCCATGGAAACTCTGACTGTATCGCTCAATAAAAAGAAAGGTACGACTCAAAGAAAAAACAGGTGGTTTTAATTGGAATAGTTTTGATTAATAAATTGTCAACCAAGTTTTTGCAAAAGGTTCCCTTAGTCTTATACAGTCAATGTTCATGGAATCGGTGGTTCTTTCATTTAAATTTTGCTATTCATTGCTCAAACCCACAAAAGGGACGTTTTTAAAACCGTCGATCAATCCCGGAATTGTTCGTTTAGTCATCGGTGCCCATATAGTACCCATCGTCACTTGTGGTCACGAAGTCTTATTGAAGTTTTTGTATTCATGAAATAATTTTCAATGCTCTCTTTCTTGTTTTAAACATTAGCCTTTCGACCCCTCACAATATTTTCCTCCAAAACCACCTTTTTCCTTCCTTATCTGATGTAGTTACTATCTCTTAGCCAAAGAAAATTTCGATCATAGTTTGTTTAAAAAAAGATGTATTACAAAAATACATTTTTTAACGTTTCTCTTTGGAACTGTTTTGTTCACAGGGGGGTATGGATTCAATATCAAAGGGGGCCGAGACAAGCCCTTCAGAGAAGGGGACTCTTCTATTTATATTACAAGGCTCAGACCGGGGGCTACCGCGGAGAAAGATGGCCGTTTGGCTCCTGGAGACAAAATACTGGAGGTTTGTAACACATGAGAACATGTAACACATGAGTTTTGTAAAATGGAAATTTTTATTTTCCTCTCCGTAACAACTTTACGACTGAAGCGCTAAAAAAGGCGATTTAAAAAGATCTTCTATTAACCAACAAAGTTGTTGACACTTGCAACTGTTCCTGCATAGTTGCCTCTTTTGATACTTTAAGTAACATCAAATTTCTTCTTTTTTTTTTCAATAATTTTGGGTAGATCAATGGTAACGATGTTAGTGATGTCACGCATTCTGAAGCCTTGGACTTGGTGAGGAAAACAAAAGGAGGGAAGCTGACCTTATTGGTACAGAAACGAGCTATAAAGGTAATCAGCGCTTTGAGGATTGGTAAACGAATATGACAAGACAAATTCGGTAGCTATAACATTTAAAAAGAGATGAAAACCAGTTGACCCTTCTCTCTTAGGTGAACTTAGATTAAAATTTGCCGTCTTAACGGAACCGCATTTTTCTCGTCATCTTCTTCCAATTGACTCGATTACATGATTCTGATCTAATCTATAGTTTCACTAGGAAACCAAACCGGAACGAATATCATTAAGGAACTTTGGATAGTTTACTTTTTCATGTTTAGCGTCTCAAATTTGGTTCTATTCCTATAATAATTTCAGCTCGAATTCAATTTTTCGTCTCAAAAAATGTCATTAAAAGGTTTTCACTAATTGACTGAATTTTGCTAAGTCAAAAAACTTCATGTTTGCAGTTCACTGAAGGTGAGGATGGAGATGACGGACTCGGTGTCATGAGCATACAACTGCATAGAGAAAAGAAAGGTACTGTATTGCACCTTTAAAGTATTATAAAAAAAATAGTAGTCCATGTACACTTGCTACAAATGCAGTGTCCTTTTTTCGCTTGTTTATTAACATCGTTTCCTTGATAGGGAGAGGCTTGGGTTTTAACATCCGAGGAGGTAGAGATAGCCCGTACGTTCCTGAGGATCCAAGTATCTACGTAACCCGAATCAATTCAGAAGGCGCGGCCGCCAGTGACGGGAGACTTAGCGTTGGTGACAAACTTCTCGAGGTAGGAATATTTTTGTGACTCATAACCAAATAATTTTAGAACCCTTCTGACGGCTTTTATGAGACGAAAACTGTGGTGAAGTATTGATCAGGTGACCACTCTGCTTAAAACATCAATTAATGGAGTGTGGTATTGTGCGAGAAGTTTATGGATACCATTTCCGAGACAATTTTCTACTAATTTCTCCATAATTTTTTGGCTGTCACTGAAAAGGTGATATATTTTTTTCCCCCATAATAGAGATTTCTGCATTTAACTGGCATGAAAAAGGTTTATATAACAGAAAAATCACCTTATGTTATTTTTAACCCAACAGATCAATAATGTTAACGTAGAGGACACCACAATAGACCGCGCTATCGATCTCATTCAGTCCAAGAAAAGACTTCTCCTACTGGTAGAGAAAAAGGCACTCCAGCGAGTGGTGGTATGTCATCCAAGTTTCTGATTTCCACCGCTTTTCAACCCAAAACTGAAGCAAATTTAACATCCTTTTTTTGCATCCCGCTTCGTTCCCTCTTTCTTCATCCAAACATCCTTGTTTATCACTGTAGATTTGCTTTTTGTGCACGAACTACACTAAACCTATCTTTCCCTTGTCAGGCTGAAGAGAAAAAGACATCTTTCTGCCTGCTTTTTTCCCTCATTCCCCATAGTATTAGATATTTTTCTGTGGTAGTCGATTAACAAGATCCAAGCTTAGTCACCTCTAATAACTTAAGTTATTAGAGGTGACCAGTTAGATAATCTGACAAATGTTCGATTGTAATCCGGTTATTTTAAGCTGGCTGAATCCATACAAACCTGCCAAAATTTATGCAGATACAATGCGCAAAAAAAAGATTAGTAAGAAAACTTAACTGGCTTGAATTAGTAATGCAGCCAATAAACCTCAACGGGTTTTCTTTTTTTTTGACAACAAACTTTTTAAACATTAAGTTGATGCAGAGATGCCAACATAATACGAGCAAAACGGTACCACGGGTTTGTTGAAATTGAATTCCTTACCGGTGCATTTGACGAGTTTTGATTCGGAAATGCAATGAGGCCAAGAGCCTTTTGATCGATTACCTGGTTTTCATACGAAAATAATGTAAGTTGATGATATGTATAAAACACGCTCGTGCAACAATGAATTCCTGTTTGCACAACCCAAGACAACAATGTAAACAACGGAATCTTCTAATATTCGCCCAACCCCGCCTTTTTAACACCTTTACCAACCATGTAAAAAAACTACTTTGGTGGCCGATTCCAAACGTTGAAGTATGCGACGTTGACTGTGCTCGACATGGCAACACCTCACGTAAGATAAACCTTAGACAGAACGAGTCGTTGTCTCTTATAATTTACAAAAGGGTGACTGACCGCATTTTTCCACAGAAAACCGTACGGGAAGGCGCAGTAGACAGCGTAAGAGGAGTCGAAAACGTGATTGAATTGTACAAGGACCCTGAATATGGTAATGACTGAATACACGAGCAATTAGGGTTATCACAAGACTATATGGGCTGTTTTTTTTTTCTTGACTCAGGGAGGAGTTTCGAGTAACGAGTGACCGTTTAGACAATCATAGTGCAAGGAGGAGATCTGAATTGTTCAAAACTTAAGCTGTTTTCCTTTTCCAATTCATTTTTTCGCTCTTTGACAATAACATTAAGAGATCTTAAAAACAAAAGCATCAGTTCCAAGGGTGCTATCTTCATTTGCATTTTTATTTAGATTTTACTTCCATTGTATTTAATCCGTTTGTGTTACTTTAAAAAAAAGCATAGACAAAGCTTAAAGATTCTTATAATTTTCAATGCATCTTAAAGGGAAGGCTAAACAGCAGAATACCCTGCCACTCATTTACATGTCATTAAGCAAGAATAGCGTCTATTGTGTTATGCCTCGTTCTTGAAAGCCTCACGACACATGTACATGAGGTGGACCAAAGTGGCAGGGTATTCTGCAGTTACTACCAAGGGACTGACACACAAATCACTGTATCATGAAAGTATTCTCAGAGAAAGATTTCGGGTGAAACCATGTTCAAAAATTTAATTGCATTTGTGGCTTCACTCCTTCCCAGGCCTTGGGTTCAATATCAGAGGAGGCAGTGACGCTAATTACATGCGTGGCCATCCGGGAATCTTTGTAACGTCAATCAAACCAGGAGGCTCCGCTGATCGGGACAGTCGGCTAAAAATCGGAGACAGACTCCTTGAGGTACATTTGAATTGCTAAAAATAAATTTTCTTAATTCCGTTCACGATGGACCACATTGAATGTAGATCGCAGGTTCCGATTGTATACCGCTGACGACTTTATCAGGCGATCAAGGTCACTGTTCATGCGCAAAACGCCCAAGACCACCCACATCTGATGTTTCTGAGTTGGACATGAGCAAATGGCGGTGAGGGATGAACGCTTTCACCAGTGTATTTGCTTCCCCATACCCACCTATACTCCCAGAAACATTTGTTGGGACACCTACTGCCTCCCCTCCCTCTCAATGTTGGTCCGCAAGATGGCATAGACACATTAGTAATTAACAACATTGGAAGGGGGAGAGGGGTGAATTAACATCTTGGAGGTTGCTCTGGAGAAGTGTCCCAACTTATTATGTCTGGGAGTGTAGGTTTCAAATCATATAAAAGCAACAAAAATGTTCTGAAGTAATTGTCTTTTCACCTTCAGATAAATGGCGTGGACGTTCGCTCTGTTCCTCAAGATGCTGCAGTTCAACTTGTTCAAAGATCCGTTGACAAAGTTACTCTATTGGTTGAAAAGGACGCAGAGCAGCTGTTTAAAAACTCTGAGTTTTACAGTTTGGTAAGAGCTTAAGGTCTCAATTTGTAGTTACAATTTCCGAAGTATAGCATTCTGAGTTGAAGTAAACGTAATGAGTTATGAATAAAAGCTGTTCACGCCTTTGTCAATAAACACCCAAGGTAATGTAAGGACTTCCTTAGTTGTCTGTTGTACCTTTGTCCCGCCTATAAGAATTAAAGTACTTCATCGTGTGAGTTAACCATAAGGATTTGGTTCGACTGATTTTATATGAACCCATATTTGTAGAGTGATTTTGATGAGATCGATATGAGTGGAGAGGCAGGCTGTTTCTTCAGAGATCAGAAAAGGAGAATAGGTGAGTCTGTACAGACACTCTTAAAAATCACTTTGCCACAGGAGAACCTTGTTCTTATTTTACCCCAGATAAGGAATTTTATAGTTTATTGGGTAAAGTGTTACTAGTATCTCACCGGTTTTCTTCGCCTCCTGCCTAGACTTTGTCCTGGCTTACGAAGAGTTCGATAATGAACCTGCTTCGAAAGAAACCCTACGATACAGAAGGAGGTACATGAAAAACCTGCAGAAATCTCAGCTGGAGTTCGAAGAGGTTTGACCGTTTTCTCGATATGTGAATTATCGTCTTGTTCCGCAATCCACACTTGTTGAGATGTGCTACTGATTATTTTGAAAGATAGATAATACTTTTATCATATTACAATTTCTTTCCTCTCTGCACCACAGAGAGATACTTAAGAGTTGATAACTAAGGCTTCTGTTTGGCTCCTATCACGTAATTCATGACAGTCGACCTGCAAGACAAACTACTTATCATTTGCCACCCTCTGCCTCTCTCCACAAAATGATCCCTGTCTCTAAGACTATCAGACTAATAGCATACCTAATCCGCGGTTCTAGGAACAATCCCCAACGAAGAAAGGACACCTTCACTTCATCAAAGTTCACGTTCCGTGGGAAGTCATGTTATTCTACGCCGAAGAGCTGAATTTTAAAGGTCCACTGAAGGTACAGAGGGCTAGAGTTCATGATAGTGTTCGTTGGGCCGAGGGAGCCTTAATTCAAACCAAAAATCATGATTGGAAATCGCTCTGACGAAGGGCTAACGCTCGAAGCGTCAGCTTTTTTACCCTTTACGGTGGCTAATTTACGTTTTCAACTCAGTTGTTAACACTAAATTACCTGCTATACTCTCCCACCGACGCAGCACCACAGTTTCTTTAGAAACTTACCCCTTTATTCAAAAATCATACATATTTGTGGTAGGAATTTATCCCCTGCGACACTCTCTCTGTGAGAGGAGCAATGAAGGTCAGCCTTCCATACACCCGGAAATGATTGCTGACCCGGACAAAAGAGTTGCGCGCATTTAACTGCATACTAGTTTTTGAGAAGCACGTTCGCAAGAGGTAAGGAGTCAAAATGTTTCTTTTTTACCACCGTACTAACTGATTCTCTCCCCTCAAATCGTCTTTCAATTCAAAGGCGAGAACAGAAGAAAAGATCAACTGGTCAGAGCGGATATTGAAGAAATTTCATTTGCCAAATATATTCAAGGATGATGTCCCAGATCAACCCCCAAATTACTTTACAGCCACCTTTCAAGCCAGTAAACTGCAGAGGTAACTAAAAAACGTCATGAAATGTTTTGCATGAAATAACATCTTGAGAAAAACACTTAAATACGATAGGCGAACATATGAACACTCTGATTAATACCAAAAAAGATTACTCTCCGGTCAAGGGCTAGTTGTTTCACATCCTTAAACGTATACAATGTTTCTACTCCGAAATTTATGGATGTAAATAAAACTGAGTATCCCTCGCATCTTATTCTTTGTCTTTTCTTTGTGTCGAGTCTGAGTGCTTTAAATTTTTCTTCCCCTGCAGATTTGTAGGAAGCGACAACCCAGAAACGTACTTTAAGGACACGGAACGAACAAGAGTAGTGAGTTTTTGTTGTATTCTTGTGTTATTAAAGTTATCTCACTCTGAAAAAATAAAAAATTAATAGATCCTTTTGCATATTTTCTTGCTCGTGTAAACGGTTTTTTTTCTTCCAGGCAAATGAGATCCTCGAAACAGCTGTGTACGGAAGCCGCAACAAAGGAGAAATAGGTAACGGATCGATTTTACTTGAACAAGGGATGACAACAAAAGAGGACTTGGCGCTAATGAAAGGCACAGATCGAGCGCTAACGAGAAATTAGGATGAAAAAAGCACTCAGAACATTTCCCACTAAGCAGGCATTGAAGATATTAAATCAGTACAATCATAACTGCACAAAATATCGATCATTGCTTATCCTAATAATAAACAGAACCTTTCCTGACTAGGAGTAAACCAAACATTCCTAGCCATAGATTGCCACGTGCTATTTTCTTTCCCAGTCGAGAGGCAAAATGACTTTAACAATCTTAATTGAGCGGCCACATTTTAACAGGGCTCTTTAACATTTAAGGCTAGTGAACATCTTCAAACGGTAAAAAAATTAGTTTTTCTCTAATTGATGGGAAAGAGTTCGGAACTCGATAGTATTAGGGTCTTCAATGCAGAGTCGGATCTTTCTTATTCCACTCACCGTAATGACAAATACCTAACATGTTTTAGTGTAGCACCATTGCAGGGATTGGCCAGAGCATGAAGTACCTTTCTTGTTAAACTAGGTTGAATAACGAAGAGTGGATAATGTTTTTTTTTTTGTTCAGGTATTAGTCGACTCGTGGAGGAAGGAGTATTTACAGCAGCGTATCCTCTTCATGTGGTGAGCGTGGTAGCATAGGAAATGACAGATGAAGTGGCTTTTAAGTTCATGTAACTCAGTTGTCATACACATATAGTGATGAAGACCACGAGATGAAACCAATTTTAAATTACCTAATCAATCTCGTCTGCCCACTGTAGCACAGTGACCCAAACACTACCAAATTTGTTCATCAATATCCACAGAATTGAATCTGCAGCACGGAAAATAGATCTGAAATTTAATCAATGAACTTTCCAGACTTCCCGCTCGTTCAGTATATGGCCCAAACTGCAGCCACTCTCTTTTGACATGTTATCTAATTACTCACAGGGCCCAGCAGAGCTGCCTTCAGATTGGAATAAGGCACCAGATGGACCAGAGGAGAGAAGACTAAGTCAGAGACAGGTAAGCTATATCTAAATAAAACCTCGGAACTCTACCCAGCATCTGCTTGATACTCAACTGGCATAGAAAATCACACGAAAGCGATTCATTGTCAAACCTCGATAGACCGGAGTGAGTAATTGGCAATCCTTCGAATACAGGCAGAGCTGTCTGTTCATCTTAAAGCGAGTATGAAAGTCTGGTACGTGTGCCGGCCCGCTTTATAAAAGCTTTACAGTAACTTAGACAGCCATGTTGTTCAAGATCATGATGACAAATCTTTTGGCCGCGGGTTCTAAAACTCAAGCAAGGTTGGCACGGCAGTGTAATCAAAATTCTGTAAGTCAAACGAATGTATGCGACCTCAAATCACGAGAACAAGATCAAAGGTAATACCTTTTTTTTTCAGATCTTCGTCATCTTTTTTTTAAACTCTCTTCGAGTCTTTCCAAAATGACAGAGCAACTTCACATAAGTCATATTTTTTTTTGTGTCAGATACTTAAAGAATACTGGGCACGATGGGGAAAGTGGCTGAAATATCAACCACTTGATCACGTCAGAGAATACTTTGGAGAGAAGATCGGCATTTACTTCGGTTGGCTTGGTAAGTAATGACTTCTTAACATCGTGTTGATCATTTTATCGCCAAAAACTGAAAAACGTTCTCATTTACCAAATTTTTTCACACGTGTACTTCAACCCATCTAAATTTTGCTCCTTATCTAGCTAGCTGTCCATAACCATTTTATATTGCACCCGCTTCCCTGGCTCACTATTTACCTCCTACATGTACCATCTTTGGCTGTCCCCTATCACACTTCCCTCCCTCTCTTTCCCCTCCAACCACCGGACAGCCCCCAGTGTTACCCACAACTACAACATGTAACCCACCTATACGATGGTCACCCCCATCTTTTTTTTTTTTTTTTTTTTTGTTTTTTTTAATCCACATGCTTTACATTTCTAACAGGGCAATACACAGCATGGCTGATACCACCCTCCTTTGTTGGGCTACTTGTTTTCCTTTACGGTTATCTGACAATAGATAGTAGTCAGAACACGGCGTAAGTAGGAAAGGATTAGCAATGCTAGCCACCATAAATCACAAGCAATATATAACTTCTTACTTACCATGGCCATTTTCTAAGGTCTTAGATGAAAGTTCTTCCTCTTCTTTTTAAAATAATCCGACCCCACTGCCACTCTCTGAAATCTCAAATTTACAAACTGTTTTGCCTCGTTACTAATTTAATTTAATGACCACAACAAGAATAAGTTTAAAAAAATCTCCTATGTTCAGTGATTGCCGAGCAAACCGAGTTTACTTAGGGTTGCACATGTTTCAATAATTGAATATTTCCATCTTTTGTGTCCTTTACCGTGACCCCTTATTAGGTGTTTTGCGATGAAAAATACTTCTTTTAGGGTTTTTGTTATTTTCTGAGTGATTTTACCTTTCAGTTAATAAATCGTTAATAAATTTTAAAACGTGCTTCACAGGCTTGAGATCTGTAACAGCGCGAACTGGACATTTGTAATGTGTCCACTGTGTGAAGAAGAACTGGGCTGCAAAGCGTGGGACTTGAAATCAAGTTGCTCCCGAGCGAGGGTAAGAGGGGGTTTTTGTATCAAATGCATATCGTAGCGTTACTGAAAGACTAGATTTATGGTCTCTAAATATTGGTAACCTTGTGGTAACCTTTTGGCGCGATGCCCGGAATACTGAAAGGGTTAGACTTCGAAAATTTCTACATGCAAAAAAAGGTCGTATTTACGACACAAAGGTCGGCACAAACAATCAAGCTGTTTTGTTACTTCTGTTATTGTTGTGTTTTGATTGACTTTTTAAGTCTTCCGGCCCCATTTTGCAATTGAGCGGCATTCGTGGAAAGTTTTTGAACGCGATCGGAGCATTCTGAGTTAATCCTCTACCAACCAGTGAGTATAATGGAGAGATATATGCTTCAATTATCGATGAGTTATTTATTTATAATTCGTTTTCTTTTTCAAGACATCGTACTTATTTGATAATCCAGCCACAGTGGGTTATGCCCTTTTCGTTGCTTTCTGGGGTAAGTTCATTTTTTCGTTAGTATACATTATTTATTATAACATAAATGTAATAAAATTACTTAAAGACCTGTAATATACACAAACAGCAGCAAACCATTATAATAATTATAAATTTTTTAGCCAGTGACTAAAGGACACACATTGTCAGTTAAGTGTGTGTGAACGCTCACTTTCTTACAGCTGTGTTTTTCCTGGAGTACTGGAAACGAAAGGAAATCACTTTGGCCTATCAATGGGATGTGCTGGGCTTCGAAGAAGAAGAGGTACTTTATATGAGGCTGAATGATTTTTTACGTATTCGATAATGTGTTTGAAAAACCATTTGTCTAATTTTGTTACATGGAATGTGAAAACCCTAAATAAAATGGATCAGAGAAGCTCAACGGCTATCTTACCAAGAATAATTAATGAGATGCTATTTTTGAACAACTAGCAATCAGCCTTACGTTTAGGACTATCTTTTATCATGCTTTCAAACATGTTTGACTGTTTTATCTTTTTCTAGGAAAGACCTCGACCCACCTTTGCAGCATTAGCTCCAGCTGTGGAGAGGAATCCTGTAACAGGGCTTTTAGAACCACACTTTCCCGAAGAAAAGCGATTCCCAAGAATCGTTTCAGGAATTGCTATTGTTATCTGTATGGTAAGAAAACAAGAGAAAAAGAGTAAGATGAAACCCTTTGAGACAAATTCCAGATGAAAAGGAAGTTTTCATTGAGCCATTGAATTCAGTGACAAGCTGCTCATAATCAAACTCTTCATTAAATTGATTGCTATCATTGAATTCAAAGGAAGTCGTGGTCGTAATTCTAAAAATCAGCCCAGCGCCACTCACTTAACCGAAATAAAATTACTCGTCCAATTTCTCTCCGAGGTTCTTCTCTGAGTCTTTTTACCTTTACTCAAAGGCGAATCTAGTGAGTGAAGTAATGTGTCACCTCTTGGACTGAACCAGATGGTTCCAAACGTCGTTGACTTTTTTCAGAAAATGCCAAAAAATATCAAATGTACAAGAAACCAAGTTCGCTTACTTGGATAGTTTAGAGATCTACCCACTCCTAATTCCACTACCCGCACTTAAAAGATGATACGTGTTCCGACAGGTTTCCCTCGTGGTATTGTTCATGGTCGGAGTTATCGTATACAAGCTGCTTGTGATTCATCCACTCTACGAAAACCCAAACTTTCAGGAGTATGCTTCAACTATTGTATCTGTGACAGGCTCAATCATGAATCTTATCATCATAATGATACTGAGCAAGGTAAGAAAAACAGGGAAAATGAGTCTTTCTAATTATTCAACCTTTCTACGAAATGCGTTTCATTTACTTTTTCATGTGAAGTGGTTATTTAAAAGACGTCTTTCTTGCTAGTTTTGTACACAGTAAACGTTTAGGAACTACACAATAAAACGCTTTTAACTAAGTCGTAAAAACAAAACCAGAGTAATAAAATCTGCCAATCACAAAAAAGGCACTTGTCACAACAACCAATAAGAACTCAAATGAACAAAAACGTAAATAGCTTCAAGCACGGGAAAATGTGAGAGAGCAAGTCACAAATAGTTTGTTTCTACATCGGATTGGTTGCAAGGATGGCGCGACCTTTCTGGACCAGTTATAATGCATGGTAAGCTAATGCGGGTGCATCATTTAAAACCATTATAATCAAAATTGTCAAGCAGAGTAAGATAAAAAACCTTAAAGACCCAATCAGGACTCAACGCAGAGACAAGCAAATTGCGTAAAGCGCGGGAAAACGCTGGTGAACAAGTCGTAGTTGGTTTTAAATTGGCATCTGATTGATTGAGAGAGTGGCGCGAGTTTTCTTGACCAATCACAGAGAGAAGCTAGTAAAACCAATGCAATTTAATTTACTTTCGACACTCATTTGAAAACTACACGAAATAGATTGCTGAATATTAAGAGTTTCTGTAGAAGTGCTCAACGATTGACGACTAGAAATGTAGTAACTGAAAAGAAAACCTTACTTGAACATAAATAATATTTTTTTTCACAAAGGTCTATGAAAAGTTAGCCTACGTTTTAAACCATTGGGGTGAGTTTTCTTTCCTGAATTTTAATATATTTGATATTTTATATATACCACAGTTCACCGGTTGAATGAGTACACTCCACGTGTCAAACTCAAAGTTAGTTGAAATCACTCTGCAGGTGTTTAGCTGCAGGGAAGAGAATGCAATGTTTAACTTCATATGAAGAGTGGATGGAATAACAAATATATCAGTTCTATCTGCCCTAAGCATCTGAACCCTAAGAAAAATGCTAATTAATGGAAAATAAGTTATAAGTACCAGCAACTGGCGAAGCAACTTGGACTACGGTTATTTGAGGTTAGCGAGCCGCCTCGGGTTGCGGTAACTCGGATTGACTCAAGCTCTGATTTGGCTCCAAAATAAGTTGACTATTTTTTCTTCTTTTCCAGAGATGCATCGCACGCAAACGGAATACGAAGATAACTTAACATTCAAAGTGTTCGTGTTCCAGTTTATGAACTTCTTCGCTTCCATCTTCTACATAGCTTTTTTCAAGGGAAAGTAAGTTGCTAACTCAGATGCCCTTCATCTTGCTTCATTTTCATTTTTATTTTAATTCCTCGAATACACGAAATATATGAAACACTTAATGCTTACTTCTTTTGCTACTCTTTTCTTTTTAGACTTGTTGGTTATCCAGGAAATTATACAAAGATATTTGGCCTTAGGACAGAGCAAGTAAGATCAAAGAGCATCCCTCAACAACCAATCATATGATAAGCTACACGATACATGCTCTGATTTTGATTGGCTCTTGCCCATGATCTATTAAAGAACAGACCCATAGATGACGTCACCATTAACAACATTAAGTTTTATTATCATACAAAACGAATAAATTCTATGTTGCCGTCGGTCTGTGCAGTAATAGATCTCAGAGGATGTCAAAATATGGTAAGAACATCGATGACACTCGGCTGCGCCTAGAGGCTCCCCATTTTTTTGTTTTTACAAAATTTTGACGTCATCTGTGATCTATTACTGGAAAGAATCACTGTAACATGGAATCTATAAGTTGCATAGTGAGCTGTAAAGAGAAGTTGTTAACAAAGGTGACAAAAATCGAAAGCAAAGATGATGGTGCTGTAGCAAAGGTTGGGGGCTCACTGAACGTGCAAAATCTTGTGGCTTTTGTGTTAAGCATGTAACTGAATGTCTCTCTGGTTACTGTACACTGTGCTGGTTCCGGACTGAAATCCCTGACAAAAACATGTAACGAAATGTCTTGGGCTTCATAAATATTGTAAATAACCGTTATAAGTGAAAAGAACTTGAACCGTTAAGTTTGCCTAAATGACCAACTTTGTATGGTAGAAGACCGCATGAAAAAATCAAACATACGATAGTTCCCTGTTACTTCTCGTATTTATTTGAAACATGTCTTAATTTGAGGTGAGGGAGCAATTTTATTGAGTTAAAACTAGTCTGAAGTACTTTGTCATCTTGCATTTACAGTGCAGTCCCGGTGGATGTCTGATGGAGTTGGCTCAACAGCTGTCAGTTATCATGATTGGCAAGCAAGTCATCGGCAATGTACAGGAAGTCCTTGTGCCGTAAGTTTTCAGCTGAACACAAATTGGTTGAGCTTATTCAATGCTTAATCGTTTCTATCCCATTGTTAACATCATTATACCCATTTATTTATTCCATTTTCCTTTGGCTCAGTGAAATAAAAAAGTTCATGAAGAAGAGAAAAATGGGAGTGACCGGAAATGAGGTGAAGCCGCGCTGGGAACTGGATTATGATTTACTGGAAAACGAAGGCTTGTTTGGAGAATACCTGGAAATGGGTAAGGCCAGAAACCTTTTGGTTGTTGAACGATCTTCAAATGCGGACAAGAGTCTAGTATGAAAATTTACTATCAGTGAATTTGATTGGTCTATTTGTGGACTACTGTCTGTATTGTTTTAGATCCTAATAACTGTGGTTTCAATAGGTAGATCTCGACCAATATAGATGCAAATCTGATTTACCAGGCTATGACCGTTTTCAATCACTTTGTATTCATTTTGATCGTTAAATAGCAATAAAGCAAGGTAAATCGGGTTTATGAAACCAGCAAAGAAACATTTGATGAAACCAGCAAACAAACGTAATTTTTTTTTCACTTATTTTTTCCAGTCATCCAGTTTGGTTTCGTTACAATCTTTGTGGCTGCCTTTCCTCTGGCTCCGTTCTTCGCTCTCGCCAACAACATCTTTGAGATTCGCATTGACTCAGACAAGATGGTGTGCGATTTGCGGCGTCCTGTGGCACATAGAGCACAGGACATTGGAATCTGGTTCAGTATGTTATCAGCGATAGCGAAAATGGCTGTCATCAGTAATGTAAGTACAGTTGCAATGGTTGTAGTAGATCAATAATGCGTGCAGTGACTTATCATGACCGGAAGTAACAGTGGAGCTAAAAAACATTCTAAATACAAGCATCCTAGTAAATCACGTTTTTAATTTGCAGAAAAACTCAAAAGAACTCAAAAACAAATAACTCTGAAAAGTCATGCTTGTTTCACGCTTTAGGCGAGTGAAGAACCTACTTCCTAGAGAATTATACGTTCGGAGATATTGAAGTGTTTGTAATGAGATTACAATAAACCAGTTACTCTTGTTTAATCTAAACTAGATTAAATAGTTAAACAACAGAATGATTATTTGATAGAAAAGAGTTAGAATGCTAAGGCATAATACTTCTTGTTTCTCTTTACTTTTTCAAAGGCTTTCCTTATAGCATTCACCTCGCAATTTTTGCCAAAATTGTTGTACAGAGCTTCTATATCACCAGATGGCTCCCTTCACGGCTACACTAACTACAGCCTTGCCTGGGCGCCACCCAACTCTACATCAGTACCCTGCAGGTAACCACATACCCTAAATTTTTCATAAATTTTTAACAAGATACAGTAGAAGAAAAAGTCAACCACAGGTCCCTAACGGCCAAGAGATGCTTATCATGTCCACCACAAAACGTGATGAAAATTCTGGTCGGCATGTACTGGTTGATATGTACTACAATCTCTTTCTCAAAGAAAAAGTCACCAGGAACACATCAAAACTAAACCCAAGCAAACCAATCCAAACGTGTTAAGAGCATGATATTTATCAAATGACCGGAAAGTGTTCACTACATAGAGACCAGATCTCGGCTAAACAGCCTGTCTGTTACAATTTCTGGACGTTAAAATGACAAGTTATAAGCCGTAGTAAGTTTTGGACGTTGGCACCATCAGATCGTTCTGAAATCCACAGCGAAATGAATGTCACATGGTCACCAAAACGATCTTCTACTTATTGTACAAAGTATTCGAGGAAGATTTTCCAATCCTTGAACAGATCCTTCCTCTGCGCTATGACTTACGCTAAAATATTTCGTTTAATTTTTGGAAAGAACAAGGGATTCTCTTGGTCGTTTGGAAGCACCTGAAACTAAAATACACGTGATAATTCACGTTTATTATCATACACACGACATACACGTAATACACGCAATGCTTAATGACCGACTGGGAGCGCCGCTCAGAGAAGCATTGGCTCGAGGTAATAACCGAGAGCCATAATTTTCCCGTCTGCTTCGACCTACTATAAGTCAGTCAATAAGAGCCACTCTTTCTCTTTCTGCTTTCTCGCACCTTGTATCCTTCATCACGCGGGGCCGTAGCCTTTTCCCAGCCCTGCTTGCGCTATTGCATGCGGCCCTCATCCGGGGATCTGTTCACATTGGTATTCAGTGAAGGCGTTGGGGCCGAAGTTGTTGTATGATAAAGGAAGTGAGTGATTAGTTTCAAACGAGAAAAAAATGATGGGTCATCATAGTCGTTGGCAACTCCATTCGCAATGTTTTAATGTTCATCCCAATTTCGTCTAAAATTCGCCGCAGCTCCGTTTTCTTACTTGGCATGATCTTGTTCATAAGAATCCGCAAATTTAACTCGATAAATAAAAAAGCGACTCAAACCGAACATGGTATGAAATCTAAGGAAACTATATTTAAGACAAACATCAGCCATAAGAATTGCTCGAGGCTAAACCGTTATTGTGCTATTTATTGAGAAAAACATTCGTACCTTTCAAGACATTTTCTGTTTGAAAGCTTTTAATCGTAATCCGAATAATGGATCATTCAAACATGGGAGGCGAATACCATAATGAAGAAAATATTGTGGACACAAGTCTGCCTTCGGAGCTGCAACCCAAACGTTCCTACAACATCTATTGTGCACGATATATATTACTAGCGCATACTCCTGAGTTCCTTGAAAATATTGTCTTACGTTAGAGGGTGATTTGTCAAATATTTATCGGGAATGTTACGTAAATTGCAAGCTTTGATCTTGAAAAATAAAACTTTAACAGGATTCACCAAGTCTTAATGGTTGGTTAAATTCAATCATAAATATTTCATAACATCGATCTGCAAAAGTCGAATTAATTTATTGGATCCTGTCGCGTCTTTTAATAACTCTACCATATCTCCACAGGTATATCGAATTTAATAATCCTGATGGTAGTCCGAGCAAATTTTATTGGCATTTGGTGACATTAAAGCTGGGGTTTGTTATTTTATTCGAGGTGAGTTGAACTAATTAATCACCAAGAGATTGCAACTTCTAATTATTTTGATGTTTCAACCCTCGGGCTTCATTCCAAGTGTGTATCTTTGCACGTTTACTCCAAGATGTTCCCTTCGTGTCCATTGCTTGAGAACGCTTTTCTCATGAACAAGGGGGAGCGTGTTCCGAACGCTCAAATCTTCAAACTCATGAAAACGAAACTGTTTACGAGAAAAGGAACGAATCTGTCCCCACAAATCACACACGCAGGTTACAAATAGCAGCCAAGTTACACTTTCTGTAACTTTCTCGAACGTCCTTCCGATATAAAATGATTTTCGTTTGATTACTGGACTTTACATCAGTCATAGTAGGTAGGGAAGTGGGTTGAACCAATGACCAGCGCCCTGCACCCTGCGTCAAGCATTTCGTGCCAAGTGCAGGCTTCAGTCATTTTCCGAGCTAAAAAAAAATCGGTCAGCAGGCAAGGAGCTGACAGCGGAAGGCCTGAATTATTTTCTTATTTCCCCTTCGCCGGCCCTTTATCCTCTGATCAAGGCTTAAAAGAACTTAAGAGGCCATGTGTTACGTTCTCGAACTGGGCATTTCAAACAATGACTCTACCCCAAAGAGAATCTCGCAAATAAGCTAGGTGGAATTCCTGTGATGACCAAACACCCCAACCAAGGATAGAAGCAATTTCACATGGTGTACTGCCCTGATACCGCGCGAAAAACTAAGGTTGGAGTAGGTCGCTGGATTAGTTTTCGCTTCCTTTTACCGAAACTCTATTTCTGTCTCTTTTCCGACAGCATTTTGTGTTCTCCGTATCGTGGCTCATTGACATGCTTGTACCTGATATACCAGCTGGCCTGGACCAAGCCATTAAAAGAGAAGCGTACCAGGCTAAGCAGATCATGTCTGACAATCACGGACTCATGGGAGGATTGCCTTCTTCTGATGACTACATGCTGGAACTTGAAACATGACACTACCATCATAGGCTCTTTTAAATTTCGCCTGCTTTACGCAACGCAATGCATAACCAGTTCAATAAATTAATACAACGTACAAACAAATCAAATACGTTTCGCTCAAGTAATATTTATTCTCAGGAGGGCGATCATATCATTTCTTCGGCAAGATTGCCGCCGTCTCAGAATAGAAGCTACGTATTGATCCAAAAAAAGATAACGTATATCAATTTAATGCCAAACGTCAGATTAGAGATGATATAAACGGAGAAATGAATGCCACCTAGGAATCTTACTGTAAGGCAAACGGCTGACTGTCATTATATGCCACCACAACCACCTTGGTGAAGATCATTCATGAAATTAGATGCATTAGGTTCGTTAATCCGCTGGTTTTGTCGAAAGGCTGTTTCTCACGTTCTAAACCACAAATGGTATTTAATATTGAAGTTACACTTTCTTTTATCTGCCAAACGTCCGCGATTAAAAAAAGAAAATACGGCCAAAAAAATATTCTGAATAGCCTGAAGATCAAAAGAAGAACGAAAATATTTTTGAACAATTGTAAATACATTACGTCTTCATGGGACCTTCAGAGCTTGAAAATACTGTATAATGAAATCATGAATTTACAATTTTGACCTTCTGAGTAAATAAAATATTAAATGAAACAAATTCGCGTGGAAGTTTCCCTTTAAAAGTAGATGCTTCACGCCCGTTATTTTTCAGACCTACAGCAAGATGTGTTTGCTTGTTTTTGTTGTTTTTTTAATAGTCTTTGGCTTTGAAATAAGCTGATATTTAGGAGGAACACAGGAAGCAGAAATATCTTGCCGTGGAAAGAAAGATCAAACATAAACCTGATGGGTGATAACAGCCTAAAGTTACAATTCCGCACAGCGTAGGGACAACCAGGGAATGACATGGAATTTGTTTGGGCTAGATGTTTATTCAACAAAATTACCGAATGTTCAATTAACACAAATACTGGCTTTCACCTCTGTTCGCCCCTCGGCTTCACTTGAATAAATTATCGCTAACTTTAATTTGAAAAGCGGTAAAATTTTCTGTTTAGTGCGTGTTGGAAGAGGCTTCGTCGATGTATGCGAAAGCATGGAAGTAAACAGAATGGAAACAAATCTAGTTCAAGTACGATTTTTTTAATAGAGAAACGAAATATCTATTTGAGTCTGTCGATGTAAATGTCGCTCGAAGCAGCTGTCAGACTTACAATGTAAGAGCAGGTATATTCTTCACTCTGATTGGTTGAGATCGGGAGCGGGGGCTTCTATTTTGATTCCTAGTGAATTTCTCGCGAACTGATTTGAATTTCTCGCTGAAGGAGGTGATCTTTAATATTCTGAACTTATGTGACACAAAAAACAATCCGTTCTGGTCAACGGTTCCGTACGATTATATATTATCTGGTCTGTGATGTCTCGATGGAGGATTTTTTCAATTGCGAGCGACATTTAAGGCGTAAAAATTGACAAAGCATTTCTGAGGAGCCATGCCTAGGTCTTACAACAAGATGGACGACACCGACCCTCTAGCCGCGAATGAGTCTCTGGTATTTACATTTTTTTGTTTTATGTGTAAACCTTGTAGCTTAAATTTAAGGTTAATTTTTATTTGGTTTTTCCAAAAAATCCGCTTTGCTCTTTAATGTGCCTCTGCATCTCGAATCCTTACTCAAGCAACCAGTCCCCCGAATTGACATCCATCGCATCCATATTGTATCATGCGAGAAAATTTGTCAGAAATGCGGTCGCAATTTTTTCATCGAATCATCCAAGCTAAAATCAAATAACAACGTCATCAGAAGGTACGGAGAAGGTAAAGAAAATTAATCGTGAATTATAACCTTTTCAGTTAAGACAGGTTGTGTGATTGAAAACTTGCTGCTTTCAAAATATACGATTATAAACTTCAATTTCGGCTGGTGTTTCGATTCTCTCCTTCCGTCTTCTGAAGTAAGATAAAATTAACGCAGAAATCTTCTCAAAGTTGCCCACGAAAAGTCGTTTTCTTTCTTCAAATGCGGTGATTTCGATTCGATCAAAGATCGACCCAGCGAAAAGTGAAAGTTATTAAAAATGAATGAAAGCGGGCGTCATGGCCGATTTATCATGAGGATATTTTAAATTTCGGTGATATTTTTTTGGCTCTTCTTTCATTGACTTCATCATGTTCGACCGTCGACTTTCTGTTCTTTGGCATAATATTTATTTTTTTCAACACAATCGACAAATTTCTGCTAAGCAGCTTCAAGGAACTAGCTAGAAAACATGTTTATGCAAAGTATAATTACAATGCGGAAAAAAAGGACGGAGTAACGTTAAGGACGGGGAATTCAAACGAAGGAAAAAAACTCGAAAATAATTTGCAAAAGGTACCGTTTACGCATAGGTACTAACTGAATAATGGCTAGCAGCAAGTTACTTGGAATTTAAACTGGAGATGCGCATTCGCAACAATTGAATCACCGTTTTGTTTTGAAATGAAATTCAGTGATTTTTTTTTTCCCGCGTGTTTTCGTGCTTCGAAAATTTCACCTACAATCCCCGAGGGCTACTTAATTACAAATGAAAGCATCGTCAGGTCGACCTCGCTAAAATCTTAAACCTTTTTACATGTGGCTGTTTGCTTCTCTATGGAAACAAAAGCCACTTCAAAGGCACGAGCCCAACCAGCACGCAGTATTGCGAAGATTAATTATACCCAACATGGAGCCAGTGCATACTGCTACCAGGCCATGAAAAAGAAAACGGGAAAACGAATTTAAATGCCACTTCAGCTTTTTTCTACGCCTCGATGCTACAATTGTTTGTTCAGTTCTCTAAAGAAAGCGTAGCAATTTGCATATGTAGGGTGCTTTCCGTGGTACATGTTTGTATAGATTTAAACAGCGCTGAGGTTTTGTTTATTTTGCTATTATTTTCTGACAACAAGGATACTCGGACGTGTGTTATAGCGAACATTAAAGACACTCGCACGGATTTTAAACGAAAGTCATATTTCGCTGACGATGAAATTTTGCCACCTATACGTTTTTTTCCCTTTTATTCTTAATCCCTGTCACAAAAATTCTAATTATGATTGAGAATTAAGGCGGTGGTTTTCAATCGTCCCAGTTAGAGTAAGCAACGTGAAAAGGATTGCAATTACTAACACGGCATGCAGTGTATAAAAACAATTAGCACTAATTTTTGAGCACCAAATTTCCAACTGAATATACTTCAGTTTAAAAGAGAAATTAAAACAGAAAAAAGTTCCTCGGTAATTTTTTTTCCTTTTTCGTAACAAAAATAAATATTTTAATAAGTGAGCCGTTTCATAGGCGACAGAGGTATTCAAAAACGCATACCTTAATCTGTCATTCTTTGTGTATTTAAAGCTTTATATGTACTTACGAATAACACAACCCTAACTTCTAATCAGACTAATTTCCAAGAACTTCAAAGAACCTTCTAGTATAAATGAAACAAGTCACCCAAGTGTTATTCTACCAAAAGATTTACATAATCGTAAGTTTTTGACATCTCAAGCAGGGACCATGCAGGTTTTAATAATAATAATAGTACGACTGCACAGGAGTTGGGTCACATAACCGAATTAATGATATGGTTGATGACCATGATTGTGTGGGATGTAGATCATTATTGGATAAGAGCAAATATTCCAAGAGAGTGGATACCTCCGATCATTACTACAAAAATATATATTTATCAGAAATAAGCATGTAACACAACAAACAGAAAAGATGCCGTGGCTGGATTCCTCCTTTGGAGAAGTATTTTTTAAAAGAGTCTTTGGATTTACAACAACTTTGTGACGAGAAGCAACAATTAAATTAAAGGAGACAAACTAAAATGATAATTCCTGTTTTTCTTTTACCTATATTTTTTGTTCAACAATAAAAGTAGGATTCACAAAACCTTGTTCAAGTTCAACTCTACAATCAGCCTGCAATCAAACAAGCCAACAAAATTCTAAAAAAACTAAATGATATTTCAAATTAACTGTGATGAACTTGGGACCCAAAAGGGCTTTTAAGATACCATGAATAATTTATCACAGTCATCATGTGCATGTGCAGAAAGGATGGCAAAATAATGTTAAGGGTTTGAATTTACTCAAAAGCAATTCATTAAAAAGGTATTCTGGTTGTACTTATTGTCCTAAACCTCGAAATAGCTTGAATGATAGAGAAAAGCCTGTCAGCAAACCTGTCTTAAGGAAAAACTGGTATAACAAAAAATGAATAACTCCTATGTCAAAACACATCAACAAAAGTGCTACTACAGATTTTAGGATAACCTACTGTTATTAGCAGTGCTTATACAGTTTCCATGGAGTTTTTTTAAAACACATAAATTTTGGAAATGAAACATGCATAACACAAGTCAAAAGCTAGAGGCTGTGTTCCAACACCTCTTATTCACACTTTGCATGTAATTCAATTAAAATCACAGAATGAAAACTACTCAGTAGAAACATTTGTGACAAATAAACCATACTGAACATGTTTTACTTCACCCACTAATTACTTTAGGAATCAAAATAATTCAAATGACTATATTTTTTTCTGGTTAACACCAGGTGTTAATGTTAGCACATCACACTGTACTAAACTTGACAAATGTTTTATTTACTCATTCTCCTTCATAAGCCCAAAAGAATTGTGGATTTCTTTAAAGAAAACTCTGGAATGATGACAAATGAACCTAACCAATACTTAAAATACAAAATACAACGGGGAGCCGGTTTTTTCAAATCTAGGTTAAGATAATCTTGGATTAGTGTGAAATCTGATTTCAGATCTGGAAGCCTTGGAAGAAAATTCAGTATCACTCTTATTGTCTTTAATTTGATTACTGGATGCTCTACAGGGAACAGAGAAATTGTCCCCATGAACAAAGGAATAAAAGAATCTGGATTATAATTTGACTTTAGGTTTATAGCACTAATCAGCCTTCAATAAACTCGGCCCTGATCTGGAACACCACTACTTCACACCATGGAAAATAACAACAAAAGTTTTGTATCTTTGAGGAAAGTTTGACAAGTACAAAACACAAATCACTTTCAAATCCCTGCTAGCAAACATTTATACTTGTGAAATAAACAAGAATATCAACTTATCTATATTGTTAGGCAAATCATGTAGGTAGTTCTTCCATTGCTTTATTAAACATCCATGCAATCTTGTTTCACTAAAACAGTATTGAAACTCACCATAAGGGACTCAATAATTTATGTTAACTCAGATTTCTTGTTACAATCATTATGAAAAATCAGAAGGCCAGGTTCAACCTTACTGCAGTTGTTTGTATAGAGTGGAGCAAATCATTTTGCCAAAAGTACAATTTATGCCCAACACCAACCTTAAAGAAGTCAAATCTGATGATTGATGATACTTCAAACTGTAGATCTCAGCATAATGATTGATGGTTTGTTTGTTAAAGTACTAAAAAAACCACAAAAGGTACTACCACACCCCTTATAAGCAAACTGTTAAACAATTCACAAATCTTAAGTTATCCATTTCCAACCACTCAAACATACCTCATAAATTAGATGGTAAAAATTCTTAACAATTGACTTTACCAAAATATACTACTGCAGATATTTATGATCATTGAACAATAAAAATAATTATTTTCTCTTCTTTTATTTAAATAAACTTAAAATTCCAAAACTAAGGATACATTTTAGTTTTACTTGCATTAAAAAATGAAAGAAAATCGTGTTTACAAATACCTGTATTTTGAGAGAAAAATGCATAAATTTGGTCTTTGTTCAATTAAAAAAACAGCTATGAATTTTTAGAATAGTAAACTAAATTACAAAAGTCAAGGTCATTTGCTATTTTGTTTACAGATTAAGTCACAATAAAGGAACAACAATGTTATAATCTCTGCTTGAATCATTTCAAAGCAAAAGAAAAGCATGCAATTGAAACTCACCTAGTTAGAAGAAATGTCTACAAAAGTTTAGACTTCAAGGAAAAAATCAAAAGTAAACAAAATTCAAAATAAACATTTGTGTTAAGACCTGTGTTAGGATTGTTATGCCATGATTTCAATGAAGCCTTAGACTTTTGACTTTTACCAATTACTAACTAAAGGTAGCAGGTACCACCTGTTATTGAGATGACAACAAATTGCTATGCTTGAATTTTGACATGTACTCTTAGTTTGCTTTACAGTTTGAATAAAGAGCACATTACAGCAATTCCCTTTCAACTGGTACAAAATATATTCTGAAATTTTTTTGGATGTGACACATTTTCTCCAACACATAAAATTCAGTTAGCTGAGATTGTAATAAGAGGTAATTTCATCAAAATAAAATTCACCAAACTTGTTCAAATACTATTTTGATGTTAGAATGTCAAACAAACACTGATTTGTCACAAACTTAACACTGATTTGTCAATAAGGCACAAAACAGTGGATCCTACTGAGAGAAAGTCAGCTTCAAGTGATTTTGTCTGAGATAGAACAATATCCTAGAGCCTTTGGAGAGAAAAACAAAAACAAAAACAGCAAAGTTATAGTGCAATCAACTTAGAAACAAAAATGGAAACTGAGGATCAGAATGAGAAAAACAAGGAAGACAATAAGGCAGATCAACAGGTATTTTTAACTGTTAATGACAGAATGAAGACAGGTTTTATTCATCGCAAATCCCCCGATCATAAAATCAAAAGTTCCATCGTTCAGAATTTCCAGTGTGACAGATTTATGAGCCTTCTTATACTATAGCATTAGCACAATAACTGATTAAAAAAGATTAAAACTGAAGAGGAAACATTCTAAGTGAACAATATTTATCTTAAAAAAACACCAGTGACAAAAATTTTATCACCACCACTGTATAACAAACTCGTGTTTAGGACCTTTGTTTCACTGACAACAGGTTTTAGCAGCAGTTCAAACTAATCTACACAAGAGTAATAACACACCTTAAAACTACTTCAAATATTCATATGATTATCATTAAATATAGTACAAGAGCATAAAGGGGGTAAGTTTCTGAAGAAACTGTGTTGCAGCTTCAGTGGGGGGTATTACAACTGAGTTGATAATGAAAATTTGCTACCACAGAGATTTTCTAAAGCTGAAATTTCAAGCATTTGCCCTTGTCAGAGCTTTGAAAAAACATCAGCTTTTGAAACTCTCTACCATGGCCAATTTACACTATCAACTCAGTTGATAAAATCAAATTACCTCATGATAAAGCATTTGTGTATATAGACTAATATTGTAATGATAGATTACCATCACCAGAGTGGCACTGAAATTGGAAACCACCTCTTTATAGTAAGAAGCAGACATATGTCACACAATCTCTTAAGATATCCGATGCAATCACACAATTACTCATTAAATACCAACTGAATTTAAATGGAATCAGTAGATCATTGATGATTCTCTCAGTAAATAATAATTTTTAATGAATTTCAACATTTTTCATTATTCCTCAACCTGGAGACCTATTCAAGTTATTCATAACTATTGACCACAATTCCCACAAAAAATTCAACACAGCAGCCTAAGCCAGCTCTCATTATGAAATACCTGAGATAATACTAGAGCCCTGATGATTCAAAACCTATCATATATTGCACCAGTAAACCCATAGTTATTTTATAAAATTAATAGACCACACTTTCGATTGATTTACCAGTGGGATGACAGGAGAATATGGGAAAATTTTTTAAATCGCAAACCAGAGACAACTGACTCACAAACCTTTTGGTCTATTGCTTAAATAACATTATCATTCGACTATTATGTCATATTACCATTTAAGGGAAATGGAACACACAAAATATGCCTAGGTAATGCACTGTAGAACAGGACAAAAACATACAGACAAACCTCAAAGCCAACAATAATTTTTGCATCATGAACAACAATTAAATGGTTTCTTTGCATTGTTTTCTTTCACACACCCCTTGTGTAATCTGTACAATACTCACATAAGACTGTGTGACATTTCAAAAACTAGAACCCAAAAGACAAGAAAATGAAATGGTTATAGCAGAATAATAAATCCCTTATTCAATGGTTTAACATATAATATGAGTGAACATTTTGCTCATTGCTCATATTTTTATTTGCCCGCATGGGGCTTGGAAAATACCAAGCAACTCCCAATACATCTGTGCATATTAGGTATAATATTAAACCATCAAACAAGGTGTATTTATTTTAGCTCAATTGAATTATTCAAACTTTATTTCCAGTCTATGACTGAGAATCACATCAACTACAGTCAATCTAACCTTTTCCAAAATTGGTTATAATTACAGCCTAAAATAGTATACCAGTCTAATGTGAAAATTTGTCGGTAATTTTTAAGAATCAGTACCGGACTATGATAGTGTAGGTAGTGTAATTTAGTGTATGATGCTGACCACCTTAAGGAACTAACCTACATTTGAAGCATTCATTACAGGAAAATACTCATTACAATAAGACTAAATTTCATCAATTACCATCTCCAATTTAGAAAGATTCCTCATAAGTATTGAATGCAAATAGAGCAAGTTTCCATTTCAAAGAAGTACCATAATAACATTTTCATGTAAGATAATTCAAGAATTCATTCCTAAAAGTCAATAAGTAATCTCTCTTGTTTTAGCAGTTGAAAACTGATCAAAACACCATTTAAAACAAAATTAATGTGATCAAAACATGATCTGAGATGGAATTTACCGTTGCCCTTTGTCACTTATCCCTCTGCTTCCCAAGGTCAGGGTAACTTTAATTTGTGGTGGCCTTTTTTATTTCTCTCTCTCTCTCTCTCTCCCCCCTCTCATTTATCTTATTACTGAAGGCAAATCAGGCCTTTGATATTTATCTACACAAATGAAGTACTATTTGCACATTTAAAGGCAAACTCTGTCCGTAAACTTGAACAGCTCTTGAAAAATAATTATCGTCATCACTGATAATAAATCCTCCTTCAATTAACAATTATAATGGGATTTTTTGATTGTCACTTTTCAGTCACATTCAATATCCTATTTTCCTGGAATTACTTTTAATTCACGATCAACTATAACTGTTGTATTCAGAAATTCTGTGTAGTGCTAAGATCCTTTGGTATAAAAAGGCAACAGTTTTAATTCTCTTCTTTTTCTTCTCATCTTTCTTTCTAGGAAATGGCTTCTTATAATACTTTTGATCCAGCTTACAATGGAATTTACAAGGTTCTGTTCCCTAGCAACCATCTAAACACATTGACTGAGTTAAATTAACACAGTGTTAAAAAAAATTCAAGGATTTCTGTGTAATTCAATGCACTGACAAAACTCTAATAGATTTACATGTACCACTAAATTGAGTATAAATTGCTCTGAAAACTGAACTTGATAATATCCTAAGGCACATGAATTCGTTATTACACAAAAAACAAATTAATCAAATAAATACACTAACCACTAGTAAAAGCTCCTAACCTTTCCCTGAAGAATGATAAACCTTTCAATTTTGAAAAAATTGACCCTAGAGGTATTTCTCAAGTTCATGCAAAATTTTGTGTTTATAATCACTTGACTGTAGAATGTTCATTTTTGTTATACAAAATTAAATATGTCAAAAAAAACATACAGTAAAAGATTCACAAAAATTACTTTTAGGAAACAAAAAGATTTTTTAGCTATTGCAGGATCCAAACAAAAACGTGCAAGAGATTCACAAAATTACTTAGGAAATGAAAAGATTATTAAGTTATTTCAGGATCAAAACAAAAACATATTATAACATTTAGTTCTTTTAGCTTTTCATCAGTCTAATACCTGCTGTATACTTCTCACCATCTGACTTTCATTGAGTTTTGTTTATCATGCCATTCACCAAACGTTTCTACTAATCTTTGAATTACTCAGTTTCTAAAAAACTCCTAGTAACTTGTGGAAAACTCATCTCCATTCTCCCTTCACACACAGTAAATAAACCATACTTCGTTGAAACAGTTGACAATTCAAAAAATTTCCCATTCAGCAGGACATTCCAAGAATCAACCATATGCACTGTCAATTTAGTCACCATTTTTTAAAACTTTTTCCTAATTAATTAATATACTAATTTAGTTAATTAATGACTTTACAAATCAAATATATAATTCCTCATTAAAATATAACATAACAGAATAACAAAAGTTAACTTCAAGTTTAATCTAGTTATAATAATTAAGTAATTAATGGCTGCTTAATATTACAAATTACTGCATGTAATGACTTAAAAAATTACATATTACATGTATTAGAGTTAAATAATAATTTTTCATGTAAAGAGGCTCTGAGAGCAAAACTTATAGCAATTAGCAGTTTCACTAGCTCCACCAAACCATATTTTTCACAGGTTTACTGGTACTCAAATTCATGTAGTTGGAGCAAAACATATTAGGTGTTGTAAGACCAGAGAACCCCAGAATCTGAGGATTTTTTGTGAATGCTACAAAGTGATATTTCAAGGCAAAAATGTCACTCAGTTTGAGTTGTAAAAACTGCATAAATAAGTCAATGAATTATTTTCAATGCAGAATTTTGATAATGATGAAGACATGAGTGGTGAGAGAGGTTGCTACTTCAAAGATGGCAAAAGAAGGATTGGTAAGCTGTCTTTTAATAAAAAACCCCACACTTCACTCTTCATGAAAAACATATGCAACTACTCTTGTGCACTTACAATGGTTGACTTTGTTTTTCTAACTTTCTGACAAGAGTTTAAAATAATAAAATCCTTCAGCAGTTTCACTCATGGGCCAGTAGTCAGCCATTCTCCCCGAGAAGCCATTTTCCCTGAGAAGTTATTCTCCCTGAGAAGCTGACCCCCACCTCCCTTTGAAAAAAAACCCCACCCCAGCCCCTCCCATTATACAATCCTTGTTTCGTCTGATTTTAAGATGGTTACAAGTTACTGCTTGTTTTACAGACTTTGTGCTTGTCTATGAAGAAGAAGAGAAGGCGCCTCCACCTAAACATCTTGAGAAAAGACAAAAGTTTCTGGAAAATTTAGCCAAGTCTCAGCTAGAATTTGAAGAGGTACGACTTTGGTTAAATTCATTTTTAGTATAAGCAGTATGAGCCTTTAATTGAAGGATACAAAATTAAGACAAAGCTTGTAAATTGGTGTACACAAATCCTTTACCTGTGTAATATTAGCATTCCGAACGTAGCTAGTCGAGAGTTGTAGAGAGTAGTAATGGCAGAATGACGAAAGACTAACGTTCGAAACGTCAGCTTTGAAACTCCTAACCGGGGCCAATTCAGGATATAAACTCAGTTTATAGTACCAAATTACCTTTGTATACCCTCCCACCGACGCAGTACCACAGTTTCTTTCGAAATTTACCACCTTCAGTTACAGCGTCCTCTGCTTCCAAAATGTTTACCAAGTTTTCTTGAGACATAACGATTGGGCTTACACCACACATTATGCCTTTTACATTGAGCACCAGGTTTCCCCTGCTATTTTTATTCAAGATGGCGGATGAACAGTGTAATAGAGTAGGGAAATATGTGTTGAAAAATTCCATGTTTAACCCATAGGAGGTGACTCAAGACAAGAAAGTCAAGTTACATTTTATCAAGTGTCATGCCCCATGGGAAGTGCTATTGTTCTATGCGGAGGAGCTAAACTTCAGAGCCCCGCTCGAGGTTAGAATCCACCCAATCTTCATTTCTGTTTGCATTTCTTTTCAAGTAAGGATAAAAAGAATGAGCTTTGGAAAATTGAATAGAGAGAGAGAATGTTTTAATGGTAAACTGTATAATCAGCTATTTATTTTTAACAAACTTTAACTTAAAGTGATTCTAAATTTGCCCTTTTTATCAATAGCTTCGCACAACGAAGAAGGTAAACTGGTCAGAAAGAATCTTAGAAAAGTTTCGCATACCAAACATCTTCAAGGATGATGTACCAGGCACACCCAATGATTACTTCACTTGCACATTCCAAGCGAACAAGCTCAACAAGTAAGTTGGTCACCAAGCTGGACCATTACAATTTACCACGTTACAGTTTGCAGGATTTTCTTTTTACGAACAATCAACTCGTTACACGCTAACAACAGTATGCATATTCTCCACACTTTCCTCCACTCATTTCGTATGGCATGAACGAGGAGAATTTTTCAAATAGTCTAGACCTTCTTTGGTTGGTGATCATTTCCTTTATTCTCATGACATTGATGTTTGATTCACAGGTGATACTGTTAGGAGAAATTAGATGGCAGTCCCTCTTAGGGGTTAAAGGGTTAACATACTTTGCAAACTATGCCAAATAAAGAAATGATCCTCGCAGGTCAGCTGTGATATGGGCAATTGCAGACCTGAAAAACTTAAGGCTTTAGCAGGATTCAAACCAGTGCCTCCCAGGCACAAAATTTTGTGTGTTAAAACAATCCTAGTTATATCATTTTATTTATGTATGCCTATGTTCCGGGTCAAATTAGGTTCATGTTTTAATATTTTTTTTCATAATTTCTGCCAGGTTTATTGGCCATGAAGATCAAGATAACTACTTTACAGAAACAGAAAGAACAAGAGTGGTAAGTAGCTGAGACTTTTCAGTTCTCTTCAAATAACTGCAACATACACATACATGTATTTTTTTGGCCTCTATCTCTTTCTCATACAAATTGTGGTATATATCATTTCAGCTATCCTCTCTTACCAGTCGAGACACAAAAACTTTTTAATTCCTTACACCCTAACATCAGTATGCATATTCTCCATACTGTTCTTTATATATTTCTTATGGTGCTGATTAGGAGAATTTGTTTAACAATCAAGAGCTTTCAATTACTGTAGTTGATGATCATTTTCTTTACTCTTGTGACCTTAAAGTCTAATCCAGGGATGATTTTGTAAGAAGAAGTTTGTTACTAGTCACTCTTAGGGGTCAAAGGGTTAAACTGGTGGTTTTGATTAGAATTAGTATTTTAGAGTTAATATTGTTAATGACTATCATTGTAATAATGAATTTATACTTTTTGACTCCAAGTGGTGTATGGCAATAAAGGATATGGTGAGGATAGAGTTAATATCTCATAGTAAAATACTCTGCCTTTCTTTCAAGGTGTATGAAATTATGGAAACAGCTCCATTTGGCAAGAGGCAAAAAGGAGAAATTGGTAAGAATTAATTCTAGTAGAATCTTTATGTGATCATAGAAGATAAGACTGAGCAGGATCCTACACTTTCTGATAAGTTATTGAATAGTAATATTTTTTTTTTAATATTATGCTCAAAATTTAGGATATTAGGGAAGTAAGGATCAAGTTCAAGATCGCCTTTCAAAAGAACCAATCACTGTTCTCATAAATATGTTCTAAAGAAATGTAGTATAATAAGAAAATGAATTATGTTTCTCTACAGGCATTAATCGTCTTGTTGAAGAAGAAGTTTTCAAGGCTGGGTATCCTCTTCATGTGGTAAGGTTATGTGATGTTTTTTGCCACCATTTTAGATATTTATTCATCTTTTTAAATTGAACACATGAAATTTTGCTCATTGCCAACAGTAAGGTGAAATATATTTTTGTCCAGAGAACTAAAGGTTGACAGTGCTAATGGTATATAGAGCTGTCTTGTAGAAGTATCTGGGGATTTAATTGGCAATAGGTAATTTTCAGTTGTTTAATCAACCCTTTAACTCTCAAGATATTCTAGTAAATTCTCCCCTCCAGTTGTCACACATTTCCTTGTAAATCACTTACAATAATTTGGTTTTAGATCAAGATAGTAACTTCTATTTGAAGAGTTCTAGTAGTCTCACTTCTGGGACTTAAGGGGTTAACTAAGTTGCTATATCAGTTAAATTAAAAAATCCTATAAAGGACAATTGCTGACTCACACAATTTTAGTACCATTCAGCTGCATAGTAAGTAATAAATACACATTTACACATTTTTTCACACCAGGGACCTGCAGAGCTGCCAAAGGAATGGAAAGAAGGACCTGATGGACCTGAGGAAATCAAACTTAACAAAAGGCAGATCCTGAAAGAATACTGGGCACGGTGGGGAAAGTGGTTGAAGTATCAGCCTCTTGATCATATCAGGTTTGTAATACTACAATTAAATTGTATTTTGTTTAATTTGTATTTTTGGGGAGGGGGTACTCAAGAGAATTTTGTATCAGATGTTCTGCTTTGAGGTTTAAAATCTTAAATGTGTGTATACAAAAGAGTTTTCATCATACCAAGAAGCGAATATAACCCTTGCTACTTAAGCATCATTAACACAAGTCAAATAGAGTTGTTCTTCAGAAGGAGCTAAATTAAGGAGTTAGTAAATAGAAATTGGAGAGATGGTAAGTTTTGAGTTCAGTAAAGAAATAAAGAAAGATGTTTTTGTCTTGTCACGAGCGTGGGACAAAGAAAAAATTCTGAGTCCCTGTGAGGAATGGAACCTCAGACCTTTGGATTCCACACTCCGATGCTCTATCACTGAGCCATAGAGACTCAAAAGTGAGCAAGGTCTATTATGGAGCGTGAAATTCAAAGGTCTGAGGTTCAATTCCTCATGGGGACTCAGAATTTTTTCTTTGTCCCACGCTCTGACTAGATGAAAAACATCTTTCTTTAATTAAGGAGTTGTTTGACCAATGTGCAGCTGCCAATACACCCAGCCCATTTGTTATGAGATGTGATAAGTTTTTTTACTATGCTGTCAAGTACACTAGTCTTATATATCAATTTGTTATTTATATTTCAGGGAATACTTTGGAGAGAAGATTGGTATTTATTTTGCATGGCTAGGTAGGACTGTTTCCAATTTTATCAAATCTCCAACACAAATCTGAAGTCTCAGAGCTTCCAAAAATGTTTAAAATTACAATTCAAATTAATTCAAGATTTTCGATTCTTGACCAATGGTGATGTTTAGGTCAGTACACAGCATGGCTTCTCATGCCATCATTTGTTGGACTGCTGGTGTTTCTGTATGGTGTCATAACCATGAATGGACCTGACAACAAACCTGCGTGAGTATCATTCAACCATTAACCTTTTCACTGCCAAGATCTCTTAAGCCTTTAACTCCCAGAAGTGATTAACATAAAACTTCTCCCTACAATATCCATACATTCTTCAACAAACAGGTAATGAGAATACTCAAACTATCAGGTAGAAGCTGCTATCTTGATCTAGCACCAAGTTCTCATAACTAATTTACAAGGAAACGTGTGGCAGCTACATAGGATAATTAACAATCAGATCTTGGGAGTTAAATAGTTAATAAGTAATTCTCTTTGCTCTCTGCTATACATTTCTAATGACATTATTTTGGAGAATTTGGTGTTGGATCAACTGATAAGTAAGTTTTTGTTTTCAGCCTTGATGTGTGTAACAGTCCTCCAGGAACCTACATGATGTGTCCATTGTGTGATGAGTCCCTTGGGTGTCATCCAGTTGATCTTCACACAAGTTGTATGCTGGGCAAGGTGTGTGACCTCTCTGTTCATCAGAACTTGAACTTCCCTTTGACTTTTGTGAATGAGGGAGTTCTGCCTAGTCATCTATAAATGTTAGCCAACTCAATACATCAAAAGATCCTCTCCCCTTGGAGCATGCTGTCATTGATGAAAACAAAATAAATAAATAAATTCTCTGTCAAGCTACTGATTATATACCACTATTTTTTTCATGTTCTGTGACTCATATATGTTAGTGTACGTAAGGTCAATAAAATCAATATCTAACCAACATTTTTCTATTTCCATCCTATTCACAGGTTTCGTACTTGTTTGACAATGCAGCCACAGTTTTCTTTGCTGTCTTTGTCTCCTTTTGGGGTAATTATCATCTAAAAAAGCCTCCCTAGAAGTTACTTTTATTAAATATGCTTGAGACAAAAACGTACACATAGAAACATACATGCCCTCTACATGTCTCTCAATGAGCTTTCTTGTCCATCAAGTTTGGCTCCACCTGTGGTAGTGGTCAGAATTTTTTTAAAAAAGTAACTTTTGTCAGTGACTTGGGCTTCTAATCTCATGGTTGTGGTTATTTTATTTTGAAGCGGTGTTTTTCTTGGAGTTTTGGAAGAGAAAAGAAATAACCCTGGCATATCACTGGGATGTTCTAGAGTATGAGGAAGAGGAGGTAATGTAAACAAATGTTCCTACTGGGGGAAATATAATTGTTGTAGGTAAAATGTAGCCAAAACTCACTGGTTTATAAAGGAGGTCACCCTCTACTCTCTTTTATACTGTAAATGAATTAAGGTAAAGTTTCTAAAGAAAATGTGGTGCTGGGTCGGTGGGGGACATGAAAAGATAAATGGGGTTTATCAGCTGGGTTGATTATGTAAACTGACCACAGTAAATAGTTTTTAAAGTAGACATTTGGAGCGAAGGGTTCTACATCGAGTTTGTTAGAGTCTTCTGAAGACCTTTCCTAGAATTTATTCGCCTTGACATTGGTCTTTCGTTTGTTCAGGAACGCCCACGGCCAACATTTGCAGCTTTAGCACCAACAGTAGAAAGAAACCCAGTAACAGGAATACTTGAACCACATTTCCCTGATGAGAAGAGACAACCTCGAGTCTTCTCGGGAATAGCTATTGTTATTACTATGGTAAGATGTTAGTAATACTGGTTGATTAAGTATTGTCAGTTGAGTTGATAACGTAAATTGGCCACCATAAAGAGTTTTAAAGTTTCGAGCGTTAGCCCTTCGTCAGAGCGAATGGAGGAATTGTGGGTTGTGTGTTAGTACTGTGCAAACGACTAACATAGTTTACCCTTAATTCGGCATCGCTCATTTTCTCGTTTAGACAGGCCTATTTGTCAAAATGTGAAGTGAATATAACCATGTTTAACTGGCGGCAGAATGACAGCACTCAATCGCATCTGATTGGCGGAGAATACCGCATCTTAGCTGTTTTTTTTTTGGAGCATTTAGTAAGCATTGCCTGAAAGTACAGGCAATCGCTCCATTCCCGTACATGCTCCACCACACCATCTCTCTTACCGTCTCGGTTATGTTCGCATGCCTCTGTTTTTGATTTGGTTTGGTTTGGTTTGTCTTGTTTTCGCACGCAGTTGTCTGTTTTGTTGTCTGTTTTTTCGCTTATTCAAAGTACATGTACTGATCTGGAGAAGTGGGAGTGCTTAGGTAATTATATTATGAATATTATGAGACCTATCTTCAATATTATTAACCATACTTACCTTTTTTGTTTGTTTGTTTTGTTTTTTGTTTTTTTGTTTTTGTTCTTTTTGATCAGGTTTCTCTAGTGTTGGTGTTCATGGTGGGAGTGATCGTCTATAAGCTATTGGTTTACCGACCGCTGGCTTCTAATCCATCCACCCGAGCTCGAGCTCAACAAATCGCTAACATCACTGGCGCATTTGTCAACTTGACAATCATCATGATCCTCAGCAGGGTGGGTACAGTCTATCACATACTGCTAGTCACTGTATTCATATCTTTAAAAAGCATTTCTAACGGCGGGTAGTATATCGGTGGAAAAGTCCCAAAGTGGAAAACTGTCCGGGAAAATTTGACAGCTGTCCGAGGAGCGCAGCGTTACATTCCATGGCATGGCATCGAAATTCAATAGATAGTCCTAAACAATCCTTTACGCAATCTCTTTTGTACCCACAAAGAAAATATTGTTGAAGTTGCCTTCCCATGCAAGGGTAATTTAGAGTATCAAGGAAAAAGAATGAAGTTGTTTCATATTATAGGTAAACTGAAGAATTCTGCATTCCTTTGTAGGTTTACGAAAGAGTCGCCTTAGCATTGACTCATTGGGGTAAGTTGTCTCAAATTGATAGTAGAAGAAAAGGAAATGAATCGGTAAACTTAAGCAAAGGGCTCCCCTCTCTGTAGAGGGTACAGTGATACCCTGCTACTGACAGACCAAACCTTGTCGCGCTGGAAGAAGAACGTGACCACTCCTTGTGGTGAACTGGTCTCATAAAGTTTGTGTTTCTTTATGCCCGTAGAAATGCACAGAACACAGACGGAGTATGAGGACAGTTTGACTTTCAAGGTCTTCGTGTTCCAGTTTGTGAACTTCTACTCGTCCATCTTCTATATTGCATTCTTCAAGGGAAAGTAAGAAAGTAGTTTTAGGAGCATATTTAAACTATTAGGGTTATTTTGCCATCACAACTCAATCAGACACACAAAGTGTTAATATCAACACTTTGTGTGTCCGGTTGACGACCTCAACTTACAAACTACGATCCCATAACGCCCCACTCACTTCGTGCCCGCCTCCAGTCCTCTTATACGTAGCGGCAAAATATTCATTTATGCTAGTTACGACAATCACAATTGACATTTTTCGCTTGGTGTTGTTTTCTACATTCAAGCCCTACATCGCGTGTGATCGTCCAGTTGATCATGTTTATAATGTCGGAGGGAAGTTATTTTCAGAGGTTTTGGAGGGGTTGGGAAGGGGTTGATAAGGAGATTTAACTTCATATCAGTGCAGGGTACTCATGATTTGTGGATTGTGCATTTTGTTTGTAGGCTGGTTGGTTACCCCGGACATTACCGCAGATTGTTTGGCCTCAGGCAAGAAGAGGTAAGCTAGATTGTGAAAGTCATCATTAGGTAGAGTAATGGTGTCACGCTCACATTTCGAGGTTTTACACAGCCAGTAGGTTTCGTTATTGTAACTCACACCAACATATGATTTGTTGTTTACTAGTGTGCACCTAGTGGCTGTCTTATGGAGCTGGCTCAGCAACTTGTGATCATCATGGTTGGTAAACAAACCATAAACAACGTGCAGGAGATTGTTATTCCGTAAGTATAACGCTGAGTTAGATTAGTACATAGCGGTTCTAGGAAATCCTGGATTGTTTCGGCTTTAGTGTTGAGCGCTTTTTGATTGAGTATCGTAAAATCAAAACCAAAGTAATCACACCAGCTTATCAGAAGAAAGGAAAGGAATTTTAAGAGCCAGTGAGAACTCAAAGTAAAACCAACCAAAAAGCGCGGGAAGATGCGGGTGACCAAGTCGTGATTTGCATCTGATTGGTAGAGAAAGTGCTGCGAGTTTTTTTTGGACCAATCACAGAGTGAAGTAAATCAAAACCAACGCAATCCCAGGAAACTTTCGACACTCAATTGAATATTGCTCAAATATTATATGATTCATCAAGCAATCAGAGGCAAACCTTAAACCAATCGTTAACCAAACGTTTCTCCGTTCTCAAGCCTGGTTGCGAGTTTTGCCTGTATTATGATAACCTCTTTCATTCACTTAGGTTTGCTTTTGCAGCTCTCAATAAAGAGATCTATTTTTTCTGCAAAGAAAAAAAATCATGGCTTTGTGTAACCAGCAACCTGAAATTTATAAGACGATGGTTCAACATTTAGGGAAGAAGCTGAGGGTTTTCCAGACGAAATTGTTGGCTTATCGAAATTAAATACCTCTCATAAGTGAAGTGCTTGATGATTTGTCTGTAGGATGTTAAAACAATGGCTCAAGAGAAAGAAGCGTGGTACATCCAAAGAAGAAAGCAAACCTCGTTGGGAGGCCGACTATGAACTGGTGGAAAATGAAGGACTCTTCCAAGAATACTTGGAGATGAGTAGGTGTCCACGGAAAATATTGTTTTTGTAGTAATAGCTAACAAATAGATTCCACCGCTGCATCGGTATCGCAGAGATCATGGGTTCAAATCCCGTACGGGCGTGAATTTTTTTTCAGGCTTTATTTTCACTACTACTCACAAGTAGTGTTCATAACTGTGAGGATCGCTTCCATATTCGAAATAGATTCCATGTTGCCATGCGCTTGTTCAGTAATAGAACACAGATGACGTCAAATGTGGTAAGAAAAAAAAGTAGGATACCAGGCGTAGCTTAGTATGTCACTGCTGTTCTTACCACGTTTTGATTTCTTCTGTGACTCGTCACTGTACAGACCCCCGACAGTCTAGAATCGATTTGTTTTAAATGATAAATAAGCAAAATGTTGTGGATGGTGACGTCTTATATGCGTCTGCCCTCCAAGTTATCATACGTAATAGCCAATCAAAATGCGTGTAGGATTGAGCTTATCATAATTATTATAATTTGACACAGATATGCGTAGACTAAACAAGAAAGAAGAATATTTGATCTAAGACTGTCTCATTAGGGTAAAACAGTAGAACAGGAAACATTGATTCCGTGGAGTTGCTCATTTTAGTCAGTTAATTGTTAATGAGAGTGAGCAACAGTTCTTTCCGTCGCAATTGCTAATAGTGAAGTTCATATCACAATTTCTGCCAAGAAGGAAACATCTGAAAATATCCAACTAAAAATTTAGCTTGGTGATGTACAATTTTTCTTACAAACTGTTGTTTTCACCCAAAAAGTTCTCCAGTTCGGTTTCATTACAATCTTTGTGGCTGCCTTTCCTCTGGCTCCGTTCTTCGCTCTCGCCAACAACATCTTTGAGATTCGCATTGACTCAGACAAGTTCGTTTGTGAGGTGAGACGACCCATCGCCGACAGGGCTCAAGATATCGGCATCTGGTTTGACATTCTGGACAGTGTTGCTAAGATAGCCGTCATCAGCAACGTAAGTAGAAATATCCAATCACAATAACGGAAATAAATTAAACATCAATCACAAGGTGGCTTGCACAATAGTCGATTACTCTCGTGTAAACAACGAACTTAGAACTTGTTTAAGTCTCTGAATACGTTTTCTACTGCTGGAGATTTTTCATGTGATGCCAAGTCAATAAGGCAAAAATGTGCTCTATATCTGTGTTTATAACTTTTTTTCTGCAGGCCTTCCTCATCGCTTTCACCTCAACCTTCTTGCCAAAGATCCTGTACCGCTTTGCAATATCAGAAGACAATTCCCTAGAGGGATATCTTAACTTCTCCTTGGCTTGGTCTCCCCATAACACTACGGCTGTACCATGCAGGTATGCCTAAGTCTTGTGAGTAATTTTCTACGTAGATACACAAGACATAATTTATCTATCAAGCGAGTTGTTGCATGTAAGGAAGGCTTTTATGTTGACCCAAAGTCAATTTCCGACTTTTGAACCTTGACGGGATGCCGGTGATATCACAATTATCTGTTACGGAGGCACTGAAACCCAAATTTAATGAGCTCCATGCTAGGAATTCGTTAGATTTCAATGTAGCCAGTAGATTGAATTTTGTCTGTTATGCTGTACAGCGTTCGAATTATGATTTCGCGAATCTTCTCAGACTGATTTATTCCACTTCTGTTGAACTTTTTCAGATACGCAGAGTTTAGAGATCGTGAGGGTCACTTCACTAGTTTTTACTGGCATCTGTTAGCCCTTCGGCTAGGATTTGTCATCATGTTTGAGGTGAGATTGTCTCTTTCTAATCGTGATGCTTGTAAGTAATTCAGTCGATGTAGCTATCTCAGTTGTTTACTCCAAAGTAAATCGGAATATCCTGTGAGCTCTCGTGGGCTCCCAAAATAGTATTGTGTCACGTGATTCTACCGTCATAACCTCACGCCCTATTGCTTAGCAACTTGATGAGCGAACACCATAGCCTCACTAAAACGGTTACCAGTCGTTGAGTAACCACGGTCGTTTCGTACCCACGGTCGTTTCGTTCCCTGTCAGTTGAGTCATTTCGTACCCCTCTCGGTCATTTCACACCTAAACTAACAAAGTATGTTTTCCATGTATTAAGTGAAGAAAAAAGATAACATTTACACGAGCTATTATTGTTAAAAAAAAGTCACAAGTATCAACAATAGACTTTTCTATAAAATATCACACTCACCGTGAGCTAGGCAATAATTAAGTTGCCTTACTCGTTTTACTCAACTTTTTTGTCGTACGCAACGATTGACATCTGTTCACGCGCTGGCGCGTGATGCATTTTGATTAAATGTATGAATCGATGAGCGGGTTGGGTACGAACCGACCTAAACTTAGGTAAGAATCCAATGCATTTGAGCACAAAACGAGTAAATACGAAACGAGCGGATACCACTGAAACCTGGACTCTCTTATACTCTCCTTGTAGCACTTTGTGTTCTTCGTGTCTCGTTTGATCGACTTACTGGTGCCAGATGTACCACAATCGCTTGAGATAAAGATCAAGCGCGAAGCGTATCTTGCTAAGCAGGCGTTGTCTGATCACCACAATCTAATGGGAGGAAAGAGTGATGGTGAAAGTGCCGACGATCTGGAGGAAGATTATATACCCTAACTGATGTTTGCCTTTTTTAGTGTAGAAAGGAAATTGCAAGTCCTGAAAATGTGCATCGCGTGATCGCGTCACACTATGCTCAAATTTGCGTGACTCCAGGCTACGTGAAGGGTCACGTGGTACTGCACAACGCCAGTTTTTTTCTGGGTGTATTTTTATGGTCAACTATAGTTCAAAATTTCTCCTCTGAAAACTACCGGTCACCTCATTATTTTCAGGTCTTGCAAACCGTTTATGCTTTTGTAGCTGGGTGACATTGTAGTTGGGATGCAGAAGCCATACTATATACGCTTCAGCTGTGTGGGTGTATAAGTAACAATGGTGACGGTGTACGTGATTGGTTTAAAGAATGGCAAAAATAATTATTGATATATTTACATCCTTAAAATCAACTGTTGTCGTGCGTAGTTTTAGTCGCTTGAGCTGATTTCCTCCCAATTAATGAAATAAAAAGTTATAAGAAAGATTTTTAGTGCATGCAGGAGAGAACGGATGCTGAGATTTTGAGAGTTTTTATTTCCTCTCTGAAAATTACACAACATTTCCATGAATTTCTTAAAGTTTCTTGTTTTTCGCCGTTTTTTTTTTTTTTCTTCGTCTTTTTCACTGTAAAGTTATTTATTTCGGTATGAAGGTTTCTTTGGTCTTCATTGGTCAGTTTCAAAAGAATTTTCAAATGTTGAAAACGCTCAAAGATCCTTAATCTTTGATGTGTCAGACAGTTTATTCTATTCATTAAAAACCCTCACAACTCTCAAGGTCACGATGAGATAGCAGAAAAATAAATTATTTATTACCGTTAAAACTATGTTATACGCTGAGGTGGTAGGCTGATGGCAATTGCTATCAAAATATAAGTTATGGGGAACGTCCTTATGGCGACGGGATGATATCTGATTTTCAGATCTTTAGATATTATTTGTTTTTCTTACTGTTATTGTATAATATTTCCTGGAAGGGGAATAATTTCGATTTCACCAGTAGTGAAATCAATATGACACTTATTGATTTATTGACATAGAATGTCAAGATATTTTCCGTCATCTGCCATTGAAAGGAAACTAGGAAAATCGGTGGATAGAGAGATAGAATCTTATTTGGAGGCAACTTCGTTCCCAGAGTCCTCAATCTTCCTCCCTTGAGGAAGGAAACGAGAGGACCTTGGGAACGAGATTGATTTAGAGGATAAAAGGGGATAAATTATGCCATTTAAGAGGATGAAGCGGAACTAAAACTGGTAATGTTGGTGTTTGAACGACTGATGAAAACATACCAAAACCGACCGGTCAATTGTCACAGGCACAACGGAATCTTCAAAATTACGTTTCTTAACCCTTTGAGGCTCTCTTACAAATACTCATTTAATTGAATGTAATTTATTCAGGTGATATATTTTATTAGAATATTAATTTACGGTTCGTCAGGGCAGAAGAGCTAACAATTCGCATGGAAAGTTCGCTTTCCATTTGTTTTTCAAGAAAAATTATATTTGAAAATTATTTAGTAAGTTATTAAGTTTTATGGGACATTTGTCGGGAAGGCAACATTGTATAGTTCAGGGATGGAGAGTGTAAATTCCCGTTATTGGGGCTCCGATTGTTTTCTTTACCTAGTTTGGTGTCTAAGCGACTTAATCGCTGTGTATAGTACTTTCTGTCATAAATATTGGTTTAGTTAGTTTCAGCTTGGTCCAATATCTTTATAGTTATTAGCTTTGATAAAGTGTACGACGCTGTGATATTTTTCTCTCTGCTACATTAATTGATACAATTAGAATTACCCTCAAAAATTAATACGATAGTTAATGAGACTTGCTATTAATTACAAAATCAAATTTCACTTTCTTTAATTTTGCTGCACTAACTTACTTCGGGAATAGTGTCCTTCTGAAACCAAAATTAGAATCTCTGTCATCTATATAACGGATTTGGTTTTATGGCAGGTTGTGTAGCAGGGATACCTTGAATCGTGTAGTGGTGTACCTAGTAACTGGATAGTAACAGCGTTGATTCATGTCGTATGATAGTCAGCGGTATAACACTCAAGGGCGGTACACTACCTGCAGGCGGGTGGCCTGGGACTGTATTAAAAGACGTGCAAGAGTGGCTGAAATAAACTGGTTCGTTGGACAATATTGATTGTCTCTTTCATTTAACTTTTGTGGACAGTCTGTTTCAATTGTCATTCCGTCTCCTTTCGCTCGCACGAAAATGCTTTCATGGCTGTTACAGGCCAGGGAGAAGGTAGAGAAAAAAAAATTCCTTCAAAGGGAGATGGAAAATGCTGACACTTTTTGACAGTTGATAATCCTCTTCTCTCGATTAGGAGGGATTATTCCCCTCTTAATCCAGGTCAAGTTGTTTTGTGGATGAAACTTCTCTTTTTTTCATACTTTTTAACATTTCAAATTCTTTAGTACGTTTCAATTACACGAAACATGTTGGATTGATAGAGTATTGCTGAATGAAATTGAACAACACAATGGTATCAGGTTTCCAAGAAAAGCAAATATATTTCCATTTTGCGTTAAGGAACGGTCAGTTCACGTGCACTGCATGTGACTCACTAGAAGCATAGAGAAAACAATGGAGGGGAGGTTGAACTGAGGCCAATATCAGGACTGATATGTGAAATGGTCAATTCTACATTTGTCACGGAAACATCAGGGAATTTCAAAAACTTATGGCTCGAAAACCATGACTTTAGATGAATTTTTGCAGCTTAATCTCTAATTATTCTGGTACATCTTTTCTGATCATCCGTAATTTAAATATTTCACGTACCAAATCCCTTGTAGCATTTTTATGCTATTAATTGTATTAATTGTAAAAATGCACAGCACTACATAAACGCGCCTCCTATGGTAATAAATTTGTTTATTTTCCTTGTCTCTACGGGGCCTTCCCGTTCATTGAAAATGGCGTTTGTACCTTAATTTGAGCTTTGTTAATCGCCCAAGTTACCTTACGTAGGATCCATGATGGATGCGTTGGGTTCGTTATTTTTGTTTTTTATCCTTTCTTTCAGTTTTTTGCAATTCTCAGGTCCAAAAAAAGTTTAAGTTTTAGAAACTCTTTACAGTAGCCAATCTACAATGACCAAACGAAATTATCTTCTAATACCCCTTCCCTTCCCCTTCCCCCCCCCCCCCCACTAACACCACACTTTCTTTGGAAACTCACCCCCTTTATAAAAATCTTCAGCTTCCTGTTTCCTTCGGCTTTCGTTTAAAAAATTTTGTTGACGTCACTTACGATACATATGTAAAGTGAAATGAAACATTAGCGAACTCATGAGCTGCAGAATTTCAGCGACTTAACAGATAACTTGCTTGAGTATTTTTGCTGGAGGTGGTGCTGAACTTGCTCTAAAACGGAGCAACACATATTTTTCCAATCTTCACGTCCTTCGATTCTCCTACACCACACAAAAAAAGGATGTTATTATGACATAGCCACAGGAAAATGTCCCCTTCCTGCGCAAACTCAGTCAATTTAGTAAGTTCAACAAAGTTGTTTAGTTCAGGCCCCACACGACTTTTATTCTTATTCACTCGTCCAGTCACAGTATCAAAAACTGACGTAATGCCATAGTCTTATCTAGGTCCTTACTCGCAATTCAGCTAACGATATTCTTGATGACTGGAGTGCTTTCTTCGCGCATTACAGCAATCCTTGGCGACAACGACGAGGAATTTTTTAAGTTTCTTCACCCAAAGGATTGTAATTAGTCTCCTTTATCAATAATGAAGATCAAGCATAATAAAATGAATACAATACCTGTCGAGAAATTTTAACACTTTCCATAACTGCTCTAAGTTTTTCATTCCAATAAGCTGTAACAAATACTCACTAAACACTTCAACATCTTCTTCTAAAGGAGCTGCAAGAGAAAAATATCCAAGGTCAAGAACTTATAGACTTTTAAGGAGCAATGTACCCACAAATGACCAAACGTTAACTTCATGACGCAAGTTGGAGAAGCGTTGATGGTAGAAGTTTGAGATACGATTTCTATTTTTTATTTACCTGTAACTGTTACTTCTACCTGAAGACAAATTACGAGCAGTCTCTTCTTTTCGGCAAAGTCCGTCGCGCAAGCAGAAAAAATCAATGGAAATAAAATTGATATTAGCAAGCCGTGTAGAACTCTGCGTCTTACGATCAGATTCCCATGCGGCTTGCCAACTGAACGTCATTTTTTTTTTATTCGCTGATCTTTTTTCACTCCCGCGACAGACTTCACCGATAAGAGGGTCTGCTCGTAGTCTTACTAGATGACAAGGCAAAATCTACCTTCATAAGCGGAAGTCCAGTCTGTAATTACTTTCTTTACATCACAAAGGGTAACAGCCTCTCCCAAACGCGCCTATATCAAGGAATATAGAATGTAATTCACTAGGATCAAACTAAGCCAGCAACACAGGATACAACATCTTTCAATATTTCTCGATCAACAGATGGAATGTTGTAACTTGTTGCCCAGCACGTTTACCAACATTTAAAAAGTAATTATAAGTTCATTTACTTTGTAAGGTTAAAACTATAAGATAACTAAGTCAAGAGAGAAGGCAAAAGCGGCCACTGAAAAACAACTCAGAGGAAGAACATCGTGTCATGGCTTCCACAAATAGTTACTAAATCTCAACTTCCAAGAAGTTACAGAAAATCTTCCTCCAGAGATGTTCCTAACTGTCGTCATCGTAATTCTATTTAACAGAATCTTGTCCTGAGACGACAACCGTTCTTGAGACGACTGAACATATTGCCAAACATGGAGCGAGACAATGTAGTACACCAAGCTTGTAAATTAGTACTTATATTTTCGCGTAATAATGTGCCACTAGAGTAGTTTTCAAATAATGCTTTAAAACCAAATCCATTATCATATTAATCATAATCATTACAATTTCCGCAAATGTGATTGGTGCATTAGCTGCTTTATGTTTCACTAATCATTCTGTACTGTTGTAATCGGACTGCGTAATTCGACTGTAGTCGGAAACCTGTAATCGGACAGTTGAAGCAGCCAATCATACTAGGTCCACTCGGCTAAATCCACAAATCACAGAATTGATCATAATAACAATTGGAACAACCACTCATCCGAAAAACAACTGGGAAATTTTTAAGATAGAGGATTATTTACTTTAGACACTGTCTCTACCGGAGATGTTTGTCCTAAAGGTTTTTTTTTTTCGGTTATGATTAATTGGTAACAGGACCTCGTGTCGTCCAATTCTGTTAATCACTCGTATGATTTCAGACCGAATTGGACTCCACTCGGTCCTTTTACCATATTTATCACAAATACCATTCAGAACAAAGGGTAATATCATCATTAACCAAAGACATCACAAAGTAAAAACAAGCAACCTGCTTGAGGCGTAGAAAACATACTCCTAGAATACCAAGGCCCAGAAAAGTATAATAAAAGGTATGCCATATGTTAACTAGTTGTACGTGTGACGGATACAGATTACAATTTTTGGTAGAAGAGCGAAAAAAAATTGTATAAGATTAGAAAAAACTAAATTTCGAGAATGGAATTTTCTGTTACCGAATGTAACTCTTTTCACGATAGAGAAGAAAAACAATTTGAAACACTCTCGTCTAAGACCATTTTGTTAGATCACGAGGTATTCTCCAGGCTACAGAAATTTGGTACCTGTTTAGGTGGAGCGATGATCTGACTTTTTCTTGTATTATTGACATCCTCGGCTTGAAGTCTTGTCGTAAAAGTCCTTTCTGTTTTATGTTCAGATGCAAAATCTGAGAAATGATCACCAAGGCGTCCCTCTTGGAAGTTAGAAGGAGCACCAAGCAAGTTTTTTTGTTTACAAGCCTGTTCTATTTCCTGTCTTACGTCTTCAGGAAGTGCTGCGAGAAATTCCGGATCAATTTGTGATGGGGAGGGCAACAAATCTGAAGCCCTTTGAGCCCCTTCTTCTGGCAAATGATTGTCTTCAAATAGAATCCGAGAGGGTTTTGAGGCTGCCTTGCTCTTCTTGTTCTTAATACTATTCTTTTGAGGGATTTGTTTCGGCGTGGTCTCATCTTCCTGAATGTGACGTAAATAGTTCATCTGGTATTTTACACGAGCATATCAATCCTTAATAACACTTAAAACAGTCGTGCTCTCTAAAAGCTGGAATCCCCGTAATCAGAAAGGTGCGTGATTTGGACAATGACGACATGTATGCTTACAGAAAGTGTCTTCCTGCAGACGGCATCTGTTACCGAATTTCTGTGAGAAGTTTAATTTAGTCGAACAAGTCAAACTATGGGCTTCTTTCATTACGCTGCGATTATAGAAATATCCCTACGCTCAGTTTGATTAACAGCCTCATTTACAACATTGGAAACTCGATACAATGAGACCCCTAATGATTGCAAACAAAACATACTTCGACCCCACAACGATACAATCTTTCAAATGAAAATCCTGATGTATCTCATTTTACGATTACATTTTACACTCCCTTAGCACCTCACGAATTCGAGGTGTCTCTGTATAATCAAATGGAGAAAGAAATATCTTATCAGCACGAATACAGCCCCAATTATAAACTTAAACGTACAAAAAGAGGCAAACCAACCTCTTGCCTTCCTGTTTTGGCCGCAGGAATTTTCTTATTTCTTGCAGCATATGATTTCTCGATACTCCTCCGAATGTCTTCAGGTAAAGCCTCGAGTACTGTCGGATCAATCTGTGACGGAGAGGGCAAGTATAGGCTCTCTCCCAAGTCGCCCGGCCTTTTCTCTGACCTAGAATTCCGAGCTTGCAGAGCGATCTGGGGCGAGAATTTTGGTAAAGGTGGAAGTGTCAACGCAGTGTCGCCTCTTTCCCGCACAGGGCTTTCTGCTGGTGACCTAAAGTGATTTTCTCCTTTGTTTTCAGGTGCTCTTTCAGTAACATCTTCATTGTCACTCGATTGAGGTTTCATAAAATCAAAGAGCGATCTTGTGTTCTTATCGGAAGTACCAACCTTTTTGTCGTTCAACTTGCTCACTTGAATTCCCATGCCCCGCATGTCCTCCGGCGTGACACTCAGTTGTTTTAGGAGTGCGTGACATTGTTTGGCTATGACTTGCGCCTCATCCGTGACAGTTGGTAAAGTGCAAGACCGAGCGATGTTATCGCAGATTCCATGACCCATGAACTTTCTTGGAGTCGGCGCTCCCGCTTTGCGTACCTTCATCTGAATAAAGGGAAGAATAAAAAAATGTGCAGAAGTAATTGTCATTACACAAAACACCAGAAACAAAGGGTAACAAAACCTCCAAGAAGATACATTCTGTGTCTTATACCTATTCACACCAGAAAAAGGTGTTTAGTTAAACCAGGTTTAACTGAATGAAATCGGCAACACAGTATTAAATTGGAAGTCGACAAGTTACATTAAAGAGCTTTCAAGAAGTAAAGAATTTTACTCCGTGTTTAACAAAACAGCTTTAAAACATGTTTACGCTTTGGTGTAAATGGGTAACAAGTCAACGACAACATACGAACTTGAAAATGACAAATAAACGGGTAACAAAATGTACACGTCCTGTTCTTTGTTCGACGCGTGCAGATATTTACGACAGTCATTTGCTTGACTTTTAAGAGAAAAACCATCTCTGAAACAAGTAAAACTCCAATACTATGTGCTACAGTATCTTATAGTCACTCATTTACCTTCAGGGTTATACACTTGCCCTTCATGCCAAGCGACTGAAGTCTTTTTTGTACTTCTTCGGCAAGTTCATTAACAAATGATTCCACCTCACTTTCCTACGGCAAAACGAAAACGTGAAGCAGCAAAAAAAAGAGATATACAATTCTCCCCAGAAATACTCGATATCTTTCATCAGAGCTGTTAAACATGCACAAAGACAATGGTGATATAATCTCTTCCTTGAGTTCAACATGTGTGGCGTTCATAGAGAACCAAGGAGAAAACTGTTGACCATATCAGTATTCTTCAAACCGTCTTACAGGCCCTCAAAACACCTCTTAGCTTTTAAGCCTTTCCAACTATGTGCCTTAGTTTTACCTTTGTGAAGCGGATTCCATAATTGATCTCTGCTGACACAGACTTTCTCTCTCGCTCAGTTTTAAGAGTTCTGTCATCAACACCACGGCATGATTGGTATAAAACAAGACCGGTCTTGGGTCCGAACTCGCGCTGTAATGTTTGACAACAGTGCTTCTGTAAGTCAAAGCATGTTTCAACTCCCAAAGTTCGCAGCTTGTCTCTCATACTCCATCCAACTCCTGGGAGGTCTTCAACTTTCTGGGAGCCTGGGAAACAACAATAGAGAATGGTCATTAAAACAAAGGCCGGTGCAGAGTGATTACATACTCTTGTAAAAGCGGTAAATAACGAAAGAGTATCATATGCTTAAACAAAACATAAGTCAAACATTCGACAAAAAGACCATTACACATGGAAATGATTGGAGTAGCAGCATCAAACAAAATACGGGTAATACATTTTGTCAAAGATTCTAGGATTGGGTAGAGTAGATGTGAGAAAAATGTCTGATAACATAAGGCATCCTTATAACTTAAGCCATTTCAAGTTTCACTGAACAACTGCAAATGAAGATAGTCGCTTCTTCAGTGTTTTAAAACAGCTCAAAACGCGTCTGACTCGACGATCTCTGAGTTGTACTAAGAGTGTGAGATTTCTAGATAGAAACGTACCCATAAAAGTATTGACATCATCAGAAGGTGATAGGTAATAACATCCATCAGGTTTAGCCACTCTGGTGCACATTCTGGCCAGAAGAATATTAAATGAGACACCAACAGATGCTGTACAGCCGGTGGCTTCCTTGATCTCCCCGCGAATCTTCTCTGCGAGCTGTGTTGGTGTTTCATCCGCTGATAGTTAATAGTAATAGTTATAAATAATGGTAATAGGACTGAGTGGCGTCCAATTCGGTCTGTAATCAACAAACAAAATCGAACGACCGCGAAGCAGGAGTACAATTTGTTACTCAAGAGTATTTTAAAAGGTGTCGAGAAAACCTTAAAATTTTATCATAAATGGGAATTGTGATTCAATCAAACTATGTGGCCAATTCGGAACTCCTACGTATACGTAATTGCGAATCGTTGGCACAATTAGCATCAGGTTCTTTGGTTTTAATCTGTCCTACAAACTAATGTATTCCAACTAATTTGATCTATCCAATAAATGGCACTTTTCTCTGTTGATGTGCCGCAAAAAAACAAGTAGTACGTTCAATTTTATCTTTACAAAAAGGTGAAAGGTGGCACAGTTCACCTTCGGTATATTTAAAAAATCTGTTTCTAGAGTTTCAAAATCAAAACTTGACCAAATATACAAGACGTACAAACAAATTACCTTCCATGGTCTCTGACACGTCAATGTAAGCCTCATCACAGCTCACAGCCTCTATTTCATGACTATAGGTTACCAAAATATCATAAAGCCTTTGGGACACTTTGCGGTATTCATTAAACTGGTATGGAACACAGTGGATATCAGGGCAGAGTTTACGAGCAGGGCCTAGGAACATGCCATTACGTACTCCAACGGCCCTTGCCTCGTAGCTACAGGAAGCGATCTCTGACATGGAGTTGAAGAATGATGCCGGTTTCATTGGTGAAATTTGTGGGTTACCAGCGGATGCTAAATTACCAAAACAAATATAGGCGTTTAGTTGTCTCATGCAAAACTGTAAGTACATTGTAAATTCTCTCTTAGGAAACTTTCTCTTTCAACAAATCTCCCTGAGCGTGCGTCAGCTCATTAGCAAATTTTTTCAAATTTTTTCCAATGCTTGGATAATCTGCTGAGATCAATATTTTTCTCTTTTCTTTGGTAATTCCCGCGCATTCAAAAGATGTCACACTTGTAACTAATACTCTGTTCACACCAGCAAAACATGTTTAGTTAAACCGTGTTTAACTGAATGAAAATAAGAAACAGAGACCTGATAATCTGAATTTCTCCATAGGATTCAAGTAATTTCTGACTTGTATTTCCAATAGGCTACATCTGAAGTTGAAAAACAATGGTTTAAGCAGCTTCATTGAAGAAAAAAAATAAACTTTGTTTAACGAAACAGGTTTAAAACATGTTTAAGTGTGAATGGGGTATAAGTTCAATTCAGGATAGAGCAGTTTTCAGTTGGGTGTCAAAAAAACCAAAACCACAGTAATCACAACGACCAATCAGAGCAAAGGTTAACATCATCAAGGTAAAGACAGGCTACCGGCTGGAAGCGCAGGAAAACGTGAGTGGCTAAGTTGCAATTGGTTTAAGTTTTGCACTTGATTGGTTGAAATGGTGTCACAGGTTTTTGGGACCAATCAAAGAGCAAAGTAAAGCAAAACCAAAGCAATCCAGGATTACTTTCAACAATCAATTGAAGATTGCTCTATTCAAAAACTTCATTGCAACATTTTTCCCTGCAAATAAGAAGCCATTAATGTCCTTGCCCACCTTGTTCAGCTGATGAAGAGCTCTTCCCTGCATGACACACAGCAATGGGTTTGCCTCGGAGATGAGGCTGGTCTCTCAATGTTACAGAAACAAAGAATGAATCCATATCAATATGCATAATAACACGGCCATGTGGCCCTACCCGGCCACTCCCTCTACACTTCCACCCCTTGGCTGCACCAGACTTGATAAGATCACTTGTGTATTTCTTGAATTCTGCTCCCCATGTCGATAAGTAATGCAGTCTGGAATTGTTGTAGAATTCTGATACAAAGTTTGCATCACCAGCTCTGGGTAAGCCGATCGGTCTTTTGAACAATATGGAATCTTCAGTGTTAATTTTAGAGGTTGTTGTCTCTACAGTGTCTTGCAAAGAAACATCACCTTTGTTCCCATCATCATTCCTCTTGAATCTTGCTTCCTCTTTACTATTGATTTCACTACTGATTTTGACTTCATAAGTCTCGGCTGACATATCTGTCTTCCTATTAATTGAGTCATTACCAGTAATACCAGTTCTGTTATCTTTATCATCACAAATATCTTGGTGTTGCAACTCTACTTCCTCAGGTGTCCTTGTGTATTGTGGTACAGAGGCACATGAAGATGACTTTTCTGCCATTGATCTACCCTCAGGGGACTGTAGAGTTGATGTAACTGTTGTGTGTCCCCTTCCCTCAGCAGAAGAGAGTGTGGAAGATGTCACAGTTGATGATAGTTTGGAAGTAAAATTCAAAACCTTCTGTGCAGCTTGGCGTGGTTGATAAAGAAGATAGTCATTAACAGGAAGCAATCTGACTGCTTTTATGCTGTCCAAAATCCAAGATGGATGCACTACTAGTTCATCTCTACAAAACAGTGACAGTTTTGATTGATTTCTTTTGTTAAGTTTCAAAGGATTTCATAGAATATTTGACCTACATGGCATGATTCACCAATTTCAAAAATGTTTATATTTTTTTAATTAGTAGTTAGACACTGTTGTCAATATTATTAATTTTGTAAATTAGACATAGTTTGATGCTACTCTGGTTTGCAGATTTAATGAATGTAACCGAAGAAGTTACGATTCATAGACCCAATGTTTCGACACTCCTGTCTAGTGCCTTCATCAGGGGTGATCTAAACGTCAAACTATGTCTGATTGTCCACCTGGTTGCCAATTTTGTAAATTGTTGTGAATAATTCCAAAAATAGCTGTCTCACCCAGCCAGAAATAATTGACCCACTTCAAATCAGTAATCCTAACTAACTTAGACATCAGCCGTTATAAATCTATGGTTTTTTAGGGGTTTTACCAAAGAAAACTCAAAATACTTTTGACAAAAAGAAAATAAATGGATGTAGTTCAACACTTTAACATTATAACAATATAATAGTCAGGCCAGGTTACCTTGAGAAAGATGTTATGACAGCACAAAAACTACAGTAACTTTAAGTAGGTTTTACCTATCTTTGTATTTCAAATCATTAACAATATAAAAATTTACCTTATCTCTTGGATTTTGCTGTTTGGTAGGTTTGTTGCAATGATATGTGTCACTGAACGCTTTGTGTAGTATTGTTGAAAACTTCCACCATATGAGTACACCAGGCGTCGCAATTCATCTGCTGATGGCTCTGTAAAAATATCGAAAGTGATAGACTCTAAATTTTGATCACAGCTTCAGTTGGTGTCAAGGTATTACAGAAGGAAAATTAGCATCTATCCAGTGTCTATGAGCAATTTTCTGTTAGGCTTTTTGCAATGTACGGACAATGGACAATGTATGGACATGGACATTGTGTGGACAATGGCTTTGATGCGTATTAAAAGAAAATCATAAATATAATTGGCCCTTAATGATTGATGTAGCAAAAAACTATTATTCCAAAAAAAAAATTAACCAGTTACTCTGTTTGTAAACATTAGAATCACCTGTGTATCCATTGATGTGAATAACTACTTTCTCAAAGATCTTAGGTACATTGCTACAAAGGAGATATTATTACAATGCGTTAATCAATATAATTCTTAGATTAAAATATTCTGTCAATGGTAGCAGTCAAAGCAATCCATGGTTGAAATTACATCTATAGCTGTGGAAATTTATAGACCTGGACCCAGTTGTATAAAGGGCAGATAACACTATCTAACAGATAAATTGCTATCCAGCGGATAAGTGATAGCAAAACATATGGCATTATCCACCAGATAGAGACTTAAACAGTCAATAGTATTATCCGACCTTTGAACAACCAGGCTCTGCATATAGCTGTAATGACAGTAAGGCTATTGTAGCCATGCATCATTTCTGTAATGGGAAGCGCAATCTTGATCTTTGAACAATAAACATTTCAATAATCCAAACATGACAAATTTGTCTTGATTACTAGTTAATTAAAATTTTTTTCCTATTGGAGCTGTGAGCCAATGATAACATAAATGAATGGTTCATGGTCAAATTCACCTTTGCAGAAGCAATAAAGTAAAGTTACACAGCCTCAGCTGTATAATTGGAGGTTTGGGAAATTTGAGAGGCTTATTTTTGTTAGCATGAAAAATATCCTTTATTGTTTATCCATGATTAATTAAATTTTAATCTATTTGAAATAATAAAAGAGCTTAAAGAAGTGAACTTTCATTTCATTGTTTGCACATAACACCTCTACTGCCAAAAATTCTTTAGTTTGGTATATGTATTACAGATATTTTGTCAAGTAGACAGCAAAATTATATCAAAATACGATTTAATATTTTGTAAAAAGGTGAAGACAAAAAGAAAACAAAAAAATTAAATAAATAAATGATAACTTACACATCTTGGCGTCCTTTTGGACCAACATCCTCTTTGAACTGAACATCTAGTTTCTGTACCTTTACTTGCATATACTCACCCTACATGTTTTCAACATTAACAATACGTTGAAAATGAACCTCAACCCTCTAAAACAATTTCATTTACATAAAAAACATTCGTTATTAAGTCAACCCAAGCAGCTTAAAATATCAATCCTCGGGTTGAATTTACCCTTCTCCCATCTAACCCTAACAGATATATTTTGAATCGATCCTCATGAGGAATCGCACCTCACACCTTCGGATTCCTTAGTTGGGGAGTCAGAATATTTTCTTCGTCAAGTTCGTGACAAGACGCAAAAAAAGGCTTCGACATGTTCTCTCACTCAATTGAATGGTGCTCCAACACGGTAACTCTAGGCCATACAAATTCACTCATTAAGAAAAGAAAAATGGGAACTTACGTGGCCGCTCCAATCGACTTTAAACTCTTTTTTGGCATCTTTCTTCCTTTTTGAAGCACTTCTTCCCAAATTCAATGCGGTCATAGTGTAGAAAAATCGAAGAAACTAAAATTAAAAACTACTGTTTGACTTCAAGCTGAAGAAATATTAAGGATTGGGGAGGCTGTTCGCGGGAAATTATGTTTGTCCGCCATTTTTACTCAGCTAGTACCCAGACTCTTGACGGAGCTCAAACATTAAGTTGAGGCTGCTCAAGATAAGCCAAGGTATCATTCTCGTTGCTAAGTAACATAGTAAACTCAAAAGCTAGAGCAAAATGTCGGATTTCGAAGACGAGGAGGGAGTCGATGAACCAGTATTAGATGACGAAAACGAGGAGGAAGGAACCGAAGAGGAGGAGGTAGTTCTGTCGCAAAACATTTCCTCCTATTTCCTTTGTTTGCTCTACTTCCAACTTGCCAAAATGTCAGTGGGTCAAGACAACTTATTTACACCGGTCGAACTGGAAAGTATTTTCAAACCCTCTTACATTTTGGCGCGCTCTTGATCGGCTTTTCTTGTGACTTCAGAAACCTCCAGAGAATCCCCTCACTGAGGAAATGTTAGCCGACAGCCTTTCTTTGATGTGCAAAACTGGAGACGGATTGGCACATGCATATGTAAGACTTGACGTCCACGAAAAGTAAGTCCTATTGGAGGTATATAGTCCTATCACCGAGATCTGATCAACAATTCTCCCTCCCAGTTACGATACATTCCTTTTAAACTAGCAAAGAGAATTTATTTTTACATGACAAAAACCCGTACTATTGTATCATCATTGCAAGGAGAAATTATATGTTCATTCGCCTCTGAAAGTTGAGGTGTTTTGAACTATAATTGCTTTCAAGTTTATTTTAACTGGCAGGCTAGACCGGTCCCCTAAGAGAAATAACTCTGTTGTTTATAAGAAATGTCCGCTCAGATTTATAAATTAAAGAGAACCATCACCAAAGCTAATTATGGGGTTTTTTAGTTGATTCCTCTGACTTACCAATTGAAAATAATTTATAGAATCCTCAGTGGCCGACAAAATTCAAACACCAAAATATTAGGGAAGAGTTTAATTGTTTTGTCAAAGGTGTGGAGCAAAGAAAAAATACCATGCAAGGAATTCAGTTGACCTCCACATTTCTCAGCTGGCTGATGCTTTAATTGCCAGGCTACAGTGAACACAATGGTGAGCTTAGTCCTATACTTAGCAGGTTCACACATTACAAGTGTTCTGTATACTTCAGGGAAATTCAGCATTGTCAAAAGGATAGTGCATTTGACATTTGACAATCTTATGTATGGTACTTCCTTTCGTATTTGCAAAAATATATATTGTAAAAGAGGTTATTGCTCATCATGATGGTAAGGAATAATAAACCGTCTAATTGTTTGTCTCACCATGTGGTCACTTGAGATGTAGATTACAACAATTAGACTGCTTACTACTAGTCTTCGTTAGGTGATGGTGTTGACTGCCACCTGTTACTATTTGTATCACGGCAATCTAATGCAATTGGCGAATTTCTTGTTTTTGTAACCTTCTGTACAAAGGAGGAAGGATAACCCTTACAAAAAAGAACAGATGACAAATGTCTCTTTTCCTCTGAGATGATTGATGGTTTTGTCATGAGACACTTTGCCTGGTCATATGAACATGTGACAATACCAGGCTTTACTGATTGAGGGTAGTATGAATCATACGCTACTGGTAAGTACTGATCAGTGTGAGTTGGTTTTCTGTATAGACACTGGTGTTCAGGCATCTGTCTGGTTCCGTCATAACTGGCATATCAAGAAAGGCAATCTTGTTGCCTTTCCCAATTTCCAAGGTGAATTGGATGTTAGGTTGATAACTATTGAGATGCTGTAAGAAACAGTTGATATAATTGCAATCTTGGATGGTGAAGGTGTTATCAACGTAGTGCTTCCAGGTCTTGGGTTTCTGAGCTGTAGATTCTATTGCTTGTTCTTCAAATACCTCCATAACTGCAGAAACTGTGCTCCCCATGGCTACACCCTCCATTTGTACGTAGAAAGGCTAGTCTTCATCATTGCCTGATGAAGACTAACAGTAAGCAGTTGAAACACTGGGACCTTCATCTTAAGTGACTACATTGTGAGACAAACAATTAAACAGTTTATTATTAATTACAGTTGATACATTGGACCTAATGTTTACTTTCCAACAGGGAGCTGACAGATATTAGTATACTCAACTGCTTTATTCATTTGAGATATGTGGTAAGCAGTAGTTATTCTCATAAGTTCTTCATTCTTTGAAATTTGTACCAGCAGTTTTTAGAGAAAACTGTAAGGCTTGGGGCTTGCATTGAAAGGAATGTCTTTGCTGAATCTCTTACAGGATGTCAGTGGAAATCAGTTGATGGATATTTCTTCACTTAACTCATTAACTCACCTACTTACACTGAAGGCAGACAGGAATGCCTTGCACTCAGCCAAACTTGATGAGGTTGGTACTGTGTTAGAATTATGATGATTTATGCAGTTATATTATGTCAATGATTCTGATTGGTTAATATTTACTTACATTCATTTCTGTTTATACGTCTTTTGCTTTGGTTTCTTCGCTATGTAATTTACATTGTTCAGTTTCTATTAATAAATCACCAAAAATAGATACTTCAATGACTTCCTTGTAACATAATGAAGATAGTAAATGGAAAATGTCACAATTTGTGGGTTTCCATTTAGATGACTCAAAAGCATTTGATATGTGTAAACTGTATAATTATTGTGTTTATCTTTTGACAGTTACCATATCTACAAATTGCAAGTTTTGCCAACAATAAAATTATGGATACAGAGGGTATCAATCATCCCTTGTTAGAACAATTAAACTTATCATGTAAGTATTTGTACAATCTTGGGAGAATTTTGGTACACAAACAATGTACAACACCCATTCTGACTATAAATTAATGAGTGCAGATGTAAGTCATTATTCCAGTTGTCTATTCAACAAAATGTGGTAAGAACATCAGTTTCACAGTCGCTGCATCTAGTGTGGCACTTTGTTGTTCTTAACACATTTTGATATCATCTGTGATCTGAACAGTATCGAATCTGTTTGTTTTTCATGATGAAAAAACAAATGTTGTTAATGAATAAATTGGGAAGCATATTAGTAAGTATTCGCTTTGTTACTCACTTAATAATACACATGTTTGCATGCCTTCATGTAAGTGACATTGTCCTTCCTTCCTGATTCATCAACAACTCAAATCAAGCAAATCTGCTACTGTTCGTTGTTCAGTAAATTCATTCAGCATAACATTGTGTTATTCAGCGTATAATTCTAAAATCCTATATTTCATTAATTATCGTTTGATTAAACAGCCTTGTGCTTCAAATATATTGTTTGAAAATGAAATTTATACCTGGGAATTGATAATTCAAACATGCTTGTAAACATACATATATCTCTACCTTAACCCTGACTGCAGCCCCAAAGAATGACTAACAACTAATTTATTCCAATATCATCATCCCTGAGTTTAGAAATTAAGTCACAAGAAAGAAAATGTACACCAACTAAGGAAGTTCTTGATTGTTAAGTAAATTCTCCCTGACAGCACTTCAGGAAATGTTTAGTCATGGATATATGGAGACTATATGCATATACTGATGTTTGGGTGCAAAGGGTTAAGGTGACTTTTGCTTCCCTTTTTATCAAGTTTTCTTCATGAAAACTTTTCTTTGAACTTCAAATGATCCAGAAATAAACCATTTTACAGTCAGAATAGCATTTTTAAGTGAGAGGATCGGAACATTTTAAATTTTAGGCAATTGGAATTTAGTTGGACTCATTAACTGTCATATTCTTTTGAATCTGAACCAGTCAATGAGATAGTAGAAGTAACAGGCTTTGATCCAGTCAAGTTGGACAGACTAAGGGTAATGGAACTACGAGGAAATAAACTCATGACCACTGTGGGACTTTCTAGTCTTCCTAACCTAAAGGAGTTATACTTGGTAAGATTTTACATACTGCTTGTATTTTTTGTTAAATGATGACTTTAATAAAGCTGTGTTGTCATGCTTACTAGAATGAAAGAAGCAGTACTTTCATTACTGTTTATGTACCATGAAGTTAGATCCTACATCTTGAAAATACATTCAAAATTTGTTAAATCTCTCATTTGCAATTTAATTGTGTTAACAGTCTTGGTCCCCAGCTATCCTCATTCATTCTAAGCCTATTATTTCCCCTTATCTTTTCTTCCTTAGTGAACTAACTATTTTTAACTTCAAGTTATTTTAGTTAACCATGTCAAAGTCACTCAAAATATGGTACTGCCTGGTGTCTTTAACAGGCATTTAGATTTCATCCATCCCACGGTAATTTTCTTCTCCATTTTTAATAAATTTTATTATTGTTATTATTATTGTTAAACTTATTATTATTAGTATCATTATTTCAATTATTATTTGTTGTTTTATATATCATTATTATTTTAGTAAATCAATATTATTTTGTAAATCAATGATGTCATCATTGACTAAGCTTCATTATTCTTAGGCTGCAAACACCATAAGAACTCTTGAGGGGCTGGACAGGTTGGAACATCTTGCAAGTTTACATCTGCGTGACAACCAGATTGAGAAGTTGGATGGTTTTTCAGAAAACATGAAAAACCTTCAGTACCTTAACTTGAGGTACATGTAACAATCCAAAGCTTCCTTAAATATTTTCTTCACTTTTCAGGCCATTTTATTGATACAGAAGGAAATATCCTTTCATAGAAAATAGATCATGTGTGACACAGTATGGGATACTTTTATATTTTCTCTTATGGCAGTATGCACAATACAACAGTATATATACGAGTACTAGTGACCAAAAGGTGTAAATACAACTTAGGATTTTTGATGTAAAACATGACAGAGAAGGAAGTAAGGTAGATTGGAGAATTTTTCAAGTTCATATATAGCATTGGCACTGATGCATGGGCTAGTTTTTCTTCTACATGTAAGCATTAGTAGTTTCAATTGAATCCTTTTTAAACTGAGGACACAAACTGTTCTAAACTTCACTGTTGAGAGTATATGGAAAGATCAAACAAAATACGATGTTTTTCTCTTCATCAGGGGTAATAATGTCACTGACATGAAGGAAATTGCCAAACTCAAATGTTTACCACTGTTGAGGGCATTACTTTTAATGGGTAAGTAAACCAAAAATTGTCATCACTAATGATACACATTAATTTAGACCTGAAGTGTTATCTTTCTTAAATGTAAAAATGGAATTTCATTCAATTGAACTGTATTTGTGTGTCAATACTTTGAACTCTTAAACTATCCTAAACTGGTCAAAATTTTGCTCTTAGTTCATTACCAAATAACCACTGCCATCTTTTTGTGACTGAACTTCATGTAAGTCAATGCATTAGTTTCAATAATGACACTGATAAATGAAGTGCCGCTGCAGAGATATTGCCTCCTTCTTCCGCTGCTACCTCAACTGCATCGTCCCTTTAATACTTTTGAAAAGGAGATTTAACAACATAAGAAGAACCCTTTAAAATTTACCTTGCACCCACCATTTAGCTTCATTGCTTGTTTGGTAGTAGCACCTTACTAGCGTATGAAAGGCACAGGTTCAACTCCTGTTGCAGCCTTACTTTATTTAAGCTCCTTTTCTACAATTGCTTAGCATCTATAAGGATCATTTCTCTGCTTAAACATAAAAACTGTTTTCTATATTTTACTTTTATGTCTTCAAACACAATAATATTAATATTTTCCTCTTTCCTGTGAAATGCCTTATTATAGGAAATTAACAATGCACTTTATTAATGCTAAAAATGACTGGAAATGCTGCTGTTTTTTTCCTCTAAATATGCATTTTGAGATGTTTGTATTGCAGCAAATTCAGGTAAAAAAAGTAACATGCACATCGTTTTAAAAAAATTTGCATTAATTTGATGCATGTAATCCTAACTTTTTGAAAATCCATTAATTCTGTGTAACTTGGGTTTTCTTCACCTTGTTAACATGCATCATTAACTTCCTATAATAAGGTTGATATATATCTGACATATGTCACCAAATAATATTTGTTAAGAATATACATGATTGTATTTGTATCCCTGTAGAATGCCCGGTGTCAGATGAGGATGATTATCGCATAGAAGTGCTGATCAGTCTACGGAGACTGGAAAGGCTGGACAAAGATGAGTACACAGATGATGAGAGACAAGAGGCAGAAGAGGTTAGTAACTCTCACCCTTATTTATTCATCATATCACTGGGGCTACATGAAAATAAAATTCTATCTTAGCTTTATAATGACTGTTTTCTATTAATAGAAACCAACACTGAACATACACTAATGTACACAATATGGAGTACAATTTTTAGTATTAGCCCTTGCAAAGATTTATCACTTTATCATATTTATTTACAAATTCACAGATTTATGAACAAAGAAGACAAGAAGAAGCATTAGCAGTAAGTGCTGAAATAAAAGAGTAGTTTGAATTTTTTTTATCTAACAAGTTCTACCATGAATCTCAGACAATTTAAATTATTTGACCAAACAATGTTATGGTTGTGTTAATGTCTCAGTTATTCATGGTGAACTGTCCTTCTTTATAGGCTGGGACCCAAGAAGTTATACACACAGATGATGATGACTAACAGAATAGTAATAAGACTGTTGTGTAATTAATACACTTTTTAGGAACCAGTGACCAAGTACATTAAGTGTGAATTTGTGATTTGTTTTGTGGTATTGCAATCTAACTAGTCTCAGACACATTGTAAATAAAAATCTGCAAGATGACTTGGTGTAAAAAGATTGCAATTCCATATTATTTATTTAATAACTTTCAGAAAGGGATTATTGTTGCTTTGACTTTTTCCCTTCCGAGACTCATTTATATTAAGTATCATTTTCTTCTAATGTTAGAGATATGACATCATTGCAAATTCAGCTAATACAGCTGTTGTACTGTCTGCTCATTAAGTTCTTACCATAATTTACAAAGATAGTATTGTAAATAATTTTTTAAGAAATTTGTTATGATTTTGATCTCTCTGTCCATATACTTCAGAGCACTTGTAACATGTAAAGTCATCTTTAAGGTTTTTATTCTATTAAAAACAGTGCTTATTTTGTTCTACTCTTTTAAAACATCAAGTACACTTCTGTAATGGCACAATTTATACTCAGTTCAAAATTCAGTGGAATCTACTCTTATTTTTCAGTGATGAATACAAGGTATTTTTGAATAATCTATACCTTTTGTTGTCATTGTATTGTGAGGAGCCATTAATTCAACATGAACAATGCATAACTAAGTTTTCATGGTCACAGTGACCAATGCTGCTTCTGATTGAAATCCTACAACATTCACAGAAAGGAAGATGACAGTGACTGAAAGAGCAACTGTAGTACTAATGTCATAGTCTTGCTTTGCTTTTTTTCCTGTTATTCCACACCACACCCACTCTGTGATGAATGATTATGTAAATGCCAACAAATCCAAAATGGAGATAGTTAATGACATTAGTGTGTTTGTCATATTCAGCATGGTTGACAAAGGCATACAACAGGTTGCATCTCTGTTTTTTGTAAAAATCACTTCTTCTTTAATCAATAATTTAATAATACCTAATAACAACATATCTATTCATGATGGTTGTGTCTATTGAATCCCCAAACTTGTCATTAAAGTTCATCCTTGGAGGCTCTCCGAGCACAACGAAACATGATGTTGTCAGAGCCAGCATCTGCTGTGTTACCCATCCTGGAATGTACAAAAAAAAGCAAATAGTGTACAATTGAAACACAATGAGAAAATCAAGGATCTTCCAGAGCTGTAAAGGTATGTTTTGGCTTTCTACTGTAGTTTACACTTTGTTTACTATATATAAATAATATAATATAAAGTGAGATCTATTTTTCTTTCAAGTGAATTATTTTTATCTGCTCCTGTTTTTTGTATACATTTCATATGTATATAGCTGTTTATAGGTGTCAGAAAAACAGGATTAAAGCATATGCAATAGCCCCAAAAGGTATTGTGGGTTGTTTAAGGTTAAGGTTACTTGACCTCAGGATTTCAAGGAAATCTGATAAAACATCACTATGAAGTTGAGGCATTGAGGGTTTGATGAATTACTATTATTGGATACCCAGATAATGCCTCGTAAGATTGTTGCATGCACTTTTGTCCTTTTTCCAACAACCTTTCTTACAACAGCTGTATTTTGGAGGGGACCGTGGGCTATAACATCTTGGGGTCAGGGAGCCATGAAAAGAATTGTGTTACTCTGCAGTTTTACAAAACACAGCTGAAATAATGTAACCCCCTTTTTTTGAATAGGACATATCATTGTTTTCTCTTCCATCCTTTTTGAGTATTTAATAGCTTGACTACTTCTAAATTCATCCCTACACTAAGATCATTTTGCGAAGTCATCCCCAAATCATAACCAAGTCACTGAAAGATTTTCAGCAGATTAAAGGAGGTAACCAGGCAAATTGTAATTACCTTGTAGTGACAGTAACTTTGTGATTATGTTTACCATCTGCAGTATCTATGTATGATCCTCCTCTCAATACATATTTTATCTCTTGTCCTTTATCTTCAAATCTGTCAGACACCCATTCCCAGGCGTTACCCAGCATATCATACATTCCTATGGAAAAAGTGAGGTAGTTATAAAGAACAATCACAATTTAACCAGCTCAGCTCTGTATCACATGCACTGAAACTTTTTTTGCATTTAATTGAATTATAAGGTTTGCAAATTCGATTACATCTTTGAAAGTTGCAGTAACAGCAAAATGCAAGTAACCAAAAAATACTTCTGACAATTGGTAAGAAAAAATATTGGTACTTTTGTTAGTGCATCTATGTAAACTACATCTAAAACAGCTTTCAGCCACTTCTGTACAATTTTCACAGACAGTTAACTGTATGGAAAAGAAATAGTAATTATTTCACTGCAAGTATAAACTTACCAAATTTGTTCTGTGCAGGAAAGGCATCTACAGGAGCTACGCCAATGTGACTATCTTCCTGTGAGTTTTTATCAGGAAATTCTCCCTGCAGTACAAAGGAAAATGTTTCATGCATTCTTAAAATGAAACTTTTACAGTTCTGTGTAGTTGATTGAACAAACTTAATATGACTAGATAATCTAATTGTGAGAGTAACAAACAATTTTGAAATTTAAGTAGTCTGGTTCTGAAATAGTTATTTTAAAAAAATGTATTTTACACACTGTGCAAGTCACTATGTCCTTTATAGGCCTGGCAGTGAACTGCTGTTGACTGCAGCATAAATAAACAGAATACCATAAGAGATCAAACATCATAATTGTGACAGTAATAGCACCTGCCAGATGTTCATGCGGTCCTCTTGAAAGTTTGATCCCCATGGATACTCTTTCTCTATCAAGGAAAAATTTCCTAAATGAGTAATGAATTGAAGTGAAACCATTTAATTGAAACTTTTTTCTCCAAATTGTCAAAATGGGAACTGATCCATTGTGGCATGCATAATCTGAGTTTGCCACAGTATCTCCAAGCAAAGAATCAACATTACAATAATTTTGCTTCTTTTTCAGGTCTCTAGTAAGTAATAGGACAAGGGATGTTGCTAAGGAGTCAACTATTAATTAAGAAAGAATGTGATTTTTTTTCTTTTTGCACAGAAAGCAACATACATGAAGCTGAGAAAACTCCACACACAAATTCAAATCGTCAATAGATATTGCAACATGCAGATCATCAGAATCCAGACATTTCAATCCCAGCGATAATCAGTACCATGGTGATTTTCCTACATCAAAACTATGTACAGTTTTGAATGCTTGACCAAACATCACCCAACCAACCCCAAAACTTGCTAGTGCATGCTGGTTAAAGTGCTATTTATCTGGCACAGTACCACAGTTTTAACTATGTTCTTCAAAACAAATCCCTATAATTAATTTTACCACACCTTTGAGGCCTCCTCTAACAGCAAACTCCCACTCAGCCTCTGTAGGCAGCCGCTTGCCCATCCACTCACAATATGCCTGAGCATCATTGTAGCTTATATGAACAGCTGGATATGACAATTTCTCTTTAATTGAGGTACCTGGACCTCCTGGCTAGGCACAGAAAAAAATCCAAATCACTCAAATTTATCCAACACTTACAAGCTAAAGAAAGGTGGTGAATGTTTGTCTCAGGAATGGGATTGAAGGATTTGGAGGTTTTGAAACCCCTGACTTTTTGGTTAAATGCTTTATCAACTTAGCTATGGGAATTATTAGGTTTGATATTTAGTCAAGAACTCTAGAAATCTTATGGACTTACCTGTCTCCAGTATGCCTGCTGTACAGGTAACCACCATGGAGCGCCCTAAAAGAAAATTTATCATGATTAGGAAAACATGTATATGTGTACTTCAATGGAAGGGCACAACCAGCAATCAGGCTCTGTTCGACAAAACATTTTGTAGAAGGAGGTGACTAATACCTAGAAGATACTTCTAAGAGAGATTGGGAAACTTACTACGAACATTGTCAAAGTAATGTGGACACTAAGTAAAATAAACTGACTCGACTTCCGAGGCCCTTCTTTTATTTTACTTAGTTCCCTCTTCCCCAAGAAAGAAATGTTGATAAAATCCAGCCACAATGTAACGTGGATACAATTCAAAATTTTTCTTGGACCGAGAAGATAAAAAAGGAGGCAAAAACAAATACACAGAGGAAAAAGAATTTAACAGTCGACGGTCTGGTCGACAGCAGGTACGAGTAACATGAATAAACAAAAATATACAAAAGAGATAAACGACTCCTTGGAATTATTCGTCGACCGACCTCTAGTTTCACTAGAAAAGAAAAAATCATCTACGTAGAATGACAGGAGAGCAAAACGGGTAGCTCCTGAAAACTTTAACCTGAGAATCCCCCAGAAGTTTTTAATCTTGAAAGTACAAAATTTCTCCAATCAGCACTTGTTTCGAAATAGAGTAAATCAGAACTTACCGGGACAGACTGTGTGATCTTCGATCGCACTTTTTCCGGTACAAAAGTACGAAACACAAAACTCCACCCAAACTTCTCTGCTTCCGTCTTGAATTTCGTGGCGCGGATAAACTTCCGAAAATTTTCGTTTGTTACAGGATACTTATCAATCACAAATGGTTTCACCCCAACACTCTTGGTCGCTAGTTCTCCGCGTTTGGGGTCAGCAGACGAACTACCCATGCGAAATTTCCCACCTGATAGAGTAACAGTTTCAGTAAAGTCATCACCAGCAGCACAATAAACTTTTCCACCCGATAGAAGTAACAGAAAGAGCCACGCGATTGAAGTCTTCGTCTCCGACATGTTTCTTACAAGGCGTTCCGTGTGATAGCCGCAGAGAGGCTGGTGCTAGTAGAAGGCACGTCTTCGGCAGGGGTGAGAAAGGGTTCGCTGAACTCGCCTACATCAACTGTACTCATCGGGTCAAAAAAAGTGAAAAATTCTGAAGATCTGTTAGTTGTATACGAATAAAATGGAAAGGAAAAAGCAAATGATAAAATAATTGATGAGACAAGGATTTTTTAATGATGAATACTAGCTTAAATTACAACTTCTTAATCATCTTGGGAAAATTAAGTATGTTGACCACTGGTTGGAATCTGGGGGGCAAGTCTCTAAAGAAACTGTGATACTGTGTTGGAAAGGGAGGAGAGGGAAAAGGTATCACAGGAAAACTTGGTTTTATTTACTGAGTGGCCACTGTAAAGAGATTCTGACACTGATGTATCAAGCCTTAGCCCTTTCCTAAAGCACATAGCTTACTTTTAGGATGTGGGTGGTTTATAAACAGGAAGAATGAGTATGAGTGAAGATGGAGTAATAGTATTGGTGTGGAGGTCGGAGGAAACAAGAACAACCAAAAACAACATGGAGGTAATGGTTAGGAACAAAAGATAAAGAGCTGGTTGGCAGAAATGAGTGACTGTCCATCTGCTTAGCACTCACTGAGCCTCACTGCCTAAAGAGATTTTGTATGGGAGTATCATAAAAATTTGATGGCAAAAATGAAAAACAACTATGGAAAAAAATACATCATGTGCCATAAAGTACTGCTCGACAAGTGCTGAAAATTAAAAAAAGTCATCCTAAAGGCCTACAGAACAAAGAAAAGTTTTACAAGGGTCCAATGAGAAGTCTAAGCAAACAAAGGTAAATTACCTGAAGAACAGGAAAATATGAATAAACAAATGCAATTGGTTTTAGTCTTAAATATGATTGGTTTAGAGAATGACACATTGCCAAGTTTCCTGGGCCAACATGAGAGCAAAGCAAAACCAAAGCAATTCAAGATTACTTGCTATACCCAATTAAAAATTACTAATTTCAATAAATACCACCTAAAAATTAACTTGTTGTCAAATTTGGATCTGCAACTTCAATGAAAACACATTTTCAGTTTGTATCTGAAAAAATGGCCAATTTATTACATGTGCTTTATTATGTTGGACATATATAAGAAGGCAATAAAACTGTCCAGCTTCCTGAGTATTTTTAAAACGTTGCCCAACTCTCAAGGATTTTCTCATAGACTTCATATTCTCCCTTAATGCTTTACTTCTTAGCTATGTGTTTACTTTTCAAACAGTCTTTCAGAATATGACAGTCTGTCAGAGATAGTTATATAGTTAACCCTTTCATTCCCAATATCTAATTAGTAATTCTCCTTACTATCTGCCATACAATTCTTATGATGTTATTTCAGAGAATTTGGTATTGGATCTTCTAACAATCCCATAATTGAGATTCTTCTCTATTCTCATCACTTACCTGCTTGATATTGTATTAATATTGTAAGGAGAAATTCTCTCTTGGTCACTTGCGGGAGTGAAAGGGTTAATGTTGGGTTTACAATTGCAATTTAATAACCTAAGCTGTTAGGTTAAGGTTTATAATACAGATGACTGTTCACATTTTTCCACATCTTTATCTTCTATAACTTCATTGTGCAATAATTCAAGGCCTAACTCCTTAAATGTTCTTGAATTAGCATCAAATAACCAGTCATCTATTTGGTCTCTTGTAGGATAACTGGACTGTACACCATGAGCTGTTACGGTAATTGATGCAATATGTACTGCTCTTGATACCATTTCAGAAAATGAAAGCTGAGGATAACATGACAAGTAGAAAGCCAATGCTCCTGTTAAGGCATCCCCAGCTCCAGTTGTATCCACTGCTTCAACTGTTGATGCTCTGGTATGTGTCATTAATGGAACTGAAAATAATCGTACACATGTTGCATATAAAATGAAAATCAAGAGAATAAACAAATTCCTTCACTGAGAATTAGTGGGGAATGGTTGAGTATGAAGTGGTCAACTATGGCATAGAATACTTTACACTTCAGTCCATCATCAGAATAATTTCATTACTTACAGATTTATCTTTTGTTCCTGAACAGTTTCCAATTCTTTTAACTTAGGATACTTAGCTATTGTTTTATTTATTTAATTACTCTATCCCTTTTTTTCTCTGGAATCATGAGCTAAACAGGCTTAAGGCCAAGCAAAGTATAGGGTTACAAATAAACAGTAGCCTTCATTTGGCCTGAAAAAATACTTGGATATTTTTCTGAGTACATTATCTGTTTCAAGAAGCAAAGTGTTTCCTGAGGGTTTAGGTCAAGGAAAACTGTGAGCTATGAAGCATATTCAGTCACATAATTCATTTAGACGAATCACACACAAAGAAACAAACAAAATTATGGATTATAATGAAGCTTATTTTCTATTTCTCACAAAATCAAACAGATAACTCACTCTTGTGCTCTAGATTCATTTCAGAGGAGATAGCTCCTTCTGATCCAAGTGTCAGCACTACATGTGAAGTACCCCTCTTGTGAAGTTCCAAAATTACATTTTTCACTCCTTCAAAGTCACATGCTGCAATGCTTGTCAAGCTTTCACCTTCTTCCTTGTTAAGAACTAAAACATCAGTGTTCACATAAACATCATCTGGCACAAACTCTAATTTTGGTGAAGGATTAAATAATGTTCTACAGTCTAAACTCTTTCCATATTTCAATGCTGCTGCTGCAATCTTTAGAGGTATGCCCTTATCACAAACCATAACAGGACAAGATTTAATAACAGTTTCTGCTGCCATGATGTCCTCAATTATAAGATGCCTGTTTGCTCCTGCCATACTTATAAATGCCGGCTCACCAGCATTGTTAACAGCTGAAAAAAGGAGAAAAAGATACAATCTCTCATACATAATGTAAACTCACTTTAAGAAAAATAAAATTAATTACTATGTCATAGTTCACCCCTTTCAAACCCCACAACAGAGACAAAAGAGAAAAATATACGACTTTTTTAAGGTTTTATATACCCCATGCGTAATATACGGACATGAAGGTTAAATCATTCTGCTAATCAAAAGCCACATTCTTAAAAGTGATTTGATTTGAAAAAGAAAGTTGCAGTTTGTATAATTAACATACGTGTATACCTTGGCTAACCTATCTAGGAGGATAAAAAACCTGTACTTCATCTGGTGTACCGTGAATAATTCAATAATTGTCCAAAAATGGAATATTTTACCGAGCAAAGCAGTCTGTTACAAATTAAGACCACAAGGCTGCTATGAAAGAATACATAAGATGTAGACGGGTTAATTAACTAAGCACGTGCATATACGGAAAGTAAAGGATCCAAGTTAAGGAAAAGTCTTACCTATGCTTGTGAGACCTGTCTCTGCTTTATCAGTTACCGAAATAAAATCAACGTTCACTCCGAACTTCGTAAAATTCTGCATCGTATCTTGCCCAAATTGATCGTTTCCAATCTTTGCAATCATTGTTGTTTTTGCTCCAAGTTTCTGAGCCATAATACATTGATTGGCTGCTTTACCACCAAAGTCTAACTGGAATTTATTTCCTTTTACTGTCTCCTTAAATTTTGGAAAATAAGGAACATAACATATCAAGTCTACAAAGCAAGATCCAACGACAACAACATCGAACATCTCGTCCACCATGTTAAATGCTGGCTAATGCGCAAACTTACAGGGGACCCCAGAGTGTTACATACCTATGTAAATTTTTCCAATGTCTAGCAATATTTCAATATGATATAACCGTTTAAAGACAAACATTCAATTGATTTCACATAAAGTAACACTTTGGACTCGAAAATTTGAAATGAACTGAAATAGATGGATCAATTTTATCTGTGCTCCTAGCCTACCCGTGTAAATACAAAAACACTCTCTCTATGTCCACGTTTTACCGCAGGCTCAGATGCACACATGTCGCCATATTTGCTGTTTTTTCGCTTTTGTCGACCTACATCCTTTGTCTGTTTTCATATTGACAGTTGCGTTGACGATGAATTTCGTTCCTGATTCCCTATTTCTATTCAACTGAGCGCATTGCTGATATGTAGCGCTTCTAAAAGTTATGGAAATGGTGGCGAACACGCTTCACCTTGATCAAGTTGGCCGTGTTCCTAAACGGAGTGCATCACCGAGAATTCTAACACATTTTGTGGAAGGATTTGTCATTCAAGAAAGCAACTATCCCTTTACGGTAAGCCCGATCTCTATCATGTCAGGTAGAGTTACATCGACTTTCAGTTCAGTGAATTCTTGAAGCTAATGTGTTGTATGATCACATTCATTGTCTGCAGGGTTGTGGTATACATACATATGTTTGCTTGATCTTATCTTAATTTTCTGCCGATTGCACAAGTTCTTTTAGAGGGTGATGATCCAAACGATCGTGTGATATGATGATTGCTTTTCTTTGATTCTATTCCACTAATATTGTGCATCTATCGTATTTGAAAAAATTGATTCAATGGATTGTACTTTGCGGTGCTAAAAAGTACAAATCACGCACACCATTGATTACTTGCACATATTTACAAGTGATTAAAAGTTTGAAGGCGCTTTGATATGATAGACTTGCAGTGTAGTTTTGAATGATGGCATCATCTTATTTTGTGATAACAGAGACCATTTCTATCTAGGAAGACCAAAACCAAAATAATCATAAAAGACCATCAGGACTAAGAAAGCATTTTAAGGAACTTATGACAACTAAAAGTTAAAACAAGCAAACTGCTTGAAGAGTGGGGGCACATGACACCCACCTAATGTCAAATACTAATGATCAAAACATCCTTTCAGATGATGTAAATTACATCTCACTTGGCAAGCCATTCTTGCATGCAGGCATCTAAATTTAAATCCACCTAACATGATCTCATTGCCTTAGCTAGTTCATGGCAAACTGTTCTATCAAGAGTGGCCACTATTTAGCTTAAGATCTTTTTTACAGTGAGAATTCTTCACCATGTGAAATTTATAGAGCATCAGAAAATGTGGCTTGAGTTTGCCACTTATGAACAATTCAAGACAACTGTCTTAGAGCAGCGTATGTCACACACTCACATTTTGGCTGTTGCTGGTTCAAATTTCTCCCACTCACTTGCAATAATCATTTTGCTTAACATCATCAAATTTGTGAAACCACAGAATGAAATTAACGGCCTACCAGGCGTGGGGAAATTTAAACCATTTGAAAGGATACCTGGGATCAGTGGTAACTACTCAGTAGACTCTGGAAACAATAAACACAGGAGTTGTTTGTGGAAAATTGGTCAGTGTCATTGACAACTGCCCTTTCCAGGAAAATCCTTGTTTGATTGATTTGGAGTTCACCAGACCAACAACAACAAGAAATTAGTCTGTCCACACTATCGATAGTCCCACATGATCTCTGAATCAAAAGTAATTTAAAAATTGCATAGTGGAGTGTGGCCAGAACCAATCTATAAGCTCTATTCCACTTAATACTTCCAAAATTTCTGATCAGCCTTCCTTTTAGAACCTTAACACCAGTAGTCTAGTTAGCTTAACAAAATGTCTTGTTATACTTCATCAATACATATAAAATTGTGAGCTACATACTCACCCCAGCCGATGATCCTGAAAGTTGAGAGCCACAGAAGTATTTTCGTGGTCAATAAGGATGAGATGTCTTAGTATTACCAATGTTGTTAACATGAACTCTGTTCACCCTTACTATCTAGTCTGGAGATGACGTGGAAGAAATTAATCAAAACCAGCTGAATGGCAATCAAAATTATGAGAATGGAGACATTGATATGGAAGCTGGATTTGAGGGTATGTCTAAACTTAGTGTCTATTGGATGAAAAATATATATATTTTGTAACCCTTTTGCAATCATGGCATTTTTCCATGAAATATCAGTATCCCTCTCACAGTAGATTTTTGGTTTTAGCCCCCAAATCAGCCCCTCCAGAATTTCTAGGCTGGCTTTAAAATTCCTTTTAAAACTTTGCCTCAACCCCTAGCATCCCTTACAGTTTCTAAATAAACATTCATAATTGAATATTGATTTATTTTAAAGCACACATTGAGAATAATATTCTAATTTTTAAACTCTTCTTTGACCTTATGTTTCTAGGATTTCTTGGTTGTTACCTAAGCACACTTTTAAGCAAAGAAATGATCTTCCTATGTTTACTACAATTTAAGCAATTGCCAAAAAGAATCCTAGAAAAATTCAGGCTTGGACAGGATTCAAACACATGCCTTCTAAATGGCAGTTGGGCCCTACCCTTTGGTAAACCCAACACTAAAAGTGATCTTGTTTCTTTATGTACTTCAAAGTTATGTTACATCCTCTTTGCTAATAAAAAGACATTCACTTGTGACTACTTTTTTAGTGTTCAGTGGCAAACTTTAACAATTGTTATATGAAATTCAGTTTTTTTTCCAAAAAATAAATTCTGTTAACTGTTACCAATCACCTTGAAATTTTCCTCCTCCTCTTGTCTTTGTTTAGCTGAGAGCCCATCAAGTAATGACGAAGCTTTTAATGACGTGTTTGTAGAAGATTCTAACATTGGACACTGTGAACAGTGCGGGTGCCTCACAGAAGTGAATCATCACCGAGGACCAAAGAGGTTCTGCTCAACGTCATGTGCAAGAAGATATAGTGTAAGCTGCTCACGTAAAATGGTAGCATTTCATGCTCGTAGCCAGGGTGGACGACACTCCAGTGCAAACTCAGATCATAGAAAGTTGTCATATTCCTTACCCATGGTGAGTTCAAGTGATTTTTGTGGTCAAAATCACTCACCACCCATTCACTTTGTTACTTCCCTTGTCACTAAGGCTAAGATCCATTCCAAATAGGAAATTTATTGAAACATATGCATCCAAAGCAGCATTAAAAAATTGTTCTTGTAAAAATTTGAACTCTATCCTGTGCACACTCTGAGAAGAGCATAAATGAGGAATCATTAACTAAACTAAATTTCTTTAAAGATGTTCTCTGTGTTACACTATTCCTTAATAAATAACTTGACCATGTCTAAATTTCTCATGCCATTTAAAGTCCTTAACCCTTTCACTGCCACAAGTGACCAAGACAGAATTTCTCCTTACAATATCAATACAATATCAAGCAGGCAGGTGATGAGAATAGAGAAGACTATCAATTATGGGATTATAGTTGATCCAATACCAAATTCTCTGAACTAGCATCATAAGAATTGTATGGCAGATAGTAAGGAGAATTATTAACTAGATCTTGGGAATGAAAGGGTTAAGTTTCTTCTTAACAATCTTATGCATGTGTCAAGTGAACCTTTTATAGTTGACATTAATAGATCTACTTTGCTCTGAGGGAAGTTGTTGAATATGTTGTTAAATGTTTATCATTTCACCAATTCAGTCCTGCAAAATATACATCTGAAGTAGCTTTCCTTAAACATATGTAAATTTTTCTTGAGGGTCTGCACTTGTTAATATTTTTTTCTTGGGGGGGGGGGGGGGGAGAGAGACTATCATTGAAAGTATTTTTATGACAACAAGATTAAAAGAACTTCCTTGAACAAATGATGGTTTTGCATAATTTTGAAAAAGATTCAACATTCAATAAAAGATTCAATCTTAGGACAAAGTCAGCGAGAGTCCAGGTATTTGACATGGTCAAAAAAGTTTGAAGCCTGTTTTCTTACTGCAAAGCAAAATTGATAAGGATGTTCATGTTTACTATCCACAACAACTACCCTGTGTAATATGTTTGAATAAGTGATATTCTGTGCTGCTTTATTTATAGTATTATGAACAGCAGGCAGGTCCATATATGGTGGATGCCTCAATTCAAGTAAATGAGTTTGGTGAGTAAAGCCTTTTTCCTCTTTCTTTCAATAATTTATGTCACTCGTAGTGTAATTAGAGAACGTCACTGAAGAGGTTTGTTCAAGTTAATGTTAATTAAAGCTTGATGGCGTAGCCTATATGTACACTCCCTTCCATACAGATTGGCTGGAGAAAAATAGAATTAAAACAAATTGCGAAGGAATGTTTTTAAACGCTCTGCAATGGCGTTAGCCATGGAGCCATATCTCTTTGGATTTTAGCCTGCGTGTACCACTCTCTTGTGTGGAATATACTAAACACAGCCATGGTCGAAGGTCAAACGCGCTGAATTTACCTTGTCTTCTCGCCCACAGTTTTCGCGCGATTGCTTTTCATTTATTTCTCATTGCTCGACCTTCGAAGTTGGTGGAACGGTTAATTAGCTCTCTGTGTGTTCGAGTGTTAAGAATGCTGTTAATTTTTTAGTGTGTCGGTGTTGATTTAAACGGAAACTGGGTGAAGCTCATTAATACAGTTGCGCAGCGATACATTTGCTCAGTGAATTCTCGAATGCATAACCGTTTAGAAGTCTGTTGTTATTATTGTAAGAAGTGCTCTGCTCTCTTTAGTGACTCATCAGGAATTTATTTTAACCAGCGCTGTAAAAAAGTACTGATTCAAAATATGCTCATCTTCCCCAAGTTTTCTCCATTAAAAAAAAATTGATTTTGCGCATATTTTAAACTGTGAAAAAGGTATCTTGCATAATCTTCGATTCTTGTTTGAAACTCCAAACATTTGTTATTACTTGTACGAGATTTAATTTGCTTTTAACGATGCTATCATGACATAACTAGTATTCCACTATTAACTTGAGACTTGAGAATAATTTAGTAAATATGCTCCTTTTTTTTCGTATCCACGGCAATGTATCGATGTTAGTTGGAATGCCATTTCTTCGTTTCGTCTGAGTTATTCATGAACGGTGCAATAAAACTATTGTGATCCTGGCTTCCTAATATCATAAAGACGGGTGCATTGTAAGGTTAACGAAGCCACCGAGGTAACTTAAGAAAGAAAAAGTAACGTTTCAAAGATGGGAAATGAAATGTCAGATCGAAAGTCTAAGGCGAAAGCAGAGATTCCTCGAAACGGCCCGGATGGTGAGTCGAAAAAAACCGAAGAGGGAGATCAAACAGGTGAATATTACTTGACCATTTATCTGCGTCAGTTGTTTGCTGTACCCTCATTTAAAGTAAACGACGAAAATGCTTTGGTCAGATTTACTTCCTTCCGTAGCGAGTTAGGCGGGCTTGAAATTTGCTTAGGGGGCGTGATTCGTGTCAAGAGTGAAACCTGTGTCTAGTTTGTGGCGGCTAGCGTGGTGAAGGTGTGTGAAGATGTGAAGAGTGTGCCCGACTGTTTGACAATGTTTACATGGTCGATTTTTGTCAATTCAGCCGTCAACTTGCATATTAAAGATTTGAATTATTTTCCATTTAAAATGTAACGATATAAGGAGACAGGCCGAAAATGCCTACAAATTGTGTAACATTGCCGTTTTTAGTCCTACTTTTAGACTGGTGAATAATGTACTCTCGGATTATTTAATGATAGTAGCCTTCTCCCCGAAGATGGTCTTACCAGGAAAGAAGATGACATAAAACAGTTTAAATGCGCAGAAAATTATTCAAGTATGATGTTAAAATACTTTGTTTGTCAAGTGCTTCAGTGTAAAAGAACGAGAACACGCTTGATGCTGTTTCATTTTCAAAGCGTCTTTGGCCATCATTGACAATAAAATGAAATTTTCGCTAAGATAACTGAGGCTTGAGATAGATTATATATTAAGGCGATATTTGGCAACTTCTTATTCACTGATATCCCTTTTTGTTTAATATGAAGAGTTTTTTGGGATACTACATTAAAATTGCCCAGTCAGCCATTGTCACATCAACTTGTAACCATTGGCGACCGAGCGGAATAACTGCGATGAAAGTGTAATTAGCGACAAAAACAAGGTTTTTAATAAAAATTTAGGAATATCGAATTAGAGTGAAATAATTATTATGGGTGTGGGCGGCAAAGAGTCAAAAAGAACCGTGACATGTAGGGGCTCGTTTCTCGAAATACCCGGTAAGTTTGCGGGCCCAAAAACGTACTTTTTGTTTGCCATGTTTCGTTCAAGATCAAGATATTGAAATTTTTTAAATTTAAACAATAGACATCAGGACACGAAACAGAATTATCTGCTTTTTGAGCTAAAAATGGACAATTCTTCCTTAGAATTAGATTTAAAGATATTACTTCGGGTCTGAAAAGTTACTGGGACTTTCGAGAAACGAACCCCAGGTCAAGATCATATGCTTTCGTCCTCATCAAGGAATACTTTGATTGTCCTTCTTGCGCTGACTCAGGGTCACTGAGGCATAATTGTTTGGTCTATGTTTTCAGCTGATAAAGGATATTAGAATTAAGAGCACGTTTGGGAGTGCTAAAACATACTATTATGTCTTCTTGAAAAATAGTGAGAGCAAAAAAATTGATTTGTGTGCAGATTACGTACATCGTGAAAAAAAAATTAAATTAAAAATTAAATAATTTAAGGCTTGTGAACCACGAAGGTTGAAGATTGTTTTTTTTTTTTTTTAATTTTTTTTTTGGTACTGACCTCTTAAACATGTCATAAAAGTCATCTACAATCATAACTGTCGACGGTTGGTGTTAATTATCAACTATTCCGTCCCTAGTGGGCCCAATATCATTTCATTTCCTTTACCATTAAAACAGACACAGTCCACCCACTAAACTTTGACTGGACGCGCAGCGATGTGGAACCCCTGTGGTTGTATGAACATGTTGAAGCCGCCAAGTGGAATGTAGAAGAAGTGGCTGCCTTCGTAAAGTGAGTACTAACTGCTGAAATGGTATTATTTAGCACAAAAATATTGATTGATTTGGTAATAAATGTTCGCCTCTTTAATTTTTGCCACACTAGCCCTACCATCGCTTACGATAAGTTTTACTGACTGTAAAGTCCGAAAGTCCAGCAAAGACTAAACAATATAAAACGTTGACAGTGAGAGAGAAGACAAATGACAACCGATCGACCCAATAAATGAGCAATGTGTCCTGCTTGTTGACTTGATTTTTCGATGGTGTTTCCAAGCTGGGAATCGTTGTTACTCCATTTTCTCTAATTAGACACAATTTCAAAGTATAGTCTTGGACACAAGCTTCAACAGTAATTATGGCCGAAGCTGTAATTAAACAATTAAGACCGCAAGAAGTTGCTCTGAGCGACATGGAAACTAAAAAATTCTTAGATATAAGGACAGGATATGACAGAAGCAATTATTTGTGCATGCGCTCACCACTAGATTTGCCGCGAAAACACGGAGTTGCCGTGTTTCACTGGCAAAACCCTGACGAGTCTGCTTGCGCTAGTTTTGACAAAGGTCTAATGCTCGAAACGTCAGCTTTAGAAACTCTTTACGTTGGCTAATTTACGTTATGAACTCAGACGAAACACCAAATCATCTTTTAAACCCCGCATCGACGCAACACCACAGTTTCTTTAGGAACTTTCCCTCTTTATCCACAGTGTATACATGAGGCCGCTTATGAAACAAAATGGTGCAACACCTAGGCGTTCTTCAATGAGCTTAACTAATTTAGCTTAAAACTAACCACGTGAGTACTTTAGAGCGGTTGAACAGTTTTCGCAAAGCCATAGCCGTGTTATCTGATTCTTCATTTTCATGCTGTAATGCGCGTTGTTATTTTTCTCAAGGTCCCTGAACGGTTGTTCTGAGTATGCGGACTCATTTGTGTCGCAAGAGATTGACGGTCAGGCGCTGATGCTCCTGCGTGAGGAACACATGGTGGTCGCCATGCACATGAAGCTGGGTCCTGCGCTCAAAATTGTTGCCAATGTCAATGCCATGAAACGTGAAGCTCTTAAGGAACATCAGTAGTTTTTATTAGATTTCCGAAACGTATTTATTTAACTGAGAAAAAGATTCTCAGAGGCGATGTTTTATAGGATCGAGCAAGGGGTTTTTTGGGATAGTGTCAGTTTTCTTGCGCGTAGTGAAGGGATGAAAAATGTTACGCTTTGTTTGCTTACAGCAAGCATTTATCCTTTGCTAATTGTCTCAACCATTTGGACGTACTTCTTAGCTCTCGAGCTGAAAACAATCGGTTATTAAGAGTACCAAATCAGTAATAAATCAGAGTTGTGCTAGCTCGCTCACTTGCTTCCCCGTCTATCTCCTCCATAAGGAAGGCGAAAGTTTACGACAAGATACATGTATTTCATTTGTTGCTATTTATAAGGGGAGTGTATGGATAACAAAAGAAAAGTGTTAAAATAAGTTTTCCCAACTGCATTACAAGAATAGTTAAAGAATCCAGTTCCCCTCTTGTTAAAAGTCGTCATAAACGTTCGAATACTCGTCAGCACTGTCCAGTCAGTGTCATTTCTTTCCGGGTTGCCCCCATCAAAACAGAAAGCAATAGGACTGAACAATGTGAGAAAAGCTGTAGATATGTAAATTATCTCGGAAAACCCCAGTTATGGTCATAAATTAAATATTCGTTTAATTCCCAGTAATTCCAAGGGTATACCATGTTGGTGTGTCTAATCTGTTTTTATCTATTGAACTATAAACTGTTAAGGATCCTATTTGTAAGAGGCCACCCTCTGTATTTCTTTTTTTTTTTTTTTTTTTTTTTTTTTTCAATTATTTCGATGGTATCTTTCTATATTTCCGAGAAAAATTTAAACTGAGAAAGTGGAAAAAATAATTAATAATCGTTCGTTCTCAATGGTGATGTAGTTTCTCCTGTTTGTTGTATATGTTCCTAAAGTTCGATTAAAATATTATAAACCTCTCAGTTTGGATCAGTTTTTGATCTTTTAACTTCGTTAAACGTATTTCACTCTCCTAGCATTCATGTTATGATTTAGCAAGATATCATAACGCCACCCTGCAAACATATAACTTAGGTTCTATGCTTCTGACTGGGTTAACTTTCGCGGCTGTCATTTCGTTTCCATCATGCTAGGTGAATGAAACCCAAGCTCTTAGTAATAATAATTTGCCTTTAGGGTTGATAAATTTCTTCTTCCCCCACTGTGCATACTTAAAGTTCTTTTCTTGACAGATGGTCCTGGCAAAAAGACGCTTTTGATGCGAAGTATTTTGACTGACTTTCGTACTGTATACCGCTGAACATAAATTATTCCTTAAACCCCTCAGAATGATAAGCACTATAATCAAATTTCTCCCAACAGAATCACATTTGAATCAAACATTAAGGTCACGAGAATAAAGGAAATGATCGCGAACTCAAGAAATTCTTGATTGTCAGACCAATTCTCCTTGTAAGTAACATAGGAAATGTATAGAGAACAGTAAGGAGAACTTGCATACTGATGCTAGGGTGTGAAGGGTTACGTCTCCACTATCCCTTCCTCGCGACAACACCTTGCCTCGCGCCAACACAACTGCCAGACAACAGAATTTTATTGACCAATAACGTCAAATTCTGATAAGCACTGAACTTAGGGTCCTCTATTTAACTTAACCTAAATTCATATTTTAAAACCCTTAAATATTTCATTAATACACGTTTGAACGACGGCGTGATACATTCGATCATCCACATGAGAAATTAATAGTCCCGATTGAAGTATGTAACGATAGGCTCAGTTATTGGTAATTTAATTGTCAAGAAAGTATTATCCGCTTCACCAATTTCATTACGAGTTTTCTTTTGAAAATAGCTCATTGTTCATTTCATTATTTTCAATCCATATTTACCAGAAATATCCTAAACTGTGTCACTCTCAAGTGAAATATTCCTGTTGTTCGTAGGCACTTTGGTTTAATAAGACCAAACTTCAATCGAATTAAAAGATCTCCTCTCAGAAGAAAAAATATCATAGCATTAGCCAATTTCGTATAAAGAACACTTTTCCAAAAATATAATTTATGAATATTTTAAGGAAGAATTTTCGAGAGGCCATCGAAGCTATTAGATTGATCTGTTTTTAGACAACAAAAATCTACCAATTCTCCTCCCACTTTTCCCGTGCGATTCCTGAAAATTTCCTTCGAAAAGGAAGGTTAAATTTCGTTTCTATTCCAAAAAAAAATGTTCTCTCGAAACACTACCTTTTTTGTCCATTAATTGGTTGACTAATATAAGGTTTTTACTAAGATAGGGCTACTTGCTGATTTCGAAATAATTCTGTTAAAACCCCATCCTTGTTTTGTAGAAGAACACTTGGTTTGTCATATTCTACAACTGTTCCTTTGTCCATTACTAGCACTTTGTCATAGTCTATGATCGTATTCAAACGATGCGCTATGGTGATTACGGTACAATCTTGAAATTTGCTTCTTATTGTCTCTTGAATTCTTCTATCTGTGCTAAAATCCACATTGGCTGTCGCTTCATCCATTACGATGATCTTGTTTTTATTCAACAAAGATCTTGCCAAGCAAAGTAGCTGGCGCTCCCCGACACCAAAATTGTTTCCTGACTCGGAGAGTTCGAAATAAAGTTCTCCCGGAAGCTCCATGATTTTCGATTTCATTTGAACTTGTTCTAACACGCTCCATACCTCCACGTCCGAGAAACGGGAGAATGGATCCAAATTTATGCGCAACGGCCCACTAAACAGAGTGGGGTTTTGAGTGATGACAGAAATCACTGGTCGTGTGCTCTGAACATTAAATGAGCTCAGTGCTAAATCATCAATGTAAATATTCCCAGATGGTTCTGGCATTCGAAATAAGGCGGATACCAAAGACGATTTACCAGCTCCGGTTCGTCCAGCTACGCCAACTTTCTCTCTTGCATTGATGTTTATTGAAATCTTCTTTAGGACTTGTGGTCCTCCCTCGTAGTACGTCAGAGAAAGGTCCTCAAAACGAAGGGCACCTTCCTGGGGCCAGTCTGGAGGGGGCTTGTTATTGATGTCATACGTCGGCTCCTTGGGAAGCTCTGTGTAGGTTATGACACGCTCCACTGCTGTCATCATGTTTTCAACATCGGCTGTCTGGCGCATGGCAAATTGCAGCTGACCAACAGTACTGATGGCGTAAACTAGAGATAACCCGAGCGTTCCTAACAGGACAAAAATGGCGGATTGTTAATTCGTATAACATTGAAAAAAGAAACATCTGTCTAGCATCTGATGCTTCGAGTGAACAAATTATATTTACTAAAGCTGGGTATCTCTAAGGACTAAATGTTGAAATTTTTATTTGCAAGTTATTTCTGTCCTCGTCGTGACAAATTTTGAAATGTTCTCCTCCCTCTTTTAATTTTAATGTTATCTGGAAACTAATTTAATAAGTTGAAGCTCGGTTAGCTATTTTGTCTTCGCGAAGCTTTGTCCCAAGTTTGTTAAATAAACTGAATGAATAGCTAGCTAGAAGTTTCACTTTACCTGCATCAGTTGTTGAGAATACTCCAGTGAATGTGGATATCGCCACGAACAAGGTGCACACGAAGTCTAAGCGAATTCCCATCCACCGAGCGCTGTGAGGCACAAGGAACCAAATCTGGCTTCTTCTGTCTTGCACCCTGTAGAATAACAATGAGTATTCGTTAAGTCTGATGAGTAACATATTTAGACTGATTAAGGTATTTTCCAGCCTCCACCCAATCATGGAACGTTGTTGATCGTAGGTAAATTTTCTAAAAGGCGTTCGTAGCCAGTCCCCTTCGTTACGATGTTACAATCAGTAATCTGTGGTTATAGGTAAAGTTGACTGACGCAGCTTTAATTTATGGATTGCTGGGAAACAAACTAGTTTGCTGGCTTAATTTTCACTCACTCATTAAAATCTTGCATGAACTTGTCTTCCATATGATATGTCCTTATTATAATGATTCCCTCTAGAGTGTCTGCCAAGTGAGCCAGCACTGGACTTTGACTAATGGCTTCCATTCGCTTTATTTCACGAGAAGTCTTCAGATAATACCTGCACGGAAACAGAAAAGAATGTGCTTTCGTCCAAAGTTATTCATCCTCAAAGGATTAGACTACTTCTCCCAACCAAATGGTAGATCGCTAACCACAATTGTATTAGTTTTTTGAAAGCTTTCTAGGAGCATAAACCGGGAATTTAATGTTTCCAATCCTGGTGCTATTTAAAAATCATACAGGTCACCTAAAAGCAAGTAGAAACAGAGCTCCTAGCTTGAAAACAACAGGGTTCACTGTAGGCCATGTTTTATTGTTAAATTTACAATCATTTTTCCTAAAACTTACATTTATGCTAAGTGATGCCACTGCCTAAAAAAAACGGACCTTTCTAATCTAGTTATAAGTTTGAGAATAAAACTTTCACTTTTCAAGGGGTATACTTACCTTACGGGCCAAAAGAACGCATGCACAATACGCAGTGTATGCCCATAACATTTAAGAGATTTAACACCGCGTTTACGAGAAACGACAAACGTCATCTTGCCCTTTCACGGAAAATAGCACGAACTTTACTGCTTTAGCTACGCGTGAGCTCACTTTACTTCGAGTTTCGATGAGGAGTCAACGTGAATTTTTGCGGCTGTCTGCTGACGAAAAGTGCGGCATTTGAAGGATTTTAAGCATGAAACTTCATCTTTCCGGGTATAACTTACAGGAAATAGTGTTGGTGCAATCTTTTCCCAGCAATCTTTTTTACTTTCACGTAGAAACAGCAAAGCGCAACCGGTAAACTTGAAAAAATGGCGAGAAATCGTGGTCACGTGATCACTCTTGGCGTCCACGTTTCATGAAAATCGATGCTAAATCTCTCTATTTGTTAACATATACAATTGCCGAGCGTTTTTAACTAGCTCGTAAGTTACCTGTTAATTCCAAAGAAACCAATGATCATAGGAATGACACCAATGACCGCCCAGTAGTTTGTAGCGCACGTGACACAAACAGACGCTAGCGTCTGTAGTATGTATTGCACAGCGAGCAGTGAAGTCGGCGGGAGGAACTCGTCCACAATTCCAATATCCTTTGAAAACCTGTTTAATATCCTTCCAGAGGGATTCGTGTCGAAAAAGTACACAGGAGACTGAAGCATGGATAAGACCATTCGATCGTGCAGGTTCTCGGAGCATCTGAGCGTGGTATAGTAGTACAAAAGGCCTCGAAGAACAGCTAGAAAGAGTGCTCCGCCTACCAAGCTGCCATAGATTATCAGGTTCAACTTGTGTTTCTGTTCAACCCATTTCATTCTTGTTAAATGTACTAGCCACAGATTAGGTGAAATGATTGATGCTATAAGAAAATGAAAAAGAGGAATATCAACAAACAATATTGAAGGAAGATCAAGATAAACAACTCTCTTCCTCGAAGAAGAGAAAAAACCGACGAACGAATGGCCCACACGCACGGTTTTTTCTCCTTATGTACCGTTCCGTTATAACCCAATACGACCGCGTTACACGTCCATATATACTGCCAAACTACTAATATCACTACGGACAGTTCCTACCGATTAAGACTTAAATTCTCGTAATCTTTCTTTTAAAGAGATTCACTCACCTTGGGCAATAAGGAAAAGTAACAGCAGAGCCAATAAAAGTATCCCGTGAAGGCCTGCTCTGAAGTAGTTCCAATAAAGTTTTGCAGATATGGTACCTACGATGCGATCTTCTTGAGAAGCAGTCATACCTTTTCCAGCTAAACCTGAGGAACAGTCGCTTTCTCGACGCTCAGCACGTTTGCTGTTCTCCTGAAAATAAATGAAAACGGAACAATACAGTCATGCATTTTTCGTTAGCTTTGTGTTTGTCCAAATATCTTTGATGTTAGTTTCGAAGCTGTTTTCGTCTTCCCGTCTCTTTCTTTAGATAGATGCATTGCTAACAAAAACAGAATGCAAACCGAGAATGTACCATACATGAAAGTCCCTTGATACGTCGTCTAAGGTTATTCCTTAGTGTTACATTGCGCTTGTAAACTGTACAAATCATATGCGAGTGCGCTATTTCCTCGTCGTCTTCTCTTAGACTGAGTCTGATGACCTATCGTTCCTTTCTCTTTTCTGAACAACGTAATACCCTTCTTTCTGTGAAAATACAGTTGACCAATTCTCTGAAGAGACTAAGAGACAATCGTCTAAAACTAGAATTAGCTATGAACGGTAAATGTAATATATTGCTTGATCATCAGAAATTGCTTTATCTACACAAGGTGTTATGAACAGACGGAATTTTGTTCACACCTGATCCGATGTAACGGTCACTTTTCCTCCCTCCACTTCATGATACTTTTCATGTCCGAGTTCAAACTCTTTCTCGAGTGACTCAATATCCAATCCTGCTTCTTTCATCTGCTCATATTTGCCTTGCTTCACAACACTGCCCTTGTCTAGGATAACAATGTAGTCTGCGCTCTTCATATACTGCAGTTGATGTGTAACAAGTACGCGCACCTTGTTACTGAGCAATCCGTTAATGCAGTTCTCAAAGATGTGTTTTCCAACTTTCGCGTCAACAGCACTAAGGGGATCGTCCATCAAATAGATGTCACCATCACTGTACACTGCACGCGCCAGATTAACACGAGCGCGCTGACCTCCACTTAAACTGGCGCCGCGTTCCCCTAGGAGAGTTTTGTCACCTTCGGGTAACATGGCAATGTCCTTCTTCAAATCGCATGCTTCGATAGTTTTGTCATATTTCTCCTGGTCAAATGGCTGATTGAAGAGAATATTATCACGAAGTGTGCCACTGTAAACCCAAGCGGTTTGAGGAACGTAGACTATTCTCCCATTGTGAGTTATTTTACCAGTGCTTGGTGGTAGCTCGTCAAGAAATGCTAAGAGAAGAGATGATTTGCCACAACCAACAGGACCCGTCACTAGAAGTAATCTCTCTTCGGTTACCTCGAGACTAACGTCGTTGAGAACTGAGGCTTCGTTCTGGCCATTCCAGTGACAAGTTATGTTGGAAGCCTGAAAATTTTTATGAAGGAAATTTGTAAGAGGGACTGCTTTAACCGAGAGCTTTTTATCCCACGCTTCCGCACGCTTTCCCTCTTTGTAAAGTCGTTTTCATCGACGAAAGTTATCTTAACGCGTTCCGCCATTATCATGCTTTTACCAAGATCAACAGATCGAAATTAACTTTCATACGAATATCTGCCGCACTTACCTCCTTTTCTTTGCCTAAATTTGGTCCTTTGCGACTCTGAATTAAAAGGCTTAATCCCAGGTCAAATTCTCTGCAAGACCCCTCATTGACAATCAAAGCACACTCGACATTTCCCATAACTTTTAACTGTCTTAATCGCTTGCTCGCTAACCTCTTACATCAAATATTATTAGTAAAGACAACTATAACCCTAAAAATTTCTTTGATCTACCTTTAAAAAAGGTTTTCCTGAGGAACTTTCCTTGTCTGTGGCCTTTTCTTCGTCGCCATTTTCATTTCCCGTTGTTTCCTCTGGATGATTTTCTTCCTTTCCATTCCCATTTCCATTCAATTCCTCTATCAAAAGGAATGACTCGATTCTTTCAAGAGATGCAAAGCAGTCAGCGATGAGCTGCATCCCGTCTGTGAGACCATAGACAAGAGATCGCCTGTTTTCAGACAAGAGTCCGACCATGGTGAATACGTTGAAGGGTGTTAGGCGAATTCCAGTGAATATGAGTGTTATAAAGGCAATAAGACAGATTACACTATCGTAGGTGTGCTGTAGTGAAGCGAAGGTTGAAAGAATGTTGTAGATTTTGCGCAGGAAGGAAAGCTCAGACCTAAAGTAAAAAATAAGAAAGGCAGCTCTTAAGATACCTGCGGGGCGAGAATATATCAGTAGTTTCCAATCTGGCCAAAATCTTTCTTTCGATAACAAATTTCCGGTAGTTTCACATACTGGTTCTGCCAAATTCTACTTAGCTCCCTAGAAAACGAAAGAAAAGTTCTGCACACCTTCTGATCGCACGCACTGCATCTCGATATGGCCACTCCCAAGCGTACATTTTCACCGCGCGTATTCCAGAGACAATTTCATTCATTACTGCGAGTCTCTTGTCTGTAACTCTTGCCGCTTGCATTCGTAACTTAGCAACCCAACCTGTCATCTCGGCTTCGTAGGGAATGAGAATGAGAGCAAAGGCTAAACCTGTAACTGCCTGCCAGCCAATCAGAGTCCAAAGAAGAATTCCTAGAACCACGAGATCGAACGGGGATCGCAGTGACGCGAAGAGGTTTTGAGTGGCTAGATCTAGTCGCTGGATATCATTGGATACCAAGTTGATCACATGACCGGATGTTATCTTTGCAAGCTTTGATTGGCTCATGCGCAGTACCTAAAGCAACAACAACATTAAGAAATTAATCTTTTACCTTCAATTATTATTACGTTATTATATGGCAAGGTGGTCCTGAGGTAAATCCGCGAGAGCCAGAAAATTAAAAATGACCAAGTTTTGTTAGAGTGCCATATAATATACTACTTACCAACCTCGCCTGCTCAAGGCGTACGGACTTCAGTGTGTTCGGTCCGTACCGTCACAACTTCAGGCCAATTATTCCCCGATGCAGCCCTTACGCTCGGCCAGGAAAAAGTCTTAGATATGTACCCATGTTTGGAGTGTTAGGATATCATTCGTGATAATTAAACAGTTAGGTCCGTTACCGATTTCTAAATACTTCTTTTTGGGAAAAATGAATTAAATTTTTTCATGCTGCTCTAATTTTTGGTGCAAAACATCTCTACAAGGATCAAATGATGGCATTATCAGGTGAATTTACCTCCATAGTTCCAATAGGGGAAGGATTTCTGTAAAACTAAACAACTTTCGCCAAGCTGTTGGCTGTGAACTGAAGAGATGTACAAGGTATTCTACTTTTCGGTGCTTTTCGGATCGTCAACCACCAACTACCTCAGTATTTTGGCATTCTTTAGCAGGCTTTTCGGAGCTACCAAACCGAAGATATAATCCATGTTGTCATTATTTATGTTTAATTTTTTAAAGTTTTGTTTCACTGCAGAAGGCTCCTGGCATCAGGTACATCAATGCCGAGCGTACTTTAAATAGATTCTGGTTCATGGTCGAGAAAAGTAATGTATTTCAAAATTTGAATGGGTTTGGCTGTCGAGTGAATTCTTTAAAAATTGGAAAGCAAATTGTTTACCGAACCATAACAAAATTAATACCACATGATATAAGTTTTATCAATAATATACAAATAATGTGATTGTATGCAATAACCTAAAAAAAACCGCTTGATTGTTACAAGACAAAATGGCCGGCCCTCTCTAAATCCTTATTTCCCAATAACCGGTAAAAAACAACAAGGTATTCGCTTAATATTTAGCCTAGATGATCTTTCACATTCCTTCGAAAAAATTGAAAGGTGTTTTTTTTTTCTTTTCACAACACATCTCTTATCAATAATAAGCATTTAGGAACTAATTTTGCGTCCCCTAAAAGTATTCTTGTCCAATTGCACATAAAATCTTTGATGAAGGGTGTGTGAGCCTTTCAAGTCAAACAGCAAATACAAAACGAGATGGGACGTATTCAATCGGTTGCCTTTGGTGTTTTAATACGTTTTCCCATTTGAAACACTATGAAAATTACTGAATTTGGTGCGTTGACATAACTGATACTTTCTCGTGATGCTTGATTTGACAAAGTTTTTTTTTGCATTCTGCCTTGTGACAAATTATGCAAATATAATGGGCTTCCAAACAAAAAAATATTAAGTTTACCGCCAAGAGGTGTTTCACGCCAACATGATCAGAAGTGAGTCTCTGTTGATAAACCAATCTTTTAGGAAATATCGTTTAGATAGCGTGAGGCACTACCATGGGACTATGATACCTTATTTATTTATTTAATAATCTACTGTTCAGTACATCGTTTGCAAATGGAAGCCGTTAAAATTGGGAAAGCTATGTTATTTCGGGCGCAACAATTCACAACAAAGGAAGCGTTGGCGTTTTTTATTTTTACGCGTCCCTGATCAAAGATAAAGGAGAGAAATTTACGGTTGAGAAACGTCTACGCGCAAAAAATTAGTTGACTCGTGTTTCTCAATAGTTAACAGTGTTTTAGTTTCGAAAAATGACCTTTTTAGCTGATATTTCAAAGAGTTCTCTAGTCTTTAAAATCTATAGATTTTCTATGGATGGCGTGTTCAAATATACTTTCATGAGGCTTGCATTAATATGCAAATATAGTGTTTAGAAACAATTCTAGAACAACTCTGGCTTAAAAACTTACTAGATGTTTCTTTAAAGGTCCTAGTATTCGTTACATTAATCTCAAGTTTTTCGATGGCCGTTTTATTCTAAAATCGGCACTTTTTTGAAATGTAAAGAATGTTGAAATTCGGAGTCTGCTATTATCAAAAAGTTGCGACTTAGATTGGTTGGAATGTGAATGTAACCTTTACATTTTTAACCTTCGAATGTAGTAAATCTTATACTCACCTTTTTATAAAGTAAACCAGTGGCTGCCGCTCTAAATCGCATCCCTAAAAGAGCAGACCTGTTTTGATAATGATGTTGAGCGAGGTTTCTTCCCAAGGATGTGATACATATAAAAGTGGGTAGGATATATTTGAAACTAACATCCAACTGACGTATTCCCATCAAGTAAGAGATCAGGAAACCAAGCAAAACTGGCAGTGTCATTCTGTTTGCCATGTCTGTCAGAACCAGAGCGACAATTGAGAAATATTCATACCATGGGCAAACTCGCATCAAAGCCTTCCAAAATCTCGGCCGTTTGCCTTGATGCCTCTTCTTCAGTTCCTTGTTCCACTCCTCTTGTAAATTTTCTGTTAATACTTCAGATTTATCTTCTTCTAAGAGTGGAAATAAGTCGTCTTCCTCCAGTGGCCGTTTGTTTCCCGTAACAAAGATTTTGTTCATCCACCATATTGTAATTCGGGAGAAGATGTTGGCATTCAGAACTGGGTTGACATTATTTTTGCCTTCTTCGTCAGAGTTTACTTTCTCGTAATCGTTCTTAACCATATTCCCACCTCTCAAGATCTCGACTGATGATCAGGATTACATGGCTTTAGGATCTCGGCGAGTCTGTTGAAATTAAAATTCATTGACTCAATTGATTGATAAAAATCCTGTCTGGAATAATAACATGTTTAACCTCTATTCCCTGTGCTGCTCTAGAGTAAATAAAATTCTAATGAAGGGAGTCTTCATGCTTCACTGCGCGCATATTAATGTGGAAAACAGACCATGGTGAATATTACTGTTTTGTATTCGCCCAACTAAAAAAAAAGTCCTTGAACATAAAATATACGTAAAATACAATATACGTAAAATACAATATACGTAAAATACAATATACGTAGCACGCAAAAAATAGATAAAGCAAGATCAAGTTGTCAAAGTTTAGCTGTTAAAGAAAAATTCGTGGCAGTTTCACACAGTCAGATTTATTGAGATATACTGTTTTCACTTAGGAGTAACAGAATGGAAATTTGCCTACATTTGCTTACACTTTACCCTCTGAGCTTCTGGTAAACTGTTCTACATCCTATCTCTCATAATTCAGTACAGAAACTATTCATTGAATAATTGTAGCTTTCAAAAGTAAAGTGAATAACAAGCTGCCGAACTTCTGACGGACTCAGCGTTCTGGTAAAGGTAGTATGTAAGGTGGTTGTAGTAGTATAGCTTAGTATTGATAAAATTAACCGCGAATATTGCATTGATAAAGTGTACAGGCAAGAATTTCCTCCTATATTCCCCAGTGGACTTCTCATCGACTTTCTACCAACGCAGAACTAGTTAACAGAACTCGACTGAGCCAAACCTTAACTGTTGTGTAGACTGGCCGCCACAGTGCCAATAGTATTCGAAGTCTGTCTCTGTTCCACGACATTAGTATATTTCCTCGAAGTAAAAAGTGCTTTTCCTCTAAATTGGAACTTACAATATTACAAAAAAAAATAGTTCACATGACGCAAATGTCATAGCGAAGCAGCATAAAAACAGAATAACCTCTCAAGCAATGTCAAAATTCGCAAAAATAGTTCACATGACGCAAATGTCATAGCGAAGCAGCATAAAAACAGAATAACCTTTCGGGAAATGTCAAAATTCACATTTTTACCGATACATCTGACTCTATCTTCCAAATTTTTTTTCTTTCATTTTTTTTTCTTTGAATAAAACGAACAAGTGAAATAATGTGCATGTTTCCTAGGACTTAAAAAGAATGGAATTATAACGCAACTGAAATACACCGTCTTCGTAGAAATAGCCATACATGAGTAAAATCGGTTTCCAAAACTGATCGAGATCAAGTGCTACTTACTTCTCCCGACAAAATCTTTTTCTCCAATTAACTATCCTGGTTATGATCTCCAGTGCCAAGCATCCTAAGGTTTTCTTGCTGAAACTAAATTAGTAAACTGTCCATTGCAAGGAAATTTCATCAATTTTAAAATTGTTCCACGATGTAGTCGCTGACACTCAAAAAAAGTTGATCTAACCGAAAACCTCTTAAATTGCGGGTTAGTAATGTTTTTATGTACTTTCCTGTTGATTTATAAATTTGTTACGAGTGCAAAACTGAACAAGTCGTATCATTATGTTGTTCAACCTACATTTTCGCTGAAAGGTTTTATATTCGTCTCGATTCGCACGAAGACAGCATGTGGAATAAAATGTCGCTCAGGGCACAAGACTGAAAATGGCAAAGCTCCGAAACGTGTTCTTTATCATCACGATGTCGGGCATTGAAGAGCATTTTGCGAGCTCGGATATTCGCGTGATTGTTCAGACTGTTTTCTTGGCATTTTTTTCAGCTTATATTGCGTCGATGCCTTCCAAAGTGATGATAATAGTAATACAGGTTATGATCTTGGGCATAAACATGTTTTGGGCCCCACACAGTCATTATAACCCTCGCCTGGCGGCTCGGGCTAAAAAGGACTCTGAGTCGGGCCCAAACTCTGTTGTTTTATCGCAACCCTTGGTTACGTTCCAATATTTTTGCTAGTTATCCCCGCTTCAGTATACTTAAAAGGTACCATAAAGTCATTCATTCTTTAAAAAAAAAAAACGCGATTTTCAAATTGTAAGAAACTGATTGCGTGGATTGTATGGTCTTAAAAGTTCTTGGCAATCTAGCGCTCCGCATTAAATAACCGTGAAGATTCTTTGATCAGAAACAAACTATGACCTTTCAGACAACAAAATACGATGCTTAAATTACTGTTATCGCTTTTTTATAAGATTTTTGCTACTTAAATAAGAGCCCCTCAATCAAACGATAATAACGTTGAGTGAGACAATTTTATCACTTTTTCTAAAGCATTATTACTGAAGTTCACTAGTTTGACTTAATCTCAACATCTGTCGCCATTTATGAAGAGATCCTCAGAACTGGATTGTTTCAAACACGAAAAAGATAGTTTAATCACTATTCTGTTAGTAAAAGGAATGATGGAAAAGGAAGTCGATATAATCGAGATTTCTGACTCCAATTTTAACGTTTGTAAAAGTTGGAAATTGTAGAAATGATTTCATCTCGAAAGTAGAGTAGAACAGTCCTTTTTTTTCAGTCCAAGATTTTTTTTTCCACATTTATTAGTTGATCGATTAAACAATCCAACATGGTGTCAAACAAACTTGTCTCAAGGTATAACTACATCTATCTTTTTAGACGTCTAATACGCCAGTTTACATATTTCCATGGCGTGGTACCTTCATACATTCGAATAACAACTCTTGGGTCATATAATAACAGCCAACAGGTAACCTGCTTAACTTTAACGAAGTTTTCAAAACACGCGTTTTATAAGTAATGTCAACCATTACTGTCTTGGATTTTTTTCCTCAATATTATTGCTGATTTCTCGAAATAGAAATGAATCATCCTTTACTATTTGACTGAAGTTGAAAAATAGAGCGCGTGGTTTTAAAATTCTTCAAGAGAAAGATATTCAATGAAATTCGAAAGATTTACCTCACACCATATGGTATAAAACCAAAATATAAACTAGTATTCGAAAAGCTATTGAAAATTTAACAACATAAAATCATGATATTTTTTGTCGTAAATCTTACTCATTTTAAATGACTGTGTTCGTATTCCAGCCGTTTTAAACATAACTAACATTAGTAACACGAGTTTGTTAGCAACAGAAAGCTTAACTGGGCGGTATAAATACTCTCCGCGCTAAACTAAACCTTTCCAACTTACTTGCATGTTGTTTTCAATTCTTAGTACAGGAATTTGATTTTCCTTTTGTAGAATGCGGTAAACCTTCTTTCGACGGCCAATTCCACTCCATTAAGCTGAGGTGTGTATGTATCTAATAACGCGAAAAGTGTGATCCCATATTCCCTGTTAATAAGCCAATGAATGATTATGGATTATGTGTCACTTGGTCTTCACAGAGGTTACGTCAGGAAACGGGACAAAGGAGTTACTTAACGAGAGATCCTGGGTTCCAATAAATGCTAACACACAGGGTGTACGCGCATTTTCTGAGCAGCGGTTTAAAGATCTTGGGCTCAATACCGATAACAACATTTCAATGAGTTACTGATTTAGTGATCTCCTTATGCCAAAGCAGGCAGGAATTAGAGAGAGTGAACTTGTCTTGAGGAAGCCCGAAACTTTTAGAAAATCGTGGTTATAATGTTAGTCTGCAAAATTTAATCTTTTTGCGTTAACTTCCCTACTATGATGTTTTCCATGGAATGATTATTACCCCTAATAGCCAACAAAGTCTCGAGGCTCTTAATTTTTAAATATACATTACATATATGTAGAACCAGGGAACTTTTCATGACCATAATTTCTATGATTAAGGAAAATCATAAATATTTGTATTTCAGAAAATACAATAAAAAGTATATGTTTTTTTGTTACCTGGTTTAACGAAAGGAAAGTCGGGAAAGCTCGATAGGAAATGGAAATCAAAGTTCCTTCCAATTTTTTAGTTTCAATCGACATCAGCAGCTTCAAAATATACTGACGGCTTCGAGGGTCATAAGACAGAAAACCTTCGCTTTTTCTCCCAAATATTTCCAATACCTTAATGTGTAAAGTGTGCGTGATATCACCCCCTTGCTGATGTGCGGAGATGAAGTATGGAATGATAAGTTTTCATTAAATTTGTATTGTTCAGTTGTCAAAACAGATCACGGTCACCAGACTGGACCAATATATTTCCCGAAGACATCTTTTGTTAGAATTGATTTTTCTCTTTATTTCCTCTCAAAACATTACCGAAATTACGGCGGCACGAAATATATTAGGTAAGATAATAATTCTTAGGATCACATATTTCATATCAAAGCTCCTGGTCATGGTTACAGGAGAGAGAGCAAACAGTGGCGATGTAGTAGAGGAAGGGTCTTCCCCTGCAGTTGTTCTTCAATGGAAATATATCTCACCTATTTTGCTTTGAAGATTAAAACTTATGATAGTACTGTCTTCAGTGCATAAATTCCACTGAACATGACACGCTTTCTTATTGGATTCAACGGGCCTTTCTTAACATGTATCCAACACGCAAGGGTAGTTGATATCTATAATGAAAGCGTTTATTCATCAAGAATGTTTTACTTCAGTAAAGACTCGTAGCAACAAGTTCCTATTTTCTCCTTTTTAACATAAACAAAACAACTTCAAAAAGGTTGTGTGCTGGCTGTTTGTCTGCTATCACGTACCAACAAAAAAATAATTGAAAAAAAAACTTTCTTGCTTCATTTTGTATGACAAAAGGCAGTCAGTTTACTCAGCACATGGTTTCTGATATTTCATATTTCATTACAAGGGAGTATGCCATGGTTACATAAATAGAAACTTGCAAAGATTTTTGAAAAATAATGTTACTCATCCGAAAAGGGCCAGAGATGTCGAAAGTACAGAAAATAATAAAACATATCTGGAAACCACACTTATTCACTTATAAGTTTCAGTATTGTAGCTTTAAAATATAACAGAGTACCAAAACAATATGTCCTCTACATGATCATTTAGGTTCTTA